TACACCATACTGGTATGAGGCTGAATCGGTTTCTGCTTCACCAGTAACACTTGAAGGCTTTGTGTGTTTATGTTTACAATACAGCTGATCTGTAAAAAGGTCATGAGTCAGTGTGTGAAATGTAAATGTTAATAAAGTTTGTTTGAGGAACAAAATCTCAAACACCTGTGGGTTTCGACTGATAAATAAAAGCTTTTTCATTCTGTCTGATGGGTTTTAATTAGGATGAAGATGGAACAAAACAAACACTAGATTGTCCACCAGGGAGCACTGACACATTTATTTTTATCCAAATGAGAACTGTTACATAGAATTGCTCCTTCATCAAAAATGTCTTCAAAAACACATCTGTCAGGCTCCAATTACAACATCTGAAGAGTGGCTCTTATTTATCTGCAAATGCCCACCATATCTCCTAAGTGCACTTTGTCTTGCACCATGGCTGAGCTCAGAATCAAATGCAAAAAGACCTCAAACAAGCGACTCGCACTACGTTTTAACCCTAAACACATCCGGCTGGGAGCTTGCATACAATTTAGTTCCATATGTGAGCTTTGCTACAACTCAAGAGATTTAATTCAGTGTTTCTGAGGCAAGAGAAGATTTTCACAAACACTTTCAACAAAACCAGTTTCCAGTCATACAATTTGCATGTGATCATAATGCACCTACGATTATTTCTGTTTACATCTCTACCAGGCACACACAGGCTTATTTGTCTTGATGTGTGCGTGAGTTTGAATGAGGAAAGTACGACCGGTCACAGTGTGCAGGTACTCCGCCCTAGTTGGCTGTGGACACATTCCTTCGATCAGCAGGCAGGTCTTAAGCACTTAACTGTAGTTGGCAAGCATGACACAACAGATCTCCTGGCTGACCTTTTCAATTACATACATGTTAAAGGTGGTTTCAGTATGGCAAACGTTACTCATGTTAAAAGTACAAAAAAGTATTTTCCATAACTTCAAAGTTGAATACTGACAACCTGACTACTTCTGCTTAAGACAAAACAGTAAAAGCATGACACCTTCAGTAAAAACGGGGGAGAACAGTCTTTTGTGTGGGTTTATTCAGGGGTAGGATTGACCTAATTCTCCCTCGCCCCCCTTGTAGGAAGCAGTCCTCACACTGCCATTTACAGTAGGTTGCATTTATTGCTCTTCTTCCCCCGCCTAGCCTGTAGTGCAGCCCTGGTGGCCATCTCGAACACTTCCCTCACACCATCCTTTGTTTTCGCAGAGCACTCCATGTATCCAAAGGCACCGATCCTGTTAGCCATGTCCCGTCCGTCTTCTGATTTCACTGGTTCCTAAACAGGAAGGGCAGAAAGACACTTTCAGAAACCTGACATCTTCATTAGCATGCCTGCATAGGATCTGGAGGTCTACCTGCTTCATTTTGGCCAGTTCTCTTCGAGTGTGATCATCGTTACGCAAGTCCTTCTTATTTCCCACCAGTATGATGGGAACGTTTGGACAGAAATGTTTCACCTCAGGGGTCCACTTCTCAGGGATGTTCTCTGAGTAGGAGGACAGAGAACACCAGCAGTTAGAACAGCTGTGTAGGCTCTGGGACCAACAAATATTATGGTGAAGAAACATCCTGTGCAGAAATAATCATTCTGTTTGTGTCTGTGTCACAGCAACAAGGACGGAGCTCAGTGACTTCATTTTTAAACTAACAATTGAATCAAGTTGATTGAAATTTAAACATTCAAAAGTTGGGGGAAAAAAACATCCACTTGAACACAGCTGATTGCAAAATGTACATATTAAAAAAAGAAAATCAGCAAATCTGTTCTCCATTTTTGGACCCTGAGACAAAAAGCTGACTCAGACGAAGGAAGGACGAGTCTCTAACACGGTAAATAAAGCTTTTACAAGTTTCTCGTCAAGAAAAAATGATCTGAACTCATTTTCAAACGGACAAAAATCAAAAGCTAAATGCGTCGCTGCTATTTGATTTTTCCTACTTACCAAGACTGTCTGGGCTGTCGATGGAGAAGCACATAAGAATGACATCAGTGTCTGGATATGAGAGTGGGCGGAGCCTGTCATAATCCTCTTGACCTGCCGTATCCCACAGTGCTAATTCAACCTGCCAAGAGGTCAGAACACATCAGCTGCAAAATGACAGACCTTCCCCCGACACACACCTCTGTCAACAAATGAGTTTTGACCCAGTACAACCCCACACTGTCCACGACTCACAGCTAGTATTTTACATAGAACAGTGGAAGTGTATTCTTTAACCACTTTTTACTGCCAGTTGTTATTTTTTATTATTCTTCCTAGAAACCTCACATCAGCAAAGCTGAGTGATCCCAGTGCAGAAAAACATTGAGACCAATCGTAATTCTTCATCTTTCTTTAAATATTATGTCATGAGATCTGATGGTTGCTTTCTCCAAAATCTTACTTGGCAAAGGGGACAACAATTCCCTAAGAAAGGAAATGACATCATCACATATATTGAAAGCAGAACAGATTTCAGACAGCTGATTTGTTTAAACTGCCAGAATTTGGTTTTCTTACAAACACAAAACTAACAAATGTTGAATATAACTTTATTTTGAGAGCAAGCCTGGCCCTAATTCCCGATAACATTCCCTCATACCTTTTTCCAGAGTGCAATAGAGACCCTGACTAAACCACCTGATTCATATATCTAACCAGTGCAATATTTTGTATTTATAAATTGTAAATACTTTCTTAATGATAGTTCCTGTCTCTTCCCATTTTTATACCTCACACTGATTCAACAGTGCATTCTACTTTTTTTTTTGTTCTTTTGTAAAAAAAAAAAAAAAGTGTCAATGACATTAAAGATTTGACATGATGTCGCAGTGTATCTACACTGATAGGAATAATTCATGCTTTAGTAAATGCTATAATTTTCAAATCTATTCTAAGAACCTTCTTGGTGTCTAGTTGTATGAGATCGGGGTTCAAATCCAGGTCGGGTCAAGCCAAAGACTTTAAAAAAAATGGGACCCAATGCCTCCCCACAACTGCATCTCACCACTCCACACGGGGATTGGTCACATGTGGAAATGTAATTTCACCAGCGTGTGATGATGTCTAATGGGACTTTAACTTAAAGAATCCAGAAACTCAAGATGAGTACATTTAAATTGCTCTAATGTGAAGATCATCTATTATGAGTAATGTGTGATGAACACGGTCAGATGTCAGCTGCTGTTGTAAACAAACACCTTACATAACGGTGCTGGTTGGAAATGTGAGAGGAGAAAAATAATCCATACCTGCTTGGTATCAACTTCAATGTCAGCTACATAGTTCTCAAACACTGTGGGCACGTAGACCTCAGGAAACTGGTCCTTACTGAAAACAATTAGCAGACAAGTCTTCCCGCAGGCTCCATCTCCCACTATGACCAGCTTTTTCCTGATTGCTGCCATGGCTGCAGAGGTGAGAAAGAAACGAGCAGAAGTTACAACAGGAGAACACGTTATCTATGTTAAACTGGGCGGGTCGCTTTATTGCACTGAGCCATTTTGCAACTTGCCTGTGCTGCGCCTCTGATAAACCGTGAGCAGCCCGCAATCTACAGCTGTGTTGACACAAACCCGAGCCCGTCTGAAACCAACACCCGGAGCTAACTATTTGACATTCTGTGACCACACAAACATCAGGGCCGTTCATGTAGCGTTCGGTTGCAAAAAAACACGAGCAGAGGAAAAACGAAGGACATAAAATTGTCATGAAAGGCTGATGTGTCTTTGATTTATCGCGAGTTGAGTTTTTAGTCAATTGAATAACCCTTTTTTCCCCACAATGAAACATTTCCGCTGCTTCTGACCCACCCCGGCTTCAAGCTTGACTAATTATTCCGTCTGACCCACTTTTGTATAAATTGCAGACCAGGTTTAACATGTAACTGCAAACATCAATCACCTGGTTTCTAGATTAAGAGGATCTGTTTACAAAAGGTTTAATGCTAGCAGGTGTGCTAGTTGGCTAATGGATTAAATAGCCTGTGTGCTAAGTTTTTATTTAAATTGGGCGATTCAAATGTGCTGAATGACACGTAAAATGTATTATTTATGTTTGTAATCAATATTTATTTTAAAAGAGCATTTCACTCGTTATTAATAAACCAAACACAATTTATCCCTCACCGGCACAGCTAGCGGGTTCGCCAAGCGTAGTTTAGCATAACGGAAGTCAAACAGTTTTATCGGTCCATTAGCTAGGTGGCTAGCATCGGCAAATCATCTTCAGAAAACATAAATTGACATACGAAACGGTTCCCGTCAAAACTTATTAATTATTCAAGGTAATAAAATAACACATAGCATGTAGGCACGTCAAACTTACCGAGTGAATGGTTAAGAATCTATTAAAGTGTAGTTTAGGCAGAGCTTTGTTAGCCTCTATTGCTGCTGCCTGCTTGCGCTGATGCCTGGAGGATTAGCAAGAGTAAGAGACGGGGGGTGGGGACACAGAAACATAATAATAATAATAATAATAATCACAATAATCACAATAATCATAATAATAATAATAATAATAATAATAATTATTATTATTATTATTATTATTATTATTATTATTATTATTATTATGGTTTTTACCAGATTGTGACTGAATTCTGTAAATTTTGAGTATTTGACTAATTATCTGTCTGTTGTTTTTAGACTTTTTGCAGCATTTACTATACGTTCCATATATGAAAATATTTATGATCAAATCAGAATGTTTGATAATAATTCTAAATTCTAAATAAATAATTTCTCGCAAAAATCGATGTTAATGGCCTTGTAATTCTGCAAATGTTATTTAATCACTCCAAATTAGAATATTTTAGATAAGGTGTGTCAGCTACATTTCTATGCATTTTTATCTAATAAAACATAACTCAAGTGAGTATTTCTTTGGTCAGCTGCCATGCTGTTGACATGCCATATAAATAAACCTGGAGTCTGGTCACAGGGGCAGCAGCCTAAGCCGAGAGGCCCAGACTTCCCTCTCCCCAGCTATTGGGCCAACTATTCCGGGGGGATCCCAAGGCGTGGCCTGGCCAGCTGAGAGACATAGTCCCTCCAGCGTGTCCAGGGTTTTCTCTTGGGTCTCTTCCTAGAGAAGGCGTCCAGTAGGCATCTTGACCAGATGCCCGAGTCACCTCAACTGGCTCCTCTCGACGTGGAGTAGCAGCGGATCAACTCAGAGCCCCTCCCGGATGACTGAGCTTCTCACCCCATCTCTAAGGGAGAGCCCAGCCATCCTGTGGAGAAAACTCATTTTGGCCGTTGTATCCGTGATCTCGTTCTTTCGGTCACTACCCAAAGCTCGTGACCAAAGGCAAGGGTAGGAACGTAGATCAGCTGGTAAATTGAGAGCTTTGACTTCCGGCTCAGCTCTATCTTCATGACAACGGATCAGTACAGCACCCGCATCATTGCAGACGCAGCACCAATCCGCCTGTCAATCTCACGTTCCATCTTTCCCTCACTCGTGAACAAGACCCTGAGATACTTAAACTCCTCCACTTGAGGCAGGACCTCGTTCTTGACCTGGAGAAGGCATTCTACCCTTTTCTAATTTGAGAACATGGTCTCAGATTTAGAGGAGCTTATTCTCATCCCAGCCGCTTCACACTCGGCTGCGAATTGCTCCAGCGACAGCTGGAAATCACTGTCTGATGAAGGCAACAGGACCACATCATCTGCAAAAAGCAGAGACCCGATCCTTAGGTCACCAAAACAGATCCCCTCAACACCTTGGCTTTGCCTAGAATCCTGTCCATAAAAGTTATGAACAGAATCAGTGATAAAGGGCAGCCTTGGCGTAGTCCGACTCTCACCAGAAACAAGCTCGGCTTACTGCTGGCAATGCAGACCAAGCTCTGACACCAGTCATACGAAGACCTAACAGCCCGTATCAAAGGGCCGTATGGTACACCATACTCCCTAAGTACCCCCCACATGACCCCCGGGGGACGCTGTTGAACACCTTCTCCAAATCCACAAAACAAATGTAGATTAATTGGGCAAACTCCCACGCACCCTTCAAGATTTCCCTAAGGGCACAGAGCTGGTCCAGTGTTCCACAGCCAGGACAAAAACCACATTGTTCCTCCTGAATCCAAGGTTCGGCAATCCGACGGACCCTCCTCTCCAGAACCCCTGAATAGACCTTACTAGAGAGGCTCAGAAGTGTGATCCCTCTGTAGTTGGAACACATTCTGCGGTCCCCCTTTTCAAGTAGGGGGACCAACACCCCAGTCTGCCAATCCAGTGGAACTGCCCCTGATGTCCACGCGATACTGCAGAACCGCATCAATCAACACAGCCGAACAATATCCAGAGCTGTTCTCATGTCATGTTGTAATTAATGTCTACAGGTTGCAAAATAACAGTCTTAGCTTATATGTATGTAAATAAAATTAATATTGTTAGGTTTTATGTTTTAGGTCACAGAACAGAGGTAAATAATCCTAATTTCCTTTTGAATGTGACTCATTTTCCAGTTTATAAAAATGCATTTTTAACTCAGACTTTCTGAGTGTCAGGTTGAATCAGGGACAAACAGAAATGTGTTATCGCTGCAGCAGTGTACTAATAGCTGCAGCTCTTACTCTAATCCTGGTAAGAGGCTTTCTCAGTGCTGCTCAGTTCCGATTCGTGGAAATGAACTCAGATGCATTTCCATGAAAAGTATATTTCCCCATTTATTTGAGTGTTGAAGTGGATGAACCATTGCAATTGAGCAAAAAGGGGAAAAAAAGGTTTCTTTCTGTAAAAAACAACCACGAACCCCTTCAGAGAATAACATTTATAGCAAATGTTCTTGTTTCTTTAAAGGTGAACTTTTTGTTTTAGCAATGAAATGAGAATTAAAGTAAATGCTTCCCTTCTTAAAAGACAATAATCCGATTTTAGATTCTCATTGACTGATTACAAAGTTCTTTATCTTTAATAAAACACAGTTTGCTGCAGAAACAGCCAGAGCCTCATCTTGTGTTGGCTTCAACTCTTTGGATTTGTATTCTAATGTGATTTAATTGAGAATGTTTAATAAAACCCAGAGATGCAGAAAAAACAATAACACCAGGCTCTGTGATAACGTGAAAATGTAACGTGACGTTACAGCCATGTGACTAAAAATGCATCCCCATGTGTGGGAATCACTTTGGAAATATTAAAATATTCAAGCTCTTCATACTTATTTATCAAGTGAGTTGTACTGGAATAAAAACATTCATTCGTTAGCTTCATTTAGCTGGCTTATTATTGAAAAAAAAAGTCTGCATTAACTTATTGACAATTAAAACTGCAGATTTAAGCTGCACAGTGGCACAGTGGCTAGTTCTGAACTTGAGGCCTTTGTGCATGGAGTTTGCATGTTCTCACTGTGCATGCGTGGGTTCTCCGGCTTCCTCCCACATTTCAAAAACATGACTCTCAGGTTGATTGGTTTCTCTCAATTGTCCTTAGGTGTATGTGTGTGATTGGTTGTTCGTCCTGTGTGTCTCTGTGTTGCCCTGTGATGGACTGGTAACCTGTCCAGGGTGTACCCCACCTGATTGCCCAGAGTTTGCTGGAGATAAGCACCAGCCCACCGTGACTCTGCATGGACAAGTGGGTGTAGACAATAGATGGAAGGATGGAACTGCAGATATACTTTAACCTTTCACAAGTTACTTAAAAAATACAGAAAACAAAACACATTTAACGTCATTGGCATTGCACATGTCACAGCTTAGCTATAAGGCAAACATTTAACACAATTCTCTTGTGCAGGATTAAGACTTGGCTCATATTCAGGAGCAATCAGGTAATACTGAGATTCATTAAACAGTTCTCTTCTGGACTGGAACTCTGCTGTTCAGGATCTGATGCTGTCCCAGATCCACAGCATGTGGCTGTGGAGCATAACCCTGACCGTGTTCCTGTCTTGCTCTCTGTCCCCAACAGGCTGCCATCCTCATACAGAGAAAGGGTAGTTCTGTAGGAAGTGCAGCAGTGGTTTGGGGAGGGGCAGTTGGTCAGGGCAGGTAGTGTGTTTGTGGATGGTGAGCCGAGCCAGGTGTTGCAAAGAGGGAAAACCCTTGGAGCTGTGCAGAGGATGCGCCAGTTTCAGAGGGACTCCGCTGTCTTTGTCCCCAAGCTGTGCAGGATCTGGCTTTGTCTGAGGCTGAACTGAAGACGGGGCCTGTGTTGCCTGGCCTGAGACCATGTAGTGCTGGATGAGGCTCAGGACATCTGGGAAAGTCTGAAGATGAGGCAGGTGAGAGGAGGTGGAGTCCAGCCAGAAGCAACCTTTGTTGTACTCGATGCGAACGCTAGTTGGTCCAAAGCGAGTCCTTACAGACAGGGCCAGCATGTACTGAGGGTGGCTGCTGTCCCGAACCAGGAACGTTCCTTCACACTTGGAAAGGAGGGCTTCCCGGGCCTCACTCGCTGAGATAGAACCCCAGTACCAACCTAAAAAAACAAACAAACAGGGCCTAAATTTGAGCTTTTACATTAATATTTGTGTTAAACATGAAGGCACTTGGACGGTAGGCACTTTTGAGATTAATATCTACAGTGGCGAACTCCTCCCATGTCCGGGTTTTTGCCTTGGTGACCACCCGAGTCGCGTTCCGCTTGGACTGCCGGTACCCGTCAGCTGCCTCTGGAGTCCTACAGGCCAAAAAGACTTGATAGGACTCTTTCTTCAGCTTGACAGCATCTCTAACCACCAGTGTCCACCAGCGGGTTCGGGGGTTGCCACCACGACAGGCACTGACGATCCGGCGACCACAGCTCTGGTCGGCCGCCTCAACAACGGAGGCACGGAACAGGGTCCATTCAGACTCAATGTTCCCCGTCTCCCCCGGAACATTTTGGAAGTTCTGTCGGAGGTGGGAAATGAAGCTCTTTCTGACAGGAGACTGCCAGACGTTCCCAGCAGAACCTTGCGATGCGTTTGGGCCTACCAGGTCTGACCGGCATCCTCCCCCACCATCTGGGCCAACTCACCACCAGGTAGTGGTCAGTTGACAGCTCCACCCCTCGCTTCACCCGAGTGTCCATCACATTTGGCCGAAGGTCAGATGAAACAACAACAAGTCGATCATCGAGCTGCAGCCTAAGATATCCTGGTACCAAGAGCACATATGGACACCTTTATGTCTGAAGATGGTGTTCATTATGGACAATCCATGACTGGCACAGAAGTCCAATAAAAAAACACCACTCGAATTCAGATCAGGGGGGCCGTTCCTCCCAACCACACCTCTCCAGGTCTCACTGTCGTTGCCCACGTGAGCGTTAAAGTCCCCCAGCAGAACGAGGGAGTCACCGGAAGGAGCGCTCTCCAGCACCCCCTCCAAGGTCTCCAAAAAGGGTGGGTAGTCTGAACTGTAGTTTGGTGCATAAGCACAGACCACAGTCAGAACCCATCCCCCACACGTAGGCAGAAGGAGGCTACCCTCTCATTCACTGGGGTAAACCCCAACGTACAGGCACCAAGATGGGGGGGCAACTAATATGCCCACCCCTGCTCAGCGCCTCTCAGTGGGAGCAACTCCAGAGTGGTAGAAAGTCCAACCCATCTCAAGGAAACTGGTTCCAGAGCCAGAGCCATGCGTTGAGATGAGTCCGACTATATCTAGTCGGAACCTCTCAACCTCACACACCAACTCAGGCTCCTTCCCCACCAGAGAGGTGACATTCCATGTGCCAAGAGCCAGCTTCTGTAGCCGAGGATCAGGCAGCCAAAGTCCCCGCCCTCGGTTACCACCCGTCACACACTGCACCCAACCCCTTTGGCCCCTCCCACGAGTGGTGAGCCCATGGGAAAGGGGACCCACGTTTCTTCTTCGGGCTGTGCCTGGCCGGGCTCCATGTATCATGGTCTGCCTCAATCAGCAGGAGAGGAGACCTGGCAATCAGCTGTTTTTGTTGCAGGTGGGCGTGGCAACGAGCTCCAGCTGATCCTGATCCTGCTAATCAGAAGGCCAGGGGATTTAAGGAGCGGTGAGACACAACTCCAGTGCCAGTTGATACTCTCACCAAGGTAACTTCTAGCCCAGTATATCTCCTGAAATTCCTGAGAACTTGTCCTATGAAATCCTGTGTGTTCTTGTTCCAGTATCTCGCCTCATATCCTCTAACCACGCCTGGAGTTGTATTCCACGTCCCGCCGTTCAGGATCCTCTGGCCTCCACTCTCCATCGCTCGCCTGCCTGCCAACCTACACCCTGGACTCATACAACCATCTCCTGACCACCTCTAGCCTGGTGAACTAGACCAAATTCTTGCTTTGCAAAGTTTGGTCTAGGAACGCTCCACTGGAACCTCTGCAGCTCCAACAGCATTCTGGCTGGCCAATCACAGCTCTCTAGAGGGGTTTCAAACACATTAAGAGCTGTGATTGGTCCATAATGGTGGGCCAATCATAGTGCTCTATCTGCTTAGTGAACAAATCATAGAGCTTCATCCTCTTTGTGGGCCAATCAGGGCACTCTATGTGCCTGGTGGGTGGGATGATGCAACAGAGTGAAACAAGAGTATGGCTGTGATCGAGATGAGCTGGTTCTGCGCAGATTAGATCACCGGTGATCGGCGCGCAGTGCTTGCCGGTTAGATTTGTGTCCGACTTGACGCCGACTTGCTCTAACGTCAAGCCTACGTAGGCAACGATAACCTCGTGAGATCAAGGCAGCCGCAGATTTTGGAGAAAGGCGCTGCAGTTGCTCTCCCTCGGCTGCAAAACCTAGGGGATGACGGGAAACGCCTGTCATGAGCCGGGGTGAGTACTCCTCATTCACCTTAACATCTTTGAGTCTCTTGCCAGGAGAGGGAGTGCCCAGCTGTTCCTGATCAGCAATAGCGGGGTGGTTCCTGCTTAAGGGTTCAACGTCGGAAGATTGCCTCAGCTTGGTAGTACCCAGCCACTCGTGTTTTCTCTAGGATCTCTAGGATTAATTTTGCTAGTAATGTTTTTGCTCTAGGTATTTTTAGACTTTAGGATTTTACTACCTCCAGGAGCTGACTCAGGATTTATTCTCCCCTTCAGGATTCCTGTGTTTGATCTCTGGCCACTGAGCTTTTGGATACTCACCTCAGGACTCCTGGGTTTGGAAACTCAGAACCTCCAGGACCCTTTCACCGCTCTCCATAACTACTCTCCCAACATTTCGGCTCAGTGTCATCCATCCACCAGGGCGCCCTGCTTATCATCACCTGTGCTCCCTCTCCTGCGCTCTCCCCGGCTCTCAACCTGCTCCCTCCTCCAGCCAGCAACTCTCACCTTACCGTAAGATCATTTGAACTAACCTCGGACGAAAATGGACCTCAGGAAATAAATACATGCTCACCAGTGTTCTCCCTCCTCCGGACGCAGAGCTCCTGTATCTGCACCAGCCACTGACACTTCAGTGCATCTTCAGTTTCTTATTTTGTAAATAAACTATTTTATTTTTTACCCCCATCCTTGGTCTGTGCTGTGTTCTGCATGTCTTGGGTTAGGCTCCTTCCCCCAAACATGACAACGCCTGGCTCTCACCTGATCTAAGATCTGATTGGTTCACATTTTGATCCAAACATCCGGTGGTAGAACATGAAATGTTAGTTGGTCGTATGTATTCTGTAAATCTTATGTTGATGATGACAACTATATAGGCCATAAAGAGAAATGTGTTTTGTGTTCTTTTGTCACGTTTCCTATGAGCACACTAAACCTACAGCTGATAACCTTTACTTATTATTACAGTCATGTCTTCATATACAATATATGATATCCACAAGCACGTGAGGATGTGCTTCAGCTGCTAACAGGCACCAGAAGTAAAATAAATAATTAAACAAGTGTGAACGCTAACGCGATATCTTCAGCCATCGTCACCCGCGAGCTATACATGCAGGAAATTGTGTCCAACTTAAACGCCGGCTTTCAGCCACTCCCCCTGCTGCTTCTGTCTGCTCTCGTCTGTTTTCCAGGCGAGGCGCAGCTCAACTCGAACACGGCCTATGTCACATTCATTGTCCAGTAGAATGCGGAGATCATTTGAAAGACAATGGTAGAACCCGCCCCACAACCGAGAGCCGTCAATGGAGCGTTGCCAGACTAAATAATACATTTATTTAGTCTGGCTTGCCAGGCTAGACCACCTCCTCTTCAGTCAACGGTCCTCTCGCCTCTCCTCAACTGATCTTCACCCAGTCCACCACCGCTAAGCCCTGGTCTATGACCGTAAGAACAATTCTACCCAGAAATAGATTATTCTCTTGGTTCTCTGGTTCCGGTACAAGTTTCACAATTGTTTAATCTTTCGTTTTAGATTCCAGTCCCGTCCTGTTCCTGTTTTTCTGGAGCAGCGCCTTTAGCTTTCCTTATCCTCAGTTAATACATCATTTTACTATTTTACTTATCTGTTTTTTCATGTGGTTCTTCATGTTCTGGGTTAAACATCTTGCCCACAACATGACACCATGGGTGAAAGCCCAGCCGCCAGGCACTCGCTAATGTGCCCCACCTCCAGGCCTGGCTCCAGACGGGGGCCCCGGTGACCCACGTCCGGGCGAGGGAACACGGTTTCCATTCATATAATTCATCATTTGTAATTAAAATGAATGAGTTTGATAAATGACCCACAATTGTATAGCACCTTTCAGAGTCAGAGGACTCCAAAGTGCTAAACACTACAGTGTATCATTTATGCATTCACGCTGAATGGAGAAGTGATACAGTGTACCGCCACAAGCTAAACACAAGGGCTGGTTTAGTGTGTCACATCAAAATTTTCTCCAGCCCCATCTGGCCTCCCTATGAAATCTTTTGGGCAGTGCCACTGAATGTAATATCCGACATTAACTAATGGATGCAAACTGTATTCAGATCAGTATGGATGCTTTGGTTTACCTGAAGCCTGAAGATACTGGAAGTTAGTGGAGATGCAGTGGAGGTCTTCTACAGGATCCCAGTGAGGAGGAGAGGGATGTGGGCAGCAGGAACTTTCTTGTTCCTCTTGGTGTAAAATGGTCACTGCCCGGGCAACCATTTCTTACCAACAGCAGACCTGCAGGGGTGGATTAAAAAAAAATCACATTCAGATGAGTTATCAAACCATTCTGGATGCAGTCCTAAAGTCTTCCAAAATTGTACTTAACATCAAAATTTGCTGAAACCAATATACTGACATTAATGCTTCTAAAATCAGCAGATTTTGTATAGAATGAAAATTATCAAAGCTGAATTTACGTTATTATTTACATACACCACACACAGTTACGCTACAATCACTGTCACGTGACTAAACAAATACACATCACCCCCGTCACCCTCTGAAACAAATAAACAAATGGAAAGGAGATGGAATAAATATTGGTTGTTAATATTGCCCCAGTTTTATTTATCGGACCAATGCCGACATGTTAAAAAATGACTAACATTGGCCGATATCGATGCCGATGCATCCCTAGTACATTTTTCTCAAAAAAGATTCAAAACTTTACATTTAAAAAACTATTATGGATTTAAATCTAGTAAAATAGTTCAAAACATGCAAGAAAATGTAAAAATATTAAAAAATATTTTTAAAATACACACAAAAACTTTTTCTACGCTTGGCTGCCTCTTATAGTGCTCAACCAGTGTTTATTTAATAAAGCGTAATATTGTTTAGGGATGGTAAAAAGTGCAGGGGACAAAAATTAGCTTAGGAAAAAGTGTGTGTGTGTGTGTGGGGGGGGGGGGGCATGTCCCCCCCTGTACTCCCCCAAAAAACCTACGTCTATGCGTGCAGGATAACAACACGAGAATACATGCACTTTCAGACCCAAAACCTCTGGATTTGCGTGTAAACACCGAATAAACAACAAATCGGTGGTTACATTAAAAAAAGACCAAAGAAAGAGGACACTGAAAAAGCAGTTTGAAATCTCCTTACCTCAAATCAGGAATAATCGAAACGACTGTGATCATTAAAAATAAGGAAAAACGAATTCTCAGTATAAATGTGTGTTAAAAACAGTCAATATGAACAGATCCGCTTGGTTTTTGTTGGAAATAGAGAAGAGCTCCTGTCGGCGCGTGAGAGGAGATAAAAGTGCGGCTCAGTCAGCAGCAGAGCTGAAGCGGACTGACAGAGAGCTTCCTGGGAATCCGCTTCCAAGAAAGGTTTTGCGTTTCAGCGCCAGCAGTGACAGAAAAGGTCGCAGCCAGCGGATCATGGTGATCCGACACACACACACGCACGCACGCACACACACACCTTCCTGCATGAATGTCAACATAATCCACTTAAGACTCATTTCCTGTCAGTATGGATCATGTGATTATTTGTGACCCCTGCTGCTGCCTGCATAACTATGGGATATCACTCACATACATTTAAATTATACAGGCAGGAATAAGGCAATGCACTCACACTCAGGAAAATCGAGAAAATAATTTTATTGTGGAAGCGTGTGAAACAACAGCCCTCATGCTGGTCAGGCCTGGATGAAAGCTGCAGGTGACGTTTGATTTGAATTTGGACCTGATTTAATACACACAAACATTCAGTTTTTTTTCTTTCTAATCTTCATTTAAACCTTAAAGGGGACATATTAGGCAAAAATCATATTTTACATCCTTTTGTGCTACCTCTATAAAATACCCTCACGTGAATAAAATCCAATCGTTTTCTGTCAGTGTTTGGTTTTTGGAATTAAATGTCTAAAATAAGCCATTTCAAAAAGTCCTCATTTGTGATGTCATAAATGGAGAAATTACACTAGAACTGCCTCTCATGTGCAAGAGAGAGCTGCCACTGGAGGAGCAGCGGCTCTACTCTGAGCTCCTCACGGATACTGGAGCTTCTCAGCTTATAGCAGCTTGAGTGGGGGTGAGTGGGTGTAACCAGATGCAGCTTATTTTCTTAAAGTAACTGAGCCCTGAAACGGCTCATTCTGGAAGGTACTGAAACTGTCAAGAACAAAACTACTGAAATCACTTCATGTGGGAGGGATTTAGACTGAGAAGGCACACCATGCTGGCAAATCAGTGCAATACTGCAGCCGCAATGTGTCTTATGAACATGCCGTGGCGGCATGTTGATGCAGGAATTTTTGCAGCATTTATGCTGCCACACTTGGTAGTAATATTACTGTTACACCAGACTTGTGGTGTGCATATTACGCCTTGGCACAACAGAGGGAGGTGTCATGATCATGTGTGGAATTACTGTCAAGCTACAGCTGGGAACTATATTTAAAGAGCAAGTCACCCCCTACCTGAGTCTTACTCCACTCCCACTTCCTGTTTGAAAAATGGAACAACTGCTGTTGCCTAGCAGACTGAGAGGGCGGAGCCGCTAACAAATACACACACACACAGGCTCACAACGGCCTTGTGACATCATAATGCACCAGCTAACATCATAGGGTACCTCTTAGCCAATAGAGATGGCAGATTTAAATTCAAATATAGTGCAGTTTTTTTTACCTGAAAAGGGTGCAACACTGACAGTTCTAGGCAGAACATTTAAATTTTAACTAAGATGACATTCACGAGGCTTGTTGAGAAACACACCTTTAGGAGTGACTTGTCAAAAATACCTAATGAGCGTGGCTTCAATTGCAATGAGTAGCAAGTTATGTTCCAGGTAAACATAAATCCATGTCAGCGCAGTGACCAGCCCATACCTGCTTTATACTGCTATCGCGTAACCTTCTGTATAAAGAACACAATTGTGCCAGATTACCGGCATGGTCTGACCACTTATAATCGACCTAAGTTTCCCTGATGCCGGCTCGGCATTCGGGCAAATTGGCAGTATTGTTTTCTAAAAGGGATTCTTCAGGAGCTTGTTTGGTATCAACCATAAAACCATTATAATTTCAAACAAATCATAATATGTCTCCTTTAAATTGCAGTTGGCATCATTTTGAATCATTCATGAAATCGATTTTTTGAAGATATTTTCTGCAGATTCAGAAATTTAGTGAAATAATAAATTGACAAATTAGGTTATTTTTACATTTTGAGGGGGATTTAAAAAAACATGTCATCTAAAAAAAGTTCCATTTGTTGAGTAGGTATTGAAGGACTGGCTATAAAATGATGTTTGTAATTTTAAGCTAAGATAAATGATCAAAGATTTGTCCCAAACTCCATAGAAGAATCATTAATCAGTCAGAAAAATCTAAATGTAAAGCTGCAAAGAAATTACAGTTTTATATATTTACAGCTTATAATTTGGTGAAAATATTTCCTAAATCTGGTGAAAACCCCCTGCATAAATCTAGAAATACAGTGTTTCTGGACAATGTAAGACCTCGTTCTGCAGGATTCACCACAGCATGCAGGCCTGGATGTCTGGGTCCAAATCTGTCGCCAACTAAAAATCTAATTTGCACGATGAAAAAGATAATTAGACAATAAGAATGGACACACACTTCTCTAACAAGGTCTAATCTTTCTACAGCTCCTAAATCATTAGAAAACAAAACAAAGGACAATTTTTGCAAAAGATAACGTTAAAAGTTAAAGGTCTTGCCTTTTTTAGGCAAGACCATTGAGATCATTTGTCAGTGTTAAAAAAAGTCACCAGTTGTGCATCATGCACGTGTGTTTTCACTGATTTCTCACGAGGACAAAAAGGAAACACACACGATGAGATACAGGATAGCTTTAAGATCCGGCTTCATGGCTGTTAAGCATAAACTCAGTGGTCATATGTTAGTCCTTATTTGGTATCTTTACACACACACACATCCTCACACACGTGGGTCTAAGTGTGGATTTGTAAAAACTTTGGCTGCACAGCATCGTTATGCATTGACTGAATCGCTTAGATCAGTAGACTTTAAGAAAACAGCAGACAGACAGGAAATAATGAATAGATTTGCTCCTTTTGCTATTCTTCCAACATGAATCGTACTTTCCCAAATAAACAACAATGGCTAGAGGCTAAACAGTCAAAAACAGATCAATTCTTGAACATCTTAAACATTTGTCTATGTAATATCTGTGTGTTGTCTAATTTTCTTCCCCATTCTCTCCAGGACCCTTGATGAGGCGCTTGTTTCCCCTCTTCCCTCCTGGTCCACGAGGCTTAGCGAAAGCCTGCTTTAAAGTGTGCTCCATCGGGTGTACCTCCTCATACAGGAAGTCTTCAGTCAGACCATCGCCACTGTCAATCTCCATCTACACACACACACACACACGCACACGCACACGCACACGCACACACACACACACACACACACACACACCCTCAGCTTAAGTTGATTTTGTTTCTCTGAGGGTAACTGGGGCTGACTGGTACCTTCTTGGTGACTTCCAGTTGGTAGTCTCTCTCCACCTCATCCAGTAACCTGTTCTTACAGCTGGAGTACAACATGCGCTCTTTGATACTGCAGGTGTATCCGGGCATCGAATATATGAACACTAGAATGGAGTTAAGCACACTTGTTTCGCGTCAGCATTCAAAATGACTGTCAGGATATCTGAACTTTACTACACAGTTTGAAGGGAAATCCTTTGATCCTAAAATCAACCTGTAAGTAAACATTTCTTACATAAACTACGTACAGATAATTAACTGTCTGTAATTATCTTTTATTAGAAAACATATCTTTTGTGTCATTTGATTGCCTAAGAAACACAATTGATTATAGTCTTTTAAATGTATTTCTGTTGAGAAGTGAAGACTAGTCAGTATCTTACCTGCAGTAGACAGCAATCAAAGTGCTTAGGGTTTGGGGAATTAGAAATATGTTCATGTGGTAGTGAAGCTAATGACTGATCAGGACACTTTTGTAGACAACTGCTACATTCCACTGTAGAAGTTCTAGGACATTTCTGGGAGGGGGAAGGTGACCAGGAAAATTGGCTGGCTTGGTCCTCTCAACCATTGTGTCTCCATACAAAATCAGCCCTTTCAGGGTTTTGCTAAGCCCTCAGTAAATTGCGACTGTTTTGGAAGTAACGTCAGTGATCAGCATCAAAAAGTATCCCCGGACCTTAGTAACATTAAGTTTTATTCTGTCAAATACGCTCCATTCAGGGGATGTGGAGAGCAACTGTGTGACACAAAAAGTAGCATTCAATTACTAGAAGAAACAGTTTTTTACAGTGCTCTGTAGGAGACCATAAATCTGCATAAATGACAGTGTGGAGTGTTTAGAAACAGTGATTTCAAATCAGTGCCAACATCACTGTTTTACTTTTTCCTCCACTCCTCTTCACCAGAGACCAATCGACTGTATTGCTCAGGAGAAATTCTGACCCATTCTTATACACAAATAGTCTTTAAAACCAGAATGTTTCTTGGGCCTCATTATGAACTCTGACCTTCAGTCTGGTCCATTCAAGCAACTTGATTGTCTTTCTCTGAAACCAATTCATCGTTTCCTAGGCCTTGTGTTTGAGATCATTGTCTTGCTGAAACGTTCACCCTCTTTTTCAGCTTTTGGGTAGATGGCAGCAGATTTCTATCCAGAATGTCTCTTTACATTTCTCCGTTCATCCTACCTTCAATCTGCCTGCACCTTTGCTGAAAAGCAGCCCCACACCATGATACTTTCACCCACAGCCTTAACTGTTGGTATGGTGTTGTTGGGGTGGTGGGCAGTGCCATTTCTTCTCCAAACATGGTGTGTAGAATGACGGCCAGAAGTTCAGTTTTGGTTTCATACTATAGTCTCTCAGTCGTCCATAGGTTCTCTAAAAACTGTTTCACTAACTTTAACTGAGCCTCAACATGCATTTTGTTCAGCAAAGGAGTCTTGCATGGTAAATGGTAAATGACCTGTATTTGATATAGCACCTTCTAGAGTCCTGGAACCCCCCAAGGCACTTTACAACACAACCAGTCATTCACCCATTCACGCACCCATTCACACACTGGTGGGGATGAGCTACGATGTAGCCACAGCTGCCCTGGGGTGCACTGACAGAGGCGAGGCTGCCGAGCACTGGCGCCACCGGTCCCTCCGACCACCACCAGCAGGCAACGTGGGTTAAGTGTCTTGCCCAAGGACACAACGACAGTGACAGACTGAGCGGGGCTCGAACCTGCAACCTTCCGATTACGAGGTGAACACTTAACTCCTGTGCCACCGTCGCCCGTGCATTGATGCCATGGTGATTTGGTGCTTAGTTTTCTTTGAAACAACAGTACCTGGTGAAGCAAGAGCTGTTTCTCAATGCCAAGGAACCTTGCTTTGATGTCTTGGCCCCGCCCCGGTTGCCTAGGAGATACGTCATCAGTAGCCCCCAAGACGTGTTCCAACGTTCCTGTTCTACCGAGGTGTGTGTTTTTTTCCATTTGTTAGCCATTTAGCTAGCTGAGCAAGGATACACGGGAGGTGTCTTGTAGCCTAGCCTTGGTCAAAAATTACCCACAACACACCGCAGTATTTTCAAAAGGATGGCGGATCAAAAGCCGGCAGCTACTTCGGGGACAATTTTCAAGTTTAAAAGTAAGTCAGCTAATTTAAAATGGGTTTTTTTTAGATCCAAAGAAGTTATCTATTATTGATTAGTTGCTTAGTAGTTGCAGTTACAGTGGCTAGCAGGTAGTAACTCACTTATATATTTAATTTAATAAACATATACACAATTTAAAAAGTAAAAGGCTCGTTATGTATTTATATTGAAACTAATAAGTATAAAATATAATGTTATCTCCCGTGTCACGTGACGTTACGTGACCGCCGTGGTCACGTGATGCAAGTCTGTTCCATTTAACCACTTTCTCTGACCAAGGAAGGACAGTGTCCTCGTAAGCAAGGCGCCTGGCCTCGCAAGACATCGCCTCGTAAGGCCAGGTGCCTCGACATTGAGAAACACCCAAGGTCTTCCTTAAGTTCTGCCTGAGTAGTTCTTGACTCTTGGAGAACTCCTGATTATTCTTTACACTCCTCGAATAGGAATCTTACATGGAGCATCTGATCATGGCCGGTTTATGGTGAACTGATGCAGTTTCCATTTCCGGATAATAGCCCCCACAGTGCTCACAGGAACATTCAAAATTCTGGAAATGTGCCTACAACCATCCCCATCAGAATGGTTCTCTACGATAAGATTATGAAGATCTTGGGAGAGTTCTTTGCATTTACCCATCATGAAGTCTTTCCTGTGGGCATCTTGAGTAATCATCTACGTGGAACTGCATATTTATGACTTGACAAAAGTACAAATGTACTCTGAGCTGAATTGCTCCCTGATTCTCCACACTGTGATCACTCTTGACTGCTTTCTACTGCAGGTAAGATACTGACTACTGACACCCAGTCAACAGAACCAAACTTCCCAAGACCCCTCAACATAGTTGAGAGGAAGTAGAGAGCTGAGTAATAACTCAGCTGTAGGAGCGCCACTATGACAAATCCGTTTGTATCACAGTCATCTCATTCATTGTAAATGTGCAAAAAAACACCAAAATGTAAAGCTTTGAGGTTGGGACCTTGACAAGAACACAACGTCTTAGGAAACAGTAACATCCTGATAAAGGTTCCATGAAAAAGGTTGTAACATTTTTTTAAAGGTGAAACAAAAAAGAGAGAGAGATGAAGGCGATAAGGATCAGTAGATCAATGCTCTCACGTTTACTGAGATGCAGGGTTAGGGTTATAAGTATATTTGTATACTTTGAAACATAAATTCACAAATAGAAAGGAAATTTTTGAACATTTTAAACAAAATAAAAAACGCATTACAACATAGAACATGCTATAGGGAGCCTAAGTCTCCTCCCCTTACGGTCGGCTCATGGGTTTTTGGAACAAAAAAACTTGATGTGAGCGAATGGAGTTATTTTCTAATCTGCTTTGCCCTGGATCACACATATGTGTAATTATGAGTTTCAACCAGGTCTGTCACGTGTGTTGAGATTCATTAGCTTGTAAAAATTCATAATTAAAAAGACAACTCAGATGTCGCATTTATGATGTCATAGTCTTCTCCAGCGTGGCTGTTACTTACCACATGGACAGTTTTATAGTGCTTTCTCCACGTCTGTCATCCTGGAAGAAGGATGTGAATCTCGCTAAACTCATTTAGCTAAAGCCATTTTTCTTCTCCTTGTTCTTTGTGTCTGATTCGATGACATCAATTAAGTGAGACACACATTTGTTGTCCATTACAACTATTCACACAAAACCTAAAATAACTGTTGCTGCCTGTTGAAAATAACCGGTGTCGTGGCATCAAAATGTGTCTTTAAAGTTCACGGACATCACGAAATCCATGGAACATATCAAACGGGATCAGAAAATAACTTATCAGCTCATAGGCTCTCATTGATTTTTTTTGGCAATTGGGGACCCATGGTCTGGAGGTAGCTGAGCTTGAGCTCCCTATAGAGAATTAATTCAATTTTAAGCAGCTGCAACACATTTACAGAAAATATAAAGTGTGAGGAGCTGACAGCATACTGACCTAACGCCTCATCCAGCTGGCCCTGGTGGGAATGTTTGAAGACAAAGAAGTGATATCTGGGGGAATCCGTAGGAATCCTGAAGGGAAGCTCGTGGGTTTCTGTTGGTTTGGTGTGAACCAGTTCGATTGTTTCCTTATCTACATCCAACTTCTGCATGCACGCACGCACGCACGCACGCACACACACACACACACACACACACACACAGACTTTAGGCACTATACAGTTAACATTACTGTATTGTTCCAACATTTCCCACACAGGGTTTTCCATCAGGTCGTACCAGCTGGATGTAGTTGATGCGTTTCTGCTTGAGCTGTTGAAGAGCTCGTTTGGCATCTTCTTGTAAAGGAAATGCAAGACCCTGACGAGTTTGTGCTCGCTTGTCTAAGCCAAACTCCATTGTGACCTGAACACACACACACACACACATCCAAAAGTCTGAAATCATGTCTATTATCATCAGAGGTGAGCAGAAACTTGATTAAACGAACCCTTGCTCGTGCTGTAGGAGTACTGAGTCGTCTCCGCTCATCCTGCAGACAGAGCAGACAGGTTTTTCACGTTTATTTTTCATTTCTGATTCACAAAAATGCAAGAATTCTCATATCAGAAAGGAAATAAACATACCCAGACAACTTTTTCCTGCAGGAACAAAAATTGTGAGTTAGGCATCTGTCGAATTTTATAACGTGATCAGAGAACGCATATGGTTCACTGTGTACCTCTGTGACTTTAATACGGTGTAGCTCCTGCTCGGCTGTTGTGAGAGGAGCTGGAGACGAGCAGGAGGATTTGTGCCGCAGGTATCCCTGAAGGCACAGGTCATCCTGCAAACAGACGCCAGCAGGCTGCTGTTTCACAACAAGCAGCTCTGATCAGAAACTATCGCGGAGGGATTTGTTCACAAACCTCAAGCGTGCCAAACATTTCATCTTTGATGTGACCTCCTCCGAACTCTTTCTTCAGCGTGGCACGGGTGGCAGCGTACATCATCTTCTGCCTCACCTACACAACACCAGGACACACAGGAGGACACTGTTACAACATACTGAACGTTTTCTTCTTTGGTTTTATAGTTGCATTCTGTTTGTTCATGTTAGCAAAGAAAATTGTTTAAATCTTCAGAACGCTGCTGAAGTTTTACATAATTTAGATACTTTTGTAAAATTTAATGCAAGTGGAGCAATACTGTTGATTTTTGGTTTTATCTCAAGGTGTGTTTCTGTGTGAAAGTTGAGAATATTTAACATCTTTCCTGGTGTAGATACTGTCCTGGTCAGCCTTTAATAGGAGAATTAGCTTTGTACTCATGAGCTAATGGCTAGTCAGAGACATACAACAAAGAGGATTGTTGGTGCTCTAAAGCTGCTCCAATCTCCAAAATGCATGCACTTCGTGCAAAAGTAGTTGAATTAATTTTTACACAGTACACAAAATTATGTTACACAGCAACATCCACAAAAGATAAAATACTGAGCAAAGAGACTAGAGCTGTTTAAAGATTAGCTTTTTGCTCATCAACCCTGAGGCTTTTCTAGAAGCTTTCTGGAACAGTTAAGACACCAATTATTTATAGAAGAAACTCTAGCCTAGAAATCTATTAGCTTTCCCCAAACACCCTTGACACTGGCTTTTGGATTTTATTTTATTTTTATTTAGATTTTATTCACAGCCTTTAATTGTTTTTCTTGTATTTATCTACTACTATTTTGATTCTCTTGTATCTACTATGATATTTTTATGCTTGTTTTTATGTGCTGTTCAGCACCTTGGGCCTCCGCTAAGGTGGTAGAAGGTGCTATATAAATAAAAATCTGAATCACAGCGCTCTACATTTGTTGGGCGGGCTTCATGGGGAAAAACAACAAAGACGGCTTTGGCTGCGGAACGCAGCTCGTTTGAAACGGCTCTGGGATCAACTTTGGATGATATACACTTGGGCTTTTCTTTGAGACATGAGGAGATATATAGGTATTTACAGTTAAAGACCCATTTTGTTCTCCGCATTTGACCCATCCCCTGGGGGAGCGGTGAGCTGCAGATACAGCCACACTCGGGAACCATTTGGTGGTTTAACCCCCCAATCCAACCCCTTAATTTTGAGTGTCAAGCAGGGAGGCATTGGGTCCCATTTTATCAAGTCTTTGGTATGACCCGACCAGGTATTGAACTCTGATATCCCAGTCTCAGGGCGGACACTCTACCACTAGGCCACTGACCTGGTAAGGCCTATATTTTCAAAAGGGTGTATTTGCTTCTTCTTCAACAGTGTATGGTGGACTGCCTTGACTGACATCCATAGTGGTGAGTTGTTAGTTGGTCTGACTGGTTGCGAGGCTACAGAAACATGAAGGGCTTTACACTGAATAAAGAACTAGTCAGAGTTTGGTTTGTTGCATCTGTTTTTTTGTGTATTTTCTAATGTTGTGTTAGAAAATGCCTTTGGGTGTGTTTCTGGCCTCTAGAAGGTGCAATAAATACCATTCACTAAAAAGTTGAGAAACTTATCAAATACAGAAAATTTTAATGAGTTGCACTTTGATTTTTAAGCTCCTTACAGAGCTGTTTGTTGCACTGTATGCACAGAATGTTTGATTTCTTCCCTAAAATCAAGAAATAGTAGAAATTTATAGTGACAGATGGAACTACATCTCTTTTCTGTCAGACAAATAAAAACTGAACTTTATCCAGTGCCTTTTTGTTTTGCTCTGTTGCACTTTTGCTCAAAAAAGCTTGTTTGGGAATTCATAAATGATTACAGATGTCAAATTTGTATAAAATTGGGAATCTAATATAACTAATGAGCTCAAAGGTCAGACAGAAAAAAGCCCTGTCATTTGGTTTGGGGATGCCTAATGTTTCACTAAAATCAATCATTTTCACAAGTGTTTAAAACAAAATCAACTTTAAGTGCAGCTGTTACTGACCTTCTCTGAGGCCTAGTGGTTGAGTGTTCGCCCTGGGACTGGGAGATTAGGGTTCTCAAATCCTGGTCGGGTCATACCAAAGACTCTAAAAATGGGACCCAATGCCTCCCTGCTTGACACTCAGCTTTAAGGGGTTGGATTGGAGGGTTAAACCACCAAATAGTTCCCGAGCACAGCCACAGCGCACTGCTCCCCACAGGGATGGGTCAAATGCAGAGATGAATTTCACCAATGTGTGATGATAACTAATGGGACTTTCACTTTATTTCATTATTAAAGAATTTAAAAAGGTTCATTGAGGTATTATCAAATGTTTTTTTTTGCTTGCAAAACAGTCACAAATAATCCTTTCAACAAATTTTAAAGAAATTGTAATTAAATGTAAAGTAGCCTCCAAAACCAATATTAATACTACTACTACTTCTTCTACTACTACTACTACTACTACTACTACTACTACTACTACTACTACTAATAATAATAATAATAATAATAATAATAATAATAGCATTTTTAAAAACCTGAGGTTGTTTAATTTAAACATTATATTGAAAAAGCTGGCTGATTAGAGATGATCAGACATACTGGTGATTGGTCAGGTGACCAGGAAATGAATATCCACTCATATCCCTGTGCATTCTGGGAATCCAGGCGATAGAGGATGTAGCAGGGCTCCTCAGGTGTGAGAAGCGGAAGCAGGAAATGATCGTAATCCCTGTCCCAGGTCTGAACTGGCTCTTTGGATGAATCTAACACCAACTCTTCTGCCGAAAAAAAAGTGCATTAGTGAAAAAGGCCTCACTTCTACAACAAGTGTTATATTTACCATCTCTGATGATAATCTTCATCACTCTGAAAAAGCCTCCTCTCGCACGGGCCAGGAGCTCCTTCAGCTCGGATGTTGCTGCAGAAACCAGATAGGAGTAAGACTGACTCAAAACTGGGGGTTGGCTGGTCAAAGTGAGTCAGACCGAGTTTGGTAAGTAAGAACCCACGACTCCACTATGAGCGAAAATTTGATCCGCAGCCAGATATTTACACCATCACCTAAACGACCTCGGAGTGGACTCAAAAAACAACAAACTACTGACGGGTTTCATTTTGTGGGATGGAATTATTTGAAAAATTCATTAGAAAAATAAGTTTTATGAGAGAAAACCATTTATTTGTTGTACTTCGTCCTTTTGTCTCACCGTGGTTACCAAACCCAGCAGACTCATAAATGATGTAAGACCAGGTGAGAAAGAGGAACGCTTCCATCAACCGGACCTCCAACACTCCACTTGCTAAATGCTAGAACACACACACACACTGAGAGGGGTTAATGATAATGAATGACATAATAAAGCATTTGTTTATTTAAACTTTTAGAAACAGTCAAGAAACTTTTGTAGTCCACTCAAACACAACAGTGCATTTTCTTTAATGACCACTCCTGAGTTTCTCTCATTTTTTTAAATCACAAAATATCTGCCAAAAAATCAAGGGAAAGTAGAAGAAAAACAATATCTATAAAAGCATTGATTTTCCAGTAAAGTTGCTGCAGGCTTTAGTTTAAACGAAGCCTTACCGTTAATTCCAGTTTGGTGTGACATCTTTTGGCAGTCAGTATACACGACCTCTCGTCCCTCTTGTGCAACAAAGACCACGTCCAGGTCCGTCTCAGCAGGTAAGCCGCCTCTCCTCTGATGGCAGACGGACTGACCCACACGCACAAGTGACATAAATGCCTGGAGGATGACTCGGGAGCTTCCGAACACAATCTGCAGAAGCGCGGCTGATGAGTAATAACGTGCCTGTCAATGGATACGCCACCCCAACAACTGACCTAAAACGGTTTGTGTATCAGTGACTGCAACTTTGTCTCTGAGAGGAGGAGGGGGGTGGTGGTGGGGGTGTCCTGTACTGTACCAAGCTTTTGTGCACAAGTCCGTGCAGGGATCTTCAGATGATGACACGGGCGATCAGTGCGGGGTTTCCAGAGGCTGTCGCTGTGCCAAACGTAACGACATTTTATCACTCCTTCACATAGAACGGCCTATCGACTCGCGGCAGACGAAACTCTGTGATCTCAAATTCCTGCAGCCACCTGCTCACAGAAATGTGACACCAAAAGAAGAATCCGACCGCTACGTTTCAATGCTGTTTCCCTCTTCCCAGGTACCCGCGCCCAAATGGTTTTAGTGGATTTGATCAGTGACAGAAAAAGCGTTTAAGACAGGCAGCTTGTACAAGAAACACCAATCGGTCCTTGTTTTTGTGAATAGCTCCATAAGTGGACTCTAAAAGTCCAAACAGATGACTATCAGCTTATCAAAAAAAAAGTTGGTAAAAAGATTTGTCCTTCCACACATGGCTTTATAAAACACACACACACATAGATGTGGGTGAGAGAAAGATCAGTGAGTACCAGCGAGGTTACCTGTGATGGGATCATCCATTATTCACTCAGTGGTGAGTACACTACCCAAGCATCTATACATTATTCAACATGGCTCCCACCCCTCTCCTCTGCTCATGAAAGACACTTTTATACACAAACATCAACACAATAAAGATTCCTGCGAGTGTCTGTTTATACCTCTTAGAGCAGAGTTCTAAGAGGTAAAATTAAAGATTTTGTATCGAATAGGGGTGTGTATCAGCAAGAATCTGGCAACATAGCAGCACACATACTGTAACTTCAGAGAATATGGACTTTTTCTAATCCCTAAAGTCAGAACTACTGATAAAAGTTTTTGTGTTTCAGTATGCAGCATGAAGTTATGAAACAGTCTGGAAAGACACCACAAGCAATGCCAAAACATTTACTAATTTAAGCAGTTATATAAACATAAGGTCACAATATTTAGAGGAAGGGTCCTAAATGCACACCAGTAGTTTGTTAATGGACTTCTGATGTGGTCATTCTTCACTGTTGTTTATTTACTTAATAAATGGTAAATGGCCTGTATTTTATATAGCGCCTTCTAGAGTCCTGGAACCCCTCATGGCGCTTTATAATACAGTCATTCACCCATTCACGCACACATTCACACACTGGTGGTGAGGATGAGCTACAATGTAGCCACAGCTGCCCTGGGGCGCACTGACAGAGGTGATGCTGCCAAGCACAGGCACCACCGGTCCCTCCGACCATCACCAGCAGGCAAGGGGGGTTAAGTGTCTTGCCCAAGGACACAAAGACAGCGACAGACTGAGCGGAGCTCGAACCTGCAACCTTCCGATTACGGGGCGAGCACTTAACTCCTGTGCCACCATCGCCAACAAATACTGGGCGATGGTGACACAGGATGGTGGCAAATAATACTTTATCACTGTTGTTGATATTGTCGTTGTTGGTATTGCAAGTTATACCTAATAGTTTTACCAAATCGGTTAGACTCCTGTGGGTGTAAGAAGACATTATTTTGTTTGAGATTGCCCTGTTCTGTCAATGATAAAAGGTTTTGAATGGCAGGTTAGAGATTATTTAGCACTTTTGAGGAACTGAATAAAGCATTCCAGTCATGGATGTATCCTTGATTGCCATATATATAAAAGAAACACTAGTTATCTACTTATGTATAATATTGTTGCACAAAATATGCTTCTTTGTCCCATTTATGAGACTTATTCATATGCATAATAAAAACATAAAAATCCATCAACAAAGAACTTGGACAATCGCCAGTGGCCAACAAACTTGTCCAACCTTACCATTTTTATATGTATAGCCAAGAAATGTTGAATAATTCAATAAGATTGAGAATAAAAAAACAAAACCTTAATTAATAATAATGTTTTAATTTTAATATTAAAATGACTCAAATAAAGGAATGATGGAATGTAAGATTGACAAAAAGAAAAACAACTGTCTTTTTAAAATAGAACAATTTAATATCAGTTATTTAAACAATTTAAACAACACAAAAACGTAAATGTACGGGTTAGAAATGTTATTTCGGTGTACCTGAACAACAATAAAAAACATTTTATAAAATGTGTTTTTTGTGTGTGTGCCAACACTGCATCAAAACCATTCAGCAGTTTAGGAATACTGTTAGGAAAAACATTTAATAAAACACGACTGTTCTTAGAAACAGTTTTGGAAACAGTAACAAGCTTCCTATTGTCTAAATAAAAATAAAGAATTTAACAGAAAAGTATTCAGCCTTTTAAAAGAGATGGAGAGGACCTTTAGTTCCACTATTTGTCATCAGAACACGGGAGCCAAAACATCTGTTGGGAAAACAATAAAATATTAAAATCCAAACATTTCTAGTAAGAATGCAGTGATAAATGTAGAAAATAAGAGTCGGCAAAATATTCCAAGTTCTGGTTGTAACTCAGTGCATTTACAAACGCATCAGAAAACGGAACCATTGCCCTAAACAGACTGACGTAATTTTTTTTAATGCATGTAAACGCTTTAGTCTTGCCGAAGGCGAACTGGTTCTAATCGTGCGGAAGCACCCAGATAATGGGGTAGGAACTCGATTTCATCTGCATGTAAGCAGCTCAGTCGAGCTGACACCGGTTACTTCTGGAAGTGATGCGACCACGGAAGCAGTCTTCTGATAATTATCATTGCCACAAAATAACACATGTAACACCATCAAATGGTACAGTGCGTACCACATGAGCTGTGCTGCAGCGTTGTTGTCCATTCTTTCAACCAATGTGCAAATCCTGTTTAAACTTTGGCAGCTTCACTCCCACCAGTGTTTGTTAACTCTTTGTGTTGCTATAAGCTAAGCTGGAGAATGCCAACATGAAAGAGCACATCGCCACCTACCTTATGGGAGTGGGACAAACTTATTTGAGAGTTCGGTTTTCTAACCTACATGTAAACAGAATAGGATAAAGAGCTTATTACCTTAAATCCACCTGAATCGAATTAGACATGCTTGTAAACGCACTGATTGACTCTCGACTTCCAACACAAAGGGTTTAGTTCAATACTGACTGACTTATGGCCATCTGTGTGTTTACTAATGTTAACGAGCTGTGACGGCCATCTTGAATGAATATGTCTCAAAAGGTTAAAGCTGAAACAGCAAACCTGCAAACACGCTTCACTTCTGAACGCAAACAGGCCATGGAACACTCACCCCTCCCCTCGGGTATCTTCCCTTGGGACTCAGGTAGTTTGTCCTAAAGTTGAAGTGGTAGCAGCTGGCTGTTTCTTCTTCTCTGATATTATTGAGCGGAGAATCTCTCACACCAGTGGTGTTCTGTTGCTAAATGTGTGTGTGTGTAATGAGTGGAGGACCAGGGAAGTGTGGCGGTTCAGTGAGACTGGCAATCGGATGGCCCGATAGTTGCTTTCGGTCCGAAATGTGTTATTGGTGGAAGTTTTTTGATAAATCCGAGAAAATCACTTCATTACCATACCATACCAATTTATTTATAAAGCACCATTTCAAAATAGCATGGCAGTTAACCAAAGTGCTGTACATAAAAGAGCCAAATGCTTGAACAAATCAACAAAACACAATGAAAGCATGAAAATCAGGTAAAATACATTAACAAATAGCATAAATAATCAAGGATGGAAAATTCCTACTAAAAACAATAGAATAAGAGAACAGCACTACCAAAAATTTAAATAATGCGACGAATGATAAAAACCATTTGAAATGGCACAAATAAAACCAAAAAAGCTACAAGGTGATGCGAGGTGTTAAAAGTGAGCTACTGAATCATAAAAACTAAATTAAGAAAAATAAACCCGGTGCTGGATTTTCATTTAAAGTGTCACGGAGGGATGGCAATAGTGAAAGTGTGTTTTAAGGGCCGACTTGGATCTGCTGGCAGAGGGAGCCAAACGCACATTGAGGGGCAGAGTGTTCCAGAGTTTGGGGGCTGCATGAGAGAAGGCACGCTCCCCTCGGGATTTGTACCGAACCATCGGAACATCAAGAAGCAGATGATCTGCTGAACTAAGGGCATGAGTGGGAACATATGGAGTAAGCAGGTCCATCAGATAGGATGGGGATGGGCAATACAAAGCCTTGTATACATATAACAAGACGTTGAAATGAATCCTAAATTTGACTGGGAGCCAGTGTAAATCTGTGAGAATAGGTGTGATGTAAATTTGTATTTATTTATGTATCATTTGTATTAATTTTTTAAATCTCCACAATGTATTTATAGGCAGCTATACTATGTTGGAATGTTGTTAAGAGGCATGAAACAATGTTTTAAACTAACTTGTGTAGCGTGATGAATTGTCCATTTCTGACCTAAAAGGCCCTGCTCTATTTGCTCTGCCCAAGCAAAACCATAAGTTTCTGACACAAGCCTAATCTACAAGATATGGGCCAAGGACACTCGTGCTCAGTGCTCGTATCTAAACTGTTGCCTCTCCGGACAGCACAAGAAAGACGACAGAAGACGGAGAACTCTTTCTCTTTAAATAATAATCAAATAATGTTGTTAGTCCAAATAATCACGTGAAGCTCACTGTTCAATCAATCTGTGAAATATGAATATTAATTACTTGATATTATAATCCCATGATAGTATTTTAAGAAGTAATATAACTTTAAATATTTACACTAGACTGATCACATGACACATTTCCTTTTTCTGATCCAATCAGAACCTTCCAGATCTGACGCGAGACGTGGTTTTGTTGGTGCTTGTATAATCCCCTTTTGTTGTCAAATTCTGATTTGACAGTAAATCAAAACATCCAAATTATAAAACTATGCCCCACGTCATCTTAACTTCAGTTCCATGCCGTCTAGAGAAGTTATCGGAGTGGTCAATTCGTAAATTTCCTCTTAAAACCAAAAGAACCTAACGACAAGCTGGATTAAATCTGTTGCATGTTCCACCTGCTGCAACGGTTCCTTCAGAATAAAAGCTGAACCATCACGACCCCTTCAGGTTCTCGCTGATGCCAATAAACTGTCGTGACCTGGGTGTAACTCAAGACTGGAAGGGTCGGCAACCGCTGCATATCTACAGGCGTCGGTTCCAAGAGGGTCCTGTCACATTGGGTGAAGCTAACCTCTCCATGAGTTTTCCTGTTTGCAGGTGGGCGCACCCGGAGAGCAGCCGCTGCGAATTCTCTCATCAGCTCGCAGGGGACTTAAGGAGCGGTGTGACAACTAACCAGTGCCGGATGATTACTCACATTGGGTAGTATACACCAGCTCTAGACCTGTTTCTAGTTGTTTTGCATCCTGTTCTGTCTGTTAAAGCCTCGTCATCACCTGTCCCGTTCCTCCGTTCTCCCGCCCAGGTACTCTCATCATCTGCCTATTGCCAGCTCGTCAACCTGCACTCTCTCCTGTTACAACAAGGAGCCTCCGGATCTCCTGTCCACCCGCCACACCGCTTCTCCCTTTGGCCGTCTGCTCTCCTGCGCTCACCTGCCCGCTCCTGGAACTGGTGCTCAGCTCCCAGCCTCCTCCAACAGCTTCCACTCAGACCTGACACGCCCTCCTCTCAGCGCTCCACTACCTTACTGGAATCCGTAAGCCTCCATTTTAATCACACCTTCCCCGTCTGCTTTACATTACTCATTCTTGTTCTCTGTCTCAGAACGCTGCCAGAGCCGCCCTCCTCCGACGTCTCCCCAGCCTCGTCAAACTCAATAAATAATATATTATTTTACTCACTTTGTCTCTTCGTGATTCTGCATGTCGTGGGTCAAAAGGCTCGATTCTAACATGACAGGTCCAAGCTGGACCCCCGACATTCCGGATCTAAACGGGGACTCCCGTTGGGGTACGTAGACTGACAGATGGCATCACAATGTGTATTATAACCTCCAAACCAAAGCTTGGAGCGAAACACCCTTTCACTCCCACTCGGAACTAATAGTCTCTCCGGATTTGCTGGTTCCGAACATATTTCACACACACACACACACCATCCTCAGTCTTACTCCACCTTAGTTACATTATACACATAGTGTTTAAAGTTAGTCTTGTTTAAATTGTTTAGAAATAAATCTTCTTGAACTTTAAAACTTGACTCTCTCTCTTGTCTCTGGGTTAATATGAAGTGTTATCTAATACCTGCAATAAAAAGTTCCGATCTTCAGGTTAAAGTAATATTCAAAGATCCACTAAATTGATTTCATATTTCCTATGGAATCTCACATTTTATGGGTCATTACTTAAGATGTAACTAACAAATTGTTACACTTGTTTTCCACATTTGCTATTGCAGCTTTAATCAGTTTCAGGTGAACATCAAACGAAGACTCTTTTTTTAAATGGAAATCTACCCTGAGGTACATGAAATTATTTGCAGATTTTGCAGCTGTGCTGACTTCTAATTCAAACAAACACCCACCACCCTCATGCACCCTTCTTGTTCTCACCATGTTGGTAGAGGCGCTGGCAAAAGTCATGTACAGAGGGTTAAACTGCAGAGCGTTGATGGGTCCAGGATGTTTGCTATCCAACACGGCCACCTTCATGCCACTCTCAATGCTCCAGACGTGAACCCTCCCGTCCTCTGAACCTGCACGACAAAGATTCTCAGCACGGTCTCTATCCAACATGAAGAAAGAGAAATAAAAATGTTAACGTAGAGCAGCTTACCGATCATAACAAACTTAGAGTCTGGGGTGAAGCAGGCCTCCAGGGAGATGCCTTTACTGTTGTTGTAGCCCTGAAATAGAAAAAACATTTGATTGTTCAGAGTGACCAGCAAACACGTCATTCTGCAGCTTTTAATGTCTTACTGAAAAAGTGTGCAGGACAGATCCATTGAAAGCATTCAGAATGCGAATAGCTCCTCCATTTGTACAAATGAGGATGTGCTTTCCATCGTTGCTGAATTTTAGTCCAGTCCAGTCACAGACACGGTTAAACCTGGTCTCAAAGCAGGCAAATGGATCCTTGCACAAGAACATTTCAGATTTTAATATTAGTACTAGTAGCAGCTGTTTTATTTGAAGGATTTGAATGTCCAACACAATCCTCTTTGGGTTGATCTGTACCTTATCAAATGCACGGAAGTCGTAGAGTTTAATGGCGTGAGATTCCACTCCTGCAGCAAATATTATTCCCTCTGGGTCAAAGGAACAAATGGGTTTCCCCAGAGGGTTGGTCAAACCCTGAAAAACAAACAAGCTATAAGTGAGAGGAAGAAAGGATTACATTAGATGAGAGTCCAGATCCTTTATTAGTAGATCGGGTTTTAACTAACAGACCAAAGTAATCCCAAGCACAAGAAGTAGAATGAGCTGTATCTTACCTGGCAGTCGGCCAAGCGCAGGTCCCAGATACGGATCGTCTTGTCTAACGAGCTGGAGATGAAGATTTCATTTTCTGGGGACATGGAGAGCGCAGTGACTCTAATAACACAACAAAGGTTCAGTTTGCTGGTGAAGGTTCTCAAAGAGATTCGAATGAAGGCAACTGGACTTCTTTGGTTTCTTGAAGACGTTTTGCTTCTCATCTGAGGGGCTTGTCAATTCTGACTAGAGTACAGGAGGGTCAAGCTTATAAACTGTAGCTGTCTATTGTTGTTTAAAGAGACAATGTGTGGATTTTACCGTTATTTCTCGAAATATCCACCAAAAGGTTGTTGAAAATGAATAAAATTATGTCTGTTGAAAATTTTGCCGGCTTCGTACCATACAATCATAAAAATCGGGTCTAAAAGACATAGCGTCTTTGGGGGACGACATATTAGATGTCATGTTTCCTTCTGGCCGGCTTGGAGTCCTGCGCCTGTTGACGACATCACACTAGATGATGGATTCACGACTTACAGAAATTACATTACCACTTTCAAAAACATTTAGGCAGTAAGAAACACAAACGTATTTACAAAACTGCTTAACTCTTTCCAAAACCTATGTAAAAGAACAAAATTGAGAAAGATATACAATATATTTTGGCTGAGCGGTATTGCTATAGTACGATGAGGTCATTGGCAGGTGCAGGACCCCGAGCAGATCCGGAAAGTACTGTGCCAGAAAACAACACTCGGCATTGCATTGGCTCAATGGAATTAACTGAAGGACCATCAAAGTCTGAGGAGTAACTCCGAGGTTGCATGCTTTCCACAGGTAACATTTACCGTAAAAAAATTTTTAAGCTAGCGACAGTCATGGCAATATGGTGTAAAACTACCCTGAAATGTATGTACTGCCCCTTGTTGTCAGGAAACTACACACTGCCACTTTAACAAGCTGAAACTACCTATGAATACCCCTCTTCCCTACCACCTGGGCAATTGTTAATGTCATTAGGCTCTATAGTGTGGGAATGGTTGTTTTGAAAAGTTCAGTTTATAAATCAAGAGTGGGCTTTTGGTTAAGATAAGACAACATATAACTATCTATATTTAGAAACACAAACCACTACACTAAATGTAATTTACAGAAAAGCTGGGAAGTTTTATGAAAACATAATTGTATTATTAGTTTGTTCCATTAAATATTAACTTAATACATATTGGGGGTAAGGAAATTATTTATGTCTTTATTGTGAGATTTAAGACAAAAAAGGTATTATGTGGAATGTGCAATGGGAATATGAAGTTCCCATTTAACTGTTTTATGTTTTCTAATTAAAAAAAGGGAATCTCTACACACAGAAAACATTTGGATTTTATGTTGTCTCATTTAAATTTAAAGGGGCTATATCATGGAAAATCCACTTTTTGGAGCTTTATAGCATGTAATATTGTTGTTTCCTCATGAAAAGTACCCCAAACCAGTTTTTGGCTGCATTCATGCATTTTCCAGTTTCAGCTGCAAATTTAGAAATTTATTTTGAAATTCCTGAAATGGCCTAACGTATAAATTGTCTGTACATCACTCAATCTTCCTGCTCATCCCTGGAAGCTAGTCTCTGGTCTGAAACCTGATTTCCCTGGCCAGCTTAGGATATGTGGTATAGGCAACAAGTGTCATGTAACAGACTTGGTAGTCTAGTGGTTAAAGTGCTAGTCTGGTGTGCAATGTTGAGACGGTTCACATCTTGCTCTCAGTGGTAACTTTTTTCTTCTTTTAGCTGCACTTGCCAGTATGGTGTTTTCAACCATTTGTTGGTAAACGTTTATGTTTATTTTGCTTTTTTTTTTTTTTTTGCTTTCTTATTTTTAGATAGTTCACAGGTCATGAGATGTGAGAGGTTTAACTAGGCTCATCATAATAACCTGCATTTGTATAGCACCTTTCAGAGTCAGAGGACTCCAAAGCACTTTACACTACAGTCATTCACCCAATCACACACTGAGGGGATGTAGCCACAGCTGCCCTGGGTGTCACTGACAAGAGTGTCAGTCATCAGTCCCTCTGACCACCACCAGCAGGCAAGGTGGGTTAACTGTCTTGCCCAAAGACACAACAGCAGAATTCTCTGTCCGGAGTTGGGATCAAACCTGCAACCTTTCGATCGCTGGACAGCCTAGACTAATTAGAATTTTACATATAATAAAGATCTTGGCACCTTCATAGCTTTTATAAAAGCTGCTGTATTTTAAAATTATTTATTTTTAAAAGTTTATTTTTATTTATTAACAAATAAAAACAACACAAAACAGGTTTGCAAAAATAAATAATGACAAAGGAACAGAAAGAAGCAAAACTTATATTATCTGTTCCCCTTAACCAAAATAAATACAAATGATAAGGTGTTACATGCCAGTTTCGCAGGGTATATGTTTCTCCCTTTGTTTTTTCTCTTTCTCTCCCCTCTCCCTGTCCCTTTTTACACAGGGTGCAGAGACTAGGTGTGGCGGCCCTGGATTGGCTGATTAACTTCACCTTGGACCAGTTGTGGAGCAGGGCAGAGGATAAAAGGAGGCTTCCCAGAAGAACAGAGAGATTCTTCCTCCCACATGCTGCTGCTTGATTGACCCACCTTTGTTCTGGAGCTTTTTGTTTTTGTTTTTGTTTGAAGGTTTGGTGGAGGGAGACTGGGGACAAGGTAAGCAGGGGGATCCCTGTACATCTCATCGTGTAGTGCAAACTTGTTAAAAACACTAGGTAAGGAGGTGGGTGCACCACCCACCCCCGTAATGTTTTTGGATCCATCTGTTTTGTAGAGAAGTTTAGATGAGGCTTTTGTTTGATTCCTTTGTTCAGTTAGACGGGTAGGTAGGATCTATTTTGTTTTATTAATTTTATTATTTTGGCACCACCTAACTGGCCCTGTCTCCCCCTCCTCCAGTAGTACCTGCAGCATCCACATAAACAGAACAGCAATAAACAAGCTGTGATAAACTGAAGTTTGTTTGGAGTGTCATTCCTTCTGGTTGCCCGGTTACTACCTTCTCACCTTCCTGACCTGTAAGGACAGGTGGGGAGTGGGGGGTCTGTAACAAGTTACTATAGTCAGAAAAATGGCTGACCTGGTTTACTGTTTTAACTTTGGCAAACAAATGGAAAGAAAACAAATACACACACAATAAAAAAAATGTTTCTTATATTAATGAAAGGAGAAAACAATCAATGCAAAACAAAACACACAAATATTTGCTAAAAAAAAAGTAGAACAGACAATGTGTGTTTTCCCTTTCATTCTCTCTACTTCATAAATACGTCTATCTCATAGCATCATACAAGCAAAGCATTTCATATTTGATATGTTAATGGTATATATTTTGGTATTCTTGATTTCGGTACTTAAATTTATTCCACATTTTGGCTCCATATATTGATACACAACGTTCCTTTACATTTATCCTATGTTTTGGTATTGTGTATATTTTATTGCCTTTCAAATCATAACTTCTCTTTCTTTCCATAAATCTTATCAAATTTGTTGGAAGGTGCTTTTTATCGACTTTATACATAAATTTCAAAATACTATAATCTACTAGGTCGTAAAATTTTAATGTTTTTAATTTGATAAATAATTTGTAGGACAGAGCTCTGTAACTGCTGCTTGTTATAATTATTGCTTTTTTTTGTAGGATGCAAACTGAATGTGTATAGGTTTTATGTTATTCCCCAAATTTCAACACAGTAGTTCAAGTACGGTATGATAAATGAATTGTATAATGCCGTGAGCCGGGGTGAGTACTTGCTCTCACTAAACATCAGAGTGTGTTTGCAGGAGAGGGAGCGGCAGCTGCACCAGATCAGCTGATTAGGGGGTTGACTACTTAAGGAGATGGTGAACACAGCTCGACGCCAGATGATTACTACGACTAGGTAGTTTCCTGCCTTCACTCTAGTCCTCAGGGTTTCTCTTGGAAATACTCTAGTGTGTTTGATCTAGTGATTTTTGTATTTTTGGCCTACCTGCCTAAGGTTCTCTGCACACCTGGAATCACTCGCTCAACTCCCATAGGACTCCTGGACTCCTCGCTCAGTCACGTTCATCATCATCCTTTCTGACCGACCCGCTCTCTCTCTCGCCCCCACGCTCCCTCTCCAGCTCTGAGCATCTCCCCTCTGGATCCACCCCGGCTCTCAACCTCCCCTCATTTCCCAAACCCAGTCATCCTCCGTAAGTCTCCTCTCAGCATATCTGCCTACTGTTCTCCCAGGATTCACCTCTGGTTTGCTCTCCTTCCAGACGCTGTTTCCCATTCTCCTGATCTGCTGGAATTCCCAGCGCGTCCTCAGTTCTCATTATTATTATTGTTTTTTAACATCAATCTGTGTACGGGTTTGTGATTCTGCATGTCTTGGGTTAGACACCTTCCCCAAACCATAACAAATAAATATAGGGATTTGTCATCTAGTGACTTGTTTCACTCTAATATTGCGATTGATATATTTTAGTTTTGATATTGTTTATATGTAGTTTCCAAGATATCTGTATCTTCCCTTCATTTCTTCTTCACTTCAGTTTTAAAATTTGCCAAAAAAGAGGGAGACTAAAAAGATGGCTTTTAATTGTATTGTAATGTGATAAAGTGATTTGTAAATGTATGTGCGCAGAAATCTGTTTGTTTGGTTCAACCATTTAAAATAAAATGGACTGAACCGGACAGCATTCTGTATGAAGAGAATGCAGGCTGATTGCTGTTTTCATCACTTCTAATAGGATGGACACCATCCCTCATTCTGGATGTAGATATGTCTGGTTTGTAGTATTTGTATACTAAATCACAACAGAATATTAGATTTATTAAATTTTGTATGCACAGATTATTTAAAAATACTGCAGTATTATATTTTGAGGCTTGGGGAATTAGCTGATGTGATCCCACTTATTTCTAATTTATATAGAGGAAGTATGAAGGACAAAAACTGACATAAGCATAAGAAAATAACTATAATGTGTGCAACTCACTTATATAAAAACATTGTGCAATACTGAATGACCAGACTGACCTATTGTCAGATCTGTAGAATTATGAAACGACTTCAATGGAAGCGAGGTGACAAAATACAGTAGGCTAAAAGATCTCAAAAAGCAACACATTCTTCCTTGATCTAAAAGGTTAGGTTCAACTTTTCACACAAAACCAGCTTGGGTTTGAGAGTTCCTTTTTCCCTTTAAAATATGGCATCATCATTAATGAACAGCATTTGCATTTCTTCTAGTCCATTACTGTGAATCACTCACCGTGCCGTGTGGCCGGGGAAATATCGGATGAATTGGTTGTCGGTGAGGGACAGGTACCTGATTGCGTCTAAAAGGGCACAGAGCAAATTCTGTTTTTCCTGATTGTATCAAATGTTTGAGCTGGATTGTGAGTTTGGTGGTTTGGTCTGACAGCTGACTGTCAGTACAAAGTTTTTACCATCCTGTTTGTTGGAGCTGTACACCACAGTGTGCGCGGCTCCACGTGTGAAGCGGATCAGGTCTGCTCCATACTTCTTACTATACAAGGTCTTTGCAGGCCTGAAACAGATAAATAATTAGTTTTATGTCCAGGTGTACACATAAGGATTTTTTCTTAGTCACAGCAGCTGCATCCAAATGCATGGTACTAATTAGGGCTGAATGATTCTGGAAAATAATCAAATTGCTTTTTTTTTTCAATTTGCAATTGCGATTTAATTCACAATTATTTTCTCAAGGGGCTTATCTCATATTTTTCAACTAATGGAAGTTAAAAAAAATCTATGTAACATGTACTGAATATAAACAAGTTTATGTATCTACATATATCAACAAGTTTATTTGTCTACACATACATAAACACAAGACAAAATTTTGTATTTGAAGGTGCAATGCTTTGCAGCCAGCAGCACATCCCTTGAAGCATAGATATTAGCATCAACTGTGAAAATTTATTTGCAGGAAAAAAGTGTGTCCCATTTTTTGAAGTATTTTGTGTTGAGTTTTTGACGTCTTGTCTGATCTCTATTAAGGTAGCGCGACTCGGGTAGCGAATGACCACAGTCACCAATTCTTGTCAAGTGTCTATGCCTATGTATGTCTGATCTCAGAATTGTGTGTACTGAAACTCTAATTTCCCTCTTGGATTAAATAAAGTATCTTTGAATTGAATTGTCCATGCAGAGCTTCCGTAGTTCAATTACATCCATAGCTGCTAGTCAAAACTCAGTGGAGTATCTTACGGTTTTCTGGCTTTACTAAAATATCTGTCTGTAGTTGTTTGGTTAATGATAGATTTTAGTTTTTATTAGACTCCAAATACAATCGTTTGGTACGTTCCTAATTTGTAATTTGTAAGAATGTAATCGGCGATATTAGCATCCTTAAGGGGTTATCCATGTATAGCATTCTGCTAACCACTCGCTGCCAGTCAAATCGCAGCCTTTGCGATTAGAAAATCTTTAATCACATCCCTAGAACTGATTCGGCTACATTTATACATATCAATAAATGTGAAGTGATTCCCTGAAGAAAATGTGCACTCAGATCAGATAAAATAAAAATAGTTGGATCAGTTCATGTTTAACGTTGCACTCGTGGCCATTTACCTTCCTGACTGGATGTCATATAACACAATGCAGTCGTCGTTGCCGCTTGATACTGCGTGGTCTCCATTAACACTGTAATCCACACAGTTCACTTTCTCTGACTTAAACTGGTACGTTCTGGCAACCTTAAAATTCCGCAAGACTCTGTCTGTTATTTCCATGGCTCCAAACAAAACTATATTTTAAAAAAATGTGAGTTACATCTTTTTCTAATGAAGTTCGAAAATCATTGCTGAAGTAGCATTTGTTTTGACTGGCTTGCTGTTCCCGTTTCCGTAAACCGACAAAAACACAACTATAACGTGCTATGATTGGTTGTTTTTTCCCACTATCACCAGAGACGGGCGGTGCTCAAATAATAACGACAGATTCTCGAGTTTAAACCGAGCGGGCAGTAAAGATAATTAAAACGAGCAATGCTCCTGCAAACAGGAAACAGAAGAACGACACTAACCGGAAATCTTAAAAATAAAAGCGTAAACATTAAAGGGAACAATTAGCTTTTACTTAAGTTTGAATCTGGAGTTATAATGAAACTACTAATACATTTTGTTCTAAACAATTTTATTTTATTCGTTTTTAGTCAATACATCTTACTTGACTCACCAGATTAGAAAATATGCGTCCTCAGAGCTTCTTTTCGTTGCAACATTATCAATTTCATTTCTGTGCTGTCATAGTTTATGCAAATACCTCTCTCTCTTTATCTCTCTCTTCAACTTACTAAACTATGATTATCTTGATCAAAACGGTTTGGGATCAACCAGAAAACATAAAACGGTTCGAAATTGCATTTAGTGCTCAAAACTTAATTCTTAAGTTTTTTTTATTTATTTTATTTATTTTTAATTTTTTTGCGAACAACAAATGACTGAAGGTTGCTTTGAAGTCCCCTTGAATTACTTTACTTTGAAAGGCCATACCCGGATGAGAGGGCATGGTTGATTTTCTCGTGGTTGGTGGTTGTCGCTACCCGATCCGTACCGGAAACCCGATCGGTACCACGCATGCGCGAATGTTACGTCACTTCCTCTCTTTGCCAACTTTGCGACAGTTACCGACTGCGGGACGTTTAAACAATGAGTACCTCCGAAACCAACGAAATTCATGATTTTCTCCTCAACGGAGAGCTTCCGACGATTGAACAAAAGCGCCGTAAAATAAGAAGAGTGGCGCCTAATTACAGACTTAAAGGTAAGTACGAAAATTAAAGATGATCTTTTATCATGGTCTACAGCTGCCCTTGCTGCTTGAGGGTACAGACTCTCCGTTATTGTTCTAAAGTTGCATGACGCCTGCGTTGATTCAGGAGGGTGTAACGAGTAATATCAGTGTACAGTGTATACGTGTAGCATCGTCTGTAATATCGAAACTCTATATAGGTCTATATCTTGGTGTGTGGTCTTATTTTAGATTTTTTTAAAAATCGTAAATACAATATATATATATATAGCCTATATATTTTTTTAAAGATAATTGCAATTGGAGGTAAATGTACCATATTGGTGCTGATCTCAAACTTTAATATCTGTCAGACATTTCAATTTACTTTAGTCAGCAACTCTCATCTTTTTTTTTTTTTCATTTTTATCTTGTCCCAGACAACAGACTCTTCTACACTGGCCCCAGTATGCAGAGCATGCGCCTGCTAGTCATGTCAGAGGAGGAGAAGAAGCCTGTTTTGATGGAGTGCCACAATAACCCTGGTACCGGGAACCACAATGGTGTCAGAGGTACCCGAAACATGGTTGTTGCTGGCTTTTACTGGCCAACATTGAACCAGGACATCAGTGAATGGGTAATAGCCTTATTTGAGAGAAGAAGCTAAATCAGGTCGTCATAATTTTTTCTAAAACATCTGTAGGCTGAATAATTGAATGTGTTTACTTGCACACTTACATTTCAACATTAGTTTCTGTCTTTTTATTTTATTATCAATTCACATCAACTGCTTTAGGGTTTCCTAGACATATTGTTTGGAATACGCCTTTCAGGTCAGATGTTGTCATCGCTGCCAGATGAATGACCCAATCAAGACCGTGGCACCAACATTACATCCCATCAAGGTACATCTTAAAGCTATTTACATTTAATTTTCAAGTTAATAAGCTTGTCTGCTGCAGGTTAGCTTTAAATTTTCACTTGATAAGTTCTGTGACCTGCAGGTAAAGAACCTTGGGAGTTGCTGGGCATGGATTTCATTGGACCACTCCCAGAAACACGTCTAGGGAACCGATATGTCCTGACTATGACCGTTCTGGGTGATTGCAGAACCTCTTAAGTCCAAGACTGCTGCTGAGGTCTCTGCAGTCATGACGTCTAAGTTATACATGTTTGGCATGGTGAGGAAGATCATCACTGACCAAGGAAAGGAGTTTGTGAACCAGGTAAAATTTGTGAAAGTTTTAGTCGTACCTTGACATTTGAGATGATGTATTTAGACCAAGTCTGCTCATGCCACTGCAGCTCAACGACAGCATTTTCAGCATGCTGAATATTAAACATGCTGTCTCCAGTGCTTACCACCCCAGACCAACAGGCAGGTTAGCATTTGGATATCTAACCTTGAGTAACTCATGGGAAATCAGTCATGCTTCTTTATCTATTCTGCAATACAACTCAAGGATGAGAGGACCAACCAGAACATTAAGCATGCTCTCAGAAAGTACGTGAACCAGAACCATGACGACTGGGACGTTCACCTTGCTGCTGTGGTGTACGGCATCAACACTGCAAAGCAGGTATTCCTATTTTGACATTTTGTATGACTTTTACGCTGCTTCACAGTGTAGCATCGTCTTAAGAATGTTTTTAATTTTGTTTATAAAAAAAAGAAGTTATTGACAAGTGCAAGAGAAAATGAATTAATGGAGAGATTTTGTGTGATCAGCACTCCACCCGCCACAGTGCCTATTTCCTGCTCTTCTACCGACATCCACATCTTCCTGCTGTGATGAACACCTGTCCCATGGACGATGACTTTGAGGTTGCAGACCCAGAAGTGGACATCGACACAAGAGTTGAGGAGATGACGGTTCTGAATGAAACAGTCTGTACATTTGAAGAGGGCTGACTGACAGGGAAAGGAGACTTGTTGAGGAAAAAAGGGGAAATGTGGTTAGTGTATTCAACATTTTTACTGCTTTAGTAGCTAACTTTTCTGTATTTCTATATTTCCAGAATGAGCATTGCCATGGCGACCTGGTGAATAATAAATATTTATATTTCTCTCTGCTTTTCATGTAATGTTTTTGTAGGTTCTTCGCAATATTGAGAGGGCACAGGACACCCAGAGGAAGACCTTTGGAACACGGAAAAGGAAGCTAGTAAGGCAGTGTGTTGTTCAAGCAGGCAATGACGTGCTTCTGTCAGGAGAAAACAGGAAGAGACCTTGAGGTATGTTTTCAGTGCAAAAGTTTGAAAGCTCATCAGGTGCATCATAATGCAATTAACAACTAGCAGGTGCATGTCAGCTCTCCTCATTTAATGAAACATGTTTCTTTTTACAGTTCTTTCCCCAGCAGTTCATGGGAAATTGCTGCGGCATCTTTATGCTGATGGTGAGAATTTTCTTGCCATTACTTGAATATAACATTTTAACATGTTAAAGATTGATTTTACTTTACAGTATGCTCTCTGCATCTGCACCTCATCTCCACCATCTTTCACAGAGGTAAGCTTTTTCAGACAGTACCACCAAAGTATCTGTGCCAGTCTCCAGTCTTCATAAACCTTACATTATATTTGTCTTCAGGAGGAAATGCCAGCAATTCGCCTGTGGTGGTGTATTCAGCTGCTGGAGAGATTCGGCATTGAGGGGTATGGCAGGCACTTTAGACAAACTGGCACCATCATATTTGCAGCTTTGGTTCAGGCAAGACATCAAGTCAAACAAATGTTTGTGAAAGTGGCTTACTGTAAACCCTGTGACCGAACATACTGAAGAAAGCAACAGTCCACAACTAGAGTCCATTCAGACTGGCGTTGTTTTCTAAAGGCATGGACAAAGATTTGCCTTCTGGACAGAAGAATTATCCCTTCTCCTCCAGGGGACTCTCCAGCCTGTCTTCAGGGTACCAAAGGCAACCTCCTCCAAGCCTTCACCAAGTCTAATCAGACCGGTGAGAGAGGACAACAATCAGATAACTATTTGTAGGACAGAACCACACAATGTTGAGACTATTCATCACAATGCAGGTTTACATACATGGTGGTAGTCTTCATTTCAGTCTAATGTGATAATCATGTTTTCTGTTAAAGGCTGAGGCTGACAGGTGTCTTATACTGGAGGTAATCTATTGATTTTCCTGTTTCTTTCATTTGTTGATATAACTGAATTAGTAGTTATAGTCACAGGCAGCTCCTTCAGAGACATTATCCAGTAGTAGAATGAAGTAATAGTTATGAAACACTACTCAATGTAATGTGTTTTCAGTCCTCATATTTCTGAAACTTTATGGACAAATTTTGTATTTTCACTATTGTCACGTGGCATAAATTTTGCAGTTACCAGAACGTGTCCTAATGGACATATTGGAGAGTTTTGTGAGAGTTTTTGATCATTCTTCTTGGAGTACTATAGCAAAAACTGTAATGCTCTTGTGGCAAGGTGGATAAACGAGGGCCCGGGCGGGATTCGATCCCCAGACTCCCGGGTGAGAGTCATACACTCTAACCAGTCAGCCAAAGGGACTGATCAAGGATGATCAATCGGGACATTGTGACAGGACACTCACACTGTCACACTCTGTTTGAGAAAGTGAATCTGTTGGGCTTGTACCTGGTACTCAGAGTACCACACTGCCAGAAAGGGCACGCTGAAAATAAAGAGCTTTTTATTTCCATCAATATGTATCTCCTTATTCAAATAATCTGGGTTGTAACCATCCTCTCAATCCTTTTTCTGTTGTTCATGCTCTTGTAATCTGTTGTTTGTGTTCCGCATTATTACAGTAAACCTGTGGAAATTATAAAGTGGTCCTGTGTTATTTTATATGGATATAAACATGAGTGTAGTTAAATCTGTATTTAATATGTTTAACTTATGAATACCTTGAGAAACTATTTTCAAACATTAATTTTGCAACATTGTGAAAATGATCACTATGGTATTACAAAGAATTAAGTTATTTCAAGACAAAGTGGCAAACGAAGAAATCTAACACAAAAGTAGAAAGTAAACAAATTTTAGGTGATGAGCCAAATTGGCTTTTGTGCAAGAATATATTACATTTCATATTGGAAAACATTCATAGGACATGTAGTGCAAATTAAGAATATCTGCTGTATCACAGTGACACATTTTCATCTTTTAAATGAAAATATAACCTATTGTGTGGAGAAAAAACAAACATGTAATAGGTTACCTGAAGACTAATCAGCCAGTGTTTACTGACAATTTACAGTGGACATTATCAACAGAACATCAAGATAATTCAATCGTCTCCACACATACAAGCATAAACACACTAAATCAAATTTAACACGCATATAAAAACATGATTTGTAACAACGCAAATTCAGTTTACAATCGGGCTAATTCGCTCGGTCAGCAAGTGGCAGTATCCTCGTACACTGCGGAGTAAACTGCCATTGAACGGATCACAAGAAGAATAGAGCATCTGCACATGCGCGGTACGGATCAGGTAGACCCGATCTGTACGGTCCGACGTTTTTTTTTTTTTCATTTTTATCTACATTAAATTGAAATGTTTCACTATTGCAAACATTTAAATAGATACTTATTATTTTTTAACATCTTAACAGATACTCTGACCCGTAACTATCGTAAAATGCTTCGAGCGGAAGTAGACGCCTTTCGCGCATGCGTGGTACCGATCGGGTTTCCGGTACGGATCGGGTAGCGACAGTGGTATACAGTATAGCTAGATTAGCTCCTCCACGTTAAGCTACTATGAACGGCTGTAAAAGATTATCCTCACTGGGTGACCGAGCCTCCGGTCTCTACATTCTGTTCTCGGTGGTCAAATCAAGGATAAGTGGACAAATGTGTCTCAGACGGTGTCAGAGCACCACTAGCAGTCCCGCTCCGGGCTCCGACAGCGGAGAGAAACCCCAGCGACTCAGAGCGATTGACCTGGCCCGGAAGGTCCAGCAACAGAAGGCGACACAAGCAACACCGCCTCCGGTGTCCGGGTCGCAGGGTAGAGTGACTGAGCTGAAACGGTTCAGTCTGCAGCTACAAAACGTTCATCCCAACGTGCTAGCTAAACACCTCAGCAGAAGCGTGCTGTACCAGGATAAAGATGTAGTTCTCATCAATAAACCTTATGGTGTCCCTGTCCAAGGTAACCCAGAGCTGTCTACTCGGTGACATTTAGGTAGCCTTATCCTACATAAAAAGTAGGAAAATATATTACAGTTTAAAATAAACAAAACGTATAATTTTAAAATCAAAATCTAACAAAAAAATGTGGTCCAAGTGTTAGAATTTGTATTTAACATTTAAAAGTTATAATCTTGAAATTGTGAATGAACTGACACTAACATTCTGGCTGCTGTCTGAAGTGTAAAATGTTCCACTGAAGCTCGACAGCATGCATTTGTTCTTGTCTCTTTCAGAGCAGTCTGGAGTCACGTCCATCTCCTCGGTGCTTCCTGTTCTCTCAAAAATAATGGATGGGATGAAGGTGAAGTCTGAGTCTCGGCTACTCCCCTGTCTGAGTCTGGAGAAGGGCTCAACAGGAACTCTTTTGCTGGCCAGGAGTGAAGAAGCAGCAGAACACATCCTCACACTGGATAGGAATAACCAAGTGCAGAGGAAATATTGGTAAACCGATGGATCACCAGCATCACAGCAGTTTATATAAAATGCTTTGTAATAACTTGCTTGTTCCTCCTCAGGGTTGTCACAGTTGGTGTTCCTGTGCCGTCTGAAGGGCTGATTGATATTCCTGTTATAGAGAAAGAGGTCCCAGGTCCTCAGCCACACTTCAAGGTGCTTCTGATTCTTTTTTTTAAAGTCACTTGATTTGTTAAGACCTAAATCTGCACCAGATGTGGGCCTCAGAATAACAACATTGAGTAAATTATGCAGCTAGTTCATTATTTTTATTTAGGTTTTTAGTTAATAATGAACAGTTTAATATTAAAAGCTTATGGATATGTAACTTTTGTTTCAGATGGCCTTAAGTCCATGTTTCAGAATGAATGAGACCGGTGATGGGCTAACCAAACTCCGACGTCATCGGCAGGCACATCCTGCAGTGACAAAGTACAGAGTCCTGGACAGCAGCAATGGCTGCAGCCTCGTGGAGCTCCAGCCTTTCACCGGTTCGACTGTGATTAATGGGAACAAGTTCCTATAGCAAATCAGTTCAGTGTTTTTCACAGAAAACAAACGTGTACTTTTATTTCATACCGACAGGAGTGAAGCACCAATTGAGGGTTCACATGGCGTTTGCTCTGGCATGTCCCATTCTTGGTGACCATAAATATTCCCACTGGAACAAACTGGCACCACAGGTAATGTGCATTTACAATGGACCAGAGTGGCACCAATGACAATAAGAGGCTTAAAATATATGGTTATTAAAGACAAAATAGGCTATGGTTATAACCGAGACTTTCACAATAACACAGATGAGCTGACTTAACACCACATAGATGGTGTTTCATTAGCACTGTGCTCTAGGCTGTTCTCAAAGTGCTTTAAACAATCAGCACGTTGTACTTTCCCTTCAGTTACAGCAAACATCTTGATTAGTCATTTTACAACATATATAGTATTATGGCAGTAAAGAGGTGTCGCTTATTAGCGTTTTTTTGTTCCATGATTTTACATGCTGATCAATGCTAAAGCCCCAGTGTAGAAAAGGATTCCTCTGAGCTCTTCTAGAGCCGCTTTTCACCACTTTTAAATGCTCCCTTTTAATCTACAGAAACTTCCAGCTCGAGTGCTCAAACGGCTCGGACTGGAGCAGACCAAGATCCGACATCTTCCTCTTCACCTGCACGCGCGACAGCTACTGCTGCCGGGACACAACAACACTGACATCAACGCGTCTTGCCCCCTTCCCAAATACTTCTTACAAACTCTGAAGAGATTAGAATTAACTTTTCCAGATGACAAAGAGGATGAATAAATTCTGCAGTCCCAGTTACTCATGAAATAGGTGAGGCTGCGGCATGTGGAAATAACCATTTAAATGAACTGAACAGGCTGAGTGTCAGCAGCTCTGAGAGTACAGCCTGGTGTTTTACTAATAAATATAAAAAACATGTTTTAATGTGATCACGTTGTGTTTTACAGAACGCAGGAACGAAAACATTTCCATCTGTTTCCTCTTTAATATCCTACTATACACACATACATGAAAGAAGTTGTTGGCAAAATTCTGATGGGAGTTCCTAAATATGACCCATGGAGGGAAAAAACAATAGAACACTTGGTTTTAGGAATTTTTGAGGTTCAACTGGAAAACCCCACAGGCCAAATTTAGAGTTAAAAAAAAAGGCACAAGTTCTTCAGATTTAATAAACATGTTTAAACAGCAGTGAGAATACAAAAGACTGAGCAAATTTATGAGTTTAAATCTATCTGTGCCGGTGGGGAGAAGTTAGACGTGAGCGTAAGATTTTAAACTATCGAATAACTTTATATCATGTTGATAGGACTTCTATATGAAAACATAGCAAATTTGATCAGTTGTATCAATCTTGACCCGAGTCAATCTCGCTCAGCAGGTTCAAAGATTACGTAGCTGGTTTCTAACAAATCCACCAGAAATAAACATCCAACCCATCGGCTGAAAAACCAAGGGGAATGTCTGGAACTAGCCAAAGCAATCAGGATACTCTCCTCAAAAATGTGATTGTTTTAGAAGCTCTCCTGCTTCATTCGATGGCTATAGCTGTATAATCAGGATGGGTACTGCATAGTCAATCTGAAGTCCAGTCAATCCCTTTGTGTTAGTTTTCTGGACTAGTGCCAATGATCTCCTGGATCTCTCGGACCACGATGAGTCGAGCCAGCAGGAGTTCCACTTGCTGACTTGTGAGGGGCTGGGGCGAATACCACATCGGACTGTTAGGCGCCACGACAGGCTCAGGGGTCATGTAGTAAGCGTCATTGCGTCCCTTTACACTTTGAGGGCTGGAAGAGAAGTGCAAACAAGATTAAAGGTGTCATTCACTTGTTTTTTCAAAACATTTCCTTTAGTTTCTAGTGAGAATGCTTTGTGAGTGGTTTGTAGAAAATATTAAAGAAAAAAGCTTGTGCTCCTGTTTCAGGGGCATGAAGTTTGTTGGAGTGAGGTGTGGAAAACAACAGGATTTGTGAGTCTTACCCCTAAATATTATGATATGCACACATCTCATCTCTGATTGGCTAACAGAAACACAACCTGATTGCTCTTTCTTGGGTAAAAATGCAACATTGATGTTTTATTTCCACAAATAAGAGAATGTGTTCTGACATGTTGTGGAGTTGCTATTGCTAAAGGTTAGCGTCTACTAGCTGCAACGTGCTCTGCTCTCTTTCCTGTGGTTGCAAGCCATGGCGGGCAGAGCCACAAATGCTTATTTTCCATGTGATGAAGCAGAGACTGGCTTTTTCGGACTCATATCGTTTTCCCATAGAGTTTCTTTTGACAGCCAAAGCCGGGAGTACACTGTACGACATTTTCAGTCTTCCTATTCAGTTCCATTGAAAACTTGTCGCAGGGCAAAGTTCATGAATCATGTTCTCACTCTATGTAGGTCGGTTCAGTGTAAAAAAAAAAAACTGGTAAAGTCTATTGCAGTGATGCAACTTCACATCTATGTAGAATACATCAATACAAGTGACCTAGCGGCTTATTTACTCCCTACATCGTTTCAGAAAGGCAAACAGCTTTTGATTTTCTTCTTTTTGGTTTAATGTGGACAGCATACACTCAAGGGATTTTGTGATCTCTCAAGTCGAGCGAGGAGCACAGCTGAGAAGCCGCTTCATCGCTTGAACAGTTCCAGTGTGCACTGGATTGCGGCAACTGTCGCGAATAAACCTTTCTGCTGCCGTTCCACAACGCTGATGCTTCCAGTGTGCAGTAGTGGTTACCCTCACAAGGGATGAGCAGAATTTAAAAGGCACACTTGGCAGTTTTGCTTGCTTTTAGCACCCCCTAGTGTCCGTTATTAATTCTGAGATCAAAGCAAAAGTGAAACATCTCCCTGCCCCACATTCGTCTTTTTAACACCTTAATCCAGGGATTCCCAAAGTGTGGGGTGCACGAGCTGCCGCTAGGGGGTGCGCGAGGTGAAAAGTGTAATGGCAAATGTCACCATTAGCTAGAAACTCATTTGTGGGTGGGCCAAAGAAAAAGTAAGCGGGCACAATAAATGTAATTGAAAACAAGTATATGTTTGCGCGCGCGCGTGTCCTCATGTGCCCTAGCTTCATAATAACAATGCGCCAAGCTTCAGCACTCTGGCCTGCGCACGCCGATATGTTCCGTCGCGCGCGTGCGTGCCCTCCACATGTGCCCTAGCTTCATAATAACAATGCGCCGAGCTTCAGCACTCTGGCCTGCGCACGCCGATATGTTCCGTATTTGATCATTTTTAACGGTGTTGGAGGAATCTGAAGGTGGCGAGTCATTCTGGCAGATTGTAATTAACACCTGTTTCATGCAGGTGTTCTGACGTTGTAAACCTCACACACAGAACATTGTGGATGTAACAAAATAACAAGAAATGATTCCCATTCAGGCTATTAACAGCGCGCTGAAGATCTGAAGTTCAGAGTGCGTCTGTCAGAGGTCAGATGCGTTCCGGCTGAACCACGGCTCACGGGTGCACAAGTGAGCACATCTGGGCTGGGCAGAAGTCATTTTACAACATTGGTTTAAATAGCGCGAGACGCGGTGACTTGAGCGGCTGTGCCGCGCGCGCGTGCACACACACGCACACAGATTCAATAAGCGCACACGCTGCTTTAACTCCGGCGCGCCGTCAGACTGAAGGCAGAAATGAGTGCTGCCTCCACCGTGATAAAAACTTTTAAGTTGTCCCCTATTGACATTTGATTACGCACAAGTAGGTGACCAGTTCAGGTTTACGCAGAGCAGAAGGAAGGAGAGTGCTCTGGCCGCACAGGTTAAACGTTCCTAAATGGTTAAATTGCATTGTTTATGTGCTACCTGGGCACTCTAAATATTTATTTAATATTAAATCAAAGGAAATTGTAATGATATTGAATGTTTATTAATTACTATTTAAAAAATGAAAGTGATGGGGAATTTTTTTTAACCCTGTCTGTTTAGCTTGACATCTGATATATATATATATATATATATATATATATATATATATATATATACAGAGAGAGAGAGAGAGAGCCATGCCCCGATGTGGGGGCGGGGGGTTGCGTCGACATGGTCGGGACATAGAAGGGGGTGCGCGGCTAAATAAGTTTGGGAACCACTGCCTTAATCGAACAGCTGAAATGTCTCCCCAGCCTTAGTGTTGACAGGATCAGTTCATCACTAAATCAAACAAATCAGCAGTGTTAGAAGAAGACTCCAGCTCCACCATATCATCAGCTCTGCTCCACACCACAGCTCCCAAGAAACCGTGAATTTGCAATTGCAGTATTCTCGTCACGGAGGACAGTGTGGTCTGTGTGACATTTGAATAACCCTGTAAAAGGGTCCTTTTAACACATGCTGGCTCAAGAAAATTATTTTAAAAACATGAACAATTTGCACACTATGCCTTTAAAACCCAGATAGACAGCCAGTAGCTGTCTATTGCCCCACGTACACTACACAACAACTTGACCCGATCTCAACTCACAGTGACCAGTTGCCCTAAACACCTTTTCAGTGATTGAGATTTTTAATTCAGTTTTGAAGGGTTTGATAGCACTCACCATTTGAAGAGGTAAAAGTCGTAAAGTTTAATTGGACAGCGGAGTGGGTTCTCAGGATCTTCAATCTGCTCTTCATACATGTCATCAGTTCCTGTAAGAAAAGTGACGTAACGGTTAAAAGCGGTTATTCTGAACAAAGAGCATGGACCCTCAGAATGTGCATGTGTGGGAGGTGGGGTTGAGCACCTTTATGCCCGGCGCTGTGTTGACTCTGGGTTTTCAGAAGGCGAATACTGGTTGCCTTGTCCTTGGCGTTTGTGGGGTTCTTCCTCGTGTGTCTCAAGACCTTCGAGAAAGCTACTTTCATGTGCTGTTCAGGTGTTGTCAGGCGAAAATATCTGCAAACAACACGTGTGACAACATTTTACATCTAAAATCTGGGGAGCAAATTCAGGCAGTCCAGGTGTGAGGACTCACTTAGTGTTGAAATACATTAGAGTTGTAAGTAATGTGGCCGGCGAGTGAGCGCCCAGCTGTTTACACTCCCACAACATCTCCTCAGTCACATGGCTTGGAATGATATAACCTGAGAGGGTGGAGAAACAAATTTAGTTTAATACTTAAAAATGGTAAAACAAAAGAAACACCTAAAACTACACGCTGCCCCACCTAAAGGATGGATGCTGGGTTTCCAGTCTTGCAAGAGTTTGTGTATACTCTCACAAAAACGTGTGTAGTAAGGATCGGAGAAAATATCGTCCACACGTCCATTATCGGACAGATACTAGAAAACAAAACATTTGATTGAATTTAGACAATTTTTATGCACGGTTGACTTTTAAAAATTATTTTTCACAGCTTCATTTTGACTATTTGGAAGATTGTTATATTTACTCTAATCTGCTTCCTGAAGGACCTCTGTTCTGAGAAACAGTTTGTCTGACCAGCTAACGGTTCATCAGAGCCCAGCCAAGACCTCTGAACAACTGCCCTTCAGGAATTTATCACTTTCTCATGGAAACACTTCAAAATGGCAGAAAGATTGCTTAAAGTTTCAGGATACAAACCTTCTGTATACACAAGAACACGTAATATAGAACATCAGGGGCCAGTTGCTCTTCATCGGATCCTCGTGCTTCCTGAGTCATCAGAGACAGACCCAAGTTGAGCTCCGCAACAGCGCTGGAAACCAAGTCCTCCTGAAAGCGCAGAGGCTGGCGGCCTGAGCACAACGAGAGAAGGACGGGACAAAACAACGTCCGAGTGTAAAGTTAGAACATTTAATATCCTGTCAAGAACAGTTTTAACTCACGTCCAATTGGTGCCAGTTTTGTTTTTTCCTGTAAGCTTAGCTCAGCGTTTTTTCGCTTGGCCCATAAGCACCACACCTCCAGGCCCTCCTCTGGTTTCAGAGAGACGGGAACCAGGATCTCTGTAGGCGGTTCGGCGTCTGCCTCAGTCTCCACTTGGGTCTTAGAGAAACCAAAAGAACAACGTAATGTGAGAAAAAAATCCTAATGAATGGGAGAGATTAAAGCATCATCATTTAAGTTTAATCATTTAGATAATTCGTTGTAACTGAACTTCTCTTCCCAGCCCTGAGCAAGGCTGGAAGGTGAAGCCCATTTCTAACCTGCAGATGGAGCTGCTGCTCTTGTCCCTCTCCTTGGCACTGCTGCTGACTTGGGTCCCATATGTGCACCGACTGTGTGGTGTTGTAAGTCCCTCCTACGGTCTGAACAGCCACGGGGATGTGGATATTCCCGTTCATAAACTGTGCAGGCAACAGGGTCTGTACAATTTCCTCCTGCGTTGTGACAGAGGCTGACTGAACATCTGTGGACCTTGATGCACAGCTGGAGGGTACCTTGTCCTTGCCGTTGCTGGTGGTAACCTGCACCGTGCTATATGCATCCTGTGGTATAGCGATGTGGGTTACGCCCTGCTGCTGTGGAGTGGAGTACACGGGAATGGTCCAGGTCTCGCCTGTGGGACCTGTGATTGTTCCAGTTGTGCTGTACAGCTGAGCACTGTCAACCGTCAGCAAATCTGGTCGGAGGGACACGTAACTCTGCTGCTGGCCTTGAGGTATGGTCAGAACTGTGGCTAACTGCTGCCCCTGTGGCACGGCATAGGAAACAGCAAGGGGTAGATCCACCTTGCGCTTCTTAGCTGGTTGGAGAACAGTTGCAATGGCACCGGGCCTCCTCTCCGCTTCCCTGGGAGACTCCTGTTGCTGGGAAGGAGACATGGCCTCTATGGTCTGGATCTGGATCTGTTGCCCACCTTGCAGCTGAATCTGCTGGCCAGCCTGCAGCTGAATTTGCTGTCCTCCTGGGAGCTGAATGTGTTGTGTTCCTTGCAGCTGGATTTGTTCACCACTAGACAGCTGGATTTGCTGTCCTCCAGCAACAGCTGCAATGAGTTGAGCTTGAATCTGGGAAATAGTCAGCACGGTCACCAAATAGCACTACATGACCAGACTTTCTACAGACGACTGACACGGTTCCTATACCTGTTGTTGCTGTTCCTCTGTGAGCTCTCCCGGCTGTACCAGCTGGGCTGTTGAGAGTCCCTGCAGGTCCTCCTGAGTGGGAGAAGCCACCTGAAGAACCTGTCCAACCATCTGGCCTTGCTGTTCCTGGATCTGAACCTGACACAAAGAGGGAGGGGGGTCAAATATTACAAACACACTAGCAAAAACACCAGTAAATGATCAGATTGATGCTTTGATCCACTTAGGAAAACAGTTTTGTCTTAGTAATAAAAATAAAAACAGCAACAGTACAAAAGGCAGAAGCCAGAAATAAGCTGAATTATGTAATAATAATAAAATTCTGATGAACAAAATTAGGCTACTCAAACATCTTACTGGGGAAATATTTTGTTAAAAATAACTATATTTTGACATCACCTTAAAATTGAAGTTTCAATTCAAACATTTATCTCTTCATCAGTGTTTTCTACTGCATCAGCACTTCCTTTAGCCTACTGACTCACACACACACCACACAGCAGCTGCACTGTTTGTTTTATTGTTGACAGTGAGTAACAATGAGGTGTCTACACCCAGACAACCCAACCGGTTATTTCATTTTTGAAGAAGTACAAAAACGTGAGAAGCCTACCTGCACGTGAAGTTGCTGTTCGGCCCCTTGGTGTACAGCCATCTGGGGTGGCAGCTCTGTTGAGGTCACTTGCACCTGTCAGAAACACATTCATGCATTAAATCAAGCATTACAATGAAAATGTTTTAGGACCAACATTGTGTTAAATGCTTGGAGTACAACATAAACTCAAAACCAAATACTAGCAGGGGTTGATTACAAAGCAGGTTTGCAGATCAAATCGTAAACTGGTAAATACAAATGATCTTCCCACTAAAGAGGTCTAAAATGGGTCTTACTGGGCAGGCCAGTTCCAGGAGTGATCCAGCCACCTCTGTGCTGTCTGCATAGACACAGTTGGTCCCCTGCTGCTGATACACCATGGCTGTGGTGGTGGTCGCTTCTTCCTGCTGGCTGAACTCCTGCAGCACCTCTGGGCCTTTGGCAAGAGAATCCAGAAACTCCTTCATCTTGTGCTGAGGCACAGTGCGGGCCTTCTGTCGCACATATTCGTCAAAGGACACCACCCCACCCTCCTGTTCGTTCATCTTCACTGGACCTGAATAATGATAATGTTGCTTTTATGTCATTTGACAACTAAACTCAGTTCAAACAGCTTATATTTTTTAATGCCAGTGTTTAATGACATGCGTCTTAAAAATGGTATAAAGAGTAATACGTTGGTTTAAAGATTAATACATGATAGTAGTTACGGTATACATATTTAATAGTTTCATATTTTAAGTCAAGCTTTGGGGGCGTTAGAAAATAAAGCAAACATCTGTAATTAAATTTATTTAAAATGAGGCTAACGCTGTAGTTAACTATTTTTGTTGACTTTGCAGACAAATGCTGAAATTTAAGCTTGTTATTTTTAACTGTGTAGTTTAATAACCTAAGTAACCAAAAGTATGTTTGCCCTGAAGTGTTTTTGATTGACTAGCAGCAGTATTTACATTAAAGCTAGGTGTTAGCATGCTAGCTTTCCGATGTTAGCAAGGCGCTGTTTGAACACAGCACATAAGGATATTGATCTGCCTGGCACATGTTAGCCCTCCTCAACACTACCAAACATAAATGTCAAGATAACTAAGTTATACGACTAAATAACAACATTAGGTCAAAAACAAGCATCAGAGCAACACTCCATTCATTTCAACCACACGACGCTAGCTAGTCGCTGTGCTAAATGCTAGGTAGCTAACCGTTCTGGATCCTGTCATGCTACCTTAAATAAAACGAAATCCTCTCCTTTCCGCCAAGGCACGGTGTTTAAAACTAAAAAGCCGATAAACGTCTAACAGCTACCACCAGCATGCCACACACTCCCACAGCATAGCGCTACGAAGCAGCTGCGATGTTCCGCAAACAACGTTGCGTTTCCACAGCCGCGGTAAAATAAAACTGCAGCAGGCAACGGGCGAAGCCTCTGACGTCTGCTTATTTTACAGGCTGAGTTCCAGGCTGCTACCGTCGGTGGGCATAATGGGTCCCCACCTCTTGCAAAGCACGGATTTATTAAACCCCACACACATTACACCTCTTTACTATCCCGCGGTCTTCGTTTGAAAAAAGAAAATAGACATTTAGTGTTAGTCCAGACGATATACAATGTGGGAAGTAGTACAGGCCTAGAAAAGAGCGCTACGGGCCGAAAACAACCATAACCATGCGACCAAAATAAACCAAAATATAGCCACGGTACGACAAGGCACGAGTAACTTGCCATCCAATAAATTCGCCTGTTTCCACCAAATACAGTAGTTAATAAAAATACAGTACAATATTTTGGTGTAACTGTCCTATAAATCGCAAATTATATCCAGATGATTAACCAAGATGCGTACTGTTAAGAAAAAACAGTTAGTTGGACCTCAATTTTGCTGAAAAGTGTTTAAACTATATGGATTATAGATTGTTATGGATATGCAAGTGATTTAACTTTTAATTGACGTTTAATACGGCAGCATCTATTAAAAATACTCAAAATCATTCAAAATCTGATGCACAGCTGAGCTGATACATTGTTGGACTACTTTATACGTTTTCTCTGTTGAATCCTGGGAAACATTTGGCCGCATGTCCCTTTAACAGGATTTAACTTCCCCAGTCTGCCTTAAAGAGCCAGGCATGTGCTGCTGAGGGCGTCCCCCTGCTTGCCTCACAACAAACTGCCCCGCGCTGCTCTTAAGGTGGACTGAGACAGATGTGCTCTCCGAATAGGCCGTGTGCTTCATATGCTGGATAGGAAAGAGTTAATTCCCACTCTCGTTACAGGCTAACAACGATTCTGCATGGGTTTTTATTGTAAAGTGATAAAGGTAAATATATAATTTTGCATCTGTTTTTGTGTAATAAAATTAACATTCTTGCTATTGACAAAATATGTATAATTTATTATCTTGAATATTTTTGTACACATAACGCGTCACGTCGATCAAATACATGTCATCATGACACATCTTATTTACCTGTGTGTCTGATTTGGCTCCCATTTTCTCTTCACCTGACGTGTGCCACTAAGAATCTTAAAGTAATCCATTGGAGCAGGGATTGAACTAAAACAGCTGTTGTAAAAACACAGGTCAGGACTGCAAGTTTTAATTAACATTACTTTAAAAGCAAATATCTATTCAAATAATAGATTTCTTTTCCCAATCATGCATTAATACTTAAAAAAAGAGCAAAGTATAGCCTAAGAGGCATAAAAGCTGGTCTTGGCTGCTAATACGGGAAGGTGCCAACCAAGAAACCATCTGGTGCAGTAAGAGGACTAAGACACCAGCTTGAGGGTTTACAGGTGAGTGTGGCTGTGAACTCATTGAGAGCACTGTGATGTTTCTGCAGCACCTAAGAAGCAAGAGCCTGGTTGGTGTGTTGCAGCTATGAAGACCTGCAGCCTCTGACATACTGGAGGGGAATGTAGAAGATTGGCATACACAACAGGTATATCAAAGTTTTATCACTAACAAAAAATGTAAATGCTAATTATTAAATAAAAGTAACATAAATTTGTGAAGTTGTTTATGAACAAAACTAAAGCTTTGCTCATTTTCTGAATAAATGTCAAAAGAATGTATTTAGTTTTGAATACTCAACATTTTCTGACTTTGATTTTGTGTTTGAAAGTTTAACATTTAAACTTGCCTGATATTGCATGAAGTCAGCTAACCTGTTTATAAGACTTTGAAGAGAAAAGAATAACTAGATCACTGTTATTGTTTGTAAAACACCAGGTATCATTTCCATAAAGTGACAGAAGCAGTTTTATTTATGACTCAAAAGACAGACGGATTAGAATGGGTCATAATGTGAACCTTCATATTCTTGACTTTATGCATTTTGTTGTTTTTAACCTATCACCACAAATGTTGTGGAGTGTGCTTACCTTCTGGATTACACAGGGAATTACACAGTATTAAAACAGGATAATCCAGGAATTTGTGTGATTCCTGACCTGGATTCAACCTTTAACGTCTTTCTATTATCAACATTTGAACCGTCGAACAGTAAAGATTTATCATCCACTTTAGCTGTCTGAAATAATATTTATGTGCTAGATTCTGTCAATCTGCCTCATAAACTTGAATTTTGAGACATCAAGAGTGTCATTTGTTATGGTTGGTTTGGATTTTTGGATAATTTCATTACAGGAGTTGTGGCCTGAGTGACTGGGTTGAACGTAATGACACAAAAGTATTATTTATGAAGTCATTTTTCACATATTCTTTCATTTGAAACTTTAAACTATAGTTTCTGTGTTCATAAATACATGGGAACAACTTTTAACTCTTCCTCTTCTCTGTAGAATTTGCTTTTCAACAATGGAGAGTCAATTCATTCTTTTCATCACTTTAATTGCATCTTTTTGCTCATTTGGGAGCCTTTTCCCAACTCAACACTTACTCAGCATCTCTGATTCAGTCAAGATAACTCAGATCCCAAGTAAAAACAATAATGATGTGTACTATGAAACCAGTGATGAGATCTTACACTCAGAAAACTTTATGGAGGGCAGTGGATTTAGTGCTTGGGGAGAGAATTCATCACAACTCAGTAATGACAGCAGAAACCAAGGAAAACCTGAGCGGCTGAGCCATGAAAACAATTCTGGGTTTGGAATCGCATTAACTACAAGACCAGCACTTAGAGTCCACTCCTCAGAGGTTCACAACCATAGAGCTCATTCAATTGGAGGATCAACTCTCTCCTCTGTGAGCTCAGAAGAAGCTCCTCTGGAAAACATCCACATAACAACCAAGGAACAACTAAAGAGAAGTCATTCATCCACTTCTCTGAATGGTGAGTAAACTATATAGGGGTGTGTATTGGTGATAAGATAAGATTTATTAGCCCCATAAGTGGAAAATGTGCTTTATCACAACATCACACATTACAGTACAAGGGAGACGATATGGTATATTGTGTTACTGTCAGTTTGGGACAGCAGTAGCTCAGGAGGTAGAGCAGGTTTTACAGTAATTGGAAGGTTGCAGGTTCGATCCCAGCACCCACCATTGAATGCTGCTGTTGTGTCCTTGGGCAAGGCACTTACTCCACCTTGCCAGCTGGTGGTGGTCGGAGGGACTGGTGGCACCTGTGTATAGCAGGCCTTGTCTCTGTCAGTGCACTCCAGGGCAGCTGTGGCTACATCGTAGCTCATCCCCTCCAGCGAGTGAATGGGTGAATGGCGGATTGACAGATGAAATTTCCAATCTTTAAGACTGAATTCAATGGAAAACTCAGGTCAGACGCTTCCAAGAAACATCCAGTGTTTTAGGGAGTCTAAGTCAAGCCCATCTACTTCTGGACCATGGGTCCCCGGATACAAAAAAACAAAAATGAATGCAAGTCAATGAGGCCATAGTTATTTTCTAATCCCATTTGATGTGGTCCATGTATTTCACATATGATGACCGTGATTTATATAAACACATTTTGATGCAAAGAAAGCACTTATTTTCAAACAACTGCAAAAGTTATTATAGGCTTTGTGTGAAAAGACGTGTAGGACTACAAATGTTCATCACACCAAATTGATGTCATTGAACCAGAAATGGAGAAGAGAAGATTTAACAAGCTTCGAATCCTTAAATTAGAAATTTTTACAAGCTAATGAATCGTAAATTACATGACAGACATAGTCAAAACACACACAATTACTTTTAAGTTAAATTGAAGTACAACATATGTGCGATTCAGGGTATAAGGCAAAGCAGATTAGAAAATAGCTTTTATAGCCCCATTCACTTTTTCTTTGTTCTGGGGACCCATGAGCCGACTGGAAGGGGAGGAGACTTAGACTCCTTTTTACAATTGATAGAAATACGTAGAAGCCCCATTGGGCATTGGAGAGTATAACTGCGTTGCCACCATACTGGATGGGTTCCTCACCCTCCAAACCCAACTGGAGTCAACTGGAGTGAGCAACTCTTCCGTTTTTTTAAACAACCGGCGCACTTATGAAAACAGATCTTGTGGGATTACAATTGACTTTTCTAGCCTACCTGTTGGGATTTTATATTTTAATTTATGTTGTTTAATTATATTTAAATTATCATGCCATACAATATGTCTGATTTTGTGAAAAAGCATAATAATAAAATGTGTTTTTTAAGTTGGGTAAGTACCTTCCTCAATAAAAATAAATGCACTGGGGGCAAATTGAGACCCATCTAAGATGGCGGCTAGCCACTATGGCAGCTCCAATAAGCAGCTCCAGTCCATGGGGCTCTACATATATGATGGCCCGCAACCTCAGTGCTCCCACTGCGCCCTACGGTCTTCTGTGAAGGACACTTGAATGAAGTGCGCAGTAAACCTTCAAGTGCGTGGTACAAAAGTGTGCAAATAAGTTTCGAATTGAGACAGGGAGCATTGAGTCCTCGACTGCAACGCATGCCCAGATGCTGGTTGTTGTGCTACTTAAAAACAAAAAAAAAAACGTTATTTAAAATAAATTTACTTACATTGCTGCTTTGTCTAAAACATTCAGAGCATCAAATAATCATCCTAAAATGAACTACTTTCATTTGAAATTGCATATTTTCAGAAAAAGCATGTAAGCCTTTTCTCTTGCAGCAATAGATTGTGGGCAATATCCGCGAAGTGCGGATCAAGGGTGCAAAAGGGGCATTAAAAAACTTCCTCACTTGAGAATCGGGACACCCAATGCACTTGCACCTCTGGCTGGCTGGCTCATGCAAATGAAGGGAGTAAGTGTGGACGTTTGAGTATTGGGATTGGCCGGTGTCTGTGCCTTTTACAAGGTTTTCTTGCTTATTCCAAATGAAGTTGGGAAAAACTGCTGCCACCTAGATGTCGGAGTTTGAATTGCTCCACACAAAATTAATACAGTAAATGTTAGGATGTAAATTCTCAATTAGAAAAACCATACAGTTTTTTAATATAGATTCAGTATCATAACACAAGCATATCCATCCATTTCCTGTACTCGCTTATCCCATACAGCAGTCTTTGGGCAGGCGTGGCACACCCTGGACAGGTTGCCAGTCCATCGCAAGGCAACACAGAGACACACAGGACAAACAGCCATGCACGCACAAACACACGCCTAAGGGCAATTCAGAGAGACCAATCAACCTGACAGTCATGTTTTTGGACTTTGGAGGAAGCCGTAGCACCCGGAGAGAACCCACGCATGCACAGGAAGAACATGCCTTGCAGAATGGCCCCAGGCCAGGATTTGAATCCAGGACCTCCTTGCTGCAATGCAACAACGCTAGCCACTGCACCACTGTAGAGCCCGTTGCCATATTTCAGTCTATCTATATTTTCTTACATCTCTATATCTAAAATTGAATGGACACTGTTGGTCTCATAAATCTGGGTGTGCAAGGGTTTCCTGCAAAAGCTACATTTTTCTTTAAGTTGATGGAAGTGTAGTGGTGCCAAATTGGAAAAACTAACAATCAAATTTTGTGATTCCAAAAATAAGAATTGCTTATTTATCTTTCAGGTGGAAACAACCCCAGAGTCTCCGTCCAAACCAGCATCTTTACCTTCATGAACAACCCAAGCCAGTCAGATCTCACACATCCCTGTGTTTTCGGAGTCACTCCCTGTCCTGGTTTTAACAGCTTTAATGGCACCACTCTGCTCTGGGATGACATGAAGCGCACACTGGCGTTTGCCTGGGAGCTGCATGTTTATGGATCTGCTGGCCTTTTCGTGCTGATGGCAGCTCTAGCCGTTTTGGGAATGGCTAAAGGGTGCACTCTTCCTCACCCCCTAAGTGACAACTTAACACTGTCAAACCTTCTTCTGTTCATTAGTGGAGCTTTACGCACCACTCTCCTTCTCCTGGATCCCTATGGAACCTGTCAGTTTCTGCCTCATGCCATGCTAGTGGCACTACAAAATGTTCCCCTGCATCTTCTTCTGTGGGCACAGGTTGTCCTCACCCTAGTCACACTCAAAGGGTTAAAGTTGATCCTTTTCCCATCCAAGTTGCAGTACCCATGGCTGGTTGGATGGCTCAGTGTTTCCCACTGCACAGGATTACTTGTAGCAGACCTGTACTCCTCAGCTTTGCCCCCAGCTCTTCCTCTCTTGTTGCAGACAGTCTCTCTTTGCTGGGGCATCCCTTTTTGTTTGGGGATTTTCACCAAATCCCTTTCTAATCTCCAATCCTTACCCAGCTCCACTTTCCCACAGTGGATTCCTTCACAAAGGACAGGGAGGTTAGGCAAACGAGTGATAGCAGTGTGCTCCTTCCTTGGGGTGTTGTGCTGCAGCCTTCAGATGTATAGTCTTCTCTGGCTTTATGGCTTACTGGGGAACTGGAGGCGCTTTGGTTGGGGCTGGTGGCTCACACAGTTTTGGGCCAGAATCCTTGAGTTGGCATGGGCGTTCTCCATGCTGTTTCTGGGTTCATGGATCTTCTGGACACCATTGAGGGGTCACACAAGAGGTGATCACTGGCTAGGTAGAGATGAGGTCTCCAAAAGGGTAGACAAGAAAAGCTTGTGGGATAAGATCTTGGACAGCATGCAGAGAGGCTCACTGAAAAAGTCAGAGAAGTCCTGGGAAGAACTGATGCCAAATAACTGGGTGAAGTATAACTTGTCTCGAACAGGAATCAGCAATGCTACATATATTGATGAACCATCTGTCATTAAACCAGAATACAACTCTGATCCTGTCAGCAGCAGCTCTGACTCTCAGACCGCCTTCCTGTGGCAAAAGGTGGGTGAACGAGAATGTGTTCTCTCACTTATAGAATTTGACATGCGGCCCCCGTCCCCTATTAACCTCAGACGCAGCATTGACAACGCCCTTCATCACAGCCAGTTTGTAGCAGGAGGTGCATTTACTCCCCCACCTACCTCCTGGACACTGTCTGCAGGGTCAGAAGGGGACAGCGGTCCAACAACGCTACCTCCAGCTTATGCTGGCTACAAATGGATGCTGGATGCAGAATCCATTTCTGCATCTCTAGACCACTTCCAGACAAGAGAGCCTATGCAGGCAGTAAGTGCTACACCTGGTTCTGATGGCAACATTGGGTCTCCAGCTGCTGGCAAAGAGGGAGAAGAATTTCAAGCAGTGATGCATCAACAGGACTGGTCTGAGGATGACATCACAGACCTCTGAACTCACCACCACCACCACTGATCAGTCTGCTTTATGAACTCTTTTAGGACATAGTTTAATTTGAGTGTGTTCATTAAGATGGTCTAATTTTGATTTAAAGAGATGAACATGCAAAACTCCTGCACTTGAGCCACTGCAGCCACTGTCACTCAGCAATACTTTTAACATGAGTTTTGGGAAGTAGAAAAAGTTTTAAAGGGATACTTCACAACGTTTTCATATTTTTAAATCATTTTCTTTATCCAGTATGTGCTACTGACCATTTGCAGGGCTAATGAAAGGCCACCCAGTCCCTATCGCCCCCTGTGGCCAGAATATTCCACTTGCATCTTCGAACTGGTGGGCTGCTCTGGTTGGGACTTTGAAATGGAGCTGACATACTACCTAGCACTGCAGTCTGCTTCCAGCACGTTTCCTGCATGTTTTAAATCATGAACGCAGCTGGTTTGTTTAATTTAGTGATAGGAAGGCTGGGAGACATTCCAGCTGTTAGATTAAGGTGTTAAAAAGACAAACGCACAGCGAGGAGATAAGTTTTGCTTTCAGTTCTTCAAACGGACACTAGGGGTGCTAAAAGCGCACCAAAACTGTCTAGTTTCCCTTTAACTTCTTGTGGTTACTTTGGTGTCTTGTCGATATGTGCTTTATGTTATAGAACACCTTAATCCACAAGGACAGTATTAAAATGGCAAATGTTTATTCTTTGAAGATAATATGAGATTTTCATGTGAGTTAAATAAATATTGTGCGTGTGTTATTTATGTAAAAACAATAAAAAACAAGTTTTTTTAAATTTTCAAGTCTAGTCTAAACTTGTCTTGAAGGTATAGATGGAAACGACTTTGCCTACTTTTTGCTTCAGATTTGTGTGATGTTTTTACAGGTTTTGTAAATAAATACACTTTGAATCTTATTGAATTCTGATGACTGCTTTTGGGACACAAACTGATAAAAAATGAACAACTATCGCATACATATTTGTATTTCACAAGTTATATACATAGATTTTAATCTAAATATGTAAATGTGATATATTTAAATGACATTTTAAATATTTAATAGAAAAATTAGCCTATTGAAGCTATTGTGGTGAAATATAACAATTTCTACAGTAGTAGTCTCTTTTTTAAATGTTTTTTCATCTTTAATTGGAAAAAATGCTCCTCTGTTTTTGCTAATTAGTTCGAGCTATTTGCTAAATATGAAGTTTCACGTGTCCCTGTACAAATAAACATTCATAAATCCATTTTCTGAAACCGCTTGTCCATGTAGGGTCGCGGGGGAGGGGGGTGCTGGTGCCTATCTCCAGCGGTCAATGGGCAATCAGGCGGGGTACACCCTGGACAGAGAGCCAGTCCATTGCAGGTTAAATAAACAACAAATAAACATTCACTTAAATTTTCCATACTTTTTTATTTTACACCTAAACGCAACACGTTCTTCTCACCGGCGTCTGCTTTAACAGGCGCGCCCTGTGACGTAACTGGCTGATTGGTCAATTAATTTCACACTATATGTGGCTTGAATCGCGATAGTTTCTGTCTTTGTTGTTTGCTCAACTTTTCAAATTAAGCACACTTCTAACATAAACCCACAGGAGGTGTGATGCATTGGAGAAATCATTTGTTGTGTTTCTTTATGACTCTTCTAATGTCCTTCAAACTCTGTAAAGCACGAGCCGATGAAGAGGAGGAGAGGAAGGTGGAAGGTGCTCATGTCCTGAGTCACGTGGAGTCTGGTTCAACTTTCGCATCTGCGGTTTTGCCTCGACCCGGTTCACTTAAGTTTAAACAGGAACACCAAGGTTTGTTTAATTTATGTTCTTGCACACTTGCACAGGTTGTATTTGACGTTATTTACCTGTTTTACGTCAGTGTTCTTTAAAAGTCACGTTACAATTGCATTTAAATGAACTTATGTTCTCTTAAATGTTGATAAAGTAAAGTGTCCAAAGCATCTGGAACTAAACCATTGCTCAATTAAACAGCTACCTTTTCTTATTTTAGTGAATTAACTCAAGGCCTATAGAAAAATTATAAAAAGTTCAGTGAAGAAAATAAATTGTTTAATTATTTAAAAACATTTGTCGCCCCCTAGTTGTGGGGTAGTCCATTGGTTAATGCACCTGGGTTTTTTTCTTTTGCCATGAGCTGACGCTGGTTCGAGTCCTGATGGTGTCGGCAGTAATTTACTTAGCCAGTTGAAGCTGATTTAATTATATTGTAGTTTTATTGGTTGCTTTCTGCGAAATATTTAGTGTCTCTAAAGATCTTTGAATTTGGTCATTTCCAAGCAGCATTTTAGTTGATGCTCACCTCACGTGGACTCACACAGGTTTCAGGTAGGCAGAACGTCTTGTTCTTTCAACTATTTTAACTTTCTTGGTGTTTCCAGTGTCTCAACGTGATTTGGCTGCAAAACTAAAGCTAATGAATCCATCAGTTCAATGTGGCAACGACCGGATGACCCTGACAGTCAAACGGGCTAGAGCTTCACATTTTCTAGTGGATACTGGTTAGTTGTGTATTTCATACAAGAGCTGGAAATGTTGGTTTACACCCAATAAGTATTTCTTTCTTCAATGTAAAACAGGTGAAGAGCCTCTGACCCCCCTTGCTCAGATGCCGTCTACATGTGGCTTCTCTGTGAGGAGATCTCGCCGAGATGTGCAGTATGCTGCATCCTATCAGAGCTGTCATGTCAGCAAGGAGGTATGGTCCACCTGCACTACCAGAGCTGTCACATTAAGTCCTCTAACCAATGAAAGGACGTTTTCCTCCTGTAGGATAGCGATTACGTCCTACCGTTGCTTTTTCGGGGGGCTCCTATGACCATGTCTTGCCCCAACATGCTGACGTCACCCGCTGTTGTCTGCTTCCCATCTAAGATGGTGGTGAAGCTTGGTGGAGTTGCAGCAAAGGATCTCAAACTAAAGGGTAGGAGATTGTACCATACTGTCATCTCGCAGCTCTAGTGAAATGTTTTAATCTTAAATGTATCAATGCTGTTGCAGTGTCTGGAACATGGCAGCCTTTATCATCAGCCTGCAGCAGCTGTGGAGTGACTTTTAAAGAGGTGTCTGGAGAAGTGGCTCTGATTGTACCATACAGCAGAGACTTGTGTGTAGAGATGAAGGTATGATGGTCAGACATGGAAGCTGACATAAATGGACATCTTTGACTGACTGTTGTACATTTTTGTAGGATGGGGAGTACTTCCTTTCTCTCCAGTGGGCAGATTTTGAGCTCCTAACCACATGCCCTCCGGTTCCAAGCACAGACTCTACAACTGAAACTGCACCACCTAGTGGCAACAATAAGTTCCAGCATCATCCTCAGCACCCTTATATGCAACAGTTTGCTCAAATCGAGCAGCCCTGGCCAACACAGAGTCCACTTGCACCTGTGCCTTCGCTGCCACCGCTTTTTGTTGTTACTGTGAATTCTCCTGAAAACCAGAAAATCCCAGAAGCTCAGAGCCCCGCTTTATCATTCATGCCACAGTTGTCCCAGTTCTTTGTACTTCCCAGAGCTGAATCACCACCACAGCTTTCTGTAAATGATGCTGTAAAACAGGTTCAGTTTCATCAGATGTCAAAGTCACCTTCATATCAGGTTCCTGTTTACCCAGAATTCCCTATGGTACCTGGAACTTTCCAACCCATAACCTCATCTCCTCTTCCTTCTGCCACTAGCACAGAGACTCCAGTAGCTGCACCTGCAGCAGTGAACAAGGAGAATCATCAGCTTTATGTACCACTGCAGTTCCCAGGGCTCCCTCAGCACCTTTTTCCAACATTCCTTAAACACCCATTGCCTTCAAATGATGACACGCAAGCTGTTGAGCCCAAATCTGGAACTGAGGAATTGAAACCACAACACCTCCATCCACATATCTTCCAGTTCCCCATGTTGTATTCTTCTCTTAACTATCCTTCTCAGGGACAGAATGCTTTCATTCCAACTCCTGTGCCTGCTCCAGCTACAATCCCAGCCAATTCAGGTCCCACGAAGACAATCGTATCTTTTGAAAACTCATTTTATCAGCCACACCCTTACATACCAGTGTACTTCGTTCCTGAACAGGCGTCCATGCCTGTGTTTCTTCCACCTCCACCCAATCCTCAGGCACAGCCAGTTCCATTGGATCAACACAATCACAAACCCGTCTACCATCCGATGCAATCGTTTTACCCTTTCCTCCCCGATCAGAGACATATGGCGCTCACAGGAAGCTGATGACACTTCTGGACTTGGTAGACAAAGCATAACTTTAGAGGTTTCTTTTTAGAAAACTATTATAAATAAATAAAACATTGTACTAAAAGCATGTTTCAGGTCAAAAATCAGTTCTCTATAATTTAATATGCCAGAATGCCAACATGTAAATGGGGGGTAGAATAAAGGGTGACAAAATCTGCAAGATTACTGACTTGGTCCTTGTGTGGGTGTGTTTGAAAACCTTTTTGATTAATTTAGTAGTTGGGTTGATTTGTGTATGTGTTCTTGTAAATGTAATTACTTTTTGTTGTTTAGCCCATTAAAATAATAGAAAACCGTAGTTTTAAAGCACAGGTGTTTCTAGGGGTGGGGCCATATGGGTTCCTGCTGAAATCTGATTCCCTAAAGTGCCCTGGTTGTCACTCAGTTGGATACAATTCCAAGTCCAAACACTAGTAGTGCTATTTAGCCAAATTGGAATTTCTAATGTCAAAATGTGCTCAAAGATGTTGAACTAATACTTGGCTCCTCTATAAATATTGTGGCCCTTTGGTGGCCCCATTCTAAAAATACAAAATCTGCCGCTGTTTAAAGTCCTTCAAGTTTGTGTCCTACTTGGATCACTCTCTAAAACATTTCACTTTTGATGGGAGGAAATAATCTTTGTACTCATTTAATTATTTGCATGTTTACACTAAATGTAGATTTGCTAACTTTTTCTGGTTAAGTGTCACAGTAGCTTGTAGGAGTAAGAAATTGAAAGCAAAATCATAAATTATGTATTTAAATAAATGGAAATGTTGAAATTCTGTATACTAAAATTGGACTCAAGGGTAGGGGAGAAATTAAAAACTGCGAATGTTGCATAACCAAATTAGAAAATGATGAATGGCTTGAGAAAAATACATTTTTAACATTACCTCCTCTTGTCTAATGATTAGACCCGTAAATCTTAAATGTCTTTTAATTGTGAAATCCAATCCACAGCTTTGAACAATGCACTGGTTTATGTGAAGGTATGTAGGGAAGCCAATCATGTAATCAAATAAATTTGTCATTGTCAAGCAAAAAAACTTTCTTCAGATGTCCACTGTGTTTAATCTGCAGTGGAATTAAGTAGTTCTAAATATCAGGAGCTGATGGTTCATTAGATTAAGCAGAAAAGTGATGGCATGCCATTTGAGAAAAACACTTGTGTATTTCTGAAATATTAAAATGTTTAAAAAATAAAACAAAGTCTAGCCAGTAAACATGTTTTAAACTTTTTTTTTTTACTTTTTAAGTAACCATTTCAGTCATGTAGTATGCAGTTAAGTGTAACTTTTACTAGTAAGTTTGCTAATTAGGATAACTTGGATTTCCGTTTTGACAAGTAAGAACCCCATTTTAGTTTATTGTAATTAAAGGTGTTGTATGTAAGAATAGTGACATTTTTGCAGTGAGAAAATCCCGAGAGTAATGTTTGTCATTTTGGAAGGAAAGGTATAATGAAACATATTTCAAGGAAGGAGGGAAGTTACTGTTTACTACATACTATCAGTGGGTGTGGGGTTGCCATGTCTCCTGCAAGCTAGTACTGCAGTGCAGAAAGTTGTAATTTGATGATGGCCGGCAAAAAGCTCCAGTTTTTTAAAGTGATTTTAGTAACCGAAATTTCCCACAGAGCGTATTTTTTTTACTTCATTTCTACATAATGCTCCTTTAAAAATTATTGCTTGGAGTGTGGTAAATTTATATGTACCAACGGCCTGCCATACAAGGTAAGGCTGCTGTGACGCCGAGCACGCAATATGACGTCACCGTGGGAGTGTCGACCATCGGGAGAAATGAACGATCATCAACTCAGCGCTCATGTAAGTTGAAGCTCATAAAACTCACATTTTTTGCCATCAGCTTTATGAATGAAACGATGTTTCATATGCGCGTGCCCATCTCGCCGTGGGCCCGAGGCGGATTTAGGCTGTTTATCCTGTTGTCGCTGCCGCCTGGCGGTGTGTCACGGTCTGCCTGTAGCTAACCATGGCTGAAGCCGAGGCGATGTTTTTTAGCCAGAGAGCTTAGCCAGCCTGCTAATTGACAGGCTGACTAATCAGGCTTCGAATAAGCGCCTGATTTGCCGCCCAGGAAATTCGGGGTGGGCGATGCAGAGCGCACTGAAATGTGCTTATGACAGAGAAATACTGCTTATATGTCCTAAGAAAACGACTGGAGAACTTTCCCGATAACACACCCAGCAGTCGGCTTTACTATTGTATGCCCAGATTCTTCCGCATTGATAGCGTTATACCAAATGCGAACAATTTCGACGTAGTTTTCTTTTATAAAGTGTAAAACACGTTAACTCTTAAGTATTGGAGCCACCATGAAACACAAGAGGAAAACCTGGTTGGAGTATGTGACAGATGGCAACTCTATACCTCCCATCTAAACAGGGTGTTCCAGCTTTTGATACCTGTGAGGACCGTTTACTCCCCTCGTCCTAATTCCGCTGCTGTATTTTAGCAAATCTGCATTTACGGCTCAGTTTTTATAACATATACACTTTTATTAATTGACCAAATACATGATTGTATTTAATGTGTTACTCAAAGACGTTGTAATAAGACAGCACGTAGCACATATGAAGGTTTGAATACCCCCTTGAGCCCGCCCCTCCCAAAGGCACCGGTGTGTACTCTCCAGTAAAATGAACGCCCTCCAACTCACCACGTTAGCTTGTGCTGCTACATCTAAATTGTCTCTAGCTGTGTAGACCTGATTTATTGTGAGGGTTAGCACCACTCTATTAAACACGTATAAACTATGCTAACCTTCTCTGGAGGCTCCGCGTGTTTCAGTCTAGCTCTATTGGCTAGCAAGTTGCTAATTTCAGCCTATTTCAACCTTTAGCCGGGTTGGTTGTTATTTTCTGTAACCCAACGTAACACCTAATCCTTTTTGTAGTCTAGTGAATTGGGCTATCAGGTTACAGGGATGATAGAGCTTTATTACCCATTTTGGACTTTGGTGAAACACAAACCATACAACATTTCAGAATTATTGGCTATAATCTTGTTGGTTATAATCAGAATTAGAGCAATATTTGCATTGTTTTTACTGCGTTTTTGTTTAATTTTACCACTGAATCCCAGTTTTGCCTCAGCAAGACAGACTGGTGGTTAATGTCTTGCAAAGATCTCCAAGGGACTTTTCTGCACTATTAATTAACAGTGCACAGGTAATTAAGCTGAAAGTCCTCTGGGGCTTTGCAGCGCAAAATGAAACCAGATAAAAGGGATTAGGCTTTTTAATGGGAAGTTGGAATCTCAGGGGTTTGAATTTGAAACCTTTCTTTTTACTGTTTGACAAAAGAAGTCACCTTAATAATCTGAAATGCATCCCATTTAATACAGTGTTGCAACATTATAACAGAGCATACTTAAGTCTGTACACTGTATTTATTATTGGTTGTTGTAAACGATACTTGGGGTACAGCTTTGCATTTTTAAAACTGAGACAAGCAGTTTTTTATATCCACAGATTTTCTGTTCAAAATCAAATTTTGATTCATAAAAGTTTCTAATTGTTCTTTTTTCTTCCTTTTTGCAGCATGTGGTTTTTCTAAATTCCCACAAACAAGGCTTGGTTTGGATAAGTGACCCAGAGAAAGCGTGGCTGGAGTTTGGCTTGAATTATTAGGCCTTTTCTGTGTTAATAAGTGCACAGATCTGCTGCTAATGATCACACATAAAGGTAGGTTATTCTAGCATCAAATGTGGTGGGCAATGGTTATTGGTTAACATTATTTATACAATATTTAACCTCTTGTTTTATTGACTAGTAGTTTTTTTGTGCAATTGTTTGGATGCTGTTTTTTGTAAGTTTTATATGTTTGTAAAAGAAAGATTCTTAGTAAAACCTCTTCTGGTTTTAGTCACAAATTAACCATCATTTAACTTTGTGTGCCATAAATAACCTCTCAAAATGAAAGTCTGAAATAAAGAATCCTAAAGAAATAGTTTAAACAATGTTTCTAAGTGAAAATAAAACTGCTTGTGGACATGCATGGTGTGACATTGGAACACTGCGTACAGAGTGATAGGTGAATGTTGGTTGACCCACTTTAGACTCTCCCTTCAGCCTGGAGGAGTCAGATGTCATTGTATTTTCACTGCAGATGCAGGATATTGTTCCACATCTGTGAGCGAAGTCAACTTTTCTTTGGCACTCTGGTCGTGCCAACATACATCACTCCTGTTGTTTTATTTAGGATACATTCAGAGGTTAAACGAATGGTTTACTATTAGACTTTTTATTTATGGAATCTCATTGCTTTTCTGTGAGTCACTGAGATGTTTTCTGTGAGATTTGAAGCAGCTGCCATAACAACCTCCACACAGCTACCAGCAGCATCGGCAATCCTATTTTAACACAAAGCCTTTACTGTAAACAACATTTTGTTACATAAAATGTCGAAAGAAAACAAATATTTTTTGCTCTTCTAAAAATACTTTTCAGGTTCTCATGTTTTAGTGAATTAAGGATCATTAGTGTGTGAGCATTAACGCCATAAACAATTTAAACAATTTATGAGTAACATGTTCATATAGAGGTGATTAAAAATGTTGACATACACAAACAAGGCTGAGGTCCATTCACAGCCAGTGTCTCTTATGAGATGGAAGATGTACCAGCAGGACCAGTAGGAAACAAATCACTGCATATCTCAAATGAAGCGTTGTATTGGCTTTTTGGTGTTGGATTGCTCTTCTGGCTTGTTAAATGATACTGTTGCTGTGCTGACTTATAGGATTTTTTTCTATTTGTCTGGAAAGCAGTCCATGTACTGCATTATTAAACCCACTGCATTAAAGGTTGAGTCAACGTTCCTGGAAAAAGCCATTCCAGAAGGCTGCGTTTTGGAAAAACAAAACAATTCTAAGGTCAGACCTCCTTGATGGTTGCAGAAAATGGTATAACTCTCCCCAGGGACAAGGATATTGTGAAATAGTCATAAAAACACAATGTTGTCTTACGTTTCCAACTTGTTGTTTGCTAGCCTAGACACCTAGAAAGACCATAGCAGAAGCTAAATGATTTTGATTTGCAGGTCGGTCTAGCCACGCTCAATTGGAACCTCAGCAAGCCCGAACAGTCTTGTGCATTGCCAATCACAGCGCTCTTATCAGTTTGGTGGGTGGGATGATGCGGCTGAGCGAAAACAACCAAGATGGCGCTGGCTCATATGAAACAATTTTGGCATCAATTTTGAACTTTTTAGACTAAGGCTCTTCTTTGAGTCAAGAGTACTAACACCTAATTTTTACTTCTCAGTCTGCGTCGGTACGGAGACACACAGAGGGTTACCCCTTCTTTCCACCGGAGCCGTCAGCAGCACGTTACTGCAGCAGCACGTCTTGCTCGCGTAAGCTGCTGCTTGGCCCTTCCCACGAGACGCGATGCAGCAGGGGAGCAGCTGTCACCGACAGAGCACAAAGTCACAAGAGTGACTTTGTCAGTAAACACAATAACAAGCAGGAGAAAATTACAACATGGCTCCAAAAGGTTTGTGTTTTATGTTCTGTCCGTTTTATAATCGCCAATACGGACCTGAAAAACAAAGGAGACCGTTAGCTAGGTGATAACTTCTCACGGGGCCGCACAGTTAGTAACTTTTTAAAAGTAAAGCAACCGGAAGGCAGTACGTTTCTTTATTCTGAAAATCTCGGGAGCTTCTCTCTGTTTCCGCATCCAATTTCCTGTCTTTCCTTCCCCAAAAATGTCGAACTTGACCCGTTTCAGAGGCGTCGCGCGTAGAAAATAGAACCGGAGCATAAGGGCCGCGACATGCTGCTCCTGAGACGCGGCCGACTTGCGCTGCTGACGGCTCCGGTGGAAAAGGTTCTGTTGACCACAGCGGTTCCTATCAGCAGCTATGATGTGCTGCTGCAGTAACATGCTGCTGACGGCTCCGGTGGAAAGAAGGGGTTAGGGTGGCAGAGACATGCCCAACTCTCTGTCAAAAGTGACAGAGATCACAAGCTTGTGATTGGTCAGGGTACTGCTTCTTATAAATTTGTCAACAGCACCCCCATTGCCCCCTCAACAAACAAAAAGATACTTAGCGGCATACGAAACAGATTGAAAAACATCTCATGGTTAAAGTCAGAATATATGAACGTTTATTCACCCGTGACTGAAGGAGTACAAAGGTATGCAACAAGTGTTTTATTCATGGATGGAAATGACGAGAAACGTGGGTTTAAAAATACCGATCACATAAAGAGGTGGAGGAGAATGAGGGACAGTTTTGTTCGTGTTTAAAAAGTCACTGAAATACATAAACTAAGTAGTTAATGCTCTATCTTGGACTGGATACGGGACTGTAATGGTGGCAGGATGAATATCCAGGAAAGCTCCACACTTGAGCTGACAGAGAAGTATAAATTAGACTTTAAGTCCCTTATTTTGAAAAATAATGTATTTGCATCTTCTTCTGTGGTGTATGGCGGACTGCCCCGTTTACTAAAATCTGTAGCTGTGAATACGTCACATTGTACGACCGTAGATTCCACCCCACGACTGAGTTCTGTCTATAGGTCATGGCCAGGCTATATATTCACATATAAAGGATGGCCTCCCAGGCAATTTGTTGGCAACTTTTCTGCCATAATTATTAATGTAACACACCTACGTAACCGTATAACAAGTTAGAATGCTAGCTAATATAATGTAGTGTTTTTATGATGGAAAACAACGCAGTTTTTAGCTTTCTTGGTTTATTTTCAACTTCAAAATCAAAGCAGCTGCCAGCAATCTGGAAAGACCCTACAAACAATGGGTAAAAACCTCCGGAACCCACCCTGAACCCCTTGGATGGCTCCACACACATTCATGCGCACACATTGCTAAGACAACAAATTGACGGACAGCTCTACCAGCCATAAATGGACAGGCTCATTCTCAGACAACAGCTCCATCACCTAAATATTTCCTAACAAGAACAGAACCAGGCTCTAAACAGAACATGTAAAACAGTACTCTTATTTAATACTTAAACAAAATTTGCAAACACAACAGAAAATTCCGTCTGTCGCACTAGGCAGCCCAGCTCTGGCTTCACTTCTGGGTGTGTGCAGTGGTAGGAGAGATAAAGTAGCACTGTGATGGATGGGTTATGATCCAATCATTAAGAATGGGACGTTCGCAGAGATTGGATGTAGTTTTTCCAGGTTTGTATGTTTCAGAGGAGATTAAAATAATTCCTTTTTTCAGGAAGCGCCCCCACCCTCCGAACCCTCCCGCCTCCTTGGCCCTCTCTTTGGATTCTGACAATATTTCATTTGTTGGTTTCCATTGGTATGTGAAGAGCATTTTAAGCAAAATGGCAAAAAAATGCCACCTTTAAATTTTTTGTGAAATATGCTGAACACTTTAGCTCATAATCCTATATATTTTGGGTAATTCATCCCAACAGAACACTAGAACCTTTCAACTCAACTCATTTTTAAACCTAAACTTTGTGAAAACTAGGCTTTTATCTTCAGAAACAGTTATATAGGGTCACAGGAGGACATTTGTATGTATGAAGGCCAAGAAAATCCAGCTTCCAGTTTGAGATTTCCTGCTGATTTAGCATGAATAAGCAGCAGGTCTTTGGTTTCAGTTTCATGTAATACAAGGATGGAGCGGCCCAACAAGATCAGATGAACTGTTGGTGTGTCTTGAGTAACGGACATGGATGTTTGTTTGGTTACAGTGATCTGTTTCACGAGTGTTAATTTTGTACAAAACAGTTAAAATGACTAAATAACTTGGTGTGGAGTGTGGTGCCTTGGTCTGCCTGAGTGTTAGCGGCTCCCGGGTCATCCTGATTAATCCCGATGGCTGCCTGGTGGGATCTCGGTTCCTGGGCTCTGCTGGGTCCCCGGCGGGGCTGGTCGCCCCTGGGTCCCGGGTCGCTGGGTTCCGGGCTCGGCCGGCTTGGGGGTGGGAGGCTGTGGGCGGGCCTGAGGGCTTGCCGCTGATATCCCCCGAGACTCTGCCGGCTGCTGGTTGTGGCCCCCCGGGGCGATCCTCTGCGCCTCTCGAGGGGGGCAGGGGCTTTTCTGGTCAGTCTCCCTGGGGTCCCTGTGCTCTAGGGCAGCTCCTGAATCTCTGAGACTTCAAATTCAAAGATACTTCATTAATCCCAGAGGGACTTGGAGCTCCTTCCATCTCCTACGCATCTTTGGGGGGCAGATCTGTGGCCCCTCACACTCTCTATTGGACGCTCCTATAGAGAAACCTTACATATTGACAGATTGATGTCAAGTTGTTATTGTTGTTGTTAGCCTCAAGGGCAACATGTCGATTATCACTTGTAAGTCGCTTTGGACAAAAGGGTCTGCTAAATACATAAACTTATACATGCACGGGTACACACATGGTGCTCTCATAAGTATGGACATGGGCACGTTCAACACATGTCGGCTGTGGTTGGCACTTAATGCACTGTGATTTATTATTGTGATTGTTCAGTAAAACAATGTTGACTTTATATTTCCTCATCAGGTTGACGTAGTGATAGCTTGCTCCTGTTGTGCGTCCCTTTTCTGCGGGTCTAGAAGCAGACTCTTGTTCATCATTGATTGTTTGTTTTTGTGGAACCCCCCCCCGACTCCCTTTCTCTTTCACCTCTGTCTCCATGTCTGGTCGGAATTACAGAATTACAAGCATTCAAAAAACAATAACAATACATTTGTAAGTATCAGGCGTGACATTAAAAGCAGATGCTTTGATGCTCTACCAGAGAGTAAATCTGTAAGGCTTGTCACCAGCATTCAGACATCAATTCTGTTTGCTTCACAGCCAGACAGGACACAGGGAAAAAAACAAAGTCTAAATAAATCTGCAACGTAGCTGAGGAACTGATCTGTTCCTTTTAAATATTTACACATTTGTTGGTCTGGAAACAAAGCATGTCTGGAGGAATAACTCCCATGCTAACATCCCCAATGCCCTCCTCGTCTGTGCGTGCGTGTGCGTGTGTGTGTGTGTGTGTGTGTGTGTGTGTGTGTGTGTGTGTGTGTGTGTGTGTTTGCGTGTTTGCGCGCGTGTGCGTGTGTGTGTGTGTGTGTGCAGTGATGGCTTCGTGCCTTTTAGCTGCCATGTTTTCATGTTTTGTTACTATCAGAGGTGTTGAGCTGATGTCATGTTAATGTTTTTGTGTTGTGAGCGTTCTTTGTGCTTCAGTTACATAATTAATAAATATATAAATAATAATATAAACCTCGTTAAGCATTAATAAATTGCCGCCTTTTAACATTTGAACTAAATGTCTTTTGGGTCTAATGAGGTCTTTTTTTTTTTTAAGTATTTTGTCTGCTGCCGTTCTCTTCCACATCCACCTCTTCCACTCGCTAATGAGTGGAAGGTTTCGGCTTGAATGTTTCCTTTTATTTGCCTTTTTTTTTGGTACCTTTCTGCTCCATAAAGAAAACTGTCTATTTTTGTCTGTTTGTGCTTCATTTAGCTTTTCCTGAGTTGTGAGTCAGAAGAGAAGAGGCTGGGCTGATGGTAAGCTCTCCGTCACTCTGTTTCTCCTCTCCTCTAGGTTCATATCCGCATTGTATCACTACACGATGATAAACAGAAACAAATGGTGTTTACTGTAAGCAAAGCTTTTCATTGCAGGATTTGGGCCGTAGCCAGATAACCGAACACCTTGTTCAGTTAGCCAGTCGTCACTTTCCATTTAGTTTTTCATTTACTGCACATATTTTTAATTTAGTTATTTTTACTTTTTCGCCATTTTCTGGTTTTCTTTTGCTGGTGCCATCGGAGCACTCTGTTAATTTGACTGAATACTTTCTGAAATGTAATTATTCGTTTATTTTTATTTCTTTTTTAGATGAAGTCAAGCTTTAAATGGCTTGAAGAGTTCACACTGAACTAACGTGTTCAGAATAAAAAGCAAAAGCATTTCAGAAACTGTTCACAAAAGCTTTTTATTAGTAGAATTAGACTTTTTTGTGTTTCTGGGTTGACATAATGAGACATGACATTAATATGATCTAAAGTTTACACCCACTGATTTCCTCTAGGAGGAAACCTTTTATTTTTCAATAATAAGTAAATATTTCAAACACTAAAGTGCTAATTGTGGTCGTGTCCATGTTGTCAGCCCGGGTTTTATTGCGTGGAGATTTTCATATGATTTGTTTGCCTTTTCCGTTCCTCACTGCTGCGTGTTATAATGCGTTTTATTTTCCTTTTTTGTGGTAGACAAGCATGACATTGAGCCAAGCCACAGATGCATGCCCACTCAAAAGGCCCAACTGAGCACCATCCCCTCTGCTTCCCGGCTCCTACCCGGCCTCTCAGAGGGGGGGGTGTCGACGGGGCGTAGCTAGTCTCCTGCAACCCCCCCCCCCCCCCCCTCCGTAGAGCCTCACTGTGAAACTGGAGGCCTCTGATGGATCAGGGTAGTAGTGAGCAGAGTCCGGAGGAGCCGGACGCTGGAGGCCGAGCGGAGCTGGAGGTCGGCAGGAGGGCGTCGGAGTCAGAGCACGGCTTGTCCAAAATCACACACAATGCCCTGGAGAACATGGGAGCGTTGGGCCATGGCCTGAAGCAGTTCTTCCAGCCACAGCGCCGACGCTCCTCCGTTTCTCCACATGACTCCGCCTTGTCCTGCACGAGTGCCCCTCCCTCCGAACCCACTGATGTCGGGTCAGAAGTGGGGGATGCTCCCGCTTCCTCGGCCCTCTCTTTGGATTCTGACAACCCCACCGCTTCCGCCCCTCCTGCAGCTCTGAGCCGTGTTCTACAGCAGATCCGAGGTCCGCCGATGATGAAGCGAGGCACCAGTCTGCAGAGTCGCCGCAGCAAGGCTGGGACCGCTGGCGATCCTCCCCAGAAAGGAAGCCCGCAGATCCACCGACGGAGCACTCATGAGGCCCTGCTGCAGGCTGGACGGCCACGCTCGTCCTCCACCACAGACACACCTAGCAGTCCGGCCCTAGTGGACATGCTGCTGACCTCTGGGTACCACTCCACTGAAGAGCCTGACAAGGTGAGATCTCTGGTGTGAAATGTGCCACAACACAGTCTGTCCTATGAAACCGATGCCTTTAATGCACCTGGAGATGCTTCATTAGCTACACTTAAATATCCTCATGCAAAGAAAAAAGGTAAAAACATTTTTTACTCAGAGACCATTAAAGCTTATTTCCTGTTTTTACATCTCTTTTTACATCCCAATCAGTGACTTACTCCTAAACTAATTTATTCATGTTTAAATATCTGCTGCGTCTTATGGGTACACAGGCAAAAACATAATCTGGTACCTTTAATAAAATGTATATATATATATATATATATATATAATCTTAAAAAGTTCCATTTCTCGAAGAGCTGGAGACTAAACATGTCACTTGTTAGTTTTTGCTAATGAGGCATGAAATGACCTTTATTTATCTATTTGGTTCTAAAAAATAAAGGCTTGGAGGTGATTCATATACTAATACAAGCACTAACGTCCAAACCCAGTGAAGTGTGACACGACAGTAAATGTCTCTGGATGCACCACAGAACGGGCAGATGAGCTGTCCGTGTTGGAAGGTCAGAGATTGCTTTTGACTCTTGAGTCACTCTTTGCTTTAAGCCTTTCCTCAATTTAGCATTTGTCTTCTCGCGGTGCACTTCAGGTCAGCGAACGCCTGCAGCTGTAAACAAACTCAAACTTGTAACATTTGTTAGTTTTACTTTGAATCTCCAAGTGGAGATGTTGGAGATGCACTAGCTTGAATCTGTAAGTTGGCCTGTGTTCCTATTTCCTGAGGGCTGCAGATGATGATGCCGTACATGCTTTAAAAATCAGTAATTAATAATAATAAATGATGGATGGATTCTTTTAAAGGCTCTCTTCAGTCACAGAGACCTCTGTTGCTTATCAGCTCTGGAGGAAGTCTTGTTTTGATGAGATTTATGCTTTCAATTGTTGAAAAGGAGCCATTGTTTGGGTTTTAACGCAGCTCTGCTGATGACTTATTGATCCGTGACGCACTTATCTGTAAAGTGTTGCAGAGCATTTCAGTTTGTGGAGGAAAAAAAAATGCTCAGCTGTCTGAAGCAAAGCAAAGTCCAGAGACACTGTCACTTTCTCTGTGCCCCTGTTTAGTTTAGATAAACTCAGATAAAGTAGAAAGATTCTTGGTGACTATGTCATGGTCTGGGGAATACGTCTAACCCAAGACATGCAGAATCACAACAGCTCACGGATTGAAGGTAAAAAAAAATATTTATTTTATAACGGGAACTGAAGGTGCACTAGTAAGTCCAGTGGGGATCGAGAAATGGGAGCGCAACGTCTGAGAAGGGGAGAGCAGATACAGTTGAGTCCAGGGAGGTAAGTCTTAACTTGGTGGGTGCAGAGAAAAGACTTACTGGGAGATGGGGAAGTACCAGGATGAGGGAGGGCAGGTTGAGAGCCGGGGTGTATCCAAGAGAGGGGCCCAGGAGAGGGAGCATGAGGAGGGCAGGTGATTGGGTCGGTAAGGAGGAATGGAGAACGGTGGAGAGCTGCGTCCAGAAATCCTATGAAGCACAGGTGAGTAATCCTGAGGAGTCGCAGAATCAGAGACGTTCCAAAAACCTGGAGACGGGTAATCACAAAATCCAAAGTTCACAATAGTCCAAGAGACACGAGAGCACAAAAACCAAGAATCACTAGGAGGCTAGAAATTACCAAGCTGTAGTAATCATCCAGCGCCACGGTGTGTTCTCCTTCCTCCTTATTTAGCCGGACCCACTGATTGCCAACGAGATGCAGCTGGAAACCTCCCTCTCCTGCAACACACAGCTCAGAGGCGGAAAATGAGAGGAGTACTCACCCCGGCTCATGACAGTACCCCCCTCTCAACGGACGCCTCCTTGTGTCCTAGCAGATGCTACCTCGAAGTCCCGGATAAGGGATGGATCTTCAATGAAGGAGCAGGGAACCCAGGACCGCTCCTCCGGACCGTAACCCTCCCAGTCGACGAGGTACTGGGTACCCCGGCCACAGGGACGAGAATCCAGAATCCTGCGAAAAGAATATACAAGGCCCCCCTTGTAGAGCCGCACAGGCGGAGGAGGCGCAGGGCAGAGGGGGCTTGAAACCACTGGCTTCACCAAGGACACGTGAAACACCGGGTGGACCTTAAAGGTGCGAGGAAGATCCAACTGGACCGTGGGGGGAGTGTGGACGTCCAGAATCCGGAACGGGCCTATGAACCTGGGTGACATTTTGTGGGTGGTTGCCTTGAGTGGAATGTCCTTCAATGAGAGCCAGACCTCCTGACCAGGGGAGTAAACGGGAGTCGGACGCCGCCAGCGATCTGCAATCCGCTTGTTCCTGTCGGCTGTTCTGTCGAGTGCTGCCCGGGTGGAGGTCCAAGTGCTTGGCCCCCCGGAGAAACTGCGGAACCGTGGAGGGAGCTGAGGACTGTAGGGGAAACAGGAAAGGTTGATAACCCAAGGAGGATTCGAAGGGGGACTGACCTGTTGACGTGGAGATGTGGTAGTTATGGGCATATTCAACCCAGGCGAGATGGGAACTCCAGGAGGATGGTTGAGCAGAACAAACACAGCGTAGCATTGCCCCGAGCTCCTGGTTCATTCTCTCACATTGTCCGTTGGTCAATGCGGATGGTATCCAGACGTGAGGGCGACTCTAGCCCCCAGAGCCTCGGTGAACTCCTTCCAAACCCTTGAGATGAACTGGGGACCACGATCCGAAAGAATCTCCACAGGGATACCATGCAGGCGGAATACATGTTTGATAAGAAGTTGAGCTGTAACTGAGGAGGAAGGGTGAGATTTTAAGGGGATGAGGTGGCAGGCTTTAGAAAACCTGTCCACTATGGTAAGTATTGTATTGAATCCATGGGAGTTTGGCAGACCACAAACAAAATCCAAGGCCACATGAGACCACGGGCGAGACAGTGTTGGAAGGGGATTCAGCAATCCCACTGGAGAAAAAGAAGAAGAAAGTATTATTTCTATAGCGCCTCTCAAGATAAAAATCACGAGGCGCTTGGTCTCCCTTTTGCTGAGCACAAGTGTGGCATCCTGATATAGTCTTTTACATCTTTGTACATTGCTGGCCACCAGAATGTTCGTTTAATGAGAGCTATTGTGCGTCCTGATCCGGGGTGAAGCGAGAATCGGCCAGGCTGTGCCCAGTGGATGACCTTGCCCCTCATGGCTTGCGGCACATAGAGACTGCCAGGAGGACCCTTACCTGGACCCGGGTCAGTCTTTAGGGCCTCCAGAACCTGATCCCCGATTCTCTAGGAGAGATGAGGATAGGGAAGTAATAAAATTGGTCTGCGGGTGAAATAATAAAGTGCTGTGTCGCTAAAATAACTAAGGATTTTATTACAAAAAGAGTATTTACAACATTAAAAGGAATATCTATGTACATAAACAAAAAGAGCTATCTACAAAAAGAAGGGGAGAACGGAAAATGCCAACCCAGAAGGGGTTGGGGATTAACCAACCGAAAATATGAAGAGCTTTCCTGATAAGCAGGCAAACTCAGGGGAGATCCAAGGTCAATGTCAATAAATGTTCCGAAGTCGAGTTGCCAAATTGTCTAATCCTAAATCCAAATCCAAATGAGTGTGTATACTGAAGATGAACGAGAGCAATACAAATTTTACCAGAAAAGCGCATGAGGAGAAGAGAATAGTATAAACTCAGACGAGTCTACACTACCCTGGACCTTCTCGTAGATAGTGGGCAGGAGAGCAGCTTTTAACAGCTGCTCCCTGATTTCCCATTACCCACAGCTGTTCAGGAGACCGGCGAGGCAGAAGCCACAGAGGCCATCTTGTGGCCGAAAAGGGGCAGCGCACGTAACACCGAATCTCCCATGTGACTCCGCCCACTACAAATGCTGGGGGTAGGATTGTGGAAAGCTCAACCTCCAGATCCGGTGCATACTGCCTCAAGAGGGCGTCTGGCTTAGTATTCTTGGGGCCTGGACGATAAGAGATCTGGAAATTGAATCGTGAAAAGAAGAGGGACCACCGGTACTGCCGCGGGTTGAGTCTCTTCACCTCTCTTAGGTAGACCAGGTTTTTGTGGCCCGTCCAGATGATGAAGGGGGTTTCTGCTCCCTCAAGCCAGTGTCTCCACTCCTCAATGGCAAGCTTCACGGCCAGAAGCTCTCTGTTGCCCACGTCGTATCTGCTCTCTGCGGGGGTTAAACGGCGAGAGAAAAAAGCACAAGGGTGAAGGCGATGGTCTGAAGGAGATTCCTGAGTCTGCGAGGTTAGCGGTTTGGCCAGATGATTCTGTCATGGTCTGGGGAATACGTCTAACCCAAGTCATGCAGAATCACAACAACTCACGGATTGAAGGTAAAAAAATAAATATTTCTTTTATAACGGGAACTGAAGGTGCACTGGCAAGTCCAGTGGGGATCGAGAAGCAGGAGCGCAGCGTCTGAGGAGGGGAGAGCAGATACAGGTGAGTCCAGGGAGGTAAGTCTTAACTTGGTGGGTGCAGAGAAAAGAAGACTTACTGGGAGATGGGGAAGTACCAGGATGAGGGAGGACAGGTTGAGAGCCGGGGTGTATCCAAGAGAGGGGTCCAGGAGAGGCAGCATGAGGAGGGCAGGTGAGTGGGTCGGTAAGGAGGAATGGAGAACGGTGGAGAGCTGCATCCAGAAATCCTATGAAGCACGGGTGAGTAATCCTGAGGTGTCGCTGACTCTGCATGGGTGGGTAATCCTGAGGAGTTGCAGAATGAGACATTCCAAAAACCTGGAGATGGGTAATCACAAAATCCAAAGTTCACAATAATCCAAGAGACACAAGAGCACAAAAACCAAGACTCACTAGGAGGCTAGAAACTACCAAGCTGTAATGATCATCCGGAATCGAGGTGTGTTCTCCTTCCTCCTTATGTAGCCGGACCCACTGATTGCCAACGAGATGCAGCTGGAAACCTCCCTCTCCTGCGACACACAGCTCAGAGGTGGAAAATGAGAGGACTACTCACTCCGGCTCATGACAGACTATTGAGCAATTTGACTTGAAAATCAAAGACACAATATTCTGTTGGTTAATTCTACAAGTGCATGTGTTAATATCATGGGAACCCAACATGTCTGCAAAAGATGTGCTTTAAAATGTCAGAGCTTCATTTTTTATATTAAATTAACACTATACAGTTTCCTGTGGCAACAAAGCCAGGCCACCATCAGTCCATGGTTTTGTAGACTCCTTTAGCTCCCTCAAACTAGTGTAGGTCGTGCTGATGTTCACTCTGATCTTAGCTCTTTGCTTTGCCTCCAACGACATTACTCTCTTACTTTTACTTCCAGGCTCCACCATGATGCCAACAGAAAAAGCAAACTTCTTCTTTTTCTTCTTGTGATTTTAATTGACAATCTACTAAATGAAAATGCTAACCACTAGCATTACAGCTAACAGCCATAAAGTAGGTTTAAGAGCAGCCCCTAGAACACCTACCTGTGCTACAAAACCATCTAGTGCCGTTTTTGATCAGCAGAGGGCTGCAGAGTCATGCCAAATGTGAAACTGGTGAACAGCAATCATTGAGATCAATGTTAAAAACCTATCTGTTTTTACTTTGAAGGGACTTTACGGAGTTTTGAATTTTTATGCTCGCTATTGCCCCCTCAGGCCAAAAGCGTAACGGCAGCTTCAATAGGAGGCACGTGCACGAGGCGCGCATGCTGTACGTGCACACTCCTTAATGAAAATAACAGCTGAGACAGTCTCGTGTGTGTGTGTGTGTGTGTATGTGTGTGTGTGTGTGTGTGTGTGTGTGTGTGTGTGTGTGTGTGTGTGTGTGTGTGTGTGTGTGTGTGTGTGTGTGTCCCTGTCCCGAAGGACAGAGGACAGGAGAATGCGCAGCTAATTAATTAAATAATTTGGTTCTGTACCTTTCTCTTCAGCACAGCCAACAAAGGTGTATGATGGGTCAGTCCTCCTGCATATTCAAATCATTCCCTTCCCTTGCTTGAAAAATTGTTCCAAAATGAAAGTTGAACCCACATCTTTTTTACCTGTGAATTCAATGCCGTTTGGCGAGTCTCAAATAAAAATTTGGGCATCTTACTGTAAAAAGATATATCATTAATGTAAAAAAGAAACACTAAAACAACTATGATCACATCCATAATCAAACCTGGGTCTTCTGCATGAAAGCCCGAAGTCTTACTAGACGAGCTAAACCACCAGTGACGTCATCTGTATCTGTAACATTTATATACTTGATGACAGCTGAAACAACGTTCAAAGAACGGTTTGGAGGGCTATGCCTGGACGTGAACGTGCATGAAGCAGCCTGCTCGACCCGAGCAGCTCTCTTTTACTGTGATTTTACAGAAAAATAGGCAATCACAGTAAAAATGCCAGGGCTCATTCTACAGGACCAGGGCATTGCAGGAGAATGTATTAAGAAGAAATTTATTATTTCTATACATGTTTTGGCTGTCAAACTTCCATAATGCTCCTTTAAGCAAGAATGAGAAAATGTTTTTGATATAAGAACTACAGCACTTGGCTCTCAAACAATCTGAATCATTTACTGACGTCAAATTCTAGACAACCAATCATTTTGTGTGATTTTTTTATTTATTTATTTATTTTCACTTTTTTTGAGCCAGTGTCGGTACAGGATCTGCTCGGGTGCAAGATCGGCTCGGGGTCCTTCGACTGCCGATGACGTCAAAGTACAGCAAACCCACTCGGACAAAATACACTACACATTATACTGTTGGAAAGAATTTAGCAGTTTCATTATTAAAATAATGTTTCTTAAGACGTAAGTTTGTGTTTATAACGGTATTTGTAAAATAAAACACTATATTCATAATGTTGAACTCCTTTGAGCACATCCCTTGAAGGATCATAGGTATTAGCAACACCTGTGAAATTGTATTTGCAGGAAAGAAATGTGTCCCGTTTATTGAAGTATTTTGTGTTTAGAGTTTTTGACATCTTGTCCATGCGTAGTTCACTTGCGTTCATAGCTGCTAGCCAAAACTCTGGAGTTAAAAGTGTTCTGGCCTTACTAAAATACCTGTCTGTACTTATTTGATTGATGGTAGTTTTGCTTTCTATTAGAATCCAAATGTAATCATTTGGCACGTTTCTAATTCATAATTTGTAAGAATGTAATTAGTGATATTAGCATTAGCATTCCTATGGGGTTTTCCATGTATATTAGCATTGCGCTAACCACTTGCTGCGAAATTGCAACCTTTGCGATTAGAAAATCTCCTTTTGTCACATCGCAATTTAATTGCACATGCAGTTAATCATTCAGCCTTAATATACATGCAGCTCTATGCTAAAAGTGTATTTTCAAAGAGGTAATGATGGATTTCTTTGTAAAAGTTGTCCATCTTTCCAACAGAAAGATTTGCCTGGACCAACGTAACGTGATAACAACGTAACGTGATTACGTAACTTCCGAAAGGTTCATGTTCAGCCAATCAACTACTTTGATGTCATCGGCAGTCGAAGGACCCCGAATCGATCTTGCACCCGAGCAGATCCTGTACCGACACCAGTTTTTCTCGTGTGAGAATCTTTGAGTTCAGAGTGAGTTTTGCGTCGTATTGTATACAGAGGTTTACGAGAGGCGATTAACATCGCAAGCAATCGTGGTCACACGAATATCTAACATGTTGGATATTTTTCTTGTCCCTCGTGAGAGTATTGCACTGTTGAAGCAGCACTGGGACCCAAAAGTACCAGAACTGTTTACAAAGTTCATGCACCAACACTTCACAGTTATTTCTGTGTCCACATATGTTGTTTACTTTTATTTTTACACTTTACTCCACACACAATGACGAGGATTATCAAGAAAGCTTGTTTTCCATGTTTTCCATAAACCCCTGCGTGTCCTTCTATGGCTAGCCTGTAGGACAACAAACTTGGTCAATAACAACTCAACAGTCTTCGGGTTTTCAGAATCAAAGGTCCGATGTGTTGTGTTAAAACTTCAATTTATAGCACATTTTCAGGTCCGATGTAAAGTTCATTCTGTACAAAGTTTAATGACAACAATCCAACAAGACAGAGCCTGGATTTGCATTCTGAACAGTTTTAAAAGGAAACGCGTGTAACGCGTCAAAAAGCAACAGCTACTCAACATTAAAACCATTAGCAGGGTGAAAAATATCAAAATGTTGGAGGCTCAGGCGGGCTACAACTTCTAGATCAATTTTATACAAATTGCTTTATTAATTATCTTCCTTTGAAAAATAACTTTGACGTACATGAGTGAACGGCATTGGTTGCTGTCCCCTGTTGTGATCGGTTAAAGCAGCTCTCGGCTGTCTTAGGGTGGGCCGCGGCTGCTGTGACTCCCAGTGTTTTCGTTACTGTGGGAAACTGGTAATGTTTTTTTGATAGAAAAATGTTGCCGACCCCTGCACTAAACTCTTTGTTATTTTAAACAGCTGGATCGGTATGATGGATCGGGCCCAGCCGTCTCCCCCAGTGCCCTCCTTTACGGCGCTGAGGGCTACGATGTGGTAGACAGTACCCCGGACCCCCATCGTACCAAACAGGCCATCGCTCAGCTGCAGCAGAAGATCCTGAAACTCACAGAACAAATCAAAATAGAACAAACGGCTCGTGATGACAATGTGGCTGAGTACCTGAAACTTGCCAATAATGCAGACAAGCAGCAGAGCGCACGAATCAAGCAGGTGTTTGAGAAGAAGAACCAAAAATCGGCTCAGACTATCCAGCAGCTGCAGAGAAAGCTAGAGCACTACCACCGCAAACTCCGGGAGGTGGAGCACAACGGCATTCCTCGCCAGCCCAAAGATGTTTTCAGAGACATGCACCAGGGGCTGAAAGATGTTGGAGCGAAGGTATGGGCCCTTTTTGTCTTGGATTTGTGCTTTTCCTGAAACAAAGGTCTGTTCAGGCTTTAGTTTGAGGGTTTTTGAGTTTTTCCAGCATATTTAAACATATATTCCCAAACTAGTTACCATAACCCTTTGTGAAGACTATGTTTGCTAATAGTCCAATTGAAAACACTGTAGCCAACCAGTCATTTTTGCCCAAGTTTGTCTTCTTACTTTCCCCTTTTTCCTGCTACCAACATTTTGTCTTTCTCATGTCCAGGTCACAGGGGGTCTGTCCAGCATCTCTCAAGCCACTCACTCTGCAGCTGGAGCTGTGGTGTCCAAGCCAAGAGAGATTGCTTCCCTCATCCGCAACAAGTTTGGCAGCGCTGATAACATTGCAGCTCTGAAAGACTCTTTGGATGAAACACAAGGAGATGAAGGCATTGGTCCTGGGGGATCACGAGCCCTCGGTACTGGACAGTTACAATCCAGCCCAAAGTATGGCAGTGAAGATGACTGTTCTAGTGCTACTTCTGGTTCTGCTGGGGCTAACAGCACCCCTGGAGCCCCTGGAGGCCCCCCTAGCTCCAGGGGTAACACTCTGGATCCCCAGACCTCGGGCTTTGATGCTATATTCCACGAGATCCAGGAGCTCCGGGAAAACCAAGGCCGACTGGAGGAGTCCTTTGAGAGTTTAAAATCCCACTATCAGCGGGACTACACCATGATCATGGCTGCTCTGCAGGAGGAGAGATACCGGTGAGGGTGGATTTTCCTCTGTAGTTCTGTGTTACAAGGACATGTTTTGTTTTCTGAACTGTGGATGTTTTGCAGGTGTGAACGTTTAGAAGAACAACTCAATGACCTAACAGAACTGCACCAGAATGAGATTCTGAATCTCAAACAGGAACTAGCCAGCATGGAGGAGAAGATTGCCTACCAGTCTTATGAAAGAGCCAGAGACATACAGGCACATATCACAAATGCAGCCTTTCTGCTTCGTTATCACAGCTTCTTGTCTGACGGTTTTGTCTTTAAACTTCCAGGAGGCGCTGGAGGCTTGTCAGACACGCATTTCCAAGATGGAGCTTCAGCAGCAGCAGCAGCAGGTGGTGCAGCTGGAGGGGCTGGAGAACGCCACGGCACGGACTCTTCTCGGAAAACTAATAAATGTGCTGCTGGCTGTCATGGCCGTCCTTTTGGTGTTTGTGTCCACGGTGGCCAACTGCGTCGTCCCGCTGATGAAAACACGCAGCCGCACGCTTTCCACGTTACTCCTGATAATCCTGCTGGCCTTTCTGTGGAGGCACTGGGAGGCTATTTCAGATTATCTGCACCGCTTCCTGCTTCACCCCAGATGACTGACAGGATGGATGGACAAAATCCTAAATCTATAAAGGGACTTTGGGCACTAAGATGACTGCGTAAAGGGAGGACCTGCACAGGAAGTGGAGTCTTAATCGTCCTGTCTTTAATTATCCTTAATCTCAAAACACTCAGGAGTGAATCAGAAGTTTTGTCTCTTGACCACGTCCTGACCTGTGGATTGGGAAGAAGGGATCTGAATGAAGGAGAAACTAAAGGCTGGATGGTTGGTGGACCTTCAATTCTAGGTGCAATGGTGGTACAAGCACATCCTGTAGGAGTGGACGGAGCGCGGATGAAGGAGGGTCTGAGAGAACCGCACACTTGATTTCTCTCTTCTGAGTGAATTTGTTTACACGTGGAAAACCTCGTTGGTTTTCCACATTAGTTTTTATTACTTTGGAGTGGATTTAAGTGGTATTGTTCTGAAGTCTCGGTTATTTCTAACACAGCTGATTAATGCATTTTCATTTTTAACCGTAACGAGCCAACAGTGTTCTGCAGTTTTAATGTCCCAAGTTATTATTTGTAACCATATTTTTTCTCTTTTTGGTCTTGTGATTCTGGGTTTTTAACCCCCCCCCCACCCCCCGACCCCCGCTTTTTACCTCTTTAATTACAGCTTTTGTTACCAAGTTCTCCTTTTCCAGCTATCTTCACACTGAAGATCAGGGTGCCTGCAAATCAGATACATCACTTTGATATCAGACTTGTCACTGGATCGAACTGTTGTGCGTTCTTGAAATGTTTCTTTTGGATGTGTGGAGTCAAACCCACTGGTTCTGCCACAACCAGTATACTACTATCAGACTTCGTGTGTTTGGATCGGGACTGTGCCAGCTGGATGCTACTTTCCTGGGGGCATTTTCAGGGCAGAACAATAATCTATGAACTGAATTAACATACTTGAAGAGCGGCTAAAGTGCTCAAAGACTTAGTGCTTCCGTACTGTTTCTATTAGTGAATATGAAATAGTAATACATTTTAGTTGTTTATTTTTAATTTTTAAAGAAATAAATTTGCTGTTTTAAGAGGTACCATTCAAAGTCTCATTTCTGTTTGTCAGAAACACACAGTGCAGAAAGTCTCTTTGTCCTTATTTTATTTGTAATAGAAGTTTTATCCATCCATCCAAGCCAGGGGGCTACCTTCTTGTTCACTGGGGGATACACCAATGTACAGGCACTATGATGGGGAGCAAATAGTATGCCCACCTCTGCTCGGTGCCTGGGAGCAACTCCAGAGTGGTAAAGTGTCCAACCCCCTCAAGGAAATTGGTTTGGGAGCCAGAGCCATGCATCACTGACCATATCTAGCCAAAACCTCTTAACCTCACTTACCAGCTCACTCTTTCCCCACCGGAGAGGTGACTTTCCACGTTACAAGAGCCAGCTTCTAACGCTAGCGCCAATCTTGCACTGCCCCCGACCGCTTGACCCCTGCCACAGGTGGTGCGCCCATGGGAAGGGAGACCCAAGTCTCCTCTTTGGGTCGTACCCGGCCAGACTCCATAGGTGAAAGCCCGGCCACTAGGCGCTTGCCGACATGCCCCACCTCTAGTGCTGGCTCCAGATTGGTGACCCGCGTCCATGCGAGGGAACACTGCTCATTTGTGGTAATCATCATTAGGGGTCTTTGTGTAGCAATTTGTCTCTGAGAACAGAATGCTGCTGTTGTGTCCTTGGGCAAGACACTTATCCTGCCTCGCCTGCTGGTGGTGGTCGGAGGGACTGGTGGTGCCAGTGTTCAGCAGGCCTTGCCTCTGTCAGTACGCAGGGCAGCTGTGGCTACATAGTTCATCATCACCAGCGTGTGACTGGGTGGATGACTGATTGTGTTGGGAAGTGCCTTTCGGGGGTTGTAGAATGACAAGAAGGCGCTATACAAATACAGGCCATTTATCATGATCCCTGTGTTTGCCATGGGTGACCCTACCAGGGGCATAAAGCCTCAGACAACTTAGCTCCCAAGATCATCTGGACACTCAAACCCCTCCACCACTATAAGGTGGCGCCCCAGGGAGTGGAAATCAAAGTTTTTAAAATATTTAAAAAGACTGTAATAAATTTTGCCCCTAAACTCATGAAATCAAAAGATTTTGTCGGGTAAATCATGTGACAGCATGTGTATATTTGTGTGTGTGTGTGTGTGTGGGGGGGGGTGGGTGGGGGGGGTGTTCAATTTCTCCACTAGGTGTCACTGTTGTAACAAAAAATGTTAAATTTCAAAAACAATTGTTAGATGTAGACACAAAATGTTTTATCCTGCTTGTTCTTTGAGTCAAGCAAGTAGAGGAGTTTTGAAACGCTTTACTGAGCATTTTGACTTGCAGCTGAAGTGGAAGATCACGTTTCAATGATGATGACATTCCACTTCTACAGCTGAGCAGATTGTGCTCCTCTGAACGTATCAAGTAGAAATTTCTCTGAAAATGGGATGCAGCCCTGGTTCCGCTGCCCACAACGTGAGAAAATCCAGGTTTAATTGGCTAAGACTCTGTATGTTTATGCTGCAATTTCTTCAGTTTTCTAGTTATTAGTTTTTGTTATATAATTAAATTATAAAGTGCATCTTATTATTGACCAATTAACAGAAGAGGTACACAAAACAATAAAAATATACCATTTAGTTCTATTTTTAACCAGTTTATTACTTAGAATAAATGGTAACTTGAGATAATGTGTTGATTTTGTAAGTTATTCATCTTTACAAACAACCCTCAACCCACTATAACTTATAGTGGCCTTTTGTCTTTGTGGTCTGTGATTTAAATTTTGGTTTTCTAGAAAATTTTAATGTTATTAAAGGTTGAACATGGAACACAGACACTGGCGAACACTTTGGCGACCTCTGGTGTTCAGAGGTGGTATTGTAACAACAGAACTAATTTTCCTGCCGACGTTGGTTCACTGCTGACACGTTCCAGCATCATGTTTAGAGACAAATCGTACAGGATAAGGACTAATTTCTCTTAATATGTTTATTTTACTACAGTGTTTATCGTTACATCTTCTGGGCTCAGACTCAGCTGCTTGACTTATCAAGTCTGCCGTTTTACACAGTCTCAACCTTCCCTGAATGAGCGGACTTTTTAGCACAACGGTGCTCTCTAGTGGCTGTTAGATGTAAACACAAACACAATGTTGTGCCTGACAGAATAACAATTTGATTATATATCTATTTAAATTTAGCTTTTAAAGGAGAAAACTGTACCTTCATTCGGCACATCTCTGAACGCCGTGTGGAGGTATTATGTTTTTACAAATATAGTTGTAATACCAATGCCCTATATATTGGCACTACTGGTTACTGAGGCGGTTGGTAGTCTTTACGTGCGTTTTAAAAAATTGCAGCTTGTGTTTATTTCTGATGATGTTTATTTATTTGTCTTCTTCCACAAAGTCATGATCCATTCACTGCAGTTAAAGTGGTTTTCATTGAATGCGTTACTTGCCCCAACGACAGTCCGCAGAGTCCATTACACACAGCCACAGTCCTCGCCACACAGTAAAAAACTGCTTGTCCCGTCACAGCCACACCGAGTCTAATCTGCGTTGGCTTAAGTAGGCGGGTGCTTCCACAATCAATTTACCAATCAAATGAGGCCAAGCCTCCTCTCATGCATGCAGAAAGTAAATGAAAACAACACATATGGTTCCTACAATAGCTTTATATTAAAATGTCCCATATTCTAACTTCAATGCTTTTATTGTTCTGCACTTTGTTTATGTTATGGATTTATGCCGAACCTCAAACGAATGAGAGACAACACACACCGCTGAAATGCAAATCAGGGTAGCAGCTCAGGCAGTTGAGAATTACAACTACGAGAGTCTGTACCCCTTCAAAGTTTATTTACACAAACAAGTGTATGACAAGATAAGCATGGGAGAAATGTGCATGATAGTTTGTACAACAGGGTGTGTGTGTGTGTGTGTGTGTGTGTGTGTGTGTGTGTGTGTGTGTGTGTGTGTGTGTGTGTGTGTGAGCAAAATAAGAACAAGTTATAAAATAAGTAAAATATAACAAGTAAAATATTTCATAACAATATGTGCTATATAAATAAACCTTGACTTGACGTGACTTAACCCAAATAGTGGGTTGTAATGGAATTACATTTCTTATACAAATAAATGTTTAATTTATCCAGCTCAAACCACTGTGAGCAAAATAAAACTCACCAGGCTGACAAAAATCAATAATATAATTTATGATTAAAAAAAATTACCACTGCTTATAGCACAAACCCCACAGAACCTGTCTGTGGACTCTGTGGGGTTTTCTGACCATGCTGTGATTTTATTCAACATCTCACGTCTCCTTCCTTCAGCCCGGAGACAGGCTGTTCATTACTCTAGAACGTGCTTATCTCCAAGTATAACCTCCAACTTTCTGTCTATTCTGGATCTTGGTTCCCTCATTCCACCCCCTTCAGTTTCCTGCATGGATGTTGATGGCCTTCTGCATCTATTCAATGAGACCTGCTCTGCCGCCCTGGACGCTGTTGCCCCTCTTAGGGGGAAAAGGACCATTTCTGACCCTTGGCTAAACAACTACACTTGTAGCCTTAGGCAGCTGTGCAGGGTACTGGAGAGGAGGTGGAAAAAAAAGACAGGCAGCTTCTGGTTAATGCACTTTCCTGCTACCAGAGAGCTGTGAGAACTGCTCGAAACACCTGTTTTTCTAACATAATTTCACAACACCATGGAGACCAATCTGAATTGTACAGACAATTAATTCCTTACTGCTGTTAACTGAGTCTGTTGGCCTTACTCTCATTGCTCAGTTGTGCACTGATATACAGAACTTAAAAAAAATAAGATCCGTGATATCAGACTCAGCCTCCAGCCTGTAGGACAAATTGTCCATGTGGAACCACCTGGCCTGCCTGATTTCTCAGACTTTGCTCCAATTCAACTTCCTGACTTGATGAAGTTAATTAGCTCCATGAAGCCAGCTGGCTCTCAGATGGACTGCCTCTCGGCTAAATTGGTACGTGACTCGGTGTCTACACTGAGTCCAGCACTCGTGAACATTTTAACACTAGTCTCAGCGCTGGAGTGTTTCCTACGGTTTTACAGTGCGGTTATACAGCCGATATTGAAAAAACCTGGCTTGGATCACTCCGTTTACGACAATGCCTTTTATTAATTGTTAGATCCTTACTGATTTAGTATTTTTCTGTTTGAATTGATTCACCTGTTCAGCACTTCGGTCAGCTCTCACAGTATTTTAAATTGTGCTATAGAAATAAAGTTGGTATGGTATGGTACCGTTGCTCATAGCACAAACCCACAGAAGTTCCATGAAGCACATTTAGAGCAAAAACTATTGTTTAGCCAAAATGCATTTGGTTGCTAGGCAATGCAAAGATGCAATAAAATCCGTGAGTTCAATTCAACTCCTGCATTTTCAAGACCGTGGACCAATTTAAGACAACTTTTTCTAACACCAGGTATGTATCCATCACTCACAAGATTAACCTAGCTGCTGACTTGTATGATATTGAGGAAGATGAAGGTTCTGACCACAGGAGCAGAACACCTACACCTTCTGAGGAGCTGCAGGTCAACCAGACACAGATTAGTGAGAGTGACTTATCTTCTGCTGATGACAGGTTCTCCAGAGGAAAGATGGCTGATGACTTAGATGCTGTTTGCTGTGAGATTAAAATAATGTGGGAAACCCAAGATGACCTTAAGAAAGAGTTGGAAAGCCTTCAAAAACGTCATGAGCAATACAAAACAGAGGTCATCAAGGCATTTCAGGAAGGAAAAGAAAAGTTGGTAATGGCTTTTTACCGTCACATTTACAATTCCACTTCCTGTTTGTGATTGAATTATTTTTCCTAGGTATTCAGCTTTAGAACAGAAACTCATCAACACAAAAGAGCTTTTTGAGGGGAACTTTTCAGACATGAAAGAAGACTTAATCTGCATACAAGATGAGATTGACAACAAGCATCAAGAAACATATGTTACTGTAAGTGCGAAAGCATTTTTAAAGCAAATTCCATCCACCTACGTCCGCGAATTTGATGTTGGGTCGTGGGGGCAGTAGTCTCAGCAGAGGCCCAGACTTTCCTCTCCCCAGTCACTTGGGCTAGCTCCTCTGGGGGAATCAGAAAGCATTCCCTGGCCAGCCGAGAAACCGTTCCTCCAGCGTGTCCTGGGTCTTCTTTTGGTTGGACATGCCCAGAAAACCTCACCAGGGAGGCGGCCTTACTAGGTGCCCGAGCCACCTCAACTGGCTCCTCTTGATGTGGAGAAGCAGCGGTTTTACTCCGAGCGTCAAACCTTCTAAGGGAGAGCCCAGCCACCCTGCAGAGAAAACTAATTTTGGCAGCTATCCATGATCTCATTCTTTCCGTCACTAACCAAAGCTCGAGACCATAGGTGAGGGAAGGAACGTTAGTTCAAATGGTAAATCGAGAACTTTGCCTTCCGGCTCAACTCTCTTAACAGATCAGTACAACATTTGTATCACTGCAGACACAGTCTACTGTAAAGCTAATGCAGAGATTTAAAAAAAAAAATCACTCTCATGGTTCTTTTGTTTGTAGAAGGCGCTGGAGAATTGTCACACCCGTCTCCTCCACCTGGAGCAAGAGCAGCAACAGCAAGCGTTGCAGACAGAGACGGCAAGGCCAAAGGACATGGCCCTGGCAGTGCTGGAACTGGTGATCAGAGTGCTTCTAGTTTTTATGTCCATCACCTTAAATCTGGTTTCTACTCTATCCCACATTGTTCTCCTGCTCAAACCATCTGGTCGTATACGATTGGCTTTGGTTTTTGCCATCATTCTCCACTTCACCTGGAAGTACTGGGACTCATTTTCTGTCCTAGAATTACCCTAGAGGGGAAGGAGTCAATAAAAAGGCTTTTAACACAGATTACCCTTCAGAAATCCACTTTCCTCATAAGAAAGGATTTTTAGGAAAAGAGCAGAGAAACTTCCTTGTGTTAAATTATGAGATCAGAGCCCATCAGTCAGTTCAGAACAAGATTGCTAAAGATTTTAAGTTTATTGAAAAAGGAACAGTTTAAAATCTGTTTAAAATCATAACCCAAGTTTACTCCATCTTCTTTCCTCGTTTTCCAGCTGCTTTGGGGGCAGGATCATCATTGTGCGCTTCAGCAGCTTTACTCTGGGCTGCCTTTCCGGTCTTTTCATCTTTGGTCACCTTTGTAGCTTGAGATTTGGTTAAGTCAGAGTTTTCCTCACTGCTTTGTTTCACCTTTGGCTTCTTTGCAGGAACAACCTTCAAGGATGCAGATTCTCTAGCTTTCTTTGATTTCCTGGGGAGCTTAATGTCCTAGAATACAAAATAAAAGCTTAATGACAAAACTAGTCAAGATCTCACAAGTTCTGCCTGCAGCTGCAAAACAGCATGTATACAAAGTAAATAAGAGCTTGGTGATCAGAATTTAAATACTGGCATTTTCCCAATTTGACATTTAGCAAAATTTCTCTAAAAAATAGATTAAAGTTATCAGCATTTAGCTTTATCAGCTGCTTTGGGGCAGGAGCATCATCATGTGCTTCAGCAGCTTTACTCTGGGCTGCCTTGCCTGTCTTTGCATCTTTTGTCACCTTTGTAGCTTGAGATTTGGTTGAGTCAGAGTTTCCCTCACTGCTTTGTTTCGCCTTTGGCTTCTTTGCAGGAACAACCTTCAAGGGTGCAGATTCTCCAGCTTTCTTTGGTTTCATGGAGAGCTTAATGTCCTGGAAAAAAAAAAAGCTTAAAAAGCAAGTCACCCCCACCAGATTCTTACTCAACTCCCACTTCCTGTTTGAAAAATGCAACAAATGCTTTTCCCTAACAGACTTAGAGGGTGGAGCCACTAACAAATACACACTCACAACATTGTGACATCATAATGTACCATCTATCAGTGTACTTCTTAGCCAAAAGCAAAGGCCGATTTAAATTCAAATGCAGTGCTGAGTTTTTACCCGACGACAGACCGCTGACAGTTTTAGGCAGAACCCTAACCCATATAGATAAAGCTAAATGCTGATAACTTTTATCATCTCACCTCTGCAGACTCCACTTCTGAAAAATTCTTCTTGGGCACACCTAGAAAGGTAAAATGTCCATTTACCAAAATAGTCCCCAAACTAGATATTTTATTTGTTCATACCAGCTGATTGGATCTGGTTGACTCCATCTTTGGCTGCTTTCGGCACATTTGATGATGCAGCCTCAGCAGCTTTCTTTGATTTTCTAGAAGGCTTCATGTTCTAGAAATTTTAAAAAATGCAGAGATCTGATGATTAGGGTTAGCAGCCCAAAATATAACATACAAAGAGCATGGTGATTGGGGTTTAAGTACTTTATTTTTCTCTGGGCAATGAAATATTGTGCATCAATTCTTCCAAAAAGAAAGTCATAAAAAAGCTACACTTGTCTCACCTCTGCAGACTCATCTTTTGCAGAACTCTTCTTGGTGGAACCTTGTAGAAAATACGTATATTTACCAAATGCTCTGCAAACTATATAATTTAGTCAGGTTATTCTTACCAGCTTTTTCAGTCTTTTTGACTCCATCTTTGGCTGCTTTTGGTGCTTTTTGCACATTTGGATTTGTGTTTTCAGTTTTAGCCTTTGGCTGTTTTTCTGGAGCAAGCTAATTAAAAACAGATATAAATAAATAAATCGTGTTTTGTCAGTTTGGAGGCTAGACTTTGACACCTACCCTGAATTTTCTGAGCGCACCGCTGGTCACACTGGGGTTGACCGGCCTCACCAAAGTCCCGGTTTCCATCCCTCTTTTCAAGGCTGTGCGGATCAAGTACTTCAACCTCACCCCATCCGCAGACGGGTACTTCTGCTTAATGAAGCTCTGGATCGCCTGGGACGACACTCCTTTCCGTGAGTCCAGATCTTTCAGCGCCTCTCGCACCATGGCGGCTGTGGTCGGATGAGTACGTTTACGCACCGCGGCTGCGCCTAGAAGGAGTAAAGTTTTAAAGCAAATCAAAATTAAACGGGTTTCATCTCATTTCTCACAAACCAGATTTCTCCGTCCCAGCTGTTTCCTCCGCAGAAACTTTGCTTAAAGTCGGCTCTGGATTAGCTGAGTCCGCGGCTCGTTTTTTGGGAGGCATTGCGTAAAAGTAAAAGTGAGGCGCAAAATGAAGTTTAATAGCATCTAAAACCTGTGGAGCTTTCAGCAAGTCCGTCTTTATGCTTCTATTTCCGGTTAGATGAGACCAGGTGAATCTCATCAGCAGCTGATTGAAGCGGACTGAGTTTTCATTGGACGGCCATAGGTGGTGGCGGCACATCCTGTCCGTTGGATCCTTGCAGAACTCCAAATTGTCAAAATTCTAGTGTTGTTTTTTTCAGAGATTATTTATTTACTCTATGGGTTGCTGTGCTTTTAGATAATAAATAAAACAATGTGCACCCCGTTATTATTGCTAAAATAACTGGAAAACCGTGAGATTGCGTATGAATCAATTCCAGTGAAAATAGAAAAAAGCTTCAGCACAGAACACAACACGATGAAACTCGAAAATAGAACAAGAAAACGTGTTTACACCACTAGCGGTAGCTCCTCCTTTTGTGTTTCTTATTTAATGTAGACGCGATGACCTCATCAGCGCTAGACCCCTGCTTTTAGCCCACACAGTTTTTATGTGAAAGGGGAAATGAACATTAGGTTGGTCTAAAACAAACTGCACATTTAATTTTTGATCACATATGAAAAATGTTTATGAAGGGGTAATGCCATAGAGGCAGGGAATGCAAATATTAGAACTAGAATTCCGTAATAATAATAATAATAATAATAATAATAATAATAATAATAATAATAATAATAATAATTTCTCATTTCCCGGCATCATGAACCAGCTATGAAGTAATCACTTTTAATTTTAGGCTGTTTAAGCATGATGCTGGGAAATGAATCAGGTTCTTATTACAGTCAAACAGAGCTGAAGGGTGAGAAGGCCTCATCACCACTTTATGGGACAGCAGTAGCTCAGGAGGTAGAGTGGGTTGTCCAGTTTTTGGAAGGTTGCAGGTTTGATCCCGGCTCCAACCAGAGAATGCTGCCTTTCCTGTCTTTGCATCTTTGGTCACCTTTGTTGGTACTCTGATGTATCTAAAACCTGTTTGTCCTGGAGCAGGTTAGATGTTTAGTTGTAGTTTCCATGGTGACATAAAAGACGCGAACCATCATCTTGATACTGAAAATGTCCAACAGAACATTGATTAAGATCATTGTTTGACATTTAGAAGCTGCAGAAAACTGACTTGACACTTGATTAAATGTGTGCTATCTGGGGACAGGATGGTGTGAGGACCCATGATTGATAAACCTTTACACATCAGCATTTGAACTTTTGTTTCTGTAGCCTAAATAACAACAACTATCTTTACTGTGCACAAGTTGAGACCTTGTCAGATGTGTGAAGAACAAAAGGAACTAAGAAGAAGAAGCAACGTTGTCTTTGACCGGAAGGCAGAAACGAGAATCCACTTTTTCATGACAGAACAGCCGTGTTCAGGTTCGTGACAAAGGCGGAGCTTGTTGTAGACGTGTTGTGGTTTGAGATTGTGACTCTTTCAGGTGCTCATGTGGTAAAGTACTTCAGCAGAAACTTCTGGTTCACATGTGAGGTCGGAGACTCTGAAAGTTTCAGTACAGTTAGAGTCTTCACGATGGCTGGACATATGTTTATTTGTATCCTCACATGTAAGTACATTCCAACATCAGTTACTTATGTTTTCAAAAACTACATGAATAATATTTTAGCAAATCATTTTAATTTAGCGACTTCTCCCTGGTTCTGTTGTTTATTATGACATGAGATTGAAAGAAAACTGGAGACAATTTCATTCTACATTTGATTCTGACCTTTAAATGACTTAAATAAATGTTCTTATGATTTTGTGTCACTTTTCTTAAAGTTACAACTGTTTTTATTTTAACGGCATATTTCCAACAGGTTCTTTCATACAGATCCAAGTAACACAAGCAAAAGGTCAGTCCATTGTTAGTTTTATCCATCAGATCTGGTTGTGCTGCCAGTTTATGATTTTTTTTTTTTTACATTTGCTGTTAAAGTAATGGATCAGTTTAAGTTTCATAGTGACAATCTTTCAAACTCACATCTGACCCGTTTCTGTTTTCATGTCCAGCTCTTCTTCAGGCTAAACTGACAGAGAATCAATCACTGATCAAACCAACAGATTCAGTCTCTCTCAGCTGTCGGGCTCCGTCTGCTGTTTCTGTGCATCAGTGTTATTTCTATGTGAACAGAAAAAATCCAAGGCCCTGTTCCTGTGTGAAGACCTTTACAGGAACTGAGCTGCTGTTAATGTCACAGAAAACTTCCCCTGCTGTGATTGAAGTCAAATGTTTCTACACGGTGCTTAATGGAGCTGTAAATGCTCCGTCTCCACACAGTGATCCGTCCTACATCACCATCAGTAAGTGACAGTTATTAACCACTACAGCAGACACCATTAAATCCTTTCACACTAATTATTTTTTTAGGCCAAAAACCACAAATAAGTGTTGATGCTGATACATATTTCATCTTCATCTGCTCCCTGCCTGGATTTGTGGACCCTCATACATCATGTAATCTGTACTTTGGAGAAGCAAAACTTCCAGCCCAAACAAAACCCATCAGGGGTAAAAAGAACAAACCCCATCGGTGGTTCTGCCAGTTTTTTATCCATGAAGAAGATGTCTTGAGTCATCTACAATTAGCTCAACAGAAGGATGCCAGCTGTGATTACAGTGACGGGAAATCTTTCTCTCCTCGTAGTGATCCATACAACTTGACTGGTGAGTCAGAGAACATGAATGCACCAAACACTGTTCATTTTCCACTCTATTAGATTTTTACACAACTAGACTGGTCTAAATAGTTCTGATTGCTGCTAGAACTCAAACGTAACAATAAAAGATTGTGACTTGGCCATGAGAAGCCAGATCAGAGATTGTGTGTTGAAAATGGGACTCATCTGAAGGGTCCAACCCCATGCACAGGTTAAGAGTTCTCTTGGTGGGTTGCCAGTTCGAACCTAGGCTCATCCAGTCATTGTCTCCTTGAGCAAGACATTTCAGCCTCCATGCCTGCTGGTGGTCAGAGGGATTGGTGGCACCTGGTTAAACAAGTCTTGTCTTCATCAGTGCACCCCAGGGCAGCTGTGGCTACATTGTAGCTCATCACCATCAGTGTGTGAATGGATGAATGATACACTGTACTGTAAAGAGCTTTGTAGTCTTCTAACTCAGAAAGGTGATTTAAAAAAAACGTTATTTAATGTTGTTATAACTCATTCTTCAAAGCAATAATACAAATACACATTGTACATTTACCTGTAATGAGACAGAGTTAGCTGATAGCTGGACCATAATCTCAGCTCCCAACACCTGAGTGACTTTAACAGCAGGTATCAGATTTATTATTGTGTTAGTCAGATAACATTAAACCCTTTTTGACTGGAAAAATGCACTTATGACCCAAATGTTAAAATCCTTTTATTAACAGAGTTTAACAGATTAAAGATGAGTCTCGCATCAGCTTCAACCACAGGTACAAAATATTTAAACATCTATTTAGAATATTCTGGACATCTCAAAATGACCTTTTTTCATTTTGTAGGCCAGGCTGTCAAGGAGCTTCACCACTTAAATGCAGTTTATGAAATGTGTTTGTGTGTAGAGTATCTCTCACTAGTGTTGTGGTAGAGTGGGGGCTTACACCTTCTTTTAACATGACTACAGATGTTCAGACACCAGACAAGCATCAGTCTGAAGCAAAGACAACCTCTTCTGGAAAGACCATGGGAAATGTGACACCGGGACATGATAACACAGGTAGGAATGTTCAGGGTAAATGAATGTTTATGCACAACTGAGAAAACGTTTTGATTATTTTGGCACTAAGGAATTTAGATTGGAGTTTATGAGAAGGATATTTATTTTAAATTATAATATGTACAGTTTGTGCAGAATGCTGCTGTGAGGTTTCCGAGAAGCATGAGCAGACGTAGTCACATTACACCAGTTTTGGCACATTTGCACTGGCTGCCCATGACCTTCAGGGTCTGTTTTAAAATCTTGCTCTTATTCTGTAAGGCCTTGAACGGCCTGGCACCCTCAGACCTACTCACACCCTATTTGCCAGCACAATCTCTGACGTCTGCCAACCGCTTGCTGCTGTGCACCTCCAAAATGAAAGATAAAGCAAGGGGAGCCGGCTTTTGTGCACGCTGCACCTGTCCTTTGTAATACCCTCCCCATCTCCATACGGTGTCAGTCTCTGTCTTCAAGTCAAGACTGAAGACCCATTTCTATGGCTTTTGGCTTATGACTGTATTGTTTTTTAATGCTAATTTTACTATTTATTGTGTGTTTTGATTGCTGTTTTTATCTGCTTTTACTGTTTCATTAGTATTTTTTATTCTCTGTTCCATGTTGGGAGGTGCTTTGATAAGCTCCCATGCTGTTTTAAAATGTGCTGTATGAATAAACCGGCATGGTATGGTATACTGTTGGAATAACATGACTTTGAAGAAGCCGGACTCTTCAATAGGATGTTCTGAACATAAAGAAAATCACTTGTATTGATTATTTATGGTAAGAATTTTGTATGAAAGGAAGAATAATCTTTGGCAAAATGCCTACAGTCATGTGTCAGATGTTGGATGTACCCCTCTGAGTATGATGTAATTTTCTGTTTATCTTTGACTATCAGTTACTGTCCACTCCACTGTTGCTTTGATCTCTACTCAGACTAAAACAAGGACTTCATACAGAAATCCAGGTGAGTCGTCAGGTTAGATGAATAGTGAAAATCTCGTTTTATTCTAGTCATTACGGTAATGCTAATAAAAGAACATTCTGTTGCACATGTGAGGTTTTCTGCACATATGCAAATGTTTTAGGTAAAAATTGTTGCAACTCACACTTCTGGGGTGATGAAGCAGACATCATATGCAGTGACACCTCATGGACTGGTGCTGCATATTGGAGCTGCCGTAGTGGCCAGCCGCCATGTTGGATGGGTCTCCATTCACCCTCAGTGCATTTATTTCATCTAGGGAAGGTGCTTACCCAACTAAAAAACACTTTTTTATTATGCTTTTTCACAAAGTCAGACACATGGTATGGCATGATAATTAAAGAGCAAGTCACCCCCAAATAAACTTTTTTTTGCTGATAAACTAAATAAACGAGTGTCTAATCGTGCTGCAGACACGTGTCGTCAATAATTTGGCACTTCAGTGCATCTTAGTTAAAATTTAAATATTCTGCCTAAAACTGGAAGTGTTGTGCCGTTGTCAGGTAAAAACTCTGCACTGTATTTTAATTTAAATCTGCCACCGCTATTGGCTAAGAAGTATGCTATGATGTAAACTGGTACATTATGATGTCACAATGCTGTCGTGAGCCTGAGTGTGTGTGTATTTGTTAGCGGCTCCGCCCTCTCGGTCTGCCAGGCAACAGCATGTGTTGCATTTTTCAAACATGAAGTGGGAGTGGAGTTAGACTCTTGTAGGGGTTGACTTGCTCTTTAAAATATAATTATAATTAAACAAAACAAACGAATATAAAATAAATTTACATATAAAATCCCAACAGGTAGACTAGAAAAGTCAATAGTAATCCCACATGATCTGTTTTCAATAGTACACTGGTTGTTGCAACCATAGGTTGCACAAAAAACGGGCATATTTTCTCATTCTGCTTTGACTCCAGTTGGGCTTGGAGAGTAAGGAAACCCACCCAATATGACGGTGATGCAGTTACGCTCTCCAGCGTCCAATTGGACCTCTGCGTATTCATGTCTATGATGTTAAGCCTGCCCTGTGACTGAAGGGTTGCAGGTTTTCGTCTCAGTAAGTCTGTTGCAGTTGTAACCTTGGGCAAGACACTTCACCCTCACGCCTGCTGGTGGTGGTCGGAATGACTGGTATGGAAACCTCACTTCTGTCAGTGTGCCCCAGAGTGTGTTAAATATGGAATGCAAAACTCTGAACACGCTGCCTGTTTTATCTAACAAAAATACACTTATGACCCTAAAGATGAAATCCATCTTTTAAAGCAGAGTTTAACAGGTTCTTATATTTTTGGTGTTTTAACAGAGCGTATTTTGGTGTTTTGTAGGTCAGACTGTTGCAGCTGTAACCACAGCACAACTAACATTTGGTAAAGTATCCATCAGTTTATGAACTGTGGGTTTTTTTTTCTGAGTGTGGGTTATTTCTCACTAGTGCCATAAATGGTAAACGGCCTTTATTTGTGTAGCGCCTTCTTCTACAACCCCCCCGAGGCGCTTAACAACACAGTCATTCACCCATTCACACACACAGTCACACGCTACTCCATGGTAAAGTTCTTATACTTTCCTTACATGAATATGCAGATGTTCAAGAAGCAGAGATGCACACATCTGCAGCAAAGGCAACATCTGCTGGAAAAAACACTGAAAATGTGGCACCAAGAGACAACAACACAGATAGGAGTGTAGTACCTGAGAGGAATAAGAAATAGGATAAATAACTGCTCACCTAATTTTGAAGTTGAAGAATCCTTCAACAGGATGCTCAGAACAAAAGGAAAATCAGCCACCTTATTATTTTATGATTTTATGATGAAAGAATTATCTTTTGTAAAATGTTTTTGTCTTTGAATTTCATTTCTGCAAACTATGAACTATTTTAGATAAAAAATTGTCACCTCAGAAACATCCATTGTATTCTAATCCTGAGTCTCTTCATATTAATCCTCTTTCACTGAAGGCCTTTTTGAAATTTTCTTCATTATTTTTGCACATATTGCGTTTACTTGAATTTCAGTGAATTAAATACACAAGTGTCTTTTTGCTAAATTAAATGTTGTTTGTTACATAAACAGGAAGACTGAGATGGGCATTGCTGGTGGGCGTGTCTGGTGCTGGACTGACTGTAGGCATTATAGTATTTGTGCTGGCTTGTGTCAGCGCCAAACGATCATCTGGTGAGAATTACACCCATGTCAACAATACTAAATAATTTCTAAGAGCAAAACTTACAACATCTCAGCTATTTCACTAAATTGTGCACAAACGTGTTTTATTTCACTTTGAGCTTGATGTGATAGCACTGTTCAGGAAATTTTATTTTGAAGGAATTGTACATTTGCCTTGATTATTGTGTTAAATTTGCAGCAGAAGGCCCATGAGTTTCAATATTATTGTGTTGTAAACCTGCATCAAAACCTAATAGAATTTTGTAATTGCAGAACTGTAGACAAACTAATGTTTCTAAAGAAAATCAATCAGTTAACCAGGTAATTTGGTGTTCTAAAACTCAGTTTCTTTCTTTTTTTAGACAAAAATGTTCAAAGCAGGTGAGATCATTTATTTATTAGTACAATTAAATCTCCATAATGAACATTTATACAGTGAGGATAAAGTTAATTCATGTTGCCCAAATAAAACAAACCCCAGAGAATAAAGCAATGGTGGTAATATTTTTATTTCTGATTTATTTTTATTTTTATTTTTATTTTTTTGCTTTTTCTTTTTCTTTTCCTGATGTTTGTTTATTCCTCTACAGAAATCAAACCAACTTCACAGGTAATGTTTAAATCCAGAAACAATCACTATAAGTCACGTAAAGTTATTTTTAGTTCTGATTCATTGAGCTTCCTGTTATCTTTTGTTTTAGCTGAACTGACGTGCACGGTAAGTGTTGACAAAGCAAACAAAAAAAAATTCTAATTAAATTTTCTCATAACAAATATTCCTGTGCTCACATTTCTCTTCACATCTTCATGCTTTTTTTCAAGACATCTGCATGTGAGACTGGAGTTCACAGCATGATCGAGTGCGTACCTGCGACTGACTCTACAGGTAACTTAATTTATTCCTCAAACCTGAACAGAATCTGTTAAAACGATACCAGAAAACATGCCTGAAAGAAACATAACAAAACGTCACTGAGTAGAATATGGTTTACCACATTTATTGAGAAAGTTTCGGTGACGGTGCTCTTTTTCAAGATTAATATATTTATCCAAACAAATTAACTAGTTGGAGTCTGAAAGGGGTAGAATGCCTCAGCGTGAAGGAGTTTAAGTGTCTCGGGGTCTTGTTCACAGGCGAGGGAAAGATGGAGCATGAGATTGGCGCTGTGTCTGCAGTGACGCGAGTATTGTACCGATCTGTCGTAGTGAAAAGAGAGCTGAGCTGGAAGGCGAAGCTCTCGATTTACCATTCCATCTACGTTCCTACCTTCACATGTGGTCACGAGTTTTGGGTAGTGACCGAAAGAACAGATACGAGCGGCCGAAGTGAGTTATCTCTGCAGGGTGTAGAGATAGGGTGAGAAGCTTGGTCATCCGGGAGGTGCTTGTAGTAGACCTGCTGCTCCTCCACATGAAGAAGAGGAAGTTGAGGTGGCTTGGGCATGCCTTCTGGATGCCTCCCTGATGAGGTTTTCCAGGCATTTCCAACCAGGAGGAGACCTAAAGGAAAACCCAGGACACGCTGGAGGTACTTTGTCTCTCAGCTGGCCAGGTAAACCTTAGGATTCCCCCAGAGGAGCTGGCCCAAGTGGCTGGGGAGAGGGAAGTCTGGGCCTCTCTGCTTAGGCTGCTGCCCCTGCGACCCGACTCCAGATAAGCAGAAGAAAATTGATGAATGGATTCAACTAGTTCACATTTTGTGCAACAAGTGACCAATTAAATGCAAAACATTAATCAATGGGACATCTTTTTAAATTTGCAGGAATTTTATTCAATAGCAACATTTTTTTAATTCTTGACAAGAGTGATATTAGTTTTTGGTTTCTTTTCTTTCAGGTTCTGATAATCTTCACCAGATAGAGCTGCAAAATGATGAAGTAGGTGCAGCACAAAATAGAACAAAACAGAAATAAATATATATAAAGTTAGCAATTAATAGTTGTACATTTCTGTTTCACTGAAAACACTAAAACATGAGCATAGATATGATTACCACTGCAGGTCGTTAACTCACCCACTGTGCAAAGACCTAGTTTGGACGTCCTACAGATGTGGTCTGACAGATTCAATATAGACATGATCTGCACATTCATGCGATGTTGACTATTTGCAGTGCAGTGCATCTCCACCACAAGATGCTCATGTATGCTAACATCACTCTAAACACTCATGCAGCTCAGATTCTAACAGGTCCTTAAGGTCAGATGCACAATTTGAGATCATAAATAGAAAAACATTCACCAAAACATCATATATGTGACAATAATCATCATTATCCACACAATCCTTTGACTTTTACCCACCTGAAGACAAAAACAAGAGTTATTACAGCCAAAGCCTGCTCTAAATCCAGTGTTATTGACTTTACAGCATTGAACTGGTCTCATTCTTACTGTTTTACATTTCTAGGCTGACGTGTACCACATGTACTGCATCATCTCTGAGCTGCCACCTCCATCGACTAACATGGCTTACAGCTTCCTGCAGACTCACTGAGACACTGATTGTTTCACAGAGAAGAAAACAGGCAGCAGAAAGATGAATGCATTTGCATTTGTGTTAATAAATAAAAATACTATTATGAGTTATAAAAAGCTGTAAATGTTTGTAGCATTTGTTCATGTCTCAGATTGATTTAATGATGATTCTGTTTGTGTCAGACTGTATCTTACCCTACCATATTTATTTATAGAGCACATTTAAAACCAGCATGTCAGCTGACCAAAGTGCACAAAAGAGGGCGACGTACTAGCAGACACAAAACAGTAAATCTAAAATGCTAAAAAGAGCCCTCACAACCAAAGAATATAAAACAAACTCCATCCATCCATCTATCCATTTTCATCCGCTTATCCGGAGTCGGGTTGCGGGGGCAGTAGCCATAAGTCGAGAGGCCCAGACTTCCCTCTCCCTCACCACTTAAACCAGCTCCTCCAGGGAAATCCCAAGACATTACCTGGCCAGGTGAGAGACATAGTCCCTCCAACATTTCCTGGGTTTACCTTTAGGCCTCCTCCCGGTTGGACGTGCCTGGAAAACCTTATCAGGGAGGCATCCTGACCAGATGCCTGAGCCACCTCAACTGGCTCGAATCTACTCGGAGTCCCTCCCGGATGACTGAGCTTCGCACCCTATCTCTAAGGGAGAGCCCAGCCACCCTGCGGAGAAAACTAATTTTGTCCGCTTGTATCTGTGATCTCGTTCTTTCGGTCACTACCCAAAGCTCATGACCATGGGTGAGAGTAGGAACGTAGATCAACCGATAAATCGAGTGCTTCGCCTTCTGACTCAGCTCTCTCTTCACCACATCAGACCGGTACAACGCCCGCATCACTGCAGCACCAATCCGCGTGAACAAGATCCTGAGATACTTAAACTCCTCCACTTGGGGCAGGACCTCATCCCTGACCCGGAGAAGACATTCTACCCTTTTCCGAATCAATCAATCATTTGTTAACTCATTAATCATTAACCCTTTGATGCATAACGGTCACTACAGTGGACAGGTACTCAAAATTGTTATTTATTTGTTTTTGCTATTAAGCACAGCTGTTGAAGACTTTATTGCATTTGAGCCCCTCCATTTGGACTTCAGTAAGCCAAGCCAACATATTTCATGTTCAGAATGCACGCTGTCCACTGAGGTGGACCTGTAATAAATTATTTGTAAATTATAAAATTTTACAAAAAATATTTGTTGAAATTTGTTTCATTCACACCTAAAGACGAATGAAAAACTTGTTAAAAAAAATCATGGTTGAAGATTTCATAATTCATGCATCAAAGGGTTAATGTAGAGCATTCAACATTATTAAAACACTTTAGAAGTAGAACATATATTTAGGCACTGCAGAATATGATTGTAAATACCTTGTAAAGTTAGAAAATAATTTTATGAGCCAGAAAAGATAACTTTATTAAAGGGATTTAGATAAAGAGTCTTGTGTATTCAGAGGCATCTTGGTGTCTTATGGATAATGGTCAAGCTCGGAGACATTTAGAATCGACACCTCCTGGTGTCAGATTGACACGACCTGTATGTTAAAGAAAGTTAACTTTTGGCCATTTACTGAAAGGCCTTGAGAATGCTACACATGCAATAAAAAACAGGTTCAAAGACAATATTAGTTTGCAAAATGATGCCAACTAAATATACAAAATTGTTTTACTGCAGGTCTCAAGAGGGCTGAGTGAGATGAAGGATTATAAAGCTAAACATGAAAACATAAAACAATCTAATTTAGCTGAATTCTGAGTTAACCTTGAACCGAGCAGTTGTAAATCTAGTAAAAAGTGATATAAGGATAAAAGCCTCAGCATGCAAAAACAGATGGAGACAACTCTCTACTATTGGACTATGTAAACATAATTATGAAAGCTTTATTGGTAAAACACTTTCATACAGAGCACTGAACAGAAAAGACATCTCAGATCAAATAAGCCAGTATGTCAACGACCAACGTGAGGATGTCTGAAACAACTACCACTCATCCTAATTTAACACATTGCTTCGGTTTTTATTGGAAGAATAATTGAGATTTGTGTGAAAACAAGCAGCCTGCAGAGTGAAAGTTCAGTAATGAAGCAGTGTGTGATCACTGATCACATTTTTTATGGAACTGGGAAAGATGCAGCTTTCCGATGAAATGAAATCAGAAACAACAGGTTTAACACAAGCGCTCTTAACATATTTGTTGAGAAAACAAAATTTATTCACCATCAAAAGCAGACCAGAAGAAACCTACGAGCATTAACATTTTCTGTCTCACCAAAGCATCCTGGGCTATTGAGATCATTAATTAAACTCCCTTTTGTGACTTTAAATGCTGAATTTGTCTGAATGAACTAAAACCTGCAGCGTGTTTGCTGCAGCTGCAGACAATCAGCAGAGAACCAAACCAAAGGTTTTAAGACCTCTGGTTTATCGCACCCTGTGTGTGCTAGATCCCCGTCGATGTGCTAGATGTGTGTTGCCATGGAAACGTGTATGGAGATTATTCTTTTCAAAGATAAAAGTTGTTTTTCCTGATAGTGAATCAGTGTTGGATGTGTGAGAGAAATATATCCAAAGCAGAATTTAAAATAATGCTTTTTCCACAAGATAAGGAGGATGCTTTCATAACTTGGTTTTTATATGCAATTAATCTGTTGACAGAAAACCCACAGTGTTGGATTGCGGGATCATTTTTTATTGTGATAATCTTATATGTATATTTTCCTGGTGCAGATTTGCTTCCTGTCAAGGTGAAGAGGAAAACCGTCTCCAGCATCAATCAGAGAAAACAATATTTTTAAACTAGTTTAATGACTGAGTGATTTGATCAGGATCTTAACGTTATATTTAAGCTTTGCTGTTTAAATAAATAGTTATAGGCTGAGGGTTTAAACAAAGTTTGATTTTCTGATTAAAACATGTTTCACAGCCTTTTGGACCAAAAGGACTAAAATCAATAGTAAGAATTCAGTGCAGGACCATGAAAAAAAAAAATATATATATATATATATATATATATATATATATATATATATATATATATATATATATATCATTCATACCCGAAATGAACTTTTTAAATGTAAAAATCCAAAATTCCACTCTTGTTTTTTATACACATTAAATTGACACCACTACAATTTCAAATTTAATTTTGCAGTAACTTATTGGAGGATTAATGGCTGAGAATTGATGCAGCAATATTCATATAAAAATAAAAATCTGAGAAACCCTGCTCCAATTTTATTTTGAACAACTGCAGAGTAAGAAATAATAAAACTACAAGATCAGTTGATTTAACAATAAAATAAAATAAAATAAATTCTAACTTTAGTCTTTTTGTGGCTTTGGTGGCGCTGCAGTCCCACATGACGGATCAGGAGGATGATGTAGGTCAAAGGTTCGTGTGACTCCAGCTCAGAAACCCACAAGCTGCTTTTGCGCATGGTCAGTGTCAGCCCCCCCACCCCCTCCCCTCAGCACCATCACCCACCAGCAGCATCCATCTCTCCGGATGCGACGTGAACAGCCGCCCGGTCCAGCTCCAGGTGAGTCCCCGCCGTCAGCCTCCAGCCTCTCCATCCTTTGCTCCCGGTGTCTCCCGCTCATCTACCGCGTAGCGACGTAGGCCTATATAATTTACATATTTTTTTATGTTCGGAGTGGATGCTCGCAGGCTGAAAACCCACCCCCGCGTTTCTCTCCGGTGAATTTCCTCCGGAAGACAACCGTCCGTTGATTCGGTCCCTCCCTCCGCTCTCAGTCCGTGAGACGTGCCGCCTGGTCGGGGTGATTAAGCAGGTGTAAGTTGTCAGCTCGTGCTGATATTATCTATTACACGCTCGCGCTCACACGCAGGTCCAGATTTTTGGCCGTTTGGCGCATCACAAGGTCACGGTGATGGTGACGGCCGCACATGCAGGCTGCAGGCAATTTGCTCATGGGCACTCGGGCTCCCAGTGCCCCCCTCCCCCCTGCTTGATAAATAGGAGGTATGTCCGTGCCAGTTTTCCCAGCTTCCCAGAGAATAACCGGCTGCTCGTTTTTATATTTATGTTTTTATATTCCTAAAATATAAATCTAAATATGATTAAGGGCAGCTTTTGGGTGTGGATCAGTTTTGTGTAAAGGTGTCAAAGGGGTGTTATCCATCTGTTTTATTAATTCTCTATCCTGATCCAACAGACTCTGAGGTCTTAACCAGGTCAGATAGTGGGTCAAATGCTTTTGCAAAAGCCCAGAAGTCCCTGAATATCCTGAGTTGACCTGTTGCGCAGTCCTGAATGACTCTCAGCTAATTTTAGTTTAAAATATTTTTAGTTGTTGTATTTTCTAAAGTCAATGGGATTTTTTTTTTAAACTGTCCTGTTTTTAAGCAGATTTTCTGCATCAATGATCCATTTAGATCAGCGTGATGCTTGGGGATCTCTCTCATCATCAGAGCTTAACTTGTCATTTATCATCACAGGAAGTGACAACACTAGGGCGGTGAGTGGAACAAAACATGGAATTAAGTAACAACCAAGGTGAGACACCTGTGACTCGTGTAAGTCATCCTCGTTGCAGAAAAATCTGCAACTGCACAAAGCGTCTTTTATAAATGTATTTATATTAGATTGAATTTGTTTTGCTTTTGTCTTTTTGATGGTATCCTCTGAAAACTTATTCAAATGCATTTACTCACTTACTTTTCAGATATGATGGGGATTATTTTTGATTAATTAATAAAGTTTTGAGTGTATGCATTTCACCTACTGTAAATTTTAGTTGTGGAAATAATTATAAATGAATTAGATGCTGTCTGAAGCAGAACAGGCAATCCTGGTCCCTGGGTGTCAATATCCAGCACATTTTTGTATTTTCCCTGTTCCATCACATCTGATTTTATTCAGTAGGACGTAATTAACAGGCTTCTGCAGCACTTGATAACTTGGTTAACAGGTGAATCAACCATTCATTCAGGTATGTTGGAGCTAAGACATGCTGGATAGCGGCACTCCGGGACTAGGATTGCCTACCCCTGACAACACTAATGTTTCTTCCAGTCAAATTACCATAAAGAAAACAAAATCTATAATGTGCACGTAACTTTTACATGGACAAGCACCATCATACATTGGTGATCTTCTCAGTCCCTACACCCCCAGTAGGTCCCTGAGGTCCAGTGATCAAAGCCTACTGGTTGTGCAGCACCAGGCTAAAGACCAAAGGTGACAGATCACTTGCTGCTGTGGCCCCCAGACTCTGGAACCCTCTCCCCCTGAGCCTGATATCAGGGACTCAGTGGTCTCCTTTAAAAAGTTGCTGAAGACTGCTTCAGGCTTTTGCATGAGCTTCATCACAACCCTCTCCTTATTCTGTTCTTATTCCACCTTTTGTGGGATCCATTCATTTCCCTCTTTCCTTTTCATTTTTGCTCTCCCTTTTCTTACATTTGTTGTTCTTTTCTCCTTTTAAACATATTTTAATAATTTTTAAAATCTTTTTATATTTAAATTTTTTGTTCATTTTGTGAAGCGCCTCATGATTTTTATCTTGAGAGGCGCTATATAAAAGATGGTCTTCTTCTTCTCTTCTTTAAATCATCATGTTAGGGGGACCAAACAGATCAAAGATCTGTTGAAGACATGAGCGCTCGCCGATGGAGTCGTCTCTGAACGCAGTAGAGCTCCATGAGCTGAGAGGAGGTAGGAGAGGCCTGTCCCCGACGCCGGCCTCGGCACCCTGGACCGGCCGAGGCTTCGAGAATCCCTCCTACCAGCAGGACGTGGAGCTGGACCACCAGCAGGAAGAGCAGCAGAGATCGGCCGTGTCACCCAACTGTCAGCCCTCAACGTCAAACAACAGCAAAGTGAGTGTGGTTTCGTCAATTGGACCAGTTAGACACATGTCATGGTGGGGTATTCATGTCTTCATAGCTTCAGCACAGAGGAATTTGGTTTGGGGGCATCGTATCCTTTTGCAGATAAGAACAGAATTGTGCTCAGATAGTCCTTAAGACAGTGCAAATTTTTCCAATACCTGTGTTGCGTCTCCAGACTCCATTTTTACCCAACTAGATGTTCTCACCAGGATGGAAAAAAAATCACATACAATTCACATGTTAGAGCTAATTTCAGAATTATTTCTGTCAAATCAACCTCGGCTGAAATCATTAGATGTGGCGTTCCTCAGGGTTGTATCTTTGGTCCTCGTTGATTGGATTCAGAATCTTTATAGAAATGTTCCTTCTACTGTAAGAGTTTAATCTCCCAGTAACATCTGTAGAAATGTTACTATCAGTACTGTTCAGCTGATTGGCATCTACTTATTAAAATATGCCTGAAATAATCATGTTTTGTCCATCCCACTCAATCAGCTGTTTACAACTTTAATTTAGTCTTTTCTTAAACAAATGAAAACTGGACCGTGAATCTGAAACAGCTCACAATGACTGCACCACTGTCAGAGCCAAATCCTAAGTATGAGCTTATTTTTAGGATCTGAAGTCAGACAAAGACAGGATAATCAAGGCAGAGCTGACTGGAGTTACCAAGCTGCCAAAGCTCTGAATTACAGCCCAAAAGGAAGAAAACCAGGCGTGTTGAGAATTTTATTTTTTAATTATTGACTGATGTAGATATTAATTGCTTTGTGTCTTTTTGCATTTCTATGTTTTATCATCATTATTTTTAGTCTATCTCAACCTTTTTTTTCAGCAACCTGTTTCTCCTCAGTCTTATGATGAGGAGGGAGGAGGAGCAGGGGGAGGGGCAGGGCAGGAGGACGGCCAGGACTTTACAACATTCAGCCCGGCTGACGACCACTCTGCGGACTACGGCTTCATCCTGGCGCTGGTGTTCCTTGTGAGTGGGATCGTTCTGGTGGTCATCGCCTACACCATCCCCAGGGAGGCTAAAGTGGACCCGGACTCTGTGTCTGCACGTCAGATGGAGAAGCTGGAGATGTACTATGCTCAGCTGGGCTCCCACCTGGATAAGTGCATCATCGCCGGGCTGGGTCTGCTGACCTTGGGAGGAATGTTCCTGTCTGTGCTGCTCATGGTGTCCATCTGCCAGAGCGAGATGTACCGGCGCAGGGCAGCATTCGTTCGACCCAAGAGGACTTATGGCTCCATCAACTTGAGGTTGAAGCAACTGGCCACCGGGGAAGCTGGAGGAGGTGACGGTGGAGATGGAGGTGAAGAGTTTTTGGTAGAACGTGCTGAGATGCACAATAACACACATCCAGAGTCAAGCCACGACTCCAAATCAGAACCAGGACCAAGCAGACAACTTCCTGCTGCTTCTACTTCAGCTGCTACTTGTGGAGTTTAACTCTACAACAACTCCTTCTGCAGATGTGCTACTACCTTCAGTGAGCGCCCAGTTGGATTATGGGAGTCCACAGGTGCAGGTCCTCTGTGTGTGCCAACAGCAGAGGCACACCGTAAGCACTCAGCTGTCAAATGGAGCGATCCAGCTTCATCCTAGTTGTGATGAACTCGATCCAAGCTTAAGGGAAATTTATTCTAACCAATCATGATGGATGTTTGACCTTAAAACAGAGGGCTTGAGCTAAGAGAAGAAGAGAGAGGTAAGCCTTTGGTGATGAGGATAAGAGCACATAAATGCATATTGATGTTTGAATCATTAGCTCCTGATAATTTTGTCACAAAAAAGCACATAATTAAAAAAAAACAGCACTGCTGAAAGTTGATGCTCAGAAGATGCTCAACCTCAGAAGCATCTGAAACATCGATCACAAGGTTCATCCTAATGCACACATTTAACTGTGAATAACCACCAATCTACAACCCTTAGACAGGAAATACAGCGTAATTATTCAACTAAGCTTTTTGGAATGAATGTGGCTCGATTTCATGTAAGTAAACAGCAGCAACTTTGTTTTAAGGCAGCATTTATGGCAACAAAAGAGAATTAGTAAACAAGAAATAACCTAAAATGCTCTGAAACCTTAATGGAACAAACTAAACCAGTTTGGATCTGCATTGAGCAACATTTGTGACTCAGTTTTAGCTAATTCTGTGGCTTCTTAAATCCTGTAAAGTTTAGTTTCACTCAGAGGCCTTAATGTAATATTTTATTTGATTAAGATTTAAGTTGAAATGTTTAATTTATACTGGCTTTTTTATTATTATCTCTCTTTTAACTTCACTATATTTTTGCTTTTTGTCGTGAAGAGACTAATGAGAGCTTTTCTCTGCAGGAGCAACACGTTTTTCCCAGATGATTAGCATGGGTTAGTGGTGAGGGTTAGCATGTTTCAGTTAATTATCAGTCAGATGTAAATTATTAGCACAAACATCACAAATACATTTTAAATGCTAAAAGCTGCGATTCAGAGCCAAACAACTGAATTTCTAGCTTTTTTATAATGAATTAAAAACATTTCTTTTGGTTTCCTGTTTTTTAGCAGACAATGTTGCTCAAAAATGATTGATCTTTAATTGTTGCTTAATGCAGTTTTACATTAGGCCAGTTCCAGTAAAATAAAAGTAAACTCAAACATTTAATCTATGTGGCGTCTAAATCCTGACAACGTGGTATTTACAGAGATGTGTGATTGAAGAGTACCGCAATCTGAGAAATTTGTCCCAAAAAGTCATGTTTTTCTCTTTTCTTGCCATTTTTCTTTGCTAGTAGTTCAGAGCCTTAACTAAACTGATTTTAATGCAATTAATGTTGCTGTTTTTTAATAAAAACCATCACAGAATGACTGGAAGTAAACATTCTCCATGAGCCACATCTTCCTCTTGGAGTCCAGGACCTTGGAAAATGTCCTGAGTGGAGATGTTGTAATCAGTGGTGGAGGAAATATTTACACACATAATTATTAAGAAGTCAAGTAAATAAATATGAGAACAAGCAAAATAGTTTTTTTAATAATTTAGTTAATGCATTTATGTGTTTATAAGATTCTTATTACACTCTTGTAGGTTGATTTGGACAAAAGTTTCTTTGTTGTGAAAATCATGAAGAAATATTAATGTCTACAGTTTTTTAATCTCTGCAAATTTCAATATAGTTTGGATTATTCTCACATCCTTATGGTGTTTTTTCTTTAGCAACCAATTGTGCAAACTGTCCATCAATAACAAAAGCAACAAATTCTCATGTTTGAGAAGCATTTGGTCTAAAATATTAGTCATTTCAACTTTATTGTTTAAAAATAAATAACATACCTCAGATGTCAGATGAATGTTGTGCAAGAAGCACTTTCCTTTGAATTGAGCTGAAATTCAACAGGCAGCACAACATAGTGTCAGTCAAAAGTGAATTTAAATGCAGCATTTTAGTGAATGTAAAGAAATCCCACCACTGATTATAAAATAGATGTTTGACAAAGAGCTAAATAAGATGACACCTTAAGGTGATTTTTGGGTGCTTTGATGTCCAAACAAGGTTTATTTGGACTGAGAGCTGCATTTGAATGGAACAACCCTTAAATAACTCACCGCCTGCGTCTCTGTTTTCTATATAAACTAATGTTATTTATGTGATAATATGCTTTAATGAGTAATCACACTGTATATTGTGTATACACTAATAATATTATGCCCAAATATTCCAGTCTGTATATTGAGACAGTTAGCCGAGGGCCATGTAGCCACACACACACACACACACACACACACACACACACACACACACACACACACACACACACACACACACACACACACACACACACACTCACACTCACACACAAACTAATCAGTTCGCAGCTTGGTAACTGTGCACCTATTTTTAAGTCCAACATGCAGCGATACACTCACTAATCTGAAGTATTTATGACACAAACATGGTTTTAACTAAAAGGTACAGACATGGGTGAGCAACAGGCTCAGAAACCAAAAACTACACAGGGATGCAAAACTGGACAAACCTCGTCTCAGCTGTGTAGCAACTGAACCGACACCAAAACCGGATCAAACAAACCGCTGTGAGAGGCAGAAGAGCAAAAAGTGAATGTTTTAAAAAAAGCAAATAAAACTCAAAGGAGGACAAGAGTTTGTTGATATTTGCTCTTAAAGATTCTCCAAACATTTAAAAATTTCTTAATCAAATCTAACTTCTAAAATAATAAATTTTTGTGTACAAATTAGGAAGTTTAACTTTTCCAGAACACGGCATCTGAATAATCTTTGCTGTATTTCGCATAAATTCTTTTATTTTAAAGATGTTAAAAACTCATTTAATCAGTACATTTGCAGTGGTCTCTAGGAATGAAGGCCTTGTAAGTCGTTCTCTGGGGGAAAGGCACTCGTGCATCATTTTCAGGACTTAGAAGTCAGCCACATCACAGCTGATCTTCAGACGGCAGGATTTAAAGTCTTATTTCCTGATATTTGGACATCTCTCCTCTGATTGGATAACACCAACATGACTCTGATTGCTCTGCAACGTTGATGTTTTATCTCCACAAATAACACAAGCCTGGAGGAGTTCTGTGTGGTGGAGTTGGTAATGCTAAAAGTTAGCTTCTACTACCCGAGATGCTCTCTGCTGTTTCCTGTATGCTAAACCAACAACAGCCTTCCCCGTCGTGAGTCAGATGGGTGAGTCCATGAATGTTAAGTGACAGTGTGATGTAGATCTGTCAGGATTTTCTAATCCTAGAGTTTCACCGTCTGTTTTCTATCAGAAGCTAATGCAGGAGATACGTGTAGGAGACTATTTTCATTTTCAACCTGCATGAAAAACTCAGAGTGACCCATTATAATCAGAAATAATCATTAACGCTGGTTTTTCAATGTTCCACACCTTTAAATCAAAGCCTACTGAAGACTGAGGGATAAGCTGAATCTACTGGGCGTTTAATTCTCTCTGCTGCAGCAGGTTTGTCCAGACTCTTTTACTGTCAGATTAAATCCCTGCTACAGTTTGACTTTGCTGAAGTGTCACTGAGTAAGAAAAATTCAGATCTCTGGTTTAAAGGAGAAGATGGCACCTGTATGAGGAGGTTGTTAAAAATTATCGTCTTATTGATGGTCCTGACTCAACATGTCCTAGAGTGATCTAAAAGAAAGCAGATCATGCCTTTTGGGGCTTTTCTTAAAATGATCTTTTGATAGATGTTCACACATACGTGGGATTTATTCCCCTTCAACAAGGTTGGGTTGAGGCATTGATTGATGTGTGCATTCAGCAGGAGGTCAAGATTCAGGTAGTCGTGTCAGCGAGGTCGAGCAGAAGGACAAAGACAACGGAACTGGTGCAGAAGCTTTCTTTTGTCTTTGGGTGAGGCAGCAGGGCTGCTGGATGACGTGAGGTGATTCCTGATTCACAGCTACGAGGCGCGGCGCCTCCAGACGACTCATTTTAATGACACACTCGGATCGCGGTGCTCACCTCTCAGACAGAATAACCAGACTGACACGACTCCGTTTAAGGTTTTAACAAGCGTGAAGAAGCTGCCTGCTGCTGCAGCAGCCTGCAGGTCGTCATCAGTGACAGCAGGAACACAGCAGCTGAGAAGCCAAACAGCAAGGAAGGACGGTTTGGTGCTCAGACCTGGAAAAAAGGGGTCTTTTAGTTGATGGATAGATGCAGTCAGACTGAGGGAGAATTCTAAAGCTTCGTTTAGAGAGTCAGTGTTGAAATCACCGACTTTAACTGCCAATTACAGAAATCATCTCCATCTCTACATAAATCCTCCATAGTGTTGTTTTTGTGTAGAAAAACTGAGATTATGACATAATTATCAGCCTAGTGTGCAGTCATAAATCTGTAACAATGGAGGACCTTTCACTAAAAGTTTTGTGTCATAAAGAGGTTTAGAAAATGTGAGTTTAGATGGTCAAGGTAAAGAATTCCTTTTTTAAAGATGAATCTATGTTCTCACTGCTTGCTTATTAATACATTCAGTACTAGTTTAGTTCCTGTAAAAATGCAAAGAAGTAGTTTGAGTTTATAGTTTAAATGCTTTCTGCTCCATTTCTGAAGAGAGAAAATGTGCTACTGAACACAAAAGCAGATATTTACAATAACTTAGAGAAGAAGGCAGAACGAGGACGATGCAGCATGGTTACATAAGAGCAAAACTGAGTTTGAATGAGAAAAAACAAACAAGAGCACCTTGTTCAAAGACAGAAGAGTAAATAATCTTCTTTCTGTCTGCAGCACGGTGACTCTGTTACCACTGAGAGAGACTATTTATATCAAGAACTTCTCAGATGTCACAGAAAGTCCTTGTGGGGACAGAAGAGAGAGACGATGCTTCAAAGTCTCCTCAAACCTTTGGTCTCTGAGCCTCTAAGGGAGTAAATGGATCTCTGTTATGATGAGATTAAAATGTTAGGGGTTTAATAAAGATGCCCTGAATTTAATCTAGTCGACCTGTTTATGTCTCGGCCATCATTGTGATCATCTATTAGTTTAATCAGTTGGTTTAAAAATAAACAAATCTCAACACGAGGATGAAAGTGTCTCTTTGAGACTTCTTATGAAATAACATCACAAATTAAATAAACCTTAACACTCACTGGCCACTTTAATAGGTACACCTTCCTAGTGCAGGGTTAGACATAGATCAACCAAGGTTCTGGAAGCCTTCCTCTGAGGTTCTGGTCCATTCTGGTATGACAGCATCAGCTCCATCCATGATTACAAGCTCCCATTCCACCAAATCCCAGAGATTCTGGGCTGGACTGAGATCTGGTGACTGTGGAAGCCGTTGCTGTCCAGTGAACTCATAGTCATGTTCTAGAAGCCATTTAGAGATTATCTGAGCTTTGTGACATAGTGCATGATCCTGCTGGAAGTAGCCATCGCAAGATGGGCCATGTGGTCATAAAGAGATCAACATGGTCAGAAACAATACCCAGGTAGGCTGTGGTGTTGAAACCAGGCTCAGGTGGTACTGAGGGGTTCAAAGTGGGATGAAAATAATACCATTGCAACAGCAGAAACCTGATGTGTTGATACAAGGCAGGAAGGATCCATGCTTTCTTGTTGGTGACACCTAATTCTGACTGACAGCTGAAATCCAGTCTCATCAGACCAGGAAAGAATTTTCCAGTCTCTTCTGGTCCCGTTCTGGTGATCCTGTGTGAATTATAACCTCAGTTTCCTGTTCTTAGCTGATAGAAGAGACACCTGTGTGGTCTTCTGCCCGAGTCCATCTAGAGCAGCTGGTGTGGTTCTGCAGACCTTGGTAGGAACCAGTGGTTATTTGAGCTGCTGTCATTCTGTCATCTAGTCTGACCGTTCTCTATAAACCCTAGAAATGGTTGTTAGTTAGATTCCCAGTAGATTAGCAGACTGGTAACAACAATCATACCATGTTCAAAGTGACTCCAGTCATATCTATTCCTCATTCTGATGCTCGATTGGACCTTCAGCAGGCCGTCTAGATGACTAAAAGCTGCCATCTGATTGGCTGATTAGAGATTAATAAATTATCAAAAAGTTGTACCTAATAAAGTGGCAAGCAAGTGTTTGCTTTTTGGTGAATTAGCACTTTTAAAGTTATGTTGAACATAAACAAATATAACATTTTGTTTGTTTTAGATTTAAAAAATCATGCTACAAATGAGATCTAAGAAAATAATGTTTTACAGTGATTTAACTAATTCAATTACCTTCAAGTTTCAAAACTTGTATTGAAATATTAAATTGTTTCAGATTTTCTGTTTGAAAGTGTTCATATTTAAATTTTTACGGTTGAAATATCTGATAAAAATGTTCTTTCAGTAATTAGAACAGCTGCAGATTAGTTGCAGTTTCTGCAGCTGCTGCTGCAGATTAAATTTTTTTTCCGCTGCAGAAACCACTTCCACTGAGGTCAAAGGTGAACCAAACCACAGCTGCTTTGGATTCAGTGTGACGCTCAAGGACACTTCAGCAGGCCGTGGCTTTCTGACCCTGAATTTGGTTTCATTATTCTTTACCCTTCCCGCTGTGTCAGAGAAATCAATTTAAGGTCACATGGCAACAAGGAAACAAATAATTTACAGCTGGGTTCACACAAGGAGCTTCTGGATGTTTTCTTTCACGTACCGGACCCAAACCTGCAGTCGTAGCACGCAGCGGTTACATTTTCCTCAGAGACTCTATGAATGTATGGATGGATGTGTTGCAGTAGGGAGCATCACAGCGTGGTCACACACACCATCACAGTACATCTGTCACATGATGCCAGTGCAGTCACCATGGAAACGCTTGTGTACACCTAAAGTCTTGTCTTTTTCTGTCCATGAAGGGTTTATGTAAATTAATTGAGATGAGAATTTTCACCAAGATGGGGTGGTTTATTTTAAACACATTCAGACATGAAAATCTGCTTGTTTAAAAGTAAAAACCTTTGATTTTTCTTTGAATTTCTTCTAAAAATGCTTCAGACTCAGTGGCTAAAGGTTTTCAGCCTTCAAAATAAAAGCATCAGTACATCAACAGGTGCCCTGAGATATCCTGTTTCATCACTGGAGGAATTAACAGGTTTAACATAAAAATATCAAACGTCATTTAAATGAAATCTCTACAAACTGTATAACATATTAGTCAGCCTTTCTACATAATCACGTGTCTGTTTAATAAAACATGTTTTGTTCTTGCAGTCACTTCATGATGTTAAAAATATATTTAGGAAAAAATACGACACAAACATTTTTAGTCAAATAATTAATAAGATGATAAAATAAAATGTCTACTATTTATTTCTAATTATTAGTATTTAAACAAGGATTTACTCTCTAGAAAACTATTTACAAATCATATTTCATTTTTCTGTTGAGGATATGTAACTAAGAAAAAGATCTTATATCAGTTTCAGAGCTAATTGTATAATCATATTTAAAATGTTTGTCTTTTGTTTTAAAGAGACCAACATTGTTTTATTTTTTATTATTTAACAGTAAAGGTCAGAGGTTATATCTTCAAATGTTCTTATTTTTAATCACTTGCCAAACTGATTCATATTTATTTAAATCACTACAGGAAGAGAGAAATGCAAAAACCTGTTGCTGGGCATTTATGTTGTTCGTTTTCTGGAAATTCTACAAAGTTTAATCATGTTTCTTTACAGAACTGAGGTGTAAACTCTTTTTCTGATTCATACAAGAATTCCCTCAATATTTAAGATATTTCATCACTTCTGCAACTCATCTTAAATGTTGGAGGAACATTTATTAAAGCTGTTTTTCTAAACAGCATTATTGGTTTAATTACAGATGTTAACACTGAATAAATGTCGGTCAGCTGTAAAGAAAAGCACAGTGAGATGTTTTATTGAAAAACGCTTGTAACATGAAACAACTTTACATTATTTTTTAAATCAACAAGTTGTGCTGATTATTTAAACCCACATATAAAAGATGCTGCTGTGTTGGTTTTCAGGACTGAATCTGCATGTAATCCGTGTGACGTTATGAAGGTCTGATGCCTTGTTGTTGTACAAATTGATGAGCTGTACTCTGTGTAGCCATGATGCTGATTTTTACATGCGATTCTGTTTATGTGATCAATAAAGTTTCTGTTTTGCTGTTTTTATCCAGCGTGTTGTACTTTTGGGTTTACTTTTCAGTTGGACTGAGACCAATTTTCAGCAGTTTAGTGGCAGAAAACATCCAATCTGACAGTTTGCATAGATAAATGTCCAAATGAAGAAAAATGCACAAATATCTGGACTTGAAATAAAACTAGTGTGAGGCGGGAATCACCAGAAACCTGTGATGAGATGAGAAATCAAACAGAACAGCAATCATGTGTTTGGGCATCATGATAAAAATAACCGGGTAATGAGAAATTTTGTCTAGTCCAAATTTGCTTTACAGATTTGTTTCCAGTTTGAACTATAGAAATTAATACGTAGACACCCCATTCGGCGTTGGAGAGTGTAACAGCGTCGCCGCCATATTGGGTGGATTCCTCACTCTCCAAACCCAACGGAGTCACTGCACAGTGAGCAACTATTGTTTTTATGTGCAGCCTACAAGTGCATCAACCTGCAGGTCTATTTACTTTTCTAGCTTACCTGTTGGAATTTTATATTTTCATTTATTTTATGTAATTATATTTATATTTTAAATATCATGTCATACCATATGTCTGATTTTGTGAAAAAAGCATAATAAAATGTGTTTTTAGTTGGGTAAGCATCTTCCTCAGTAGAAATAAATGCACTGAGGGTGAATGGAGACCCATCCAAGATGGCGGCCCGCTGCTACCCCAGCTCTACTAAGCAGCACCAGTCCACAGGGTGTCTATTTGAACAGCCTGTTTAAGGTCAAAGGTCAAACATTTAGAGCTGAATTCTGTTTTCCTTCAGTTACAGCATGTGGTCCAGGTGCTGAAGCAGAAAAGCAGCTCCAGACCATCACACTGCCACCTCCATGTATAACTCTTGATGTTTTTGTTTTACTCCAGATGAAATGGAACCTTGCAGAAAGTTCCAAGTCTTGTGTTTTGTTTGCTTCTGTTTTTAGCATTTTCTGTTGATTCATCATCGATGTGTTCAGGGATGAGCCAGAACTCTTGAGTCAGGATGACTCACAACTCGTGACTCATGTTTCTAGATAAAATCCTCGCTTCCCACGCAGGTACGATACAGGCTAGATTATTCTCTAGATCTAATTAAATTCTAATTCATTCCTAATAAATCTTAAGATCTAGGATCTACTTTACAAGTGCTCTGGAAGACATCCACAGTCCTGTGGAAGACATCCTGCCTTGTTCCAGTTCCAAAGAAAACTCGCCCATCAGTCAGTGATGACTACAGACTGGTTGCCCTGACATCCCACATCATGAAGGTCCTGGAGAGACTCCTGTTGGTCCACCTGAATAAGCAAACTAGAACATATCAGGACCCGCTGCAGTTTGCTTATCGCCATGGAGTTGGAGTTGAAGATGCCATCATCCAGCTGCTTCAACCAACCCACTGTCATCTGGACAAAGCAGGCAGCACTGTCAGGGTCATGTTCTTTGATTTCTCCAGTGCATTTAACACAATCCAGCCTGATGTACTTTGCCAGAAACTCCAGAAGACACAGGTGGGGGCCTCAACTATCGCCTGGATTAAAGACTACCTGACAAACAGACCACAGTTTGTGAGGCTGAAGAACTGCACATCAAACCAGGCGATCAGTAACATTGGAGCACCACAGGGGACTGTACTCTCACCATTCCTTTTCACCCTGTACACCTCAGACTTCCAGTACAAATCAGAGACCTGTCATCTACAGGAATACTCAGATGACTCTGCAGTTGTCGGGTGTATCAGAGATGGACAGGAAGCTGAGTACAGAGAGCTGGTGGAGCACTTTGTGGCATGGTGTGGAAACAATCATCTGACCTTGAATGTGAACAAAACAAAGGAGATGATTTTAGACTTCAGAAGGAACAGGGTGGAGTCAAACACTGTTTCCATCATGGGAGAAGAAGTGGAGGTGGTTGAGGAATACAAATACCTTGGAGTTCACCTGGACAACAGACTGGACTGGAGAAAGAACAGCGAAGCCGTTTACAAGAAGGGACACAGCAGACTGCACTTCTTGAGGATGCTTGGGTCCTTCAGTGTCTGTAGCAAGATGCTGCAGATCTTCTACAAGTCTGTTGTTGAGAGTGTAATCTCTTCAGCCATCGTCTGTTGGGGTAGTAGAATCAGAAGCGGGGACCTAATAAGGCTCAACAGCCTAATAAAAAAGGCTGGTTCTGTTCTGGGGACGACTGTGGAACCACTGGAGGAGATAATGCAAAGAAGGATTCTCCAGAGAATCAAGAAAATTATGGACAACCCTGAGCATTCTCTTCACAAGACTGTCCGACAACGGAAGAGTGTCTTCAGTCAGAGGCATCTTCAGTTTCGCTGCAACACTGACCGCTACTGGAGATCCTTCCTGCCAACAGCCATTGTAATATACAATAACTCTTTAACGACTTGATTATTATTATTATGAGCTACTACAGCAATCAATTTCCCTCTGGGATTAACAAAATATTTTTGAATTGAATTGATTCTGGTGACAATTTGCTTATATAACTTCTTAATGATATGAATCATCATGATAGACAAACCACTGTTTATAATCCTGTACAAAGGTTAATTTTTAAATCCACAAAAGTTTAGAGACATTTGCAGTGACTGGATTATTAAACCAATCATCTTTGTTTTTTATATATTCACTGGGTTTTATGTAGATGAAAAAAGTTCAGCCACCTTTGTGCAACGGACGATGGAAACCTCATCAGGTTTAGTAGGTCACACTGAAAATGGGAAATTATGATGCTGAGGGAAACTACAGACTCACATATGATTCCAGATCAATAAACATACTGAGAGCTGGTTGTTATGGTGTGTTTCTCTTAACTCGGTCGTTCATGCTTCTCAGAGGATGAAGCATTCAGGTCATCCTCACCAACTTTCTTTGTTTAAAGGGACGTCCTCAACATAAAATGTTGATTTTATGGTCCTGAAATAAATAAAAGTACTAGCATGCTGGTGACAGCACTGTTGGTTTTTAAATAATTTTATTGCACTTGTGATTTTAATTTAAAAAGCCCTGTAATAATAATAAAAATAATAATCTTCATCCATTTCTTCTTCTTTTAGTTTACCTCTTCATCTTAACTTCCCATTTAGACCATTTAGGACTGAAGGTCATTTTTACTTTTCCTCTAAGAAGCAAAGCTGAGAAACCCTCTTTGGATAGAAGGCAGCTAATGTGTGATGTAAATAAAAGGAAATGCTTAAAACAGCAACACGACAGGGTTCAAAGTCATTTTTATTTGAACTTTTTGCAGGAAATAATTATAAAGCCATATTGTTCTGTCAGCATGTTGAGCTGTTTGTCCTTCAAAAGAAGCTACGGAGTGTGATCGCTATTCAGAATAATGAAGGTCACAAGAAACTAGGAGTCTAAGATGAACATGTTTACCACAATAATCTGATTTTTTGTTTTTACTTAAGTTTCTTTAAAAATCAGACTTAATATTTTACATCACTAACGGGTTCTTCTGTGAGTCGAATCAAAGTTTTAATGTTGTGTGAGTGGAGGAATGAGAAGAATAACCCTCCTCTTCAGAGCAGATTGAAACTTTCAGGTCTCTGAACTGGATCCAGTTTTAGATCAGTAGCAAGCAGAAAGTTGAAAAGCAGGAAACACGGGTGGGCACTACATGAACATGTCATCGTAGCCAGGTGGGGGCATGTGGTCTGGATCTGGCCTAAAAACGAGGAAAAGAGGAGAAAGCAGTCAGAAAGCTGTCATTACTCTTCTGGTTTCTCTTAGTTTAAACTGAACAAAAAGTCCAGAAACTGTAGAAAGAACTAAAAATATATCTGAAGCATCCGTTTTCTGGGGCGAACCCAGAAGTCAGCCCAAGGTTGTCGTCTGCTGAGCATCGTTTGCGTCTCACCCTGGTCTGTGACGTCCGATGGGTCCAAACGGGTCGAAGCGCGCTCCTGGGGGAACGGCTCCAGGAGGCAGGATGTCTGGTATGCCGCTAGACGGGTCAAAGCCGGAGCGAGGATACCCCGACCTCAACGGGTCGACTATCATCCCGCCGCCACCACGAGTTCTGGGGGGGGATAAAATTAATTTTGTTTCCTTGTTATTTTTGAGCTCAAATACAAAAACTGGAACAAAAAATGACGGATGGATGTTAGAAGATGGTTTAAAAGCAAACTAACTGTTTTAATTACAGAGTGAAATTGGATTATACCTGAGATTGGATTATACCGGCATGAACTCCAACAACTGGTCTTTTATTCTAAAGATTAGTAATCCTTCAAGAGCAGAGATTAGAGTTTTATATTAAAGGTGAAATAAATGAACAAAAACAGAACACCGGGCAAGAAGAACAATGAGACAGAGAAAAAGTACGTGAAGATACTATAATCCAACATAATTCTAGAAGGTGAGTAAAGAAATGCTTTATGAATGTTGTCAAAAACATTTTAATATACAGTTTGAATTAGTCAAGTGCCAAGATCCATCCATGGATCTATCTTGTTCCGCTTATCTGAGGTCCAGTCACTGGGGCGTCAGGTCCATATGGGAAGCCCGGACGTTCATTTCCCCAGCTCTCTTTGTGGAATCCCAAAATATTCCTACGCCAGACAGGATACACCTACAGTGGGCTCTGGGTCTTTCCAGACGGGCCCGGGAAACCTTCGGGGGAGGCCACCTTGGATGCTCGAATCGATGCAGAGGAGCAGCGGCTCTACTCCGAGCCCCCAGTCAGGGTTAAGACATTAAATTTTCCTTAAAAATATACAGATTATTTCGGAGTCTTGCTAATAACTTTTTTTCTGAGAGAACATTAAAATAATTAGGACTGAGGGATGATATGACTCACCCAAAAGGATCCAGGTCTGCTCCTCCAACTGCAAACGGAGGATCCAAAGGATTGGGCCTGAAAAGAAACAAAAGCACAGACGTCAGTCTGGTTTCTTTAACCTGCAAATAAAATAATTATAATACAATCTAGCATATTTATAATTTCCTTCATGGTTAAAATTTGCCAATATTTCTTAAAAACCTTTTGTTGCTTTTCTTGCAATAAACATAACTTATTTTAAGGCTGTTGAGTGTAATTTTTGATCTTTTAATACCACTTTTTTAGCACATATTCAGTAGATAGCCTTAGCTTTGTTGTTTTCTAAAAAACTAATCAGAACACTGAAGTAAAACAACAGAGTTCCAGCCGGCTGGGATTTCCACAGCAGACTCCAGGGAAATCAGGATGTGAAGAGATGGCTTTAAGTATCTTTGGAACAAAAACAGCCACATTTGGCAGAAATTTGAGACAATGTATTATAAGATCTGAATATGAGACAAAGAACGCTGTGCTTTAGTTCTGGGAAAGAGAATTTCAGTTGCTGATCATAAAAGTTTACTATAAATGCAAATCTTTTATTTTTACAGCATTGTCAGCGACCCAGAAACAGAGCACCGTGTATGACTGATGGTAAATTCAAACAGGAGAATATTACTCCGTTTCCCTGTACTATACTGTATATTTAAATGTTCTATATGTTCTATCCAACCTTCATCTGTTCTGTACCGGTCCTATCACCTCCTCCTCCTCTGCTCCCTCTGCACACTCATCATTCTAACATCTTCCTCAGCAGCGAACCCAGTCTACACATTCATCATGTCCTCATTTCTCTTCCACTTCTCGGTTTTCTCCTCATTTGTATGGCGCGGTATGGGGGCCAAAATTAAGACTACTGCCCAGCAGTAGGAGGCTATATAAATTCTGAAGCAAACTACCAACCTGATTAATGATAAGCTGGCGCCGGTAACTGAGAGGCAGGCGCTGCTTACTGAGAAATAGCACCTTTACCAGCGTTACTACTAGATATGCTAGGGACTAGCAGCCCTCGGCTGGTCATTGACTGGTTCACACACTCCCTCTGCTGTCTATTAGCATGGATGGGCTAGTGTTAGCCTGGATGGGCTGGTGTTAGCATTGGAGAGGCTAGCCATTAGCGTGACTAGGCTGGCCACTCGCTGGATTTCCTACCCCCTTGACAGACCTTTAGCATGGATAGGCTGGCGTTAGCTTCGGAGAGGCTAGCCATTAGCATGCATTCCTTCTTTCCTGTTCACTCTCTCTCTGTCTTAACATTTTTTAAATCACAATTGCCTATTTTTGCTCATTTTAAATATATTTTTAAACATTTTCTAAATGCTTTTTTATATTTTTACTTTGTTTTGTTTTTGTGAAGCGCCTCGTGATTTTTATCTTGAGAGGTGCTATAGAAATGATATTTTCTTCTTCTTCTAGGCACGCTTATGGCTAGCCTCTCCGATGCTAACACCAGCCTATCCATGCTAATGGTCTGTCGACGAGGTAGGAAATTCAGCTAGTGGCCAGCATAGGCACGCTAATGGCTAGCCTCACCAATGCTAACACCAGCCCGTCCAGGCTAACGCTAGCCTATCCATGCAAATAGACAGCAGAGGGAATGTTTGAAACAGTCAATGACCAGCCAAGGGCTGCTAGTCCCTAGCGTATCTAGTAGTAACGCCGGTAAAGGTGCTATTCCTCAGTAAGCAGCGCCAGCCTCTCAGTTACCGGCGCCAGCTTATCATTAATCAGATCGGTAGTTTGCTTCGGACTTTATATAGCCTCCTGCTGCTAGGCAGTAGTCTTAATTTTGGCCCCATACCGCGTCATACATTTCAGCCTCTCATCTTCTCACCTTTTTTGTCTAGCCATAATCAAGTCCTTGTCCTTCCTAATCCCCCTTGACACTCCATCTCTCAAGGAGCAGGGAGGCGACAGCATGAGGTCAATAAAGTGCTGTTGACATCACCTCGCTTCTCATCTGACCAGGACGGAGGAGGACGAAGAGGAGTGAGTGACTGTTCTGTCTGTCTGGTTTGTATAATTTGGGCAGTTTTAGCTTTCAGGTCATGGTTACTATATAAGACCAGTTTCTGAATTTATGTGAGAAGAATACTGATCAGCTGTATGTGACGACCAACCAGTGAGGCTGTGTTCCCTGGTGAGGATGTCCGCCGGGCATACGGAGAGGGCTGCTGCCTTCTTCCCTTCTTCTTTGTGCCTCATCTTCTTCATCTCTTCTACTCTTCCTCTCTGTTTTCTGTTCCATCTCCTTCTTCTGGGGAGGCAGCAGCTGAGCCGTCACCATCTGTGACAAACCCTCCATGTCTTTGAACACACTGTAAAAAATAAATTAAAAAAAAAACTGAAACTTTAACTCTTTACAGATGATTCTTTGTTTCTCTCACATTCTGGCCCCTCTACATTATTAAATACAGATTAATAAATGTAAATGGTTCAAATGAAATAAGTTGCTTGTTAATGTGAATAAATGTAAGTCCACAAAATAGAGGATTAAAATAACACAATAACTCCTGTCTCATTGACAACTTGTCTTATAAAATATAGAATAAAAATAATCACTTGCTAAAACATTTTATCAGTTGATGTCATACATTGTTTGGAAAGACTTCCCGTTTTTCTACATTTGTGTAATGGAATCACCTCCTTATGTCACAGGTTTTAGAAGTGTGGGAAACTCATTTAATCAATGCATTTGAAGTGGTGTCTGACAGGAATGATTGGTTGCTCTGAACGTTGAGGATTTCTCTCCACAAATAACACAAGCCTGGAGGAGTTCTGCTGTACGGTGGAGTTGCTAATGATAATTGTTACCTTCTACTAGCCGAGACGTTCTCTCCTGGATGCTAAACCAATAACAGCCTTTCCCGTCATGAGTCAAGACGGGTGAGTCATGAATGTCAAGTGACAGTGTGACGTAGATCTGTCAGGCTTTTCTAATCCTAGAGTTTCATCGTCTATTTTCTATCAGAAGCTACTGCAGGAGGTAGGTGTAGGAGACTATTTTCATGTTCAGCCTGCATGAAACACTTAGAATCAGAAATAATCGTTAAAAATGGTTTTTCAGTTCCACACCTCTTAACACTGGTTTCCTCGTTTTTTTTTCTGCCAAGTCCTAACAGATTACACACTAACCTGTCAAATGTGTGCAGCTGATCAGCATTCACATGATCGCTGATGTTTACTGTCAAGTCTGACACCTGCTGCGTGCTGAGGTTCTTTAAATAAACAAACAGAAAAATAACAGAATATACTTACAAGTCTTATCAAAAAACAAATACATTTTTTAAAAGGCCCTTCAGGTTTCAGGGAAATCTACAAACAAACTCAAAAGATTATTGAACAGATACAAGTGCAAACTTCCACCATGCAGTTATTTTTTAATGCTTGATGAGATTACAGTAAGATTTCATCTAATCTCATAGTCTTCTGTAAGAGAAGACCCTTTATTTTTGCAAACAACAAGGACCCAACCTCAGCTTTGGTAATCACTAATGTAGCAAACTGGTGGAGTTCACACATGAAGCATGCAGACTGGTTTCCCCTCTTTCTGGGTTTACCATTAGGTTGAATATTAGTGCAGAGTCCACCGTGATGGCCTTCAGTAGCATCTGTGTGTCTGTGCTGTTGTCTTTATAACGCAGACTGTACAGCTCCTTGTTGCTGTTCCAGTCAGCAGGTAGAAGCTCAGACTTCTTATCACTGCTACGAGGCTGCAGAAGAGGATGGATGAAAAACACAAGAACAGAAACGAATAACAGAAAAAACAAAGGGTTAATGAACAAAAAATAGTAGATTTATTAAATCATCTGATGTGCGTCAATGTGACCCAGCCCCACAGAGTGAGTTAGTTTAACCTGCTAAAAGATGACTTGACATGTTTTGTTTTGACAGTTCGTTACTTTAAATCATTGGGTTTAAATGAAACAATTTGATTGAAAATAAGTAAAAGACGTCTCCTAGACATTATAATCCAGCGAAGTTAGCTAAATCCAGAAAAGTATACCCTTTTGGAAAGCTAAAGCTAACTTCAAAATAGCAGGTTAGCGTGCGCAAGTTCCCCTGGAAAATCGATTGCTTAATGTCTCCTTCAATAACATAAAATAATCACGTCGGAAACTGTGTAAATGACATTATTATTCTGTACAATATCTTACTGCTGATCTATCGGCATTTATTAGTTTAATTAAAACCTTGTACTTTTTCAATAACGTGTAATTTCATGTCTGATCTTTTGTCTGTTCGTTTCTTTTATGAAGCATAAATAGTGAGCCCTTGTTACAAAAATAACAAACCAGGTCAACAGGTCAGGTTACTGTTTGTCCATTTTCTGCATCATCTGAATCTGACCCAGCTTCAAACAGCCGATTTTACTCACATCATCTCCAGACCCGATACACCTGTATCCATTCTTTATCATTTCCCAGTGAACGAAGCACACAACGGCGTCATGCGGGCAGCTGATGCTACCTGCGACACAGGTGTACAACACCTCCAAGCCTGCCATGTTTCTTTAGTGTCTCGACATCAACACAGCATCAAAACGACGAAAAGAAAACGAAAGTCTTCCCATTTGCAACCTAGAAACTTCTAGCACTTCCTGTCTGGGGATTTCAATGTAAAAGCACCGCAAAAAATTCGTTGCAAGGCCAGGCGCCTTGACATTGAGAAACACTCTTATAGATACATTCTGTAGATATTTGTACTGAGTATTTTTACACAAAAGTAATTAAAATGATCTTTATTACATCTGTGTTCTAAATGAAATCCAAAAAAAAATTATAAAATGTGCAAAAAACCAAACACAAAAAATAATTATGATCAGAATTTTACAAGAACGTAATGCCTTTTCAAGTAAAATAGAAGACGAATAATAGTTTATGTGAACTTTATTTTGTTTTATTTATGTAGTTGTCTTTTTAGACAACATACTTCATTTCCCATCATGCCTTGTACCGGCAGGGCGGAAAGCGCTTCCTTGTGAAGATGGCGGCTCCCTTGACTCTACTTTTAGTTGTAGCCGTTACAATCCGCGCGGCTCTTTACAGATCCTCTCTAGCGGAGGTAATCGCGGAGCGGGTGGAGGTGGTGTCACCCATTACCGCCTGGAAACGAGGTAAGCGCGGGTGCGGCTGTCGTCCGGATCCCAATTGTTCGGTTAAAATTCCGGTTCCTTCCTGCATCTTCGTCTGAACGATGCTGTCAAGTCAAACCAGTTCCGATACAAAAGACGGAGAGTCCTGATCGGCTTGCAAAAACAAATCCAGACAAGCCTAGACAAGTGCTGATTTCTTATAAAAATGTTGAATAATGTGTGTGGATGCTACATGTGTCATGCTTCAGCCCCTGTAAAGTAAAACCAGATCATTACAAGGTGATTGATGATATTAGCTCTACCATAGAGGATAACACAGATGTTGTTTGTTTTTTGCAGTTATTGAGGGTTTGGCACTGCTTGATCTTGGAGTTTCACCATACTCAGGAGATGTGTTCCATGAGGTAGGAGATCCGCACATTAAATACCTATCATGTTATCAGGCCATGACAGCATTTGTGTCTGCTTTAGGGGTTAGGTGATGAGCTGATTTCAAATCCTCAAGGATTTAAATGTGTTGCCAATCTGCCAAAGTAATAATAGTAGGATTGTCACAAACTATTTATCAGAATGATTGGGAAATGTTGCTGCCCAGATCGATTTGGATGCAACACACTCAGGGCCTGATCACATTATTGTGTATTTATGGTATTTATGGCCCAGTCCCAATACTCACACCTCCACACTTGTGCCTTTTAATATCATGTTCCCAGCCAGGGGTGCAAGTGCATAGGGTGTCCCGATTTTCAAGTGCAGGAAGTGACCAAGCTCATTTTGCACCCTTGATCTGCACTTTTCCCAGGTCTGTATCAACGTGGACTTGGGTGACCCACAGTTACCCACAATCTATTCCTGCGTGTTAAGTTTGAGAAGAAGGCAGGGCAATGGCTCAAGCGCCTTTTCTGAAAATTTGTATTTTCAAATGAAAGAAATTTTAAGACGATTAATGACATTTATTCATGTTGTGAATTTTTTAAGACTAAGGTTTAATGTGGACGGCAATGAATTTCAATTTAGGGTCTCCAAAAAGGGTGGGTAGTCTGAACTGTAGTTTGGTGCATAAGCACTGACCACAGTCAGAACCCGTCCCCCCACACGTAGGCGGAGGGAGGCTACCCTCTGATTCACTGGGGTAAACCTCAACATACAGGCACCAAGATGGGGGGCAACTAATATGCCCACCCCTGCTCAGCGCCTCTCAGTGGAAGCAACTCCAGAGTGGTAGAAAGTCCAACCCCTCTCAAGGAAACTGGTTCCAGAGCCAGAGCCATGCATTGAGATGAGTCAGACTATATCTAGTTGGAACCTCTCAACCTCACACACCAACTCAGGCTCCTTCCCCACCAGAGAGGTGACATTCCATGTGCCAAGAGCCAGCTTCTGTAGCCGAGGATCAGACAGCCAAGGTCCCTGCCCTCGACTACCACCCGTCACACACTGCACCTGACCCCTTTGGCCCCTCCCACGAGTGGTGAGCCCATGGGAAGGGGGATCCACATTTCCTCTTCGGGCTGTGCCCGGCTGGGCTCCATGGGTGAAAGCCCATCCACCAGGCGCTCGCCAACATGCCCCACCTCCAGGCCTGGCTCCAGAGGGGGGCCCCCGTGACCCACGTCCGGGCGAGGGAACACAGTTTCCATTTATATAATTCATCATAAGAGGTCTTTGGGTTGCTCTTTGTCTGATCCCTCACCTAGGACCTGTTTGCCATGGGTGACCCTACCAGACGCAAAAAGCCTCAGACAACTTAGCTCCTAGGATCATTGAAACACTCAAACCCCTCCACCACGGTAAGGTGGCAGCCCACGGAGAGGAACTTACTACGCACTTACTACATGGACTGAAATGCTTGCCCTGGTTTTCTCCATGTTTAATGCTCCTTCTGTCATCCTGGAAGAGAGCGTTAAAGCTTGCAAAATACACAGCCATTTTCTTCTCCATGTCTGACTCTCATGTCAATGATGTCAATATGGTGAGACACAATTGTAGTCCTAAATGTCTTTTCACACAAAACCTAAAATCACTGTTCGAAAATAGCAAATAACAGAGTCTTGGCATAAATGTGTCTTTAAAATTCACGGACGTCAAATGTAAAATCCGTGGCACATATCAAACGGGGTCAGAAAATAACTTTTATCCGCTCATAGACTCCGATTCATTTTTGGGAGCAGTGGGACACCCAAGGACCAGAAGTGGGTGGGCGTGGCTTAGGCTCCCCCCAAAAAAACAAGTAGAAGTAAAGATGTTCTTACTTGGTGAGGATTTTCAGTGTTGGTCTGTTAGCATAACTTCAAAATGAGTTGGTGATTTACATCATGGTGAGGTTAACTGTCAGCTGTGGCATTAGGTTAGCATTATTAGCAGCTATTAGCATAAGGTAGATAATTAACCTATATGTTACAGCATCCCCCCCCCCCCTCCTTTAGGGCTGCTTTAACATAGAGAGCATGTTTTGTTTCATTTTTGTGAAAATTTACTTTAAATATGAAAAATCATTATTTTACTTTTAAACTAAAATAATGATTTGACATTTGCCACAACCCTCAACCCAAGTTTACATCATACGCTCCTATTTTGATTCCAAATAACCTTTTTGTTTTTTCTCCAGACCCCTCTCGTCATCTATCTCTTCCACTTTCTGGTGGATTATGCAGAAATTACATTTATGGTGAGAGAGCCACAACAAACTTGGCATCCCAGCTTGAGTATTTCCAGCGAGTTCCGGGATGAACCCCAGTAAACACCTATTGCTCTTTTTCAGCTGGAATAAAATCAATGAAAGTTCTCTTTGTTTTGTTTGTTAGTTGGCAGACGTGATCTCTGCTATTGCTCTCTACTTGGCAGTGAAGGAATACAACAAACAAGTGGTAAGAAAGTGAGAAATGTTTAAGGAAAATTAAGCCCTTTTTTTATATCAAATTAGCACAAAAGGTAGTTTATTTTAACCAACGGCAGCTCAGTTTGCCACTCATTATTTAGACTAGATGAATCAGTCATACAGTTGTGACTGGATAAGTTACACATGTTTTCATGCATGCACACAATTTTCCTTGTAGAAAGGGCGATGAGACATTTCATTTGCCTTCTCTGATGTTTTTCAGTCCAGAAAACAGAAGTTTGCCCTGGAGGCAGACCGATACCCTCAAGACTGTTTGGAGCTCATCAGAAGTCCCAAAGAAATGTTGTACATTCCCCTGAAAGTAGCCATGTTGTAAGTACTCCCACTAGATGGAGTTAAAACCAAGCGGTCATTGAATCGCAGGTTTAAAAATTTAGTATTTTTTGTAAAAATCTTGATTGTGAATGAAACAAAAAAGATGGTTGTTAGTTTCAGGAAAAGCAGGTTGAACACTTCTTCCATCATGAGAGAAGAAGTAGAAGTGGTGAAAGAATGTGAAAACCCTGGTGAAGCAGACTGGAGACATAACAGTGAAGCGAAAGGGAGCAGACCTGACTTATTAAAGCTGAGATCCTTCAGTGTTTGCAGCAAGATGTTCCAGATCTTCCATAGGTCTGTTGAGGAGACCTCTGCAGTTAACTGTTGATGTAGCAGCATCAGAGCCCGTGATTATAAGGAAGGCTAGCTCTGCTCTGGGGGATTTTATTTTTATTTTTTGCAAAAACGAAGAACACGATGTACAACCATGATCATCCTCTCCACAAGACATAAGTCAGCTACAGTGTCTTCAGTCAGAAGCTTCTTAAGATCCAGAACAACAGACAGAAGGTCTTTCATGCTGTTGGGTATTTTTAAATCCTGGAATGAACCACACAGGAGAGAAGTCAGTAGGTTTTATACGCTGCTGAGGGGCAGCAGAGGGCAACCGGCCAAAAGCCTGCAAAGGCCCATGTCCGATCATCTCTGGCACGTTCTCTCTCTCTCCAGCTGGTTTTATTGAAACACGGGCAACCAAGGACAAAGAACAATCCATCACTGTCCCCACTTAACCAATAACACTGTTGCTTCTATCTAAGGCAGGACCTTCTAAAAAGGAAGTCTCAAGTTACAGGGGTGACTCATTCAGCCTGGTAACTTTCCTGTTGTCAGGCAGAGCATCCCCAACCCCCATGCTTATCAGGCCGCATGCCACAGCTATGAGGAAAGGAGAAAGCCCTGTGGCTTACTTCACAATCATAAGATTGGCAAATGATTACTTAAAAAGGAACATTTAAGACAGTAATACATTAAAATCTCCAACACCTGCCCACCGCTAGAAACATCAATAATTAATCTTTAAAGAAGCTTAAATAATAAGAGTTGCATCTAATTTCACTTTGGGGTTAATTAAGTATTTTTAATTTAAATTATGTTCTCTCACAGTTACCTGCTGAACCCATTTACCATCCTGTCCTGCGTCGCCAAGTCGACCTGCGGCCTGAACAATGCGGTCATCTCCCTGTTCATCCTCACCACGATTAAAGGTCAGCCTCAGATTATTACCCCACATCGTTTTAAGATATCTTTGTTTCTTTCTAGAACCTTTATGGTTGTTGAAATAAATAGTTGGCAGCATCATTTTAATTTTTAATTCTATTTTTTTTATTCAAGATACCCCTAGAACCATTTTTCCTGTTTTTTTAGAGTTAGGGGTTAATTTAGTTTTATTCTGTGTTTCAGGAAATGCCCTGCTGAGTGCTGTCTTCCTGTGCTTGGCCACTTACCAGTCCATCTACCCTCTCACACTGTGTGCTCCAGCGATGCTGTACCTAATGCAGGTTGGTTGTGTTTAACATGGATGAACATAAATACATGTTGTGGTATTGATGAGCTTTTTAATTCCCTTTGATTTTAATGCAACATTAGAAAGATTTAGTTGCATCTTTTGCTCCTCCGCCTTTGTTTTTGTCTCTTCAGCGCCAGTACATCCCGGTGAATTATCGAAGAGCCAGTTTCTGGTGGTTTGTCGTTCAGTACCTCTTCATGTACCTCGGTAGCCTGTTTGTCCTCATCTGTCTTTCCTTCTTCCTGCTCGGCTCGTGGGACTACCTGCCATCTGTTTATGGCTTCATGTGAGTAGAAGCAAAGCTAATGGTGTAAAGCAGATACAGCTGCACCTTCTCTCCAACTGCAGGGTGGAGACATGGCTGGTGGAGTTTTGTAGCTGTAGAGTTTTCGCACCAGAGAGCATCTTGAACTATTGACTAAAATGAGCCTTTTTGCAGAACCAGACTCTGATTTTTTTGTTTTTGTCCCTCCAGTCTTTCAGTTCCTGACCTCACCCCGAACATCGGCCTCTTCTGGTACTTCTTTGCTGAGATGTTTGAGCATTTCCGCCTCTTCTTCCTCTGTGTTTTCCAGATCAATGTTTTCTTTTACACCGTCCCTCTGTCCATCAAACTCAAGTAAGTTCTCCTTCTTACCCTCACACCAGTCTGATCGTGTGAGGCAATGCTACAGTGCTTTCAGTCTCTTTATCCCAAATGTTTGTGCTATAGGGACCATCCGGTGTTTCTGATGTTCATGCAGTTAGCTGTGATCTCCATCTTTAAGTCTTACCCCACTGTGGGAGACATTGCGCTCTACATGGCCCTGCTTCCTGTCTGGAGTCACCTGCACAGATGTAAGTGTCGTGATGTTTGCATGAAGCGTACATTAATCTCAAAACCCATTAATTAATTCTAAATGTCCAATAATAAAGAGTTGAACTGTAAAATGAAAGCATGAGTTACAATCTGATATATATAAATATTAAAAAACATCATATAAAGAAGCAATCTTGAGCAAACTGTTTTCCGTCTCGCTGCAGTCCTGAGGAACATCTTTCTGGTGTCCTGTGTCCTGTTGGCCTGTTCTGTTCTGTTCCCGGTTCTGTGGCACCTCTGGATCTACGCTGGCAGCGCCAACTCCAACTTCTACTACGCCATAACTCTGCTGTTCAATGTGGCGCAGGTAAGACTGTGCAGATGTGGCATGAAAAATTGCACATTCAGACATTAAAAGTTATGGTGGCCTAAATAAATCCAGCTGCTTCAGATTAAGACCCTGGTTTTCTGCAATAATTAAACTTTACTCTTTAAACTTCCACCTTTCATACAAGCTTAAAAGAAAATCTTAATTTCTGACACATCCGTGTTTTTATTCTTTGACAAAAGAACATTTTGTTGCCCTTATTTCCTTTCAGATCCTTCTGGTGTCAGATTACTTCTACGCCTTCCTGAGGAGGGAACACCACCTCATCCATGGACTTTATCTAAAGAAGAAGGATGGCTCGGAGGCTACGCTAGTACTAAAATAGAAGCACAGTCTCTACAGGGAGGAAGAAACTGTTGAAGCTCTCCCTAAAGTGAAAAACTGAGATGAATAAGAGACATCGGCGCTGCACTGATCATCAGAATGAACAAAAGCACACATGCAGAAAGTGTGTGAGGTACAACTTCATGTGTCAGACTCAGACTTGTGACCCCCTTCTCTGTTGGAAAACTTACTCTGAAGGATCTCCCCTCTGACACCTTAGAGAAACTGGACTTTTATTTTGAAGGTTATTTCCTCCTATTACATGTTGTGGATGAACCAACAGAGGAACATACAGCTGGGCTTTTATTTTGAAGCCTGCCTTTTCATTAAAATTGACAAATGTAGGAAACCTTTTGAGTCTCTCACATAAAACTACTGGTCCTGACTCACCGTAATGTTATGTTGTGTTTAAACTGATTTAGTTATACTAGGAACAGAGAAAATGGAATTATGAAAGGTTTCTCACTCTTTAATTACATAAACTCCATCTCCTCAGTTTTGGATCTCATCCCTGTTTAAAGCCGGACTATCTACAGCACATAACACCACCTGGACTTGGGATGCTGCCTAAAAAGTGTGGATTGGTTCATCCTCAGGCCTTCTCCACATGAACACGGATATATTTTACAAGCAAATTTATTATCCAAATAATCAGAAGTAGTGGAATCTCAGGCGTTTTATGTGGCGTTAGCCCGGTGCTTTCAGGTGCATCTGTCAAGAGTTGTCTTCACTTGAAATGATGCCAAAAACATTTAGATGGCGATCATTTTAATTAGCCTAGGGCTGTTTTTCAATAAAACTTTTGTGTTTGTGAATTAGGTCTCAGATTCATCTGATAGAAGCTGAATAACTGAGGAGAGCAGACAGCAGTGAATGTGTTTGATCTGAAGTACGGGAGCATAGAAAAATGGTGATGATGATTATGGACCAAGTGAAATCGCCCTACAGTTTTCTTCTGATTCCATCCCTACAAATGTTTTATCACTGTGAGAAATGTCTCCACTGTTTCTGCATGTAATCAAAAATAATTAGTTAAAAAAAACATTTTAATGGTTCTAATGAACTTCTTCTGTATGCATGCAGGTTATGGATGACGTGGTTGTCAGAAGATACTACTTTGGTAATGGGGGGATTTAGCATTTTTAGTGAGAAAGACCTCAGATTTCAAATGTTGAATGGTCAGTTTTTTTTTTTTTTGGTTTTTTTTTTTTTTTGTAGAAAGGAAACACACACTCACTCCCCTAACTAAAACCAATATCCGGTAGATCCAGGAAGTCATTTACTACCCTGATTGTTTTCACAAGACAAAAACAAGAATTATCATGAATATTTAACTCCCTAACAAAAGGTAAACTCGTATGTTTTACTCTTTTAAAGCTTTTTTTACTCTCCCAGTTTTTTGTAAAACCAAATGACACTATTATAGTATTCTAATCTATGTTTATGTTTATTTATTTGGCAGACGCTTTTATCCAAAGCGACTTACAATTTATAACCTATAGGGCATGTTGTGATCTGTGGGGGAAACTGGAGTACCCGGAGGAAACCCACGGGGAGAACACGCAACTCCATGCAGAAAGGCCGCAGCCCAGTTTCGAACCAGCAACCTTCGTGCTGCGAGGCAACAGTGCTATCCACTGCTTCACGATGCAGCCCTAGTCGGTGTTTACTACAAACTAACTCATTGTTTCATGGTACCAATATTTTACATTTTAAATTAACACAAAACTGTTTGGAAACTAACATTTTCGCATCAGATCATATTTAAACAACAGATGTTTATTCCAGACTGTGTCTGAATGGTGCTGTCTGTTTAGACAGACTGATATATGACACATTTTTTTATGGAACTGGGAAAGATGCAGCTTTCCGATTAAATGAAATAACACAAAACCTTTAAAGAGCAAGTCTCCCCCAAATAAACTTTTTTTGCTGATAAACTAAATAAACGAGTGTCTAATCATGCTGCAGACACGTGTAGTCAATAATTTGGCACTTCAGTGCATCTTAGTTAAAATTTAAATATTCTGCTTAAAACTGGCAGTGTTGTGCCGTTGTCAGGTAAAAACTCTGCACTGCACTTTGAATTTAAATCTGCCACCGCTATTGGCTAAGAGGTATGCTATGATGTAAACTGGTACATTATTATGTCACAATGCTGTTGTGTGTGTGTGTGTGTGTGTGTGTGTGTGTGTGTGTGTGTGTGTGTGTGTTTGTTGGCAGCTCCGCCTTCTCGGTCTGCCAGGCAACAGCATTTGTTGCATTTTTCAAACATGAAGTGGGAGTGGAGTTAGACTCTGGTAGGGCTTGACTTGCTCTTTAAAATCAACATGAAGATTCTCTGAATGTTTAGTTGCATTTTGGGTTAATTCCATGTTTCAGAGTCAAAGATAAAATGGTTTACTTTGCGCCCACCTACATAAAATTAAACACCTCTTGACTTTTTATACTTTTCATCTGTTTGTGCAGAAGGGTCAAACATTTTTTACCAATAAAAGAAAAGGGAAACATATTTGCTGCACTGAAATCATTCCAGAGATTTCATTTTTTTTTATTTAGATGTCTTTTATTATGAATGATGATATTTAATTTGGCATTTAGGTTCAGATTTTTCTTCAGAAAGGCTGATATTATAGCAGCTTCAGAACCATCTCTAAACTTCTGTACGTCTCCAAGATCTTGGAAAAGGTTGTGGCTAAACAGCTCACAGCTGCTCTTGATGAACGTAACATCTATGATAGTTTCCATTCAGGTTTCTGTAGAGCTCATTCTAGTGAAACAGCTATTCTTAGGGTTTCCAATGACCTTCTGACCCACAGTGATGCAGAGGACGGTTCTGTTCTGGTCCTGCTGGACCTGACTGCAGCCGTTGACACTGTTGATCATCACCTGCTACTGGAGGCTGAGAGACTCAGAATCAGGTATCAATTGCTGCTCTTCATTTTTGATGCAGATGACATTATCTACTCTTAATCCTTCACCATTACTCAGACTCTGAAATTTCTACAGGCAGCTTTTGAGGGGGTACAGTCTCATTTCACCAAACTAAAGTTTGTGCTCAATGCTGAAAAATCCACATGTATGTTGCTGGTGAAGGTTCTCAGTCATCCAGCTCATTAGCCTAGTGAACTAGACCAAATTATTGCTTTGCAAAGTTTACATTTATTTAGTCTGGCTTGCCAGGCTACCAGCTCATGGTAATCCAAGGGGTTAAAATGAAGACAACTGGACTTCTTTGGTTTCTTTGAAGACATTTTGCTTCTCATCTGAGGAGCTTTGTCAATTCTGACTTGAATACAGAAGGGTCATGCTTATTAACTGATGCTGTCTTTTGTTGCTTAACAAACAGAAACTACCTATGAATACCTCAACCTATGAATACCTCATCCTCCCTACCCCCTGTGGAGTTGTTGATGTCATTAGACCCTATTGTATTGGAATGCAGGAGGGTGCACATGCATGTCATTAAATAGTAAGAAAGTCACACCCAGCCCTAAAAATCTCAAATAGTTTAGAGTTTCCTGATTAAATGACTGCATCTTATAAATACTTGGGTGTCATAATTGGTCAGAATCTTTCATTTCATTTACATATATAAAACTTTACCAAAAAGGTTTCTTTTACTGAAGGAGATTATGCTATTCTCTGAAGGCAAGGAAACACCTAATCCCTGCAACATGTTTACCTTTGTTAGAGTATGCAGATTCACTGTATTTGAGGAAAATAGAACACAGGAGTCTGGACAGAGCCAGTGAACTGAACACTTTCTTTAATAGTTTAAGTTCAGGAGCTAGCTCGGCATCCTTCTTTACTACAACCAAACAGACATCCCATCAAACTTTGACCCAAAGCTTTCATGTCACACATCAGATGTTTTATCTTTGACCTCAGTCATGGATTCATCTGCTTTTACAAGTTTGTTTTCCACCAAACCAGGAGATCCTGCTGCTCCCTTTGCCTCCTCCACCCACTTGTCTGTCACTAGAAGTCAAGTGAATAGGCAGCTGGTTTGTCAAAGTCCCCTTTAGTGTGATCCTGTTTCCTGGACTAACTGGTATGGATGGAGAAACTCACCAGAGCAGAGAAGAGCTACAGGTGAACACATCTGCAACAATTCTGGCAAAAACAAGCAGCAAACAGGTTGTTTGCTTCAGAATAAAAGCCAGAAACTGAATGAAGTCATCCAGATATGTAATTAAACACAATTAAATAAAGCAGAGATGTTGGTCCAGGCCTGTCCAGCCTATCAGATGATGCCCCATAGGGTCAGAGATCCAACCTCTAAAAAGAGCCTGTGTGAGGCTTCCTTCTTGGTTATGAGTCTGAGACTCTCCACCTGTTCACCTGTTGCTTGAATCATCATGAGCCGGAGCTCTTTTAGCTGAGGCCAGATATCTACACTATAGTGAAGACCATGGATCTAAACACGGCTCACCCAGACGTCATCCTGTCTGAAGGCTGAGCCACGAGGAGGTCTGGACACAAACAGAAAGTTCAGATGTTTCCTCAGTCATGTTGGCTTCAGCTCAGGTCCTCACAGCTGAAACGTGAGAAGATTTTTTAAATTAATGTCTCACTGGTCTTTTCATTCACATGTTTCTGAGACTTTTAGCATCACTGCGTTTTAGTTTAATGTCTCTTTAATTTGGGTTTTGGTTTGAATCGGGTAATGTCATTATAGCAGAAGTACCAGCAGACCTGGATCTTCTGATGCTGCTTATTTCTAACAGCACAGTGATGTTGGTTTCAGATTGTGGTTGTGAGATTTCAATATGAGAGTTATTTATCTTTACTCTGTTGACCCAGGACAGCCATGCATGATGTTTTCTGGATCCTCCTGCGTCTTCAGCTCCAGAAACTGGTGATGTTTTATGATGTTCTACAGTTCCTTCTTGCTGGTCATGAAGTCTATCTGTGTGGACTTTAGGTTTGCGTTGGAAATCTGTCTGATAGCTTCTAGGTCATGAATGATCTGTGCATGCTCACCTGGATTTGCATAAAGGGGCTGCATCGTGGTGCAGTGGTTAGCACTGTTGCCTCGCAGCACGAAGGTTGCAGGTTCGAAACTCGGCTGCGGCCTTTCTGCGTGGAGTTGCGTGTTCTCCCCATGCATGCGTGGGTTTCCTCCGTGTACTCCGGTTTCCCCCACAGATCACAACATGCCCTATAGGTTATAAATTGTAAGTCGCTTTGGATAAAAGTGTCTGCCAAATAAATAAACATAAATAAACATAAAGGACTTCATGTGAAAGCTTGTCTTTATGTCTTCAAGTTCACCAGCAGTGGAAACAATGGGATCACTGGAACACCTCCACCTCAACATTCAGCTCTTTTTTTAATCAGCTCTGAATGAAATCAGCTGACCGCCAGCTGAGTTATGGTCTTATCCTGCAGGTAAAATGTATCTTCAGTCAGTTAAGGATCCTACCTGTGAACTCTGCTGTGATATTTTTAGAAGTCTGGTTCTACTGTCCTGCAGCCACAGCTTCTGTTGAGACTGTCAGCAGATCTGCTGGTCTAGGTGTCCAGGTTGTCAGGAGGAACCTCTGTCGACAGATCTACCCTGTAACTCAGAGTTGAAGAACCTGTGTGAGGCTGTTTTACTGGGAAAGACTCTGACAACTTCATTAGAATCAGAGTCTGTCTGCAGCCTGCACTCTGAGAAGCTCAAACTCTTCTGTCTGGACCACGAGAAGCCTGTTTGTCTCGTCTGCAGACTCAGAAGGACACCAAAACCACAAGAAAACATTGATCTGACAGCAGAACATGCTCTGGTCCATGCTCGACGAACAGAAAGACAGATCAGAGCAGTTTCAGATGCTTCAGCAGTTTTTTCATGAGGAGGAGGAGGTTAGGATCTCTGCACTGAGGAAGGAAGAGGAGCACAAGAGTCAGATGCTGAAGGGACAAACTGAGGACTTTAGGAGTAAAATAGACGCTCTTTCAGATACGGTTACACTCACAGAAGAGGAGCTGAGAGTTGAAGATGTTTGTTTGATCCACAACATCTAGACTGCTGTTGACATGATCCAGCGGGTCTTCCAGATGGATCATCCACAACCAGCTTCATGAGCTCTGATAGATGAAGCCAAACATCTGGGCAACCTGGCCCACAATATCTGGACTAAAATGAAGGAGGTGGTCTCCTGCTATCCTTTGATTCTGATCCAAGCACAGCTGAGCCTAATCTTATCCTGTCTGAAGATCTGACCTGTGTGACATTTGGACAGAGGCAGAAGCTTCCTGAGAATCCAGAGAGGTTTGAGCGCTGACAATGCATTCTCAGCTGTGAGGGATTCAGCTCAGGAACACACATCTGGTACGAGGAGGTCAGGAATGAGCAGTTCTGGGGTCTCAGTGTCATAATGAAGTCAGTTCAGAGACAGAAACAAATCCAAGAAGGATTCTGGGGAATTTATTTCTCTAATGGGAATTACGTGGCAGCTTCTCCACTACCTTAAAAGTTCTCCCCGTGATGGACCAGGGTTCAACTAGACTGGGATAGAGGAGAGTTATCGTTCTTTGATCTTTATACCAAAAACCACATCCATGCCTTTCCCTATGTTTGCATCAAAAATAAATTACCTCCAAAGATTTTACCAGCAACAAAATGAGCCCACTGCTGGTATTACTGGTGCGGTAGCTTATTGTGTTCAACTTCCCTGTTATTGTTCCTCATCGAGGCTCTCAGGAGGAACAAAACAGAGATGTTTAGATTTTACATCAGTGTGTTGGAGACACAGCATCAGAGGACAAGATTTAAACTGGATTATCCTTTTATTGATAATATTTCATAGAAGAAGCCTCGTTTTGAGGCGAGAGGAACTGTGAAGGAACTTCCTGCCTGCTGCTGGTTCCGTTGTCGTTTTCATCCTGAGGTAAAATGTCTTCTCAGTCAGAGAAGGATCTTACGTGTCCCATCTGCCTTCACATTTTTGTAGAGCCTGTTGTCCTGTCCTGCAGCCACAGCTTCTGTAGAGGCTGTCTGCAGAGATGGTGGTGGGAGAAACAAAAGGAGGTGTGTCCACTTTGCAGGGAGATGTCTCTGTTTAGATATCCTCCACGTAACCTGGCATTAAAGAACCTGTGTGAGACCTTCACACTGGAGAGGAAACAGAAAGCTTCAGCTCCATCTGAGCCTCTGTGCAGTCTTCACGCTGAGAAGCTTAAGCTGTTCTGTCTGGATCATCAGCAGCCCGTTTGTCTCGTCTGTCGAGATTCAAAATCTCATAACAACCACAGGTTTCGGCCCATCGCTGAGGCTGCTGAGGACCACCGTCAGGAGATCCTGATAGCCCTGAAACCCCTGAAGAAGAAACTAAAGAGCTTAAAAAGAGTTCAGGGACGATGGGAGGAAACAGCAGAACACATCAAGGTTCAGGCCAAACACACTGAGAGGCAAATCAGGGAGCAGTTTCGGAGGTTTCACAAGTTTCTGCAAGAGGAGGAAGAAGTCAGGATTGCTGCTCTGAGGGAGGAAGGGCAACGAAAAGGTAAAGAAATGAGGAGGAAGGCTGAAGGTCTGGCCAGAATCATATGGGTCCTCTCAGACACAATCAGAGCCTCAGAGGAGGAGCTGAGAGACGTTGCTGTCTTACAAAGCTACCAGGAGGTGAAAAGGAGAATCCAGCAGTACCCCCTGCTGGATGACCCACAACCAGGTCCAGGAGCTCTGATAGATGAGGCAAAACATCTCGGAAACCTGAGCTTCAACATCTGGACAAAGATCAAGGAGATGGTCTCCTACACTCCTGTGATTCTGGATCCAAACACAGCTCATCCAGAACTCATCCTGTCTGAGGATCTGACCAGTGTGAGGTTCAGGCCGAGACAGAAGCTTCCAGACAACCCAGAGAGGTTTGACCAACATCACTGTGTTCTTGGCTCTGAAGGTTTCACCTCAGGAGCTCATACCTGGGACGTGGAGGTGAGAAACGAGGACAATTGGGGTGTTGGAGTGGTGAAGAAATCGGTTCTGAGGAAGGGACCGATCCAGGTGGGGTACTGGGGAGTTTGTCTCTTTGATGGGAACTACAGGGCAGTCTCTTTCCCACATCCAGAACAAGTTCTCCCAGTGAAGACGCTCCACAGGATCCGGGTCCAGCTGGACTGGGACGGAGGAAGCTTGTCATTCTTGGATCTGGAGACGAACAAACTAATTCACAGATTCAGTCACAGGTTCATGGAGAAGCTGTTTCCTTTTATATCGACCAAGAATAAAATCCCGCTGAGGATTTCACCACAGACCATCTCTGAAGCTGCTTCCCTGTAGTCTGTCTGCATATTTTATTATAATTTATCTTCTTATGCATAAACATCAGCTATTGACTGTAGAGCAGAAATGGTAACAGTTTAGTTTTATTGGCTTTGTGTTTAAATTTGCTAGTTATTTTTTCTTCATTAGTTAAACCAGACGAGTCTTAATGAGACAAAGCTGGGTCCTAAAAAATAACAAATAAAAAAAAAACTGCAATAAAATGGCGCGTGCATCCTTTTGTTAAAAATAAATCATCTGCAGCCTGTGATGTTACAATGTCATTTTGGTTAAAGCCTTCAGGTGTTCATCTTCAAACCAAAGTCAGCATAGACGTAACCAAGCCTAAACGTAATGTAGATCCAAAATCTAAAACATTAAACCAGAAAAACAGACCAGATGTCTTTAGCGGATGTTTTTTTAACTGTTGTTACAACAAAACAAGTTTTCATTACAAGACTTTCAGACACCGTTTGTTCATCAGTAACACCTGAAACCAGAGCAGACGTGAGTATTCAGGAAATACCTGAAACAGAGTTAACTTCTGTTTAATCAGAGGAACAAACCAGGAAGGATCTGGAGATCTGCTTCTCCACACGAGGCTCACCAGCAGCTACGGTTCAGTAAAAATAAACTTTAATAAAGAGGAGACATCCTGTGTATTTAAGTACTATTAGACACAAACATGGGACCATTTGGCTGAAAAATCCTCAACACTAGAGCCAGATTTATTTCTTAATATTTAAAGAAACTACCACTACAGCAGATAGAATGATCTAAATTGAGGCTTTTAACAAGGTCTTTTCACTTATATGTACTTGTTTTGTGTTTCTGTTAACATTTTGAACCATGTCATCAATAATCTTTCAGGAAAAAAACACCAATAATCAAAGTTAACAGGAAAGTTGATGAGCACATTTGGCAGAATAAGATTTTTCCTGTTTATTCTTTCAAATGTCTGAAATTTTTACATAAAGTATAAAAAGAAGCTACTTCCACAGGCTGAACACATCAGAGAATCTACTGGGACCTTAGTGACGATTTCAGACGTTTCCGAGTTCCGACTCATTTTCGTTGCTACTTCTGATAAAAATCTACATGAAAAGACCCAAACTAAACCTCGTACGTATTTGATTCTGTAAGACAAACAGCTACACAACTTTTTTTACTTCTCTAAATATGTTCACTAACTTCCACAACCTCTCCCTAAAAATAGCTGTCATTCAATAAGTACTTCCATTTTTTATTTATTCTTTCTCCTGCCTGAAGGGAGAAAATTAAATAAATGAACAGGATTAAAGTACAGCTGTGAAATGATTTAATCCCATCATAAGAGCATCTGCTGACAGAGTTAAAAGGGCTAAAGCTGGGAAAAGGTGATGACACCACAACAATAACAGGAAGTCAACCAACTCAAAGAAACATCAGTAAACAGCCGATTGCTAAACTAGAGGTGGTTTGGACTGGGGGGTAACTGGTTTGTTATTTAGACAGAAGGACATCTGTCCAGTCATGTTTTACACTAAATAAAGACACACAGAGGTGTTGCTCCTACATTCATCTGCTCAGACAGATTCATCCCGACGGTTCATTCACATTTTAACTGTTTTTAAAACTTCAAACACCTGCAGCTCCAGTTTGTTTAATAAATCAGAAGTCATGATTTCATCACGTTGGCTCCTTCACTGGAACAGTTCCGAGTCTATTAATCTAGTGTTTGTTTAGCTCTCTAATCCCACCACCTGTAAACTCACTCATCCTAATCCCTCCCCCGGCTCCACTCACCCGCTTCCTGTGTCTTTTCTCCTCTGTATGATCCACCACATTTAGGACACGTTTGTCCTAACTAATCTTCCCGTTTCTACCTCGGACTTGTGCCACGACTCCTTGCAGGTGGAAGATTCAGCCGTGCAGGAATAAAAATGAGTCCAAATCAGTTTAATAAGGGAATAAAATTCCATTTGTTCTTCCTCCATCTGTGTGATCACCTCCATCTCTCTGGCACATTTTTGGGCGTTCAGTTTATAAAATTATCTTTGATATTTCTTTTCTCTCCCGATGCTACATGATGATTCGTGGCTCTGGTACCGATTCATTGATGGATTTATGAGGCAGGACGTTGGCGCCGTTCAGGTAAAGCTCATCGTTCACAATCACGTCCTCCCCCAGCACCGTCACGTTCTCCATACGCACCTTAAAACAGAGACATAAAACCGTCATCACTTCTAAACACAAACACAACAAGATCCTAGGTTTTACAAGTAAACACATGTCCTGCTCACGACTTCCTGTCACCCAGCTGCTAAAAAACAACAATGATGCTTTATTCAGACTCCAGTTTAAAAAGATGACCTGGGAATACCTGGACTTCTTCGGGGTCTTGAACCAGTGAACCAGGCCAACACATGAATTATAATCTGATCCACGTGAAGGAAGTTTACTCACCCACTGACCAACGGAGGAGCTCCATCCCACGATGCAGCTCTCCAACCAAGAGTGGGACCGAACCCTCGATCCTTTCAGCACCGTGCACCGTTTTATCCTCACCCCATCCTCGATGACCACACCGGCACCGATGGTGACGTTGGGCCCGATGGAGCAGTTCTCCCCGATCTGCGCCGACGGGTCCTTCACAGGGAAAATGAGGACAGACGCTACACATCACCACAGGTATCGTTTTTTGTTTTTTCCTCTATATGGTCAAAAAGCCGAACTGACCACCAGGACGTTGCCAAGGAAACCAGGCCCTGTATGAAGCCTCTCAGGAGCATGTTGCCGTAGCGACTGGAGGTACATACACATTCCTGTGAGGAAATCTTTCGGCTGACCGATGTCCATCCAGAAACCTAAGGTGCAGACGGAACAACAGCCCGACAGTCAAAAGCTGTTACCATGGAAACAACCAGGTTTCAACAGATAATCTCCACCAGGCAAATTACCGACCAGCAACAGGACTTTATGGCTTCTATAGGAAATTCAGCTAAATACACATGAATAAAAGCTCAACTCTGTGGTTTGGATGTATATGAATAAGCTGTGTTTTTTTTTATTTATTGAAAAAAAAATAAAAATAAAAAATCAAACATTTAAAGGAACCAACTACTGCTCATAAACCTCAGGATGTGACGTAGGGCATTATGGCAGGTAAAACTTTCAGATTAAATCCGGAACAGGAAATTCTGGTTTATCTACTGGGGGGGGGGGGGGGGGGGGGGGTTACTGCTCAGGAAGGAGGATGTACAGAAGCACCAGAATCCCTCCAGTCATCTTTTCCTGATAAAAATCGACTCATCTGCAAATCTAGTTCTGTCTTTTTAAACACATCAGTGCTTCTCTACATGCAGAAGCTGAACTAAATGAGTTTGGATGTGAGGAAAGACCCAAACACTTACGTCTGGTGGAGCTGGGAGCTGCTGAGACCAGAATGAGCAAAACGTGTCAGCTTCCAACAAGACCTTCCTTTGAACTGAAGCCACTGAGTGTGTCTTTAGTTTAACTACAGAGACTTCTAGAAAATGAATCTAGGATCAATTTAATTTTCTTTGCATCAAAAACAGACTGAACTTTCCAAGCTACATTTGTACTTTTTTCTGTTTGTTCTTTTCTTGCTCTAAGTTCCAACCGTTGGTTGTCTGTTACAGGACTGGTATGTCGAGAGCTTCAGCTCTGAGCTGAATAAACCAAAGCGTATTTAATAGTTACCCTGCAGCTCCATGGTGTACAGCTGACCCTCTTCTGCCATGATGGGAAATATTTCCTTCTCGATGGATGTCGGTCTGAGCTGCACACAAACACAAAAAAGCAGGCCATAAATAACAAAGAACAACAACTAAATCTGTGTTTAAATATCCAAACGTATCTATTCTGCTGCTTAACTTTACATGATAAAAACAACAGTAACGTCAGTATAGCGAGTGAGCTTCACCTGGATTCTGCTAAGCACGCTGGGATTGAAGATGTACATGCCAGCGTTAATCTTGTTGGAGACGAAGACCTGCGGCTTCTCGACGAAGCGCTGAATCCTCCCACTGTCGGACTCATATACCACCACACCGTACTTGGAGGGCTCCTCCACTCGCGTCACCTTCAAACAAACACACACCCAGGTTAAAATCAGCAGATCGACTCACAAAGACATTAGGGCCTTTTGTTTTTACGTTTTAAATAAAAACATTTGATGAAATTCCCAATATCAACTACAGCCACCAGGGGGCAGCAACATCAAAACAAATTAAAAGATTTTTTCTACTTTAACATAGTTTGTTTGCAGGGTGGGTACTGAATTTGCAACGTGTGTGTGTGTGTGTGTGTGTGTGTGTGTGTGTGTGTGTGTGTGTGTGTGTGTGTGTGTGTGTGTGTGTGTGTGTGTGTGTGTGTGTGTGTGTGTGTGTGTGTGTGTGTGTGTGTGTGTGTGTGTGTGTGTGTGTGTGTGTGTGTGTGTGTGTGTGTGTGTGTGTGTGTGTGTCATTAGCTACTCAATGAAAGAAAAAGGTCAAATAAATCGTTTCGCATCAGCTGAAGTTCTAAGGCATCAATCACGTGGCTCTACAAGCATGAGATTTTAAATCATGTAAATAAATGTTGAGTCTGATGAGACCTTCTGCTCCTGGATGTTTTCTACCTATTTTAGCCTGATAAACCAGAAATCACATCTTTAACCTCTACAAAGTCTGCATCGTACCACGATGGTTCCCTCCTTGCCGTGGTTCTGGTGGAACTGCAGCAGATCTTTGAAGGGAAAATCACAGATGACATCAGAGTTGAGGACAAAGAATGGCTCGTTATCGACGTTCAGCAGGTCTCGAGCCAATGCCAGGGGTCCCGCTGAGCAGAAACAGACAAATTTTCTTAGTTAAATTCAGAAGATTTATTAAAATGTTGAACCAAGTCTAAATGGATTTAAAACAGGAAATCTGAGATGATGTTTTACTTTTATTTTTGTTTGATCTTAATCTTAAATTACAGAGGAGCTCCCTCTTCCTTTCAAACTTGAGATTTTTAGCAATTCATTCATGAAATGACTCATTTATCCAGCGCCGGAGCATCTCTGCTTATAATCAAACTCTTGGTAACATTTCCAGGCTCATTTTTGTTTTGTTTTAATCCACGGATGATAAAACTATTCCAGTGTTCTGGAATTATTTTGGTGAAATAAATTACCTGGAGTCTCTAGACCAGTTTTAAAAGATCCTGGACACAACACTCAGATTATTTTTGGTTTTGTCTGGAGACGAGACACTCACCGGTTCCCAGAGGCTCCTTCTCATGAGACAGAGAGATAAGAATCCCAAGCTGAGGAGAGAAGAGTGAAACAATCAGGATGAAAAAAACTGACGCCAATATTAACTTCTTCCGGCTCTTGTAGAGTGCAGACGCTTTTTTCCTCCTCTCCTCCCTGTCTTACCCTCAAGGCTCTTTGTCTGTCTTTGGGTGCACGGCTGCTTCTGCATTTTTTCTGGAAACTGAAATTACTAAAATGGATATTGTCAGTTGGTCATTTAACGCGATTGATAAAATTTTTAAATTTAAGCCATTATTGGGATTTTGAGGGGTTAAGGCCCAACAGAACTTTAAGACAGAGAGGAAATTATCTCTGTCTGGCCCCAAAACAATTTCTAATCTGAATCTGGTGCCCTTGAGCGTGTAAGGCTGCAACGAATACTCCCCCCTCAGAAGAAATGAGGAATGCTACCATCGCTATGGCAACTCTGTCTCCTATCCCAGCCTGGGCGGGACTGCGGGCTGTGAAGGCCGCCGAATCGTTCCAGGAGTCACTGTGCCCTCGAAACCTCAACAACCTCCTGTCCAGACTGAGGTGACGTGTGCTGCTTATCGTGGCTGCAGGAACTGATGTGAGGAGAGTCCCAAACCCACAACCCCACCTAGTGGACACTTATGTTGTGTGATGTCTGAAGTCTGTTGCATCTCTGTCTGAGGTGTTTTTTTGCATAGCAAAGCTGCCCTTCCTCTGGAGGGTAACTCTGAAGTGCCCCTTTTTTTTTCCTCCACCTGAACCAATCCTCATGTAAAACCTCTGATCTCTATTAAGGTAGCGCGACTCGGGTTGCGAATGACCACAGTCACCAATTCTTGTCATGTGTCTATGCCTATGTATGTCTGTATGTCTGATCTCTGAATTGTGTGTGCTGAAACTCTAATTTCCCTCTGGGATTAATAAAGTATCTTTGAATTTGAATTGAATTGAATAGAAAATAATTTACATCAAGGCAATGCGGAATAATCAGGAACCACAAAATCAAATGAGTCAAAAGCACAATAAAAACTTTCGGACTTTACCCTCTTAGAACCTGTAAAGACTGTTTTGACTGTTAATTCATCTAATGATGATAATAAATACAAACATTAAACATACTCTCTGCTCTTGGACTCTCATCTCTCTCTCCAGAAGCTCTGACATGTAGCTCACAGCCAGAACCACATGGTTCACCCCGGCCTGCAACACACACACACACACACACACACACACACACACACACACACACACACACACACACACACACACACACACACACACTGACTGATCAATAAAGAACAAAATCAGCCAGTCAGCAACCCGTGGGCCTCCTTCATACCTTAACCAGCGCCTCCACTTGATGCAATAGTATGGGCTTGTTGCAGAACTCCACCAGAGGTTTGGGGACGCTCAGTGTGAGTGGTCGCAGCCGGGTCCCGTACCCTCCAACTAGAATCAGCGCTTTCATCCTTCGGCTGTCAGCAACAGAAAACCAAGAGAATGCAGCTCATCAAAAGTGAAAGGTCGAGCAGCTTGGGAAAAAGAAACAAGAAACATCATTTGCTGGTTTCCAGAAATGTGTGAATCAAGCTGATCTGTGCAGAAAACAAAAGTACAGAGGATCTAACAACATGTTCTATTTCAGAAAAACAAGCATTGTAAGAATGCCTATTGAGATGCCTAAAAACATCCAGCAAATGTAGTTTTTGTTGCCTCACAACAATACTGATGTTTTACACATATCACTAAACTATTTATGCTAATCTCATCAATGTGCAGTTTCTGTTTTAATTTCTTTCTCTGGATTTGAACATGATGATCTAAACAGGTAAATTCCTTTTTAGTCAAGATAATATTCTTCACTCTGAAAAAAAAACATTGGTTTTTAAAATGAAATGAAGTATAAGTTATTTCAATGATAGGAAATTCTGTGTGTGAGAAGGATGAGACCAAATTAGATGTAATCAGACCCTTTCCTCTATGCAGAAACTTCTGAGATGAAAGTGAAATGTAAATATGTATCCTGAAAGTCTGAAAACAGCATGTTAGGGAAAAAGATGTGGACAAATTCTCGATAGATCTTTTCAGAGTACTGAGAAGACCCAGATGCTTTCATTTTCTACTTTGGGGTCAGAATGGGGAAAACATCACTGTTAAAAGCTTCCTGAACAACCTTACAGCTCTCTGAACTGCCAGTTCTTCATAAATTAGACCAATATGAGAGAAAAGCTACTGATGAGACACAAAATAATTTCATTCATTCTTTGTGTGGCTGTAAAACTCTTTTACTTGCATTTTCCAAAGATTGCTCAATGACATCCATCTGTTACATCAACAAATACTGTGACAAATCTGTGGTTCCATTCACAAATACTCAAATATGTGATTTAATTTGTAATAATTGAGTTATTACAGAAAATCAGATGTCATGAGTCTAGAAAAAAGGTGGTCTAGATTTTTCAGATTTAAAATCTAAATTTTAAAGCCAGTGAGTGACTCGACACAATCTGCTGGGTTCTCTTACATGGGAAACTAATTTGACATAATTAACTGAACTCAGTGCACCGATGGGAATGTTTACTTTGTAAATTGCCTTTAGGGGAAACATAATGTATGTAATAAAGCAAGTAGTTAAGATTTATGTTTGAAACTAGCATGTTTACAACTGCGCAATGATGAAAATAAATCAGAAGCTAATTATCCGTTTTGGATATCTGAAGTAACGTTAGCAACTTGAGCTAAACTTATCTAAAAAGACTAGCCACAACCTCAAACGTTAGCACATGACTATAAAAGCCTTCTGTGCTTGTTTGAGTTTAAATGGATGAAATACAAATGAAAACTTACTGGGATCAAATCCCTTTCAGTCTTGAGAAGCTTTGTGAATGACTGAAACTCTAATAATGACACGTAAGATTGTTGAATTTCATGTTTGGCTTCCGGTGTGCTTACGTCACGTAAAATTTGAAGTCGAACTTAACAGTTGCCGATCTAGTTTTTCAAAATAAGAGTTACAAGTAACACGTTCTGAAAAACACAAATGATGCCGAAAAAAAGACTTTCAGGAATTTATAAAATAAATTGTACATGTTTGACTTATTTTCTGTTAAACTATCAAAAACAATAGAGCTTTTAAGTTCAAGGCTTCATATTGGAAAGTGAATAAAACGATTTTATAAAGGCTTTTTTTAAACGTCTTCCATTAACTGTAAAAAAAAAAAATTAATGAAGTGCCCAAACTACATTAGCCCGTTGTCTGAAACATCAGACAAGAGTTTTGAATAATAAAAAGGAATTTGCTTTGGACCTCAAAGATGGTTTAATTTACTTAGAGAGTACATCACTCAACTTTTTATTCCTCATATTCGCCATTATTTACGTGTTTTAATGTCAGAATATGCCATTAAGCTTAAATAACAAAAATTAGATGAATGCCCCCCCCCCCCCCCCCAACCAAAAAAAATCTAATCAGTGCTGCAATCTGCACATAACAGATCAGTGTTTATCCCCCAAGGTCCACACTTTTTTAAAAACAAATGATTACTTATTCAAATGAACAAGAAAATATTTGATGTGATTTTTGGATATTTTTCAGCGTTGACAGCATTAAAATTAAAGTGAAATGAAGATAGTTTTCTTGTGTTATTGGACAGTACACGCACTCATTTTACCAATGCTTTTATTTTAAAGATCAAAGAATGTCATTTCCGGTTTAGAATTCTGAACATTAAACTTGACATTTACCAGTCGAGAACAAGTGGGACGGAATAAAACCCGAGGCGAAAATAATCAGAGGAAAACATAAATCCCTTAAACTTTAGATATTTTTAACCAAAAATAAAAGATCGGTAGCAAAATAATCACTTCAACTTTTCCTGAATACTCGTGAAACAAACACTCTGGCTCCGCCCCTTCACGCATCTGACCAATCGCAGACAAACAGCAAAGCGAACCCAGGAATGATATCCGGTTGAACTGAATGCAACTTTTTTAGGGCCATCCTTTTTGTACCCGCTCTCTGAATGCCCTACTGGATTAAAAAAAAATAATAACATTTACGGAACTCATTTTTACACTGTGATTTTGAAACAGTCATTTTAAGTTTTGTAGAGAAGGAATTTGAGTATGATTTGATTTGTTCACTATTGTTGTGACAACTGGTGTGCAAACAAATCCAAATGATGTTTAATTTTGTGGAACGTGAACACTGGAAAAGTTGTCACACATTTGTTATAAAGTATTAGCAGGGGGACAAGATCTGCCTGGCAAAAACAGAAAAAAATTAAAGAAAAAACATTCATTTCAAAATTACTATGTGACTTATGTCATCATAAATCAAATTAGTTTTTTTAATGCGTAAAATTAAGTCATTTTTAACAGAGTGCCATAGATTGATGTAATATCACAACTTTTCGAGTTGGTGTGCATTTCCATTACCATAAACAAGTTATTTGTACTGAGCCCTTCAAGGTAAAATTACAAAGTCACAAGCACAATAAAAAAAGGAATAATATATAGAGGCTAGCTTCTTTTCCTCAAAGCAGTCATTTGTGGTGGAGGACATATCTCTTATTCCTTGTGAGTGGCCTAAGACCCCTGGTGCGGAGCCTGTCAGGGCATTGCTGCATAGAATGGTGTCGGTCATGTGAGTGCTAACTCGTTGTAGCTATTGATGAAGCTAAATTTAGGTTAGCCCAAGTGCTATCATATGGCTACCTCAACAGGTGCACCTGCTGCCCCAAACTACATTAGCTTATACCTTAACGTCCATTTCAGGTATGTTGCGGAGAGACGACCAAGGTATAAATAAAAGTTCCCCATCATGAGGGAAATCATTCAGAGCTGAAGGTTTCCTGCCGCGATGATCTTCACCTTGGGCTGACTGGACCATTGTTTACGGTGCTTACAGCATGAACAACATTGTGTCACACGGAGCACTGTGCCGACAGTCATTGTGTCAACATGGCAATGACTGCTGCAGACAGGACAATTTCTGAAAAGCCCCAGCAGTTTTTGCTCTGGAACACTGAAATTCTTGTCTTTGTCAGGACAGTCCTCAATGCAAGTGCTGTATAGAACAAGGATATATATTTAATATTTCGAATATTGCCATTTAAGGGCACATGATTTTTTAATGAAAAACTATTTTGATTTTTTACCTTGCACAGCTCACGGTGCTTGCACTTTCACTTAAAGGAAAGCTGGGATCTGAAGCAGATGCTGCACACCTTTGTCTCTTCAAGGACGTAGAGGATGCCCTGAGAATTTCAGGAGAAGGGATTTCCATCAGGCTCCTAGTGTCACAAGACACACTGCGGCCAGGAGCTCTGGACTGGGTAGCTATGTTAAAAAAAAGAAAGAACAAGTGGATTTACAGTTTGATTTTATGAGCAGCAAAAAGTGTCAAACAAGAAGTCATAAAAACACAAATAATGCTGAAAATAAAAGGCATTATTAGTACTCATGTACTAAGAATTTGTTTAGAAACTGCAAAGATCATTAAAAAAAAACCTTTGCTTCGCCTGTAAGGCTTCAGGTCGGCCTGGACAGGTACAGACTTGCTGATGACAAATTCAGTCTGACAGCCAGACTCTTTGGTAGACTTTGGCTGAAACAAAACAGAACAATGTTGTGGGACATAAGCAAACTAAATCGGCAACAGGTTAATATATGTGCATTTTAATATGCCTGCAACTGCGTTGCTTATCAGAGGCATGAATATGTTTAATGATATATCCCAGAACAGTCAGAAGGCAGTAGACAGATATTAGCGGAAGGGTGTGAACCTTTAAATATAGCAATCATAGATGCCAAATTCAAGGTAGGGAAATCATTACCTGTTTATGGTAATTATTTTGCATGCTAACCTCAGATTTGGGCCTCAAATCTCGGTAATGGCGGGGCAGCAGAGCTGTTGGCCTTTGACTTGGACGTGGAAGACTTTGACTTGGACGTTGAAGCGCAATGGTGGGGATGGCGTCGCTCTTTAAACGAAGACGCCCAGCATAACCCAGCTCAACCTCCATCACGTTTGAAAATGAATCACGAGTAAAATGCCTTTTACAAACTCTGGTATCAGGCGAGAGTTTGTGGTTTTCCACTACGCCAATTGCGCGCAACCACTGGCGCCTAATTTCTAAGTTTAGTGGAAGCAGATGCAAACCCACAGTGCTGTTGCAACCCACTATACTACATCTTTTCCCCATCCTAATACAGAATACACTAAAACTACTAAAGAGAAAACTCAATATATTGAAAAACAAATGTCCTACTCTAACACTAATAACAAATGACCAAGTAGTAATTATCTAAATTACTAAATGTTATGCTAAAAAAATCGCTAACCTGATAATAACTAAAGAGTTTAAGTGCAGCAGATGTCACACATTACCTGTTGGCTAATTGCACTTTGCATGTTGATCTGAAGGGGGCGTCACAGTGACGGTATTAAGGTAGAACATTTTTAAATAAGATGAACTAAAATGCCAACGTAATGACTACACACGTAGACAGCGCTATCAGACACTCAGATACAGTTTATAAGCAAAACAAAATTTATTTGGGGGTTGGCCTGCTTTTTAGATAAAGCTAGTTTCACCCCCGCGACGGTTGGTTGCGATGTACGTCCTTTGTTGATGGCATTCTTCTGGTCATGCCTAGGGTAGCTTTCTAGTCTCTGTAGCCACCCTGTTAGCAAAACAAACAAGTAAACAAACGCGAGCGGGAGTGAAGCAGACGAAATAAAGGCAGATATGAACGATAATCAAAGAAATATATGAAAACAACGCTGTTGGACATTACATGTGGTACGTACTGTACTGTTGGATGAAGTTACACATTAGATATATGCAGTCATGTGACGATCATCAGAAACCTGCTTTCGCGGATTCGTCATTTCCGGTAAAGGGAGCACTCCGCCCGCCAACACGAAGGCCCATTCTCAATAATACTCGCAATTCCACTCTTGCGCCCTTTAATTGCGTGATCCCGACCAGGGGTGCGAGTGCGTAGGGTGTCTCGATTCTCAAATGCGGAAGTTGATCCCGCCCCTTTTGCACCCAACTATGGCACCCAAAAGGCCCAAGTGCCTTTTCTGAAAATATGTAGTTTTTAATGAAATTAGTTCTTTTTAGGACAATTCGTTGATGCTCTAAAACTTTTAGGCAGCAATGAATGTAAATTTATTTCAAATAATAGTTTGGTATTGTGTTTGAAAGATAGTAAAGGTTTTTTAATTACCATTACATCAGGATGAATTAAAAGGTCGTGCTTGTTGTTTCGTAAGGTTGTATCAGAATTTTTCCAACTATTTCCAGATCTAATCAAAATATATACAAGCAAAGCAAAAATATGATCAAGCAATCAAATCCTTCCAGATTTGATTGCTTGTCCTCAATCGACTCATCTGGATAAAGACAAACAAATAAATAATAACAATCCTTTGAAAATCAGGTAGTTCCAAACACGTGATCAGATCAGAGAATCCCCACAGCAACCTCCCCGCCCCAATCAAATAGGTGATATGCCAGATGGCCAGTCTATCCCTGCCCATGACCGATTTAAGCTAGCCTATAAGTGCCCGGTCATCGAGCCAAAGTGGGGAAAACTTATATTTTTCCGTTGTGAGACTGAAAATAGTTAGCTAGTATCAACATGAGTTGAAACAAGAAATCTGCATCAATGAAAAATTTTAATTATATTAAGTGGTGATGAAGACTAATATCAAGTCACTTTTACATTTGTTATTTACAACCTTTCAAGGGCCTTAATTTGAACTCATCACTACTTCACACAACCAAGTGGAAACCCGTGACAATAAATATTTGTATTTATTAAACTTATTTCAAGGAACTGAAGCTTCGTTTGTTTGAGAAGTTTATAAAGGAGTCATGTTACTTTGATATTATATTAAATTCATAGCAAATATTTGCCAAATAAAGTGATTTGAAAGGTGTGAGTACTTGCAACACTGAATATCAGTGATAAAACTGAAGGTTTTTACTTTATCAGAACATTTTTATGAGTGTATTTTACAGCTTCTGTTGAATTGAAAAAAAAAAAAAAAAAAAAAAAAAAAAAAAAAAAAAAAAAAAAAAAAAGAATTGATGCTTCTGCACTTCTACAGGAAACATATCAATTCAAAATTTGGACATTTATTTATTAACAGGAATTAATTAACATTTCTGTAGCGGTCAGAAGTCATGGGTTCCACTGCAGATCACAGACCAGGGCGATGTGGTCAGAGGGGTGAGCCACACTGGGCAGAGCCTTGTAGGTGGTGACCTCCTGAAGGCTGGGCAGAGGGATCACCTGCTCCACCTGCACCAACACAGCTGCAGGTTAGCTTCAACCACATTTACCTTTTTGTATCCATCTGTGTGAAACAAGCAGTTTAAAACTACCTGCATGCGCTCAGGTTGTATGAAGATGTAGTCCAGGCAGCCATGGAATCCTCCCACGTAGTTGGTGTAAGCTGGCTGTCCACAGGCACTCAGCAGAGGAGGAAAGCCAGAGTTCAGCTGAATGCTGCAGGACTCCTCCAGACCAGAGCTGCTCCAGTCAGCATGCTGCTGAGGAATCACAGAATCACTTAGCAGCTGGAACACCCCTGAGACAAACAAACAAACACAGAAAACCAAGAAGTTATTTTTGTTCAAAATCAGCAATAGTGTAACTGAGATTCCTGAAAATGAAAGAACGCACAAAAATAGTGTTTTACTCAAATCTTAGATTTATTTGAACCTCGTCTCTGTGCTTTCTGATGTGACGTTACCTGAGTTTGGGGTAGAGTTAAAGTCACCACAAAACACCAGCGGGACTCCAGGTGCTATTTCACTGATCACATGACCCAGGTGCTTTAGAGCCACACCCATTTGGATGAGGCGAACATTCCCCCCTTCAAAGAGAATTATATGTACATAAGTAAGTTACTCAGATGAGTCCGCACATAGAGTGCAGTCATTTTACCTTGTGGGTGCCAGTACAGGTGCGTGTTGGCCACACAGACCTTCCTGCCAGGTTTAATAACGTCTTCGAGGATAGTGACCTGCAGAGCAACTTACAGATGACTAACAGCACATTTACCCCAAACTAGTGGCAGATGAGCAGCTGTACCTGCAGTGATGTGGACCTGCGCAGGACCTTGTCCTTTAAAGTACTGTTTGCAGAAACCTCCTCCAGTAGTTCAGCATGTATGGAGTCAGAGGTCAACGCTTCACTCAGCATGATGTCATGGCTGCTCAGCAGCCGAAATTTTGACCTGAAACACAAAAAGGAGTAATTTAAATATCAACATCATCGTGTAATGAGCAGGGAGAGGGAGTAACCCAAACAACACTAGTAAAAGTCAGACTGTGGCTGACGGCAAACCCAACCTGCGGTAAAAGCAAGCTAATCCTTCATGCTGCTTCTCTTTGACACGAAAAACTCCATCCAGCCCAAATGCATCCAGTGCTGGAATCAAACTGTCCACAAACACCCCTGAATAATCCAAGAGACAAAAAATACATTATAATGAAACTTAAAGAAAAAAGTTGCATGTTCTCTTTGAGCAGGGATCACCTTTGTCCACCTCCTGCAGACAGATGATGTCAGCGTTGTATCCAGCCAGCTCCTTCTTGATCAGGTTCTGCCTGTAGTCAAGTTGCAGGGCGTAGGGAGCGCAGTACGGGTACAGCACAGTTTTAGACAGATCTGTTTGTGCGTAGATGTCAGCGAGGATGTTATAAGACATCACTCTCACTGCCGGCCACTCTGCCATCTTCACAGTGTACATGTGACGGTTGTCAAATGTGCACACGCCTGGTCCTGCCTCCACTGATCCAGCAGAGACCAACTCTTTGGCTGGACCACTGCAACTTCCATCCCTGGGTGTGCAGCGAAGTTTTAGCCTGCAGCTGATGTCCTGATTGGATGGGACATGGACTCTCTCACGTCCCACCGGTGTCCATCTGTCTTCCTGATCTGGGCCTGCTTCAGCAGCTTCTGGGCTGGTTAGAAAAAAATGCACTTATGAGGATTGGATGTTTGAAATCAGATCGTCACAACCCTAACTGCCTGAATAGAGAAACTTTGTATCTCAGAAGAAAACATAACACTGTTGATCAAATCTGCTGGTCTTTATAAAACTGATGATTATATAAAATGTACACAATTACTCAGCAAATTCTGGCAAAATACCAAACAAGATTATTCGGAATTTTAAAGAAAAATTCCCTCTTGCTAACTCTCATCATGTTTCAACTTTGTTAGATTTTATCATCAGACCTTTACCTGGTTCTTGGTGGGTTCTCTCGAAACCACGTAAACTCGCAGTCTTGGAGGTTCCCAAACTCAATCTCCAGTTTGGGACAGACTGGAAACCCGGCCAGCAGTGACACCGGGAGTTCCGCCGTGGTGAAAGTAGGGGGATTCCTCTGAACATTGTATTTAACTTCTCCCACCTGAAGAACAGCTCCGTTCTGCCAAGCCTCCGAGTTAGGTAGCGTTCCGGGTAATTCGTTCCCCATAAAGAACAGCTTCACTGCGGGGATCTCCGCTGCTTCACTGCAGTTCTTCTTGGACTTTTTCGCCTTTGTGTGTTTTTTTAAAATAGAGTTTGAGATTCGGGCCAAGACTTTGCCCAGCGCCTCGTCCTGGTCCCGCTGCATGTGTTTGTGGCTGCCGTCCAAACAGAAGGAGATGGTGAGCTTTGGCTCCTCGGGAAGGCACCTCACTACGGCCGCCTCCATCCTGCTGAGGAGACGACAGGCTCCAGTGAAGGTCCGGGATGAAAAAGGGAGGAGACAGCGAGGTAGCAGAGCGACAGCTGCGGGCAGGTAGTTAAACATGAAGTCCCCGGTGGCTAACTGCTAGCTAACAGCTTCCTGAAAAACTTGTTTTTATTTTTGTGAAATATCTGTACTGTTAACAAACAACAATCCAAAACGTTTTGACAGAAATCCGCTTATTTGAACACATTTTAAGTTTTCGAATGATACTTGTAAGCAGATTGATCCATTCAGCTTGAGCTTCTTCTGCTGCTGCTGCTTTTTCTTCTTCTTCTGCGCTTTCCAATATGGTAGAAATGTTTACATGTTTTACAAGAAAACCTCCTACCGGCCAATATTAGAATTACAACATGACAGGCGTAGGTAGGTACCATCGACAGGTACAAGACAACTTTTGAAAATGTTTCAGAGTGAGATGTTTGTTTATATATTTGTTTGTTTGTTTATATAGTTAGTTAGTTATGGGGTGTGATGAACCATGTATCATGGAGACATTCCAATTTAGTATTAGGCAAAAATCACACAATTAGTCCAAGTATCAATCAGTCAGGCAGAGAAAGTCACATTTTAGCCATTTTGGTGTTAATTAGGATGATGCAAAGGCCCCGTGTGCTGTGCTGAGTAGAATAAGGTCTACATAAAGAATAAAGTGATATTGAAGGTGATTTAATTTTTCAGAGGCAAAAGATGCTGAAATCGCCTTTTGCCACAATGTTAATAAATTATAAGTAAAGCATACAAAAAGAAATAGATAATATAAAAAATATATTTACACAGTCTTAAATTTTACAATTATTTTCATTGTAGAACAGAACAGTTATGTTATGTCTTTTAAATTAGTAATGTTACAGCAAACAGGTGGCCAGTTATGACCAGAAAATATTTTCTGCTAATATTATGTTCAGGGTTTAATACTGTCAGTTTTTATGTAGGAACTAACACAAATACATTCTCAATTGGAAGATTGTACTATTGCAAATAACAGTGATTAGAAATGTGTTTATTCTAGCTTCTTTAACGTATTCTATGACACTTTTATTTTATTTATTCATTTTATTCATTTTTTACAGAACCAGTGTGTCTGTTAACAAAGTGTATCATTTATTTTATGTTACACTTTATTAGTTAGTCAGTTATTTTTTTTCACTTATTTTTTATTTTGTCCTTTAAACGACAAGAATTTGAAGTAACTTATTTCTGTGTTTTGAGTTGTTTGTTCTGTCTAAACTACTGTTCAAAAATGGAATGTAAAAATTTCTAAGTAATTATAAAATATTATGATTTTTTTAAATTCCAGAATCATTGAGATAAGGGGGCTAAGATTTCAGTTTATCAAATCAAAAATGTAGTTCCAGATTGTTACCACAAGAGGGCATCATTTCCACCCTTCATCATAATAAGGCAGGGAGCGCTGCAAAGCTGGGTTTGTAGCCGTAACTAGCTGGTTTTGGTCTCGAATACATTTTTAATTGTGTTTAAAGCTAAATTAAACGAGAAAATTAGATTTTTAACGAGCTATTTTCTTGGTAATAATGCCCTAAATAGTATTCCATTTTGAAATAATTTACAGAAAGTGTTTCTGCTAGTAACTATTGTAACTTTATACAATGTAGTTCCATTTTCTCTTTCTCCTCATTAATATTACAATTTGCACACAAACAAAAATCAGGACTTTACTTTCCAGCCCCGAAGAGGTTTAAGAGAGTCTCTTCTATGGTTTACCAAAACCAGAGTGTAGTTCCAACTTCTCACCACTTGAGAGCGCAAAATTTGCGCGAGAGTTGGCAGCCCTGTAGGACTTTGGTAAGAATTCGAGTTTAAATAAACAAATAATCTTTTTACATAAAATTTTTATTAAACAAAGATGATAACATAAATTCACAGACAAATTGCAAAACAACAGAGGTTTGTGTGCTTCCAAAAGTGAAATCCTGAGCTGAAACCATGTAGTCATCACATCAGCTGTGCCTGTCTCACATAACATTTTTCTCTGTGATGGTTTCCTCACAGCAGTGATCAAGTGGTTCTGGGCTGTGAGGGAAGTAGATGTCGACTTTTTGATCATCGTCGTTCTCAATGTGTTTTAGATGGATGACCATGTGCAGAGCGTAGGCCAGAACCAGCAGCAGGATGAGGGACGTGATGAGCCCCATCAGGATGGCTGGAGGCAGGATGGAGGTGCAGTCACTCGCAGGAGAAAATGTATCAGAGGTGACTGTAAATGCTTGAATCTAAGCAAAGGCGTTAAAAATTATGTTTTTATTTTATTTATTTATTTTTTATGTGAAAATTTAAAATTTCTCAAGGAAACAAGAACATAGATACCTGGAAGTCAATAAAGGTGACAGACCAGCGGCGTGCGGTGTCAGAGCTCGGCAGTAACCGACCGCTGTGTCTGTGCAGACTGCTGACATGAAGGCAGCGGTAGGAGGACAAGGCCGGAGCATACACGTCAGTCACGTTGAACACAGCCACTTCAGATGTGTTGTATGTCAGAGTGACATTGTCCAACGAGAACCACCACTGTCCAGAAGACTCGTAAAATGTGTTGGATAGCTGCAGTCTGAAGCGGAAAGAACAGAACTGACAAGCAGTGAGAACAAGCTTTCAAATCTTCCACCTGCACTAATTTAACTCTAGCTTTCATCACATCGTGGTTTAAAGAAGATCTGAAAGGCAGGAAATATGTTGATGATCAACACGACATACCTGATGGACAGACCTCTGAAAGTCTCCACATCTCCAAAGCCCATGACCAGCCTGAATGAGACACTTAAGCTTTTATTGTGCACATGTGATAGTTTTACAGGCATTAAGGTAAAAATGAATTACAAAGAAAACTGTTCCCGATAAATATGATAGTGGCTCAGGATTTTACAAATGGTGTTAATCAGATGTTCATGTAGGCATAGAGGACAGAACATACGTTGCTGTGTCCTGACGACAGACAGACTGGCCGGTGTCAGCTGGTTTCTGAGGAGAAAAGGTCCGTTCTGTCAGGTCCAGAGGTTTCTGCTTCTCATAACGGAGAGAAAGTTTCCTGGCCTGGAACAGAATACACGGCTCTCCATTGGAGAGAACCTGGAACCAAATTATGAATGTCACATTTACCAACGACAGGATTATTTCGTATATGTTTTTTTATTAAGCCACCTTCAGAGGAGAGAAAGGGAGTGCAGCTGCTGTTTGAAGCAACTTCCTCAGTGATAAATGTGGGTTCTGTTCAGGAGGCTGGAGACAAGGATAAAGAAGGAAATATTATTCAAAAAATAAAATATGTTTATTGTCAGTTTTCAGGTTTGTACGTCCTGATCTCGACGGTGTAAAGATAACATTTCTGAGTTATTTTGGCTTGAAAAGTTCATGACATGAAGATGTGGTTTATGGGACCGGACTGGTTATCCTGATCCTCCTTTCTATTTGATAAAATACAAAATAATATAAAATGTGTTTGACTCAGCTTACCTGATCATCCTCTGTGAATAATAAACGTTCCTCCTTCCTCATCGTTCCATCGCTTCCTTCAGAAGACAGGAAACAGAACACATAGATAGATAGACGGACGGATGGACGGTTAGGTGAATAGATGGATGGATGGATGGATAGATCATGGATGATGGATGGATGGATGGATAGATCATGGATGGATGGATCTTACCGTGTTCTACAGAAACTGATCTGTAAATGAAAGATGAGAATGTATAAAATCATAATTTCTTCACATTTATTGATTTTTTACACATTTTCATCTAAAACTACTTAGATTTTTTTCACTTGAAAATGTTTTGGTTTTCTGTTTTTTCTCACTGACATTTAGCTTTAGCATTTATTGGTTAAAGTTTTTTTAAACTTTGATTAACATAAAAACTGAAAGAATGTCCTGAAATGAAGGACAAATGAAGCCAAATATTTAAAAATAATGAAACACACAGTTTAAAATTAGGACTGGTCATTAAAAAAACTATTTTTATACAATTTTTAAAAATAGATTTTTTTCCTGTTAAAGATATAAAATATGTAAATCCAACATTAAACTAATAAACTAAATAAAAATAACTGCACCTCGGTTTCTTAAAAGTATTAAACTTTTACAATTACTCAATAAGTATTTTCTGAAGTTCTATTATAACCATTAAATTCCGATTGTGTGTTTATTTTTTTTATTATTTAGGTCTAAAAAATTTGGACCCTAAAACAAAAGTGGTGACTTGAAATGAACCAGTGAATTAGTCTAATCTGGTCGGCAGTGCCCCAGCTGGTGACCCGCTGGATTAGTGATTATAGTAACACTCGTGTTCAGTCTGGCTCTGAGTGGACCCACACTGACCCACATTAACTAAAAAAAAAAAAACTCTAGATAAAAATATTGGACCAGATTTTAAATCTGAAATCAGCTCAGCTTAAAAGCTGCACTTCTCCTTTTTTTATCTGTACTTTAGGAGTCTGAAAACCCAGATTTCTCCAAGAGCATCTTTTCTTCTGTGCATTTTGTAGCTTCAGTTTCATGAAACAAAAAAATAAACATTTTTATTTCTTGATGATAAAACATAAAAACAATCTGAAGGATCAGCTTAGTGTTTGACCTGAGTTCAGACAGTCAGAGATTAGTGAGTTAACCACCTGTCATCCCACCTGTTCAGATCTACACAGCAAAAATCATTTCACTGGCAGGTGTTTAAACAAGATAAAACTCCAAGAAAATTGTCAAATTGTGATAAATAGAGGCTTTGTTATCATAGCAAATTTAAATATGTTAACTTAATATTTTTGTCATCGGCACTATGAGGGAATTTCAGACCTGGCTTTGGAATGGTTCTGATTGTGCCTGACCAACAGCACAAACTGTGTTAGGATGGGTGGCTTCTCTTCTGTCTCTTCCCATCTTCCTTAGGGTGTCCTGCAAGGTTCTATACTTGGGCCTTAGCTTTTTTTCCCCTTCTAGGGGACATCGTTCGTAGGTTCGGCATCAGCGTTCGCCTTTATGCTGATGACTGTCAGCTTTACCTTCCCCTAGACAAGTCCAGCTTTCGCTCTATTGACAAACTCTTGGAGTGTTTAGCTGAGGTTGAGAGGTGGATGTTGGATAGTTTCTTGTCTCTTAATGACAGTAAAATTGGCCGCATTGATGCCTTCTTACATCAGTAGTAAGGCTTGGCGTGAAGTTGGATAATGCACACTGTTTTGATGCCCATGTAAATGGAGTTGTTTCTTCCTCCTTTTATCATCTGCAACGTCTGGCTAAGGGGAAACCGTTCTTGTCACAGCACGGTTTAGAGGCAGTAGTTCATGCACATATTACAACCCGCATCGACTATTGTAACTCACTTTTAATTGGGGTGGGCAAAGGTACCTCAGCAAAGTTACAATTTGTGCAAAATTCTGCAGCGAAATTTCTAGAGGGTAAAAGAAACTTTGATCTTATTACCCTGATTTTGGCTGCATTACAGTGGTTGTCTGTTGATTTTAGAATTTGTTTCAAAATTCTTCTCTCAGTTTGAAATCATTGCATGGGTTGGCACCATCCTATTTGGCGACTGTTACAACCACATACTCCGATACGAACACTTCTTTCAAAGAACCTTCTGCTGTTCTCGGTGCCCAGCCAGAACACGTCTGAAGACTACAGAAGACTGAGCTTTCTCCGTGGCATGTCCAATGTTTTGGAATGAGCTTCGGTTGTCCTTAAGGGACTGACCTACAGTACTTTTATGATTTGGCGTTCAGTCCTAATTGTTAGTTTTTATTTGGTTTTAGCTGTCTTTGTTCTAATGTTTTACTTCGTTTCATTCTGCTCTCTTGCTTTGTTTTGTGTCTTTGAAGCACCTTGTCTTTGAGCTGAGTAATTTTTTTGTGTTTAAACAAAAATGTGGATTACTCAGAAAAATAGACAATAGAGCAATCAAATCCACTCCAATTCACTAAATCCCTTCAACTAAAACCAATTTGAGCTGATCTTGTGGGTCAGAGCTGCAGATTGTTGATTCTGCCCTGATTATATAATCATACAATCAGGAGTTTCCACAGGTTATAAAACAGAAGATGTGGCTCGGAGCCAGAGGAGATTTCACAGCTGCTTGGTCCCTTAAGTAAACATCTTATAAACGTCTGCTTGTGTTAAATATTCAGGGAAATTTGCATGATGTCTTTCGGAGAGAAACACTGACCCATACCACCTTTTATTTAAAATGTTGGAGAAAACATGTTTTACTATGCACAAACACAACACAACCTTGTTTTATCAAATGCAAGTCTACATACAACATTTAAAGGTTATCTTTAATAATGAACCTCCTGCCACGTTTAATGTTTTTTGGGTCAGTAAAGTGAAGATGGTGACCTAAATGCAGATCCAGACACAAAGATGGTGTACTTTAAAATTCAGAAATACGCCTAAATTCTACTTGGTGGAAAGTAAACATGCAGGCAGCAGATATAAAGAGGATTACTGGGAAAAAAAAGACATGTATTTGTGAGAGATTAAATAAAAGCAAAGGCATGCAGCAGTCTGAGCAGAAATTGTCAACATTTAAAGATTTGTTTGGAGGATCTGATCCCGTTATACTGCAAAATCTGTTTGTATAATGTTGAATAAAATGAAATGCAAAAAATTAACATGATACAAAACTATTTTCAGTTATTTTATTTATCTTGGTTAGGCAATAAATCTTCAGTACCTATAAAAATAATCTTAAAACTTTGTTCTAAAAGTCAAACTTGGCAGCTTGCATAGAGCTGATGGTTGCAAGTGTTGAATAAATCAAGGCAAAAGTTTGTTAAAATGATAGTTGGTCATGAAATCCTTAAACTTCTGCCCCAACATATATATTTATTTATTTGTTTGTTTGTTTGTTTGTTTGTGAAAAGGAGGGTCAGATTTCTGTCATCAAATCTGAGTATGACAAGCAGCGATGGAGACATCATTAAAACCAAAGAGATGAAAACGATGCGACACAATACAGCTATGAAAAATGTTACCTGGTTTAAAAAAAGAGCAAATCTGGAGGAAATGTTACAAATAACTCAAAATTTTATTTGGCAAAATGCAAAAAAATGAACTTTAAAAAACCTCAAGAATTTTAACATTTTTATATAAGTGAACATTTAGCTAACACAAGCAGCTAACACATGCAGCTGTTTTAGATACATAAAATGATGATGATGAACATAAACCTTCACCAGTCTCTGTACGTACCTGTCAGAAGGCTGTCGGTGGAGGCAGGAAGAAGGCTGCAGGTGGAGGAGGAGGATGCAGAAGGGTTTCCACGGAGAAGCCATCGCTGTGGTGACCATAAAGTGATGCCTGAAAATTCTCCCACTCTGCCACTGCACATCCCTAATCTGCTTAAGTCAGCCCACCACCTATAAGCACCAAGGATGGAGGAATGAACCAATCAGGAAACATTAGACAACATCAAGGTAGAGGAAGCTCCACCCATTGATCAAACATGTTCTCTTTCCATCAGTTGGAGCCTCAGAGGTTAAAGGTCAAAAACCTGAAAATCTAGACTGATGTTATGATATTTTGCATCAGTGTGGTGAGCAGTTTGGGACCTAATTATTGAATTAAATGTTTTTAAATGTCGAAATATAAAAGTCACTTCAATATATAAAAAACTGTAGATTAAATCTGACCTTACAAGAAAATATCTGGCCCCTTGTTGTTTGTGTTTGCACTAATTTAAATGTGTGTGTGTGTGTGTGTGTGTGTGTGTGTGTGTGTGTGTGTGTGTGTGTGTGTGTGTGTGTGTGTCAGTTAGAGTTAAAATATGTCATTATGCTTTAGTTCTGCCTGAGCATTTTGTGAAGCTTTTCATAGCATTGAAAATGCACATTAAAACAACGTTTTTAATTTAGAAAAAAATTATTAAACTTCCAATTGCCCTGAGTGGGTAAAAGGGAAGGATGGAGGCCTTTATTTACGTGTAAGTAGGTAACACAAAGAACATGATTAATTAAATATGGTACTAAAATGTATCAAAATATTTGTAAACATTACGATTTAAATGTAAAAATTTGGGGTGGATTTTATTCAGGCGCTTTTTAGTCACACCCGGTTTGGGTCCCCAGAGTAGAGATTGCCGCGGTGCACCCTGGGTCCTTCCTTTCCATCCCAGACTCGCTTCTGCAATCATGGGTATGTCTGTGTTTTTGTTCAAAATGCTCATAAATTAGCCAGTTAGTCTTCGTGTTTTTATCGATCCTGTTTATGAAAGTCTTGTGTACCAATTATTGTGTTTTTATGTCGGTAAAATAAGACTCGAGTTAGAAAATTTGATCGGTTTTTCGAGTCCGTGGTCCGCAACGTGGAGCGGCCTGAATGTTAGCTGCTAGCGTCGTGTTAGCCGGTGGTAGTTCAGTACAGGTTACGTCTGAGTTTAGTTTATTTAGATAGATATGTGTGAGTTAGACGCGTGGGTATCAGCAGACTTGTAATGTATTTTCTATTGGTAAGTAATCATCTGACATACGCCGTTACATACGTTTGCAGGTTTAGTCACGGGTTAGTTTCCTGCTCAGAATTGTATCGTGAAAAAGATTCTGTGAAATACTGTCTTATGGTAATTGTATTTCGTGAACTGCTGTATTAAGTCATCACAGTAAATACTGAGCTTCTGAATCAAATGAAATCGTGTAGCTTAACTGGGACTTTATTGTCAGTTCTGTTATTTTACTTTACATCTGACTCGAACTCATTGTGAACTTTAATTGTTCACAGTACTAGTCAAACACTCCCCGTTCATTTAGAATAAGCATCAGTGTCAGTGCTATTGACTGGTGCTGTATACCAAATAAACTTGATCTCATCCCTGACTTGTTCCTCATTTAAAACAATAAGCAGATTAATTAAAATGTCCATTTATACTTCTGCCTACATGTCCTGTTTTGCCTTTTTAGGAAAGTGTCGTGGTCTGCGTACCGCCAGGAAGCTCCGTAATCATCGCCGTGAGCAAAAATGGCACGATAAACAGTACAAGAAGGCCCATCTGGGAACTGCTCTGAAGGCTAACCCCTTCGGAGGAGCCTCTCACGCCAAGGGAATTGTCCTTGAGAAAGTGTGAGTGTTCTTAGATGTATTACGGTATTTTTGATTGTTTTTGATATCAGATAAAACACAGGAGACAACAAATTTTTCTTTAAAGCCTTTTTCTGAAGGGAATAATTTATATCAAGTTTAAATTGGCAACTGGTATTAAGTACCTCTCCGTAATTACCTGTACCTGCCAAACATGACATGCACACAAACGACCTTGTTCTCCCATCAAAGGATAGTATCTGGGTTTTGAAGTAAAACTTTGTCTCCGACTGTTTATTCTCCAATTCTAAGTTTGCCCTGTGTCTCTTCTGCAGTGGTGTAGAGGCTAAGCAGCCCAACTCTGCCATCAGGAAATGTGTGAGAGTCCAGCTCATCAAGAACGGCAAGAAGATCACAGCCTTCGTCCCCAATGATGGTTGCCTCAACTTCATTGAGGTAAACGGCTCTACATTAGTCATTAAGCAAAATGTGGAGTTTTAATTTTTTTAACAATCCAGACAGACAACGTCCTGACTAGGGTTGTCACGGTGTGAAAATTTAACCTCATGGTTATTGTGACAAAAATTTTCACGGTTTTCAGTTTTATCGCTGTATTTTAAACGCGTTACATTTCAGGAAAATATTGTCCTCAGTTTGTGTCTAACTTTTGCCTAAAATTTGTTATTTTGTAATTATGTTGTTTATTTGTTTACATTTTTCCCCTTTAGTCTATAAAATACCAATATTTGCCCATAACTTCTTATTTTTTGTCTGTTTGATATCATCGTTTTAAAAATATTAAACCAGATGATACTCAGTACTCAAGTAGCCTTCTAATCAGATACTTTTTTTTTTACCCTTACTTGAGTAATAAACCCTAAATCAGGAAAATATTGTCCTCGGTTTGTGTCCTTCCAGTGAGCTTTGCAGATGTGGGAAAATGTCATCAGGCAGTAATCATTGTTAAATTCATAATTATTCTCAGAGAGAGACCAACTCTTATCTACACCTGGGAGCCCCGTAATGCATAGCGTCATTTCAACATGGGGGTGTCCGTGACACGGTTATATGCAGGTAGCGGTGTTGCATTCTCTCTCAACCCAAATCCTCGGATCACTTATTTTAGCTAAAACGTTAACTTGCCTTGCGTTGACTGTAGAGTTGTGGGTGATGGTCACGCAGATGTGTCATGAGATTTGAAGCTTTTTTCTGCACGTGCTGCAAACAGGATAGCCGTCTTCTATCAACTGTCCCTCGGCATTCTTCAAATATCCAAAAAAAAAAAAAGCCCATACTGAGTGCTGCCGTCTCCTCCTTTGGCCATTATTTCAGCTTTAGCTTCAAGAAAGTTTTGGCTGTAAACAACAAAGTGCGCATGTGCCGCCGGCAACTTCAGCAGATGATACGGTGGCTGGTAAGGGTCACGGCGCCTACACCGCAGCCACGGTAATCCACCGAGATGATATATTTTTTAGAAAACAAGACGGTTATTATTGTCAACTTTTTAACCGGGGTTTACCCCTACACCGGTTACCGTGACAACCCTAGTCCTGACTAGTACATGCTAACCATTAGCATTAGTAACACCACCACGCAGAAAAAACTACCCCAGGCTTGTGGTATTTGTGGAGATAAACATCAACGTTGCAAGTCAGAGTTGCGTTGCTGTTATCTAATCTGAGGTGAGATGTCCAAATATCAGGAAATGAGACTCCAAATCCTGCTGCCTTTCTGTGCAGCAACAGACTTGTTGGTGCTGATCCAAGCAGTTCTGGGCTTTTTTTTTTTTTTTTTTTTTTTTGCCCCAAGTGCAGCTAGCAGGCATTCGTTCCTACCACAGACAACTGCAAACATTGATTAAATGAGTTTCCCACACCTTTTAACAATTTAGCCCTGATATTTGTTAGGAAAGTATATAATGTCAGTTCAATCTCTTCCTCTCTGCCTTGTCCTCAAACATCCGCTCTTTGTCTCCGCAGGAAAACGACGAAGTTCTGGTGGCCGGTTTCGGTCGTAAAGGTCACGCCGTTGGTGATATTCCTGGAGTTCGTTTTAAGGTGGTCAAAGTGGCCAACGTGTCTCTACTTGCTCTCTACAAAGGCAAGAAGGAGAGACCCAGATCATAAACTGTTGTGACAGAAAGTCAAATAAACTTGTTTTCAGTTCCAGTCTTGTTGTCTTGTGCTGTTTATGACGACACATTACTTCTGTTTTTTATGGGTTAAAATCTGTAAAATGACTTGGATTTAATGACCCTGCGGTTTTCTGCTGATCTCAACTATGAAATTGGGTTTATGTAGATTTACATTTAGTAAAACAATAAATATGCTACAAACATTTGCTTTGGTAATTTAAAAACGTGAGACAATTGTTCATAACCACTGAAATGATAAACGTTGTCATATTCTGATATTTTAACTGCAAAATTGGTGGGAAGCAGTTGCATTGTTAAAAAAGCTGATAGCGGTATTTATGTAGGGGCGGTGCAACTAGAGCGAAGTCATGGGTACGCAGGGAATAATCAGTCACGTTCTGAGGTGCATTTAAAGTACATTTGACCAATAATGACTCAAATTTAAGCTAAAATAAATATACCTGATACATTAAAATCTAGTAGAATTGAGTTTTCATTCTGTCAATCCAAAGGACTCAAATGAAGGAAACTGGACCTCTTTGGTTTCTTGAAGATGTTGCTTTTCATATGAGGAGCTTTGTCAATTCTGACTGGAATTTGGGAGTCGAGTTTATAAAATAAACTTGTTACTTTTGAAAGAGCTAAAGCTTTCTTTCAGTAAGAACAAGTGGCAGATCAAAAATAAAACCGAAGTAAACAGTGTTAGTGGGTCAAACGGTGTTGGTGTCCTCGTGGCCTTGTGATTAAAAATAGAAAGGTATCGAATCACATTTGCCTGCTACCAGAACTCTGCAGCCACTCAGCTGAATCGTAGATCTTCCTGATGTCTGTAGTTCACATTCATTACAGACCTGTGGGGTTATGCTGAAGCTGAGCATCAATGAACCAGAGGACTTAAATCTGTGCTTTCACTGACCTCTGATCAGTTTTCAACAACAAATTTGAAGCAACTCAAAACAAACCCAACAGGTAAAAAGAAACTCAGCTCTGCCAAAAAAACAAGCTGCTTCTGAACAATTATCCTGTTAATGACGTTTTGACACATTTAGAACAGAAAACAGCTATGGTGTGCTCTGTGGTGGTCTTCCTGTCAGGAATAAATGCACGTTCTCTCAGACAGCCAGAGGAGTTTATGAAAACCTGATGGACTTTGGTCGGTTTGGACTGGAGGATGAAGACGAAGATGATTCAGCGATTCAGTACGTGATTGAACAGAGTCTGCTGGAGAGCACCAAACAGAAAGAAACTCCCAGAGGCTCCACCGTGAAAACCAGCCGCGGGTCAGTCATGCACATTTTACACATTTGTGTTGGACAGATTAAGCTCCTCAGAATGTTTTACAAAAAAATACAGATTTGAGGCTTTTTCTTGAAGTAAGTTCAACAAAAGATGCATAAAAACATTAATATGTAGCCTCAATGATTATATAAACATGTAGTGAAGATTTTACTTCTTGACCTGCATGAATTTTACTGTTTATTTCTTTGTATGCAGCTCTGATTCACCTTCAGACATCAGCAAGATCTTCAGCACCATAGGACATGGTGAATTGCTTCTGTGCTTTATTTTTTAAAGATTACCAATTGGTGCAAACAGAAACCTGAATGTTGGGATGGTTTTATGACTGTGGGCCTCATCTGTCCCTGCAGGTAACGAGGAGGTGCTGAAGGACTTGTGTGCCAAGCACAAAGATAAGTTTCTGCAGTCAGACAGCAAAGGTTGGATTCCTCTTCATGAAGCAGCAACTCAGAGCAACCCGAACATCCTGCAGCTCACATACGAATGTCAGTATCCATTACACTGATTTATTTATCCTAGATGGGATCCTACCTGAGTGGTGAGGAACATTTGTCTGTCCTGCAGCTTCCGGTCCAGGATCTTTGGAGTGTCGTACTCCTGGTGGCCAGACGCCTCTCTTCCTGGCGGTAGAACAAGGTTTGATAGAAAATGCTTCATTCCTCTTGGAGCATGGAGCCAGGCCGGACTGCCTGGACCAGGACCAGGACTCCCCGTTGTTTGTAGGTGAGCTGGAACACATTTCACTCCTTCATTCACTTGTTTTCATTGTAGACTACACCAAAGCAGCAAAAAACATCCATCCACCCATTTTCATCCGCTCATCCGGAGTCGGGTCGCGGGGGCAGTAGCCTAAGGCGAGAGGCCCAGACTTCCCTCTCCTCAGCTACTTGGGCCAGCTCCTTCGGGGAAATCCCAAGGCGTTCCCTGGCCAAGTGAGAGACATAGTCCCTCCACCGTGTCCTGGGTCTACCTTTAGGTCTCCTCCTGGTTGGACGTGCCCAGAAAACCTCACAAGGGAGGCGTCCAGGAGGCATCCTGACCAGATGCCCGAGCCACCTCAACTGGCTCCTCTCGATGTGGAGGAGCAGCGGGTCTACTCCGAGCCCCTCCCGGATGACCGAGCTTCTCACCCTTTCTCTAAGGGAGAGCCCAGCCACTCCTCGGAGAAAACTCATTTTGGCCGCTTGTATCCGCGATCTCGTTATTTTGGACAAACCCAAAGCTCATTACCATAGGTGAGGGTAGGAACGTAGATCGACCGGTAAATCGAGAGCTTCGCCTTCTGACTCAGCTCTCTCTTCACCGCGACAGACCGGTACAACGCCCGCATCACTGCAGATGCAGCACCAATCCGCCTATCAATCTCACGCTCCAGTTTTCCCTCACTCGTGAACAAGACCCCGAGATACTTAAACTCCTCCACTTGAGGCAGGACCTCATCCCTGACCCGGAGAAGACATTCTACCCTTTTCCGAATCAAGACCATGGTCTCAGATTTAGAGGAGCTGATTCTCATCTCAGCTGCTTCACACTCGGCTACGAACCACTCCAGCGAAAGCTGAAGATCACGTTCTGATGAAGCCAACAGGACCACATCATCTGCAAAAAGCAGAGACCTGATCCTCAGGCCACCAAAACGGATGCCCTCAACACCTTGGCTGCACCTAGAAATCCTGTCCATAAAGGTTATGAACAGAATCGGTGACAAAGGGCAGCCTTGGCGGAGTCCAATGGGCCATTCCCATCTGTACTGGGTCGGCCCGGGCCGGGTAGCCCCAGTCGGCCCCAGCCTGGCCCGGTTGATTCCACACATCCTTGCCTTAAGCCCATGTGGACTGATTCTACCCACCAATCAGAGGCTTGCTCTAATTGAAGGTGTGAATTTGCTGTCAGCAGTGGGTGTGTTGGCCCTGGTCGGCCTGAAGCAGACCCCTCGAGAAGAGGGCTGAGAATGAGCCTTGATTGGCCCGGAAAAATACCAGGCCACCCAGATATGTAAACAACCTACGCTACCCGGCCCGGGCCGACCCGGTACAGATGGGAATGGCCCACAACTCTCACTGGGATCGAGCCCGACTTACTGCCGGCAATGCGGACCAAGCTCCGACACCGGTCATGCAGGGATCTAACAGCAGGTATCAGAGGGCCTGGCACCCCATGCTTCCGGAGTACCCCCCGTCAGGGACCGCCGAGGGACGCGGTCAAACTCCTTCTCCAAATCCATGAAACACATGTAGACTGGTTGGGCAAATTCCCAAGCACCCTCCAGGATCCCCCTAAGGGTATAGAGCTGGTCCAGGGTTCCACGGCCAGGACGAAAACAACTTTGCTCCTCCTGAATCTGAGGTTCAGCAATCCGACGGACCCTCCTCTCCAGAAGCCCTGAATAGACCTTACCAGGAAGGCTCAGGAGTGTGATCCCCCTGTAGTTGGAACACACCCTGTGGTCCCCCTTTTTAAATAAGGGGACCACCACCCCGGTCTGCCAGTCCAGTGGGACTGCCCCCGATGTCCACGCGATATTGCAGAGCCGCGTCAGCCAACACAGCCCCACAACATCCAGAGCCTTAAGGAATTCCGGGCGGATCTCATCCACTCCTGGAGGCTTGCCACAGAGGAGCTTTTTAACCACCTCAGTGACCTCAGCATCAGAGATTTGAGAGGCCAACCCAAAGTCCCCAGACTCTGCTTCCTCACTGGAAGACGTGTCGGTGGGATTGAGGAGGTCTTCAAAGTATTCTGCCCACCGATCCACAACATCCTGAGTAGAGGTCAGCAGCACACTGTCCCCACTATAGATAGTGTTGGTAGTGCACTGCTTTCCCCCCCTGAGGCGCCGGATGGTGGACCAGAATCTCCTCGAAGTCTTGCTCCATGGTCTCACTGAACTCCTCCCATGCTCAGGTTTTTGCCTTGGCGACCACCCGAGCCGTGTTCCGCTTGGACTGCTGGTACCTGTCAGCTGCCTCTGGAGTCCCACAGGCCAAAAAGACCTGATAGGACTCTTTCTTCAGCTTGACAGCATCCCTAACCGCCGGTGTCCACCAGCGGGTTCAGGGGTTGCCACCACGACAGGCACCGACGATCCTGAGACAGCAGCTCCACTCAGCCGCCTCAACAATGGAGGCATGGAACAGCGTCCATTCAGACTCAATGCCCCCGCCTCCCCCGGAACATTTTGCAAGTTCTGTCGGAGGTGGGATTTGAAGCTTCTTCTAACAGGAGACTCTGACATACATTTCCTGCAGACCCTCTTGATACGTTTGGGTCTGCCTGGTCTGACCGGCATCCTCCCCCACCATCTGGGCCAACTCACCACCAGGTAGTGGACAGTTGACAGCTCTGCCCCTCTCTTCACCCGAGTGTCCAAGACATGCGGCTGCAGGTCAGATGAAACAACAACAAAGTCGATCATCGAGCTGCGGCCTAAGGTATCCTGGTGCCAAGAGCACATCTGGACACCTTTATGTCTGAACATGGTGTTCATTATGGACAATCCATGACTGTCACAGAAGTCCAATAACAAAACACCACTCGAATTCAGATCAGGGGGGCCGTTCCTCCCAACCACACCTCTCCAGGTCTCACTGTCGTTGCCCACGTGAGCGTTAAAGCCCCCCAGCAGAACGAGGGAGTCACCGGAAGGAGCGCTCTCCAGCACCCCCTCCAAGGTCTCCAAAAAGGGTGGGCAGTCTGAACTGTAGTTTGGTGCATAAGCACAGACCCCAGTCAGAACCTGTTCCCCCACACATAGGCGGAGGGAGGCTACCCTCTCATTCACTGGGGTAAACCCCAGCATACAGGCACCAGGATGGGGGGCAACTAGTATGCCCACCCCTGCTCAGCGCCTCTCAGTGGGAGTACCTCCAGAGTGGTAGAAAGTCCAATCCCTCTCAAGGAAACTGGTTCCAGAGCTAGAGCCATGCGTTGAGGTGAGTCCGACTATATCTAGTTGGAACCTCTCAACCTCACACACCAACTCAGGCTCCTTCCCCACCAGAGAGGTGACATTCCATGTGCCAAGAGCCAGCTTCTGTAGCCGAGGATCAGACCGCCAAGGTCCCCGCCCTCGACTACCACCCATCACACACTGCACCTGACCCCTTTGGCCCCTCCCACGAGTGGTGAGCCCATGGGAAAGGGGACCCACGTTTCCTCTTCGGGCTGTGCCCGGCCACCAGGCGCTCGCCAACGTGCCCCACCTCCAGGCCTGGCTCTTGAGGGGGGCCCCGGTGACCCACGTCTGGGCGAGGAAGCACGGTTTCCATTTATATAATTCATCATAAGAGGTCTTCGGGCTGCTCTTTGTCTGATCTCTCACCATCCCTCAGCAGAAAACAATAAAAAGGATTTTAGTTACACTTATTTATTGAATACACAAGTTGCTGCAGGTCCATTTTTCTTCTGGTTGTGTGATTTTCTTCATGCTTCAGAACTGGACTGCAGGCAGGTCAGTGAAGCTCACATGATCTGTTGGGTTTTGTCTCTCTACAGCGATTCGTTCAGAAAGAACGGATCTAGTGAAGTTGCTGCTCCTGCACGGATCCAGTGTGAACCAGATGGGCTACCACGGCCGCCGGCCCCTCCACGAAGCTGCACGGGGGGGTAAACCAGGGCTGGTGACCCTTTTGCTGGAGGCCGGAGCACATCCAGACCCTCGCAGCAACTACAGCCTCACGCCGCTGGCGCTGGCCGCTCAGGGAGGACACCTGGAGGTGGTGGAGACTCTGCTGAAGAAAGGTTTAGATTTCCACCATGAATCCTTTTTTGTTTATTTTAACAAAACATGACATCAGCATTTCCATCCACATAACAAACCTAAAAACTATTACTGACTGCAATGAATCTAAACATTTTTTAAAGAGTTAACTTTTTTATAAAAACACATTTTTGTTGCCCACATCTACTTCCAGCCTGTTAGTCCATGTATCACAAAGTTTAGACAGCTTGCTGTTTGTCTGCAGGAGCAGACGTCCTCTCTCAGGCTCAGGACGAAGCCTCCGTCCTCTACGAAGCTGCAGCTTCAGGAAACCCAGATATCATCAGTCTGCTGCTTGAGCGTGGAGCCGACGCCAACGTCTCCAATCACACGGGACACATGCCAATACACCGAGCTGCACACCGAGGACACCTTCAGTAATTCATCCATCAATTGCCATTCACTTATCCATGGTTGGGTCACGGGGTAGCTGCATAAGCAGAGAGGCCCAAACTTCCCTCTCCCCAGCCACTTGGACCAGCTCCTCCGAGGGAATCCGAAGGCGTTCCCTGGCCAGCTGAGAGACATAGTCCCTCCAGCGTGTCCTGGGTCTCCCTTTAGGTCTTCTTTCATTTGGATGTTGCCTGAAAACCTTACCAGGGAGGCGTCCAGGAGGCATCCTAACCAGATACCAGAGCCACTGGCTCCTCTCAGTGTGGAGGAGCAGTGGACCTACACTAAGCTCGCAGCTTCCACGGCAGTCACATAATATCACGTGACACGGGAGATAATGTTATGTTTTATACGTATAAGTTTCAATATAAATGTATGACGAGACTTTTACTTTTTAAATTGTGTAAATATTTGTTAAATTAAATATATGTGAGTTACAACCCATTAGCCACCGAAGCTGCAACTGATAAGCAACTAACCAACCATAGATAACTTCTTTGGATCTAAAGAAAAAAAATTTTAAATGAGTTTATTTACTTTTAAACTTGAAATTTGCCCCCAAAGTAGCTGCCAGCTTCTGATCCGCCATCATTTTGAAAATACAGCAGTGTGTTTTGGGTAAGTTTTGACCAAGGCTAGGCTACAAGACACCTGTGTATCCTTGCTCAGCTAGCTAAACGGCTAACAAACGGAGAACAGACGCCTCGGTAGAACATGAACATTGGAACACATCTTGGCGGCTCCTGATAAAGTATCTCCTAGGCAACTGGGGTGGGGCCAAGACATCAAGGTGAGGTTCCTTGGCATTGAGAAGCACCCCTTATTAAGGAGGCTAAGGAGAGTGATCCCCCGTAGTTGGGACACACCCTGCAGTCCCCCACCTTCAGTAGCACTTTCCTAAAATTTTTAAAGAGTTCAATAAGAAATGTATATTTCTATCAGCATCCCAGCATATTTTCAGATTAAATGTGTGCTCAGTTGAAATAACCTGACTGTGTGTATTTGTATGAATCTGTAGAATGTTTGTTTTTGTTTGTGTTTGAGATGCCTGAAGCTGCTGCTTCCTGTCACCTCTATGGAAGACGTGAACGACAGCGGGATCAGTCCTCTTCACTCTGCTGCTGCAGAAGGACACACAGACTGCATCAAGGTTCCTTTATGAAGCAATGATCCATCAGTTAGAATGGTGAAAAAGTAACGCTAACCCTTTGATTCCACTAGACCTTGCTGGATGTGGGCTACGACCCCAACTACATGCTCCATCCCTGGATCCGCCGGAGCTACGACGATGAGAGGAAGTCCGCTCTCTTCTTTGCTGTGTCCAACAATGACATGGCATCGGTGAAGCTTCTCCTGGAGGCTGGAGCCATGACTAACCAGGACCCGGTAAAATGTCTGCAGGTAACAGTTAGGGTCTGCTTCAGAACGCTTGGCTCCTGGGAGAAAGTGTTTTTGTGTCAGCAATTTCTCCTGTTTTCTCTGAAAACTTTGTTGATGTCAATGATCCTATTGAGTTGTCCTACTTGTAAATTAGCTTTTACCTTTTGTTTTGCTTAGACAAGGGTACATGTCCTTTCTGTCCATCCCACAAATCCCTTTAATAAACACAAACGGGTTGTTCATCCAGAAATTTTGCTGATTTATTGTAGGTTGCGCTCCGCCTGGGGAACTACGAGCTGATCAACCTGCTGCTGCGATATGGAGCCAACGTGAACTACTACTGCAGAATAAACACCACTCACTTCCCCTCAGCACTTCAGTACGCCCTCAAAGATGAGGTGAGCCATTAAAACGACCCTTGTTTTGACATATCAGAGTAGAATACATGCAGTTTATGTGCATTCATCTAATTGAACTGATGACTGTGTATCACATTTTTTATTTTACCACATTCTAATAAAAAAATTCAGCTTTTTGTTGTGTTAGGTGGTTCTCAGGATGCTGCTTAACTATGGTTACCACGTTGAGCGCTGCTTCGATTGTCCCTACGGCGACGGCTCCCACATTCCTGAAAACTTTGAGGGATGGACCTGCCCTGTGATTAAAGACACTTTGGTAAAGAAAATCTGTAGAGACAAAATTTGCATTTTTAAGACTGCTATGGCCACCAGCCTGGCCTCTTCAGGTAGAGGAGCCAGGGTCACCCAACCCCGGTGATCAGCCAGCCAGATAAAAAGGCTGTGCCTTCAGCAGTCTGGGAGGCAGCAGTACAGGGGTTCTGCTGTCCTCCAGGCCTCAGATTTTGGTTTCAACCCCTTTCTTTTGATGAGTTTTAACTTTGGTAGTTTTAACTCTGAGTGATGAGCTTTTATAGGGTAAAGCTCTGAGTGATCCAGAGGGATCGTTTTGAAGGTTAACTTGGTGACAATTTTATTGACTCTGTTTTTTTTAAAAACACCTTCTGTTTGGTAGAACTTTTAACATAAGTTTTAACCAGGTGTTTTTAGTTGACAAGTTGTCTTTTAACTGTTAACCTTATAGTGATTTTTTCGTTTTGCATTATTTTAATAATGCTCACCATCTGTTTGCACTTGTTTTTAGAACCTTTTATAACAGTTAACCCCATTTTAAACCCACTATCATGTTTTCTTATGTTACCTCCTCCTTCACATTTTAACACCTCCTGTCGGGGACGTAACAAAGAAGATTGCTAGTTTTCTAATTCAAATTTCTGTAACACACCTTAATGAAACACCGATGAGTGTGCAACAATTCCCACATTGGATTATTAAAGTTTGGAGTATGGCTGAAAGATGCTTCCTAATACAAGATTTTTCTTACGGTAACTAATATAAAACCAACATGGGAATAAATGGATGCAAGTCTAGTAATACAAGTATGTGTTCATCCATCCATTTTCTTCTGCTTATCCGGAGTCGGGTCGCGGGGGCAGTAACTTAAGACGAGAGGCCCAGACTTCCCTCTCCCCAGCCACTTGGGCCAGCTCCTCCGGGGGAATCCCCAGGCGTTCCCTGGCCAGGTGAGAGACGTAGTCCCTCCACCGTGTCCTGGGTCTACCTTTAGGTCTCCTCCCTGTTGGAAGTGCTCAGAAAACCACACCAGGGAGGCATCCTGACCAGATGCTCAAGCCACCTCAACTGGCTCCTCTCGATGTGGAGGAGCAGCGGGTCTACTCCGAGCCCCTCCCAAATGACAGAGCTTCTCACCCTGTCTCTAAGGGAGAGCCCAGCCACTCTTAGGAGAAAAGTCATTTCGGCCGCTTGTACCCCGATCTCGTTCTTTCGGTCACTACCCAAAGCTCATGACCATAGGTGAGGGTAGGAATGTAGATGGATTGGTCAATCGAGAGCTCTGCCTTCTGGTTCAGCTCTCTCTTCACCACGTCAGAGCGGTACAACGCCCGCATCACTGCAGCACCAATCCGCCTATCATTCTCACGCTCCATCTTTCCCTCACTTGTGAACAAGACCCCGTTGTTTTTTCCTTTTTTGTATAAAGCTAAAACTTGTGTATGGAAGCCCATTTGGCACTGAGATAGAAAATGACGTCATTAATATGACTTAACATCACACTGTCAGGATTTAATATTTTTCACATAATTATTATACTCTTAAGTTACAATAAAGACTTTCATTAAAGTGGCAGGAATTGGCTTCCACAGTTTGGGAACCTTTGATCCCAGAGTTGTGGAACAGCTGCGTGTCTGCTGGTTTAATCTCTCATCATCACATTAAGTGGAAGGTTTCTGTCTCACTGCAGTTCTGTGAGGTGATCACTGTCTACTGGCTGAGAGACCTTTCGGGTCACATGGTTCGCATCATGCTGGATTACCTGGATCATGTGACACTCTGCTCCAAACTGAAGGCGGCTCTGATGGAGCAGAAGCAGTGGCCTGAAATCTGCAGCATACAAGGTGGCTAAAACTTTAAAGTCAGCCAAAGAAAATAGCAAACAGGGGTGGATGACCATCTTCTTGTTACTTTCAGAAAATGCCCGCTGTCTGCAGCATCTCTGCCGGCTGCAGATCCGTCGGTGTCTCGGCCGTCTCCGTCTTCGGTCTCCCATCTTCATGAGCTTCGTGCCTCTGCCGGATCGGCTGAAGGATTATATCCTGTACCGGGAGTACGACCTGTGGGGTCAGCAGGGCAGCTCACCAGGCTGAGGCTCCAGCAGGGCAAGAAATGATCACATTCAGTCAAACCTGGTTGGTGCATTACTTTGAGAAATCTCCTGCTCATCTCAAAAGAATGAATAAATAATCTGCTTTATTATATCACTAAGTTGATGCATTTCAGCCAGTTCTGAACAGCCTTGACAATTTTGCATGTTTTGAACATTCACCTTATATTTTCAATGTTTCTATTGAAGAAAGATGTATGCTCATAATTTACAAAGTAAGACCCATGAGCAATTGAAATAGACATTTATTTCTTCAATATTTAAAATGTATTTATTGTAAAAAAATAAATGGGTCTTGATTAACATGTCTCTAAAGGTTTTTTCTTATCTTTGGGCTTTTGCTGCTTTGTCAAATTAAAATTTGACTAGATGACAAATAGAAACTACAAAATGTACTCAAATATCACAAAACCTAAATTATAATTAAATGAATTGTGCAAGAAATTCCACACCAAATGAGTTTTCTAAATTAAATTTGTCTCAAATAAAATACTGTGTTTAAATTATACTGGAGGAAATGAGTTTTCTAAAAGAATAATTTCTTTATCCTTTTCATTAAGTCACAGAATGGGCAGTGATGAAGAAGAAAATTAAAAAGCAGTTTACTGGATTGTTATATCATTTTAATCTTGAGTCACACTAAGCAGTTGTAAAGTGAAAATGAAAATGCATTTCCATTTTCAGATTTGACATTTCAAATTGAATTTTGTTACTCATTTGCTGGAGTGTTATTTGAAAATTAGTTCTCAGATGCCTTTTTCTTTACCATTTTCATGAAGTCATAGAATTAGCAATGATGAATAAGAAAATTAAAAAGCAAAATTGAGAAATGCTTTTTCATTTTGATTGTGAGTCACACTAAGCAGTTGTGTAGTGAATATGAAAAAGCATTTCTTCTAATGCAGTTTAATTTTCAAATTTCACTTTTCAAATTGAATTTTGTTACATTTTTGCTGGAGTGTTATTTGAAAATTAAATCTTAAATGTTTTTTTCTTTATACTTTTCATTAAGTCACAGAATAAGCAATGAAGAAGAAAATTAAAAAGCAGTTAGGAAGAGTGCTTATTAATTTTATTTATGAGTCAAATTTGGCAGTGGTAATATGAAAATGAAATATCATTTCTGCTACTGCATAATATTATTTTTGCAAGACACACGCTTCCATAGACTCCCTCTGGTGGCGGAAGATCGTCACTACAGTTTGTTTATGGCTCAGCCAAATTTAAACATCTATTGATGATAAAAGTTTATATGTGCTGCTATTATGTGGTATTTTTTATTTTTACAAAAAAACAACAAAATTCAAAAATCTTAAAATGAAATACATATAAAATACATATAAATTAGATACTTTCTCATAAATTATTTAAAATCAGTAAAGTTTTTTTTTTCAGGCTTATTGTTTATTTTTGTAATACTCATCAAATAAGAGGTCCTTACCTGCCCTGTGTTCTGCTTATAGAAATAAGAATCATCAGGAAATCCTGATTCTCTATTTTTCTCAGACATGAATGAGATCATCGTTCTACACACGTCACACAGCTGGAGCTGTGTTGACAGTTTAATCAGGTTACTACATCAACACTGGGCAGGCTTTATTAGTCACCATGGAAACCTACGTCACAGCAGCCTGATGCTTGTTAAATTTAAATCATCTTCAGACACACAGATGTTGAGAACGTCAATCCAAAAAGTCCTAATTAAACCTTAACTAGACGGCTTGACATTTCTAATATACACAATCCAGATGAGATGATTTATGCCTAATTACTGGCAGTCTGGGTAATGCATCTTCACCTGGGTTAAATCAGGACAGCTTTTTATTTTATTTAGAGCAGGATGGAAGCTGCTCAACCTGTCAGATATGCAGCTGGTGGATTTCACCATCTTGTGGCCAAAATTATGAATAATAAAACATAAATAGGAGCATGATAAAATAAATGTGTGATTCTAAATATGGATTCTTGTCCTAGGGTTAAAGAAACAAAAAGGGAGACATGATCCAAGTCATAACTAACTTGGAGCTTCCTTTACGGCTTTAGTTTGATTTATTCAGGCTCTGACTCATGTTTACATAAAATATATTAAAATGTTCAACTGGAAAATGTGACATCAGTTGGAAAAAAGCAACTTTTCTTTTGAACTCCAGCACAAAAGTTCTGCCAAATGTACAAGAATGACTAGACGTGACAGTGTATTTAGAAATTAAAACACAAGCCAAAATCTTCTGAAAAGATTTAATCTCACTTACTTTCACTGTTCTAACAAACATTCATAATGATGTCAGATGCAGGAAATGTTGCTAGATGAGTCCCATCAAATCTCTGAAGCAGAAAACCACGACAGCTTTAAAAGTCGTGAGGATCTGAGATGATGGCAACAAGATGGAGGAAATGGACTCAACCTGGAGGATGTTGATGAGCATGCAGGTCTCTGACAGATGTGAAGTGGAACAAACCAAGGACTAAGGATGGTGACTGCATACCCTCTAACACACACACACATACACACACATATGGGTTGAACACAGTTTCCCACAGCAGGTGAAAGTGCTCCGTGAGCTGACTGAAGCCTGGAATCTGGAGCTGAAGCAGCAGAAAATACAGACCTGAGTTTGCTCTAATAATACTGCCTTTATACTCCAGACAATTCAAACATCATATCTCTTCCTTTCTTGATATTTTTTCTTGTTACACTTCTACAGGGGAGACGTGTGAAAGACAAAACATTCTGAAGTTACGATTAAAAAAATAAATTATTACCTCGATAAAACAAAAATATTACTTTTTGCTCTGTCTCGTTCTAACTCCTGGGTTTAGTTCCTGTTACTGACCAACAGGGGGCAGTGCTGCATCAAGACCAGTCTTAAGCTAAGTAGCCTATGATTGGCTAATTATCTTTTCTCTGGACCAATCAGAACACACTCTGTTGCCACTGCTGCTGACAGTAACAGGAAGACTGATGATAAACATTTTAATATAAATATATATATTTTTATTTTGAGGCAAAGCTGGATGATAATTCAACAAAGTTAACGACCGAACATTTTAAAGAACCTTAATAATTTTGTTTGGTTTTTTTTTGGTCAGATTTTTCGTTCCTGTGAAAAATATTCTACTCATAGTATTCAGTCATATGATCAAACCCTGATAAATGAGGGCAACAATATGCCTCTTTAAATGTTAACAAGTCCCATTAGAAGACACCAACAACCCATCTCCATTAGGTCCAAAAAATTCACGGACTGCTGCTTCTGAACAACTTTCAACATCTGTACCACCACTCCAACCAGCAGTTTTTCTGGATTCTTAAAATTTCAATTATTCAAAAGCTCCAGGAGAGCAACAAACTGTACATTTATGATGCTTTAGTTTGCTTCTGAAACATACGATAATAAAACAGGAACTATCCAACGCAGCAGGACAGATTTGACCTTTCATGAGATTTACTAATGAAAATAAAACAAACATCTGGGTTCCACCACAGCAGGTTTGGGAGGTCAACACTTTTGCTTCCAATAAAACAAGACAACCCAGAGCGTAATCTCACAAGACAGACTACAAACACTTGTTTGCTTTAAAGTATTCCCCAAAACTGACACATCATTTCAAAACTGTATCTCTCCATGAAGTCGACATCTGAGGTGCTTTTCATGGCCGTGTGCAACACCAAAATAAAAGTTATTCACATCTATAACAAAGAGCTATTGCTTTAACAGATGCTTGGGTGTGTCTCTGAGGTAAGACTAGAAAAGTCGATTCATATGTTTCTGTAGAAGAAAAGGAGGTGGTGAAGAAACGGTCAGCAAAGGAGCAGAGTGGCCAAAACCAGCCGATCGAGTCGGTTGTGTCCTGCGGTGCTGCTCCAACAGCAGCTGTTTCCAGGGTGAAGGTGTTTGTGAGGACCAGTCTGACTTTAGAAGACAGGAGTGAGTCCCATCTTCTTTTATTTTGAAATTCCCTCCACAGATTGTAACAGACAGGCCGCTGTTTAAGCAGGAAAGCTTCTGATGTTAAATGATACGTTTTAATAAATATAAATGCTCTGCTTTGGTCTAGTTTTGCTGGTTTGTGTCTTCAGCGCCAGCTCCCAGCACAAACAAGCTTTTTCATTTAAACTCTGAACATTCGTTACTCTGCACAGTGAAGAAGAAAACCCTGTTTGACTGGATACCTTGATTATTATTATGGTCTAGTTCTGTAAAACAATTCAAGCTGTTATTACTTGATTTTTAATAAAATCATCAGTCATTCTACGGTCTGGCTAGTATTAAGATACAAGTTTGGAAATACCTTTAACTAACAAATGGATTTAGTGGAACATGCTTTCACTGATCTGACTGATGGAAACATGTTGATAGGAGCTCTTTGAAATAACGCCAATAAAAAATTAAATCCACCAGATGAGTAAGGTGCCGAAGTAGTGGCCTCAGGAGCCTCTGGACTACATCCTGGGTTTTATGCAACCTGAAACGTACGACGTGTTGTGATGAGGTCATGTAGGGAATGCTTTGTGGCCAAGAAGGTCCTCGCCAGAATAGGGAACCAAGACGGTGTGTGTGTATTTTGTATCTATCATCTTCATACCTTTGCAGCTTTTTTTGGGCTCCACTGTCCTGTCTCCAAACCGTTGCTATAGTAACAACTTTACTGTAAAATGACCTGGTTGCTATGGTGATGTCCTGAAAAACTGTGTTCCATGTTTACAGCTGAGATGTCTCAGTTCTGGAGAACACCACTGGATGGTGTGTGTGTGTGTGTGTGTGTGTGTGTGTGTGTGTTAGGGTAGATCCCTGGTGGGTTGACACAAACACCAACAGGTTTCTGAGTTATGGCAGATTGTTGTCTCGAAGACTCTCCAGGATCTGGATCAAACTCTCCAGTCCAAACACGTAACCCCTGTCGGGCCCATCGTGCACCGCTGTGTCGCCACGGAAACCCTTGAAGGTAGAATGGGCAAAGTCGATCATACGGACGTCCACCAGGGGGGGCTGTGGCGACACGGGGGCAGAAAGGAGGGAACTCAAACCTAGAGCAGGGGAGGGGAAGTCCGGATGACTTTGAGGTGAGGGGGGGCGGGGGACAATGGAGTCTGACCTGGTGGGGGGGTGAGGGGAGGGGGGCGGTGGGGCTGTGTGTTCAGGTTCCTGAGATGACAGTGACCCCGGGTCGGGGTTCTGACACATGTCCGTTTCACGGGGAGCATCAGGGGGAGGTGGAGCGTTGGGTTCTGGAGCCCCAGGGGTCTTCTGTGGTCTGGCTGCATTCTGTCCAGGGCTGGGGACCAAAGAGCCCTCAGGTTTCTACAAACACAATTTCATATTTCACTCACAGGAGGGAAGGAAGACTCCAGGTAAACATTTACTTTTATTCACCTTTCATGAATCTCTGCAGGAGCAGGGATCTAAATCATCAGAAACATCTAAAAAACCTAAACATTATATGAACCAGCATCATGTCAGCACATTTGCAACATTAGAATAAAACTACTGCAGCCCTGCTCCATTCTACTGAGCTTCACTGTGACTTTATTTAGTTTGACTCTTTCTCTTTGTCTCTGCTTGAAAAAATCATCCCATGGGAGCTATAGAACAAAAATAGCACTGCAAAGAGGTTAGTACCAGTATTACGGTCAAACTGTGGTCAAAAACTCCAAATGAAACCAAAAACTACAGCTGGTCTGAGTCTTTGTCTTCAGCAGTTCTCGGGTAATTTTAAATACAGTGCATTAAGTGTGAGCTCTTATTTATTTCCAGTAAGTGTTTTGAAAAAAAAAACATTTTCTGTATGTCATCAACAAGGGTCAGTCTAACATAGCAAGACAGTTTAAAGGCACTCTTGGCAGTTTTGCTTGCTTTTAGCACCCCCTAGTGTCAGTTAATCTTTATAACACCTTAATCTAACAGCTTAAATGTCTTGTCAGTCTTCCTCAGTGTCTACAGGAATGGTTCATCACTAAATTGAACAAATCAGCTTTGTTCATGATCTAAAACATGCAGAAAACATGCTGGAAGCTGACTGCTTTGCCAGGTATATCAGCTCCCAACAGAGCGGCCAGCCAGGCTGAAGCTGCAAATGCAGTGTTTAGCTTGTGTCTGGCTATAGGGGGCGGTGGGGGTCATTAACTGTAAAGGGTCATTTTAGAGCATACTGGCTCAAGAAGTTTTTATAAAAATATTCAAAAGTTGCATAGTATGGCTTTACGAGTTTTTTATTCACACCCAGACTCACCTTTCCCTCATAGATGATGAGCAGTGAGGAAGAGTAGAAGCGATATGATGCCTGCCTCTCCAGAACTGCCTTCAGGCCCCGAAGCTTGTTGAGGATTGGCTCAAAGAGGTCCCGCCTCAGGCCCTTTCCACTGTGCAGGTACTGGTAGAGGGTCTGGCGGAAGCCTTCGATTGACAGGCTGCGGCCGTAGTACTTGTTCCTGCAGAGGTAGTGACCCGTGCTCAGCTGGAACACCTGCAGAGGAAGAGGAGCAGAACCTCAAAAGTCTCACTGAAAACAGCAGCAGCTCAATGTTTTTTTTTGTCATAATAGTCAAGTAAAAACGGCAGGAAATACAGAGTAGTAATGATTTGTCTGATCCTCGAACTCCCCAAGGACAAAACAAGATCAAAAACTTTGCAAACTATATAAAGTTTAGCTTTAGCAGCTTTTATTCAATTCAAAAATACTTTATTAATCCCAGAGGGAAATTGATTAAATTTATAACAAGCAGGAGGACTCTATGTTTTCAGAAGTTATCCTACCCAGTAAAGTGGTTTGGGTGACAGGTAAACTGAGAGCTGAGCTTCCTCCACATGCAGGTCTCATCAGGTTCAACAGCATAAATTTTTATTCTACCTGCATGCCACACACTCTGACTCCCAGCGTCGCTGAGGTGCTCTGTTCGCATTTCTTCATCTGTCTGGCTGCTTTTTCCTCAGAGGCGTCGTCTCCATGCTGCCTGGTGCCCATCTTCAGGTCCAGGATGCAGGGGTAAGAAAAGTGATGGACGACGTTCTCCAACAACAGGAACTCTGATTAAAATGCTGTGGTTAAGGAGGAAACATCACCATTCTGACAAAATCCCCAGAATTCAGCAGATGATTTAAATAAAGTGTGTGTAGCACAGCGACACACTGCCTTGTTGAATGTGAGTGAAGACAGATGGTTCTGGTAGAGGTCAGAGTGTGTGCTGCTCTGTCTCTGGTCCTCCAGCCGCTGCAGGCTGCTCTCTTTGAAGCTGCAGATCAAAACATGAACTTTAACATGATAACCTTGAACAGAACAGAGCCTTGTGTGTGAATGCTCTGCTCACAACAATCGCTACAATATTATACATTTTATCAGCACAAGTTGCTAATGGTTAGCCTATTTCTAATAAAAAGTGTTAATGATCAGGCCCATTAGAGGATACTGAAGAGTTTGCGGTCCGTTGATTCGGATCTCATGCGGCTGAGCTGCTCTTTGTGGCAGCGGAGGCTCCAGGGGTTGTGACTGATCTTCTCTAAGGTCAGCCCACTGTTCCAGTCCAGCATCTGAAACGGAACGTCTGAATGGATCTTTGCATCGAGCCTCGGACTCTTCAGTTCTGCAAGGCTGTGGGGAGAGGGGATCATTTATTTTGTGAAGTCATCCATCTATCCATCCACTTTGTTAAACCTCTTTTAGCTTTTTCTTCACTTCAAACTGCTTTTACAAAAACAGCAACATCTCTAAACTCACATTTGAATGTAGCTTGTTCTGGTTTGATTTTAGAATACAGGAATAAAAAAGTATTTAATACACTTTCTAAGAAAACTAACTCACATAAAGTTGTTTAATAGCGAAACACGTGAATTATTACTGCAGGATCGTCTGACCTGTCCGAGGCGCCTGTGTCGTGCACCTCCTTTCTGTCGGCCCGCTCCTCCTTGTGCTCAGTAGAAGAGGATGAGCGATGGAGGCTGCGGCGGGAGTGTTTCCTCCTGGGCTGCTCTCTCTCTTGAGTGTCCCGCTCCTCGTGCTCCCCTGTCCCAATGTCCATGTTGTCCACATGAGGGTACGCCACGAGGTTGATGTAGCCATCAGAGTCGCCTTCAAAACACACCAGCACCACACCTAGTAGAAGGAAACCAGACACCAACACGAAGATCAGAAACATTCAAGTATCCAATAAAATTCTCTCTCTTACTAAAGGAAGTACAGCTTCATTTTTTAAAGGTCACATCTTTACAAATAACATGTGACGTGGAGCTTTAGCCAGATGCAGGTTTGTGCAAATGTGAGAAGAACCAGCTGCTTCCCTCATTTTCTGCTGCTGGACAAAACAAAAAATGCATCTTTAACAGAGAAAAACTGACATTCATCACAAGCTGTTATTCATCCTGTTGTGAGGCGAACTCCTGAAATGTGACATCAGGCTTGTTTTCATTCACCACTCTGTTTGAATGTAAACAAAGAAGCAGGCTAGATGCAAAAGTTGAGCTCAGGCTGAAGCTGCCCTCCGTTCATCTCATTAGCTTCTGTAAGCTACGAGTCTTCAACATCAGTAAAATGATGGTTAATGAACGGTGTGTTCTTCCAGTTTTAAACGCCTCACTCCAGTTGTTTTTCTTATTGCTGTACATTTCACAATACCACAATTACTAGTCTTCTGTTCAGTGCTTTTCCTTATGTGCAACTTAGATTATTCGTGCAGTTATTTTGTAAATGGCCTTGTTGGTTTTTGCACAAGCTATAATTTGGTTCCAATTTACTTCATTTACAATATAAAATATGTGTTGATGTGGAAGTAAAAACATAATAAATAGTATTTAAACGATACATAATCCAGCTTTTCTACAAAATAATTCCTGAACTAAAACGGTCAAATTTTGCACTATTCAAGTGTCCAAAATCATGGTGGTACTTGAGGTAAAAAAGTGTGAGAACCACTAGTGTAAGTCGCGTTAATAGACGAAAGCTAAAAAAAAAAACATCTTTAACATTTCTTCCTTTGTTTTTACAAACACACTCAGCGTGTCACGCCTAAAACGGTCTGGATGGAAACAGACTTTGTGTTTCTAACAGACAGAATGCGGCGATTCTACGATCTTTCCTGCTTCGGCAGATTTTCAACACATTCCAATCCTTACGTATGTTTTTAAAATGCAGAGTTAACAACATCCACACAACCCAACTGTTCACAACAAAAATAGCACAGTGGGTGGATGTCTTTACAGAAACAATTAGGATCTGGCTCCAGCGCCAGCCCTGGTCCAACACTGGATTTGTGGAAAAAATCCATAAGAGATGATGGTTTCCATTTTAAACAAACAGAAATCAGCGTTTGATAAACAGCAGAACATCTCACCCCTCTTGAGTCAGACATTCAGGATTCTTCATGTTTATTCGTGTCAACTCCTAATATAAAAGACTACATCTAATGTCTAGTTAGACACAGAAGGTTTCTGCATCCAGGATCATTTTCTCCAAAAGCAGAAGAGATCTCATGAGTCAGTTCTGTCTGCAGAAAACACGACCACCTCTAAAAAATCCAAACAAGGACACATTTAATCTGATAATGTCAAACAATATGTGGTTAAAGCAACCTTGACAGCCTCAGAAAGTTGTTCCTGAGCAGCTGTCAGTCTACTGTTATTTAATCAGCAGGACAATGGTGGTGGGCAGAGATCCAGGACTAAATTTAGACTGGCGCTGTTGTCACCAGCAGGCTGGAGGAGAGGGAATGCAGACCCAGCAGGAGCACGGCCAGAACCTGTTTTATACAAACCCAGAGGGTTTAAAAGATAACCTCATGTTAAGTATAATTATTATTTCTATTCAAAACAAATGTATGTCACATACTCCTCTCACATCACATCTAAGAAAGAATCCAACAGGTTGTGTTTGTTCGTTTTAGAGTTGAACTTAAACTAAATACAGAAATACTTAAATAAAATTAGAGTGATAACCAGATGTACCACTATTTTTGTTTGTATGTCTATACTAGCCACATAAGTCAAATACTTCTTATACAAATAATTACTTTTCAATAAAAGCATAATGAACGAATTCAATTAGTGAAATACATCTATAAGTTTAACTAATTACTACTACAAGGGACCGCATCCCTCGGGGGGCCCTGTGTGTGTGTGTGTGTGTGTGTGTGTGTGTGTGTGGGGGGGGGGGGGGTAACTCCCGGAAGCATGGGGTACCAGGCCCTCTGATACGGGCTGTTAGGTCCCTGTATGACCGGTGTCGGAGCTTGGTCCGCATTGCCGGCAGTAAGTCGGGCTCGTTCGCAGTGAGAGTTGGACTCCGCCAAGTCTGCCCTTTGTCACCGATTCTGTTCATAACCTTTATGGACAGAATTTCTAGGTGCAGCCAAGGTGTGGAGGGCATCCGTTTTGGTGGCCTGAGGATCAGGTCTCTACTTTTTGCAGATGATGTGGTCCTGTTGGCTTCATCAGAACGTGATCTTCAGCTTTCGCTGGAGCGGTTCGCAGCCGAGCGTAAAGCAGCTGGGATGAGAATCAGCTCCCCTAAATCTGAGACCATGATATTCATTCGGAAAAGGGTAGAATGCCTTCTCCGGGTCAGGTATGAGCTCCTGCCTCAAGTGGAAGAGTTTAAGTATCTCGGGGTCTTGTTCACGAGTGAGGGAAAACTGGAGCGTGAGATTGATAGGCGGATTGGTGCTGCATCTGCAGTGATGCGGGTGTTGTACTGGTCTGTCGTGGTGAAGAGAGAGCTGAGTCAGAAGGCGAAGCTCTCGATTTACCGGTCGATCTACGTTCCTACCCTCACCTATGGTCATGAGCTTTGGGTAGTGACCGAAAGAACGAGATCGTGGATACAAGCGGCCAAAATGAGTTTTCTCCGAAGAGTGGCTGGGCTCTCCCTTAGAGACAGGGTGAGAAGCTTGGTCATTCGGGAGGGGCTCGGAGTAGACCTGCTGCTCCTCCTCATCGAGAGGAGCCAATTGAGGTGGCTCGGGCATCTGGTCAGGATGCCTCCTAGACGCCTCCCTGGTGAGGTTTTCGGGGCACGTCCAACTGGGAGGAGACCTAAAGGTAGACCCAGGACACGGTGGAGGGACTACGTCTCTCATCTGGCCGGGGAACGCCTTGGGATTCCCCCGGAGGAGCTGGCCCAAGTGGCTGGGGAGAGGGAAGTCTGGGCCTCTCGCCTTAGGCTACTGCCCCCGCGACCCGACTCCGAATAAGTGGATGAAAATGGATGGATGGATGGATGGTTGGACTACTACAAGCATAAACCTCGAGTATAACCCACTTTTTAAAAATACTTTTGTTTGGAAACAGCAGCCAGAAACTATAAAAGTGAGAATTGTTCCTGGATCAACTTTAAACAATCAATGGAAGAATACCAACTTCCTGTTATGGATGGAGGAGCTGTACGGCTAATTGGGAGAGAATAAACTAAAAAGTTAAGCTAGGAGACAGAACTGAATAGTATTTCGGTCTGGCATAAAGCTAATCTGCACACATCACACTGTAATTTATTTTTGCACCAATATCTTTCCCATGCAATATAATAAGAATAATTTGAGGATGCAATTTCAGAAGTCTGACTCAGTAATCCAGCCTAACAGATTACATCTTAATGTGACAACATACAAGCAAAAACCCCTGGTAGAGTGTAAACAGGCTACTGTAAAGACATCAGAAACCAGAGCCCCACTGATCAAAGCATCAAGTCCCTTTAGCTGCCTGGCCCTCACGTGTTCTGTTTCACCTTCTGACATTTAAGATATAACTCCAGTAAATCAATAACAAAACATGCAAAAATTTCCCTCTCACAGCTACAGTTCAAGTCTGAACGAAAGAGAAATGATTTGTTACTTTAACTGTATACTTACCGCCTGAAGTACAAACATATCTACAGCTGTGACGTTCCATGTAAAACTAAAAGCACTAACACGTGTTTCCACTTCTGAGTGATTGAGCTGTGACGAGAATTAGACTTTCAAACTGTGCAGATTACCACAAATACGGTAATTGATTACGGAGTAATTTCTCCCCAAACCAGCAGCTGCAGGATAAACCAACAACACGGTGAAGTAGATGTCAGTCAAGATTAGTCGCTCTTGTTTACACACCCACACTTTCTTTAAGGAGGGAGGGGTAATCGATGGCAGTAACTGTGTGGGTGCACTGCTGCTCTGTGGGGTGTTTGACATTTCTCTACATATTTCTCTTTTTAGACTAGAGCCTAAAGCTGTGTTTATTATGGTCCCTGGACCATGGCTCCTACAGATCGTGGCCTCTACTGTTAACTTCATGTCATATAGTTTTATTAATGTTTCAGGACGTTATTGCTCTGCTAACACCATCTGAAGGCTCTTGTCATGTTTTTCTGTCAGCTAAGGGGCTGGTGACTGACATCTATGGTTGACAGTTTGGTTCTCCGGGCCCATGCACCAACAGCACTGCCACATACTGTCAGTTTAGCATTTGGACTCGAGTCCCCCGTCAGCTTCAGCACAACATTAAAGCTTAAGTTGCTCATTTAAAAAAGGTTTGGCCTCTGGGCTAAAAACACGCACTGAAGGTGACGTCACTCTCCCTGAAGTCCGTGGTGTGCTGGTTCTACATATTTAGACTTGTGTGTCACCGCATTTTTCTGAGTCTGACAAATGATGAAAATGGCTGCATTCCATATAGTGTGAAGGATCTGGTATTTGGCTTAAAAGGCTCAATGTCACAACTTAAAAGCCTTCACAAACTGTTTGTTAGACCTGCTCTATCCAACATGAAATATTTCCATATGAAAGAGACAAAATGTGGGTGTGTGGTCCCACTGTTTGGGTCTGTTACTACAGCAAAGCATGGTGAAAACAGTTACAGCATGTGTCAGGTGATGAAGAGCAGAGCTGAGCACTCCTCCTCCACTAAAACATCTGTAGCTCCTTCCTTCTCCACTACCCAGAGCATACTTCTGCAGGGGTACCAATCCTCACAAAGATTTTACGATGCAAGAAAAACAAATGGGACTCTCCTCAGTAACATCAGAGCGCTCAACAATGTGTTGCCTGGTCTTTATCTTTTGCCTGCAATAATTACTGAAGATTTCTTTATGGGCTAATAAGACAAGGCAAGGCAGCTTGATTTGTACAGCATTTTTCATATTCAGTGTGCTAGCCAGGTGCAAGAACATCCATCCATCCATCCATCCTCTGAACCCGCTTTGTCCACGCAGGGTCGTGGGGAGGGCTGGTGCCTATCTCCAGCAGTCAATGGGCAATCAGGCGGGGTACACCCTGGACAGAGAGCCAGTCCATCGCAGGGCAACACAGAGACACACAGGACAAACAACCATGCACACACACTCACACCTAAGGACAATTTAGACAGACCAATCAACCTAACAGTCATGTTTTTGGATGGTGGGAGGAAGCCGGAGCACCCGGAGAGAACCCACGCATGCACAGGGAGAACATGCAAACTCCATGCAGAAAGATCCCAGGCCGGGAATCGAACCCAGGACCTTTTCGCCGCAAGGCAACAGCTTTAACCACTGCACCACTGCGCAGCCGTGCAAGAACATAAAACATTAAAATCAACTTGACAACGTAAAACAGCAGATTTTTAAATCAAATTTAAAATACCCTAAAAAATTTTGATGTAAGAAATAAGATAAAAAAGTCAAGTTAAAGGGTGAGCAGTTACAGTGCAGAAGGTACAGCATGAGACACATTCAAACTAGGGCTGGGCAACATGGCCTAAATTCAATATCACGATATATTGACGATTTCACCTTGATAACAATAAATGGATGATAACTACAGGTATGCGCAGGATCAAAAGTTGTCCACTAGATGGGGCTGTCACATGTATTGTTGAGTCACATTTTTTTTTATGACTCAAGGTGGTACAGCTTCTTAAAGGAACATCCTACACATATTTTTACATTTTTTAATCATCAAATTTATTGACATGGGGAAAATGATCTCGATAAGAGTCAGGAATTTCGATAACAATAATTTTTTTAATTATTGGCCAGCCCTAATTTAAAGGCAGATTTTTCTATTCTGATTTAAAAGTTTCTAGAGTTGGGGCACATTTGAAGTCACAAGGATCTGATTCCATCTGTGTGCAGGAGTAACTAAAAGCAGCTTCACCCTGTTTGGTTCTGACCCGGAGTTCTACCAGCTGACTGCTTCCTAAGGATCTCTGAGCCCTGCTGGGCATTGATACTGCAACGAGATCCAACATGTATTTTGGCCCCATGCCACTGAGTGATTTATAAACTAGCAGTAGCACTTTGAAATTGATTCTGTAGTTCACTGGTAACCAGTGTAGAGATTTAAGAACAGGAGTGATGTACTCGGGTTTCTTGGTTGTTGTTAAAAATCAATTTACAGAAAAACTATTTTTAATGATTATTTCTGATTATGATGGCTCACTTCTAATTTCTGAAACTGGCTCACCTTTTTCCAGCCAGCTGGATATGAACACATGAATGAGTTTCTCTAGGTCCTGTCTGGACATGAGACCTCTGAGTTGTGTGATTTGAAGAGGATAAAACACTGATCTAGTTATAGCCTTAGTGTGACCAGTGAAGCTCAGGTCTGAATAAATTATGACACCAAGATTTCTAGCCTGTGTCTTTGTCTTTATTCTTCGGGGGTCAAGCTGAACAGTAACCTCCACCCTATCCTTCTTATTTCCAAAGACAATAACTTCAGTTTTATCTTTGTTTAACTGGAGGAAGTTTGACCACATTAACTAGCTTCAAACACCGTGAGAATATAATACAAACCCATATGTAGCCATGAACTCAGTTAATTTTCATTAAAACATTGATGTTTTAAGGGCCCAATTTGGAGTCTGATCTGGTTTACATTGTATTTTTATTTCTATCCGGTTATCCTGCATGATTAATGCCTCTTTTTCAAGGGAACTGCTCAAGATATCAAAGGTAAAAGATAAAAATCGACATAAAAAGATGAAAGCAAATAAGTCCAAATCCACATGCCACACACACACTAATCCAGAGTTATATTCCTCGGAAGCAAAAGGGTTCTGAAGTTCTGCATCAGGGTTCATAATCGGGTCAGCATCAGATCCTCAACGCTCAACTTCGTTTAGATTTTCTAATTATTACAGGAAACACTTCATTGATTTGATTGCATAAATTTTAGATTATGTGACTTTGTGGCTAACTCTTTTACACTAAATGATAATATTATATTAAACTGGCCTAAATAATCTCATAATAACCTTTTAGTGTTTAAATAACTAGACATTTAGATACGTTTGGTTCTGTTTTTGATGTAACTCATAATAAAACACTGAGCCATGAAGAGTCCACCAACAGCAGTCAGGCTCTGATGCTGAGCATCAGTGGGCTGGGACTGACCTTTATACTCTGGAGTGAACTCCTTCATCTCAGGAGGCAGAGACTCGTAGAAGCGCTGCTCTCTGCTGATCAGAGGCTTACACACTGTGTGGTCATCGTAACGCATCATGCTGGAGTGACCCCCCACCTGTGAGCACGAAAGGAGACACCAGAAATTCAGTGCAACAAAAACACAACTTACAAGCTCCTCATGTCCAGCTGCATTACAGATGTTTTAGTTTGTAACTATAGTCCTCACTTATTCGGGATTCATGCTACTTGCACCCACCTGGTGTATGAACGGCTCCAGAGAAACGCCCCCTGCTTGTGGTCGAAGTGAAGCCCCTCCCCCCACCCCAGCCCCCTGCAGCTTGCTGTCCATGTTGATGGTTTGAGGGAGGCACATGGCTCCAGGCGGACGTGCCGCGCTTCCTCCTGTAGATGAAATTCATCCATGAGGTGGACTGCTCTTTTACGTCTCTAGAGGGAATTAGTTTCCCTATGAGATCATTTAACATTACAAGTCGCTCAATATCTAAATTATATAAATATGTTAATTTTACATCTAGTTTTTGTCTTAATCTTAGTGGTTTTCGTAATTTTCAGAATCAAAATGTTGTACTGTTATTCCAGCATACTCCAGGCACATCTGCTAACATCTGGATTTTACTTTCAAAGGGAGCTGGAACCTGATCCTCCGACCCACTGGGTGTGTGTGGACATCCATATCCTAATCGGAGACGTTTATACTGGGAGGATGTTACAGAACCTCTTTCAGCACTAATAGTAAATACACCCCTAATGGTGACGTGTGAGGATTTACTGAGCTTGTTTTATATCAGGTGAGGGTGAGTTTTTAAACAAACAAACCCAAGGGTTTTGAAAGTTTAATATGAGATGTTTTATCCTGACATCTGAAATTCCCTCTGTGTTTTACATCATTTAGTGTTTTACATCATTTAGTTCAGATGATCAAACTTTGACTTTTCCAAAGAGCGGTGGGCTTTTTTGGTGTCGGCAGGCAAATATTTCTGGTTCAAAAAGGGCCACTCCACTGAAACTGCTCTGTTAGCAGTGACGGAATCTTTAAAAGAAGCTAGAGTGACTGCCAAATCCTCAGTGCTTATCCTGCTCGACTAATCAGCTGCATGGCTTCCTTTTGTCCACACTCTCTAGCATGGGCATCACAGAGAAAGCACACACCTGGTTTGAATCGTACCTCACAGGACGATCATTCAGTGTATCTTGGTTTGGACAATCCTCTACCGTGCACCATCTTGCCACAGGAGTCCCCCAGGGCTCTGTATTAGGACCTCTTCTCTTTGCCATATACACCACCTCACTGGGTGAGATCATTCGATCACATGGCTTCTCCTACCACTGCTATGCAGACGACACCCAGCTCTATCTGTCATTTCCACCGGACGACCACACCGTCTCTGCATGAATATCAAACTGTCTCTCTGACATATCAAAATGGATGAAATCCCACCATCTCCAACTCAACCTCTCTAAAACTGAACTACTTGTCTGTCATTCAATTCAATTCAATTTTATTTATATGGCGCCAAATCATGACAAGAGTCGTCTCAAGGCACTTCACATAATAAACATTCCAATTCAGGTCAGTTCATTAAGCCAATCAGAAAAAATGTTTCCTATATAAGGAACCCAGCAAATTGCATCACGTCACTGACTTTACAGCAATCCTCATACTAAGCAAGCATAAAGCGACAGTGGAGAGGAAAACTCCCTTTTAACAGGAAGAAACCTCCAGAGGATCCTGGCTCAGTATAAGCAGCCATCCTCCACGACTCACTGGGGATCGAGAAGAAAGAACAGACACACACACACACACACACACACACACACACACGCACGTACGCACGCACGCACGCACACACACACACACACACACACACACACACACACACACACACACACACACACACACACACACACACACACACACACACACCAAGCAATGTGTCCATGGCCACACCGCGACTGCCCAGCAAATACTCCATTTGGCGAGAGATAAACCCCATTGTATTTATCCTAGTGAATCTATTGTTAAACGGGTAAACTAGCAGTAGCACATCCAACGTCAAGGAATCAAAAAGTTTTTATCAGGAGAGGGTCATCCCAGCAAAACCATCCATACAGCACAATATCTCAATCCAAAACGACTTCCTATCTCTGGCTCCTTCAAAGGCAGTTCGAAATCTGGGTGTTGTGAATGATGAACACCTGACCTTTAAAGATAATGTTGCCTCTATTGCTCGTTCATGCCGTTTTGCGCTGTATAACATACGAAAGATCAGACCATACCTAACACAACATGCCAACCAGCTCCTGGTGCAATCTACTGTCATCCCCCCCTCAACTACTGCAATGCCCTTCTAACTGGTCTTCCAGGCAGTACTGTGAGACCTCTTCAAATGGTCCAGAATGCAGCGGTCTTCAATCAGCCAAAAAGAGCACACGTTACCCCTCTGTCCATTGAGCTCCACTGGCTACCGCTAGCAGCACGCATCAAATTCAAATTGCTAACACTAGCATACAAAGTCCGAGATGGTATGGCTCCCATCTACCTGAATCCTCTTGCAAAGGCTTACGTCTCGGCCCGGCCGCTCCAGTCATCACAGGATCGTTGGCTAGCAGTGCCTACACCACGCTCAGGACAATCCAGACTCTTCTCATGCATTGTTCCACAAATGTGGAATGACCTACCAAGCACTACCAGAACAGGGGCTTCCTTTTCAATTTTCAAGAAACTCCTGAAGACCCTGCTCTTCAGAGAGCATCTTCTTAACTAGCACCCTCCCTGCACCCGTCCCCCCTCTCTACTGTCCACTCCTTGTTCTCTCCTCTCCATGATTGATGTCAAGTTGTTGTTGTTATTGTTGTTGTTAGCCTCAAGGGCAGCATGCCGATTATCACTTGTAAGTCGTTTTGGACAAAAGCGTCTGCTAAATACATAAACATAATTCTTATGGATTTCAGAATAAAAATCTGAGCTTTGTCATCATCTAAGTGCTAATTTTCAGAAATAAGTGATGAACTTTTTACCCAGGTTGCTAAAGTTGACCTCAGTGGCTGTAAACTAAGTCATATTTCATTATTTGCAGCCATGTCAACCTAACCTTATCGAGTAGTGCTCTTTGTTCTTACATTATAAGTTCCTGATTTAAAATCAGCTGTTCCTGATTTTAAACTGTACCTGGAAAGCCGAGTTGGGTTGTGGGTAATTATGAGTTGGTAAAATACAATTTGTTAAATAAAAGAAAATTAAATAAAAGTTAAATAAAGCCATTGTCTTTCATATTTTAATGATTTAATATTTATTTGTAATAAGATCATCTAAACCACAGGTTTCACACAATGATAACCATTTGACCACTGCCTGACTAAACCAAGTAGCTAGCAGAGATGTAAGATGGTGGCGGGGTCCTGGTCTTACCCTGGGCATGAGCTCTGGTGTGCAGTGATGGGGAGGGGGGAGCACAGGGCACCACAGGCTGCTGGGAGCGCACGCCGGCCCCAGGGGGAGGCGGCGCCAGACCGAAAAACCACCTCACAAAGCCTCCGATGAGAGCGGTCTGATCCACCGCCGGCAGTACAGAGGTCCAATGGTGGCGGGGGTTGACAAGCGGGGTCGGCAGGAGAAGCAGGGTGTCAGTCAGTCTGGGTCCCCGCTTCCTGTGAAATGAGGCAACACCATAATTTAGTGTTCAGAGATGAGCGCACTTCAACAATAAATTAAGTTCAGCTTTCATAAAATAAAGAAGCTAAAGCTGCAGCCGAAAATTGCTTCATTCAGTTTATTTATAAAGCATTTATAACAACGAGTCGTCTCAAGGTCCTTCACTATTATTATCATTATGCTAATTAGTTTAAAGTTTCATATGGAAAGAAACCCAGCAGGTTGCATCGAGTCACTGACTTGTTGCGTCAGACTTTACAACGATCCTCATACTAAGCAAGCATATAGCGACAGTGGAGAGGAAAACTCCCTTTTAACAGGAATAACCTCCAACAGCACCTGGCTCCATAGGGATTTGTGATTCATGATCTACACATCATCGTCTGATCAGTCCTACATATTCAAACTTAATTTAGGAAACAAAACAAGTGTCATGCCTTTGTTAAAGATCCCTCCCCCAACAAACAGCTGCTTAAAACTGATAAAAGATCACAAGAAATCGACACAAGCATCGCTTTTAATCGCAAATGTAAATTAGAGCGAAGCCCAGCTCAATGACAATGACAAAACAACACAAATGATGGATGTATTCAAACAGTGGATGAAAACTATTAACTCTAGACTTTACTGAAATCACCACATCAGACGAAAAGCAACACAATTAATACAATTGTAATATCTTAATTTCATGCAGCTCTGATTCATACAAATTTAAGTTTTCCAACTAGCTGTAGTTTGTTTTACACCCTCTGCTGGCTCAGGATGACAAACACCTGGAGCACAAAACCATCCATAAACAACCTGTTATGGAAAAACCCGACGAGTCAGTCAGCCAGTTCAGTGAGAACAGGACACCATCAGGTCATCGGTGTGATTGGGAGTGAAGGAAAAAACGGAAAATAAATCCTTTGGCGTGTCATCAAGGTTAAAAATGTTTTACCCATCATGTTTCAGAAACCAACACTGGCAGAAATCCACCCACAAAGGAAATTCAGCATTGGACATTCTGATCTCCAGTCACGATCTGACCTTGAGTCAGCATGAGCCTCAGATGCAGGCTGTCTGGTCTCACACACTCACACACACACACACGCACGCACGCACGCACACACACACACACACACGAGGCATAAACTGTGTTTCCCTTGAGCAAAGGATTCAAAGAGAAAGATAAATAGTAAACATCAGGTAACATCTGCTCTGGGATTCGTCAAATCTCTGAGAAGATGAAACAAAACCTCAATCCAGAACTTAAAAGTCCACCAGAGAGAAGTTTTAACTTGTGTATTAAAAATACGTCAAGATAACAGATTAACACTAATTTTATTTAAAAACATTTAATCACGTTTCAGTTTGCCTACTCTGAGCAGGCACCTCACAGCACGTTATGCTAACTGACAATATTCAAAACTTGAAAAATATGTTTGTGTCTAAAATCAGAATATTCCTTCTTATGCAGCAAATGACTATGTTAAATGGTTTATCTCTTCTCGCAAACTCTAAAAGACCAACAAGAAATTGTATTTTTTGCAGATTAGAAACTAATGAATTGGTGATGATTGAATGCATGTTTAATTTCATTGTCTTTCATTAATTGAATAAAAGAGTAAAGGTGATATCAAAACCACGCTGGATGGACTAACTAGTTAATACTGAAGGATGATTTTGTCTCGCTGGTTTGAGAGATTTGAATTTCTCTTGAGAAACAAGTACGCTGTTAAAGATAAAGAGCTGATCCACATCTTAACTTCAGCGAGACGCTTGCATATCCTGAATATTCATGAGTAAGACTTGTAATCCTGCAGTTTCACGCCATGCCACTCCGACCAACTTCTTTTTATAGAAGCAGCTGTTGATCACCGTTAGTCAACCCATGATCAGCATCACCTGGATGGTACCTACGGTACTATGAAGAAGCAAGAAAGAACCTGGCTTTTCAAATGCTGACTTTGCATTTTAGACTTGTTTACGTAACATCCAAGGAGCATTCGTTTATTTCAATTGACCTAAATTTAAGCTCCAGTATATTAACCCTTGAAACTGAAAAGAGGAAACAATGATCTCAGCACTTATCTAAGATTATTAAATTATAAGCAAATATGAATCTCTGAAGATGGCCTCTGTCCAAGCAGGTAAAAGAAAAACACCTTGGTAGCAGTACTAGTCTAACACTTTCCTTTCATGGCACACCCCTTGGTGGTCCAATCCACATCCAAACAAACAGGCAGGGAAACAAGCAACTCTGTATGTAATCTGTCCCTATGTCTTTTAAGGTGTGTTCCATAACCTGAACAGTCAGCCAATCAGCTTATAGGATCTGTGTGAGCATATCTTACGTCATCAGGCATCACTGGGACAAAGCCGATAGCTCACCACAGCTCAACAGTGCTGGCGGACTGATTAGGCTGCTATTTCAAACTGACCACAATTTTGTTTGCCTGCATCCTCAAGTCCTTCATTAAGTCAGAGATGAGAAAGCCAATTATAGACTTCAGGGAATCTCTTAAGACAAGCCAATAGTTTTAAAACGTGTTGTTGAAACCGAAGGTTTTAACACTTCTTTTTATAAAGATAAACTTTATTCTTGATGATGATTGTAAAGAGATTTTTTTTATTTTCCACTTACATCTTTTTACTAAACATTTTAGTTGTTCGCTTATTAGAACAAAATCAAAAGTTCTGCAGCATGAAGGTTGCAGGTTCAACAGCCAGCTCAGCCTTACTGAAAGTTTGCATGCTCTCCCCATGCTCTCACATGGCTTTTCTCCTGTTTCCTCCCACAGAAAAAACATATGCATGTATGGTTAATCAGCAACTCTACGTCCCTAGCTCTGAGTGAGTGGTTGTTTGTCTCTAATATGTCTTTGTGATGGACCAGGGACCTGTCCTGGGTGTCCTGGCTGTCTCCCACCTCTCGCCCAGTTACTGCTGGAGTTAGATCCCTTTAGCTGCCAGAGACCCTCACAGGATGAAGAATCTCTAAATGATGGATGAATAAGTGAATTACCTCCGATGTGGAAATGGCTGCAGCAGAAAGAAATTCACTCAGGCACAAAAGTTTATTTAAACAACTTCTGCAAGTAGCCAAGAAAGTGTAAGTTTCATCCACATTGAGTCATGGGCATCATTCTGCACGGTTTCATCCATGCTACACAACACTACTGAAACTGCTGCAGCGATTACTTTCTATTTCTGTTAGGACTAACTCAGTGAAGTGGTTAGGTGAAGAGTCGTAGGTGTTCTCTGCTGTCTGGAACCACGCTGCATCTGACAAACTCAGAGGAACTTCTTTTTTTCCTTTAAATTTGACTCTGAGCAAAAATGAGGAGTGTGACATCAGCTTTCAAAAGTGACAAATACCAGAATGGAACACTGGAGACAGACTCGCCAAGATCGTGACAAAAGTTAAACAACCAAGACATTTACTACCGGTGTTTGAAGACCATTAAACTCTTATTATCAGTGTTTGTGCTGCTTTATTATCAGTTACTCACCTAAATCTAACAGGTTTCTACACTAACCTGATTCATTAATCACATGTGCTCACTGAATATTTTATTTAAGTAAACTTCATAAAAAGGTGCTTATAAACAAGAACTCTTGTTAAAATTGCATTAAAAGGATCTAATGCAATGGCTGCAGACTGAAAATTATGCTGATGACTAAAGTGTTTTGAAGGGGTAGTTCACTCATTTAATCAACACATTTGCAGTGGTCTTTGGTAGGACTGATTGCCTTGTAAGTTGTTCTTAGATGGGAAAAATATACCAGGGCACCATTTCTAGGAACTAGGAGTGAGCCACATCACAGTTGAGCTTCAGACGACAGACACCTCGCCTCTGATTGAATAACAATAACGTGACTCTACCATTGACCTGCAGCATAGATGTTTTATCTCCACAAATAACATAGGAGCCTGGAGGAGCTTCTGCCATGTGGTGGGTGGCTAATGCTAATGATGGCTTCTGCTAGTCTAGATGTTTTCTGCTGTTTCCCGGGTGCTAAACCAACAACAGCCTTCCCTGGCGTGAGTCAAGAGGGGTGAGTCCGTGAATGAAAACTAAAGTTGTCAACTGTGTTTTTTAAAAGGAGACTAGGCAGCTTTGGCTTGCTTTTATCACCCCCTAGTGTCTGTTTGTAGAACCAAAACCTATCTCCTCGCTGTGCCGTTGTCTTTTTAACACCTTAATCTAACAGCTGAAACGTCTCCCAGCCTTCCTTAGTGTCTACAGGAGTGATTCATCACTAAATTAAACAAATCAGCTGTGTTCATGATCTAAAACATGCAGGACATGTGCTAGAAGCAGACTGCAGCAGCAGTTATGTAAGCTCAATCTGTTCTAAGTCCAACAGACTGGACCAGCAACTGTGAAGTTGCAAGTGGAATATTTTGGCCAGAGGGGGGGGCGATAGGGTCAGTAATCTTGTAAAGGGTAATTTTAGCACATACTGGCTCAAGAAAATTATTTAAAAATATGAAAAAGTTGCAAAATATCATTTTAATGGGGCGGGCCAGGGAAAGAGCTCCAGCACCTTGAGAGTATATACAGGTGCTGGCCAGTAAATTAGAATATCATCAAAAGGTTGAAAATATTTCAGTAATTCCATTCAAAACGTGAAACTTGTACATTATATTCATGCAATGCACACAGACCAATGTATTTCCGATGTTTATTACGTTTAATTTTGATATTTATAGGTGACAACTAATGAAAACTCCAAATTTGGTATCTCAAAAAATTAGAATATTCTGAAAAGGCTGAATATAGAAGACACCTGCTGCCACTCTAATCAGCTGATTTACTCAAAACACCTGCAAAGGCCTTTAAAAGGTCCCTCAGTCTTGTTTTGAAGGCACCACAATCATGGGGAAAACTTCTGACTTAACAGCTGTCCAAAAGACAATCATTGACACCTTGCACAAGGAGGGCAAGACACAAAAGGTGATTGCTAAAGAAGCTGGCTGTTCGCAGAGCTCTGTGTCCAAGCACATTAACAGACAGGCGAAGGGACGGAAAAAATGTGGTAGAAAAAAGTGTACAAGCTCTAGGGATAACCGCACCCTGCAGAGAATTGTGACGACAAACCCATTCAAAAATGTGGGGGAGATCCACAAAGAGTGGACTGCAGCTGGAGTCAGCGCTTCAAGAACCACCACGAGGAGACTCATGAAAGACATGGGATTCAGGTGTCGCATTCCGTGTGTCAAGCCACTCTTGAACATGAAACAGCGCAAGAAGCGTCTCGCCTGGGCCAAGGACAAAAAGGACTGGACTGATGCTGAGTGGTCCAAAGTTATGTTTTCTGATGAAAGCAAGTTCTGCATTTCCTTTGGAAATCAAGGACCCAGAGTCTGGAGGAAGAGCGGAGAAGCACAGAATCCACGTTGCATGAGGTCCAGTGTAAAGTTTCCACCGTCAGTGATGGTGTGGGGTGCCATGTCATCTGCCGGTGTTGGCCCACTCTGTTTCCTGAGGTCCAGGGTCAATGCAGCCGTCTACCAGGAAGTTTTAGAGCACTTCATGCTTCCTGCTGCTGACCAACTTTATGGGGATGCAGACTTCACCTTTCAACAGGACTTGGCACCTGCACACAGTGCCAAAACCACCAGCACCTGGTTCAAGGACCATGGTATCCCTGTCCTTGATTGGCCAGCAAACTCGCCTGACCTTAACCCCATAGAAAATCTATGGGGTATTGTGAAGCGGAGGATGCAATACGCTAGACCCAACAATGCAGAGGAGCTGAAGACGACTATCAGAGCAATCTGGGCTCTCATAACACCTGAGCAGTGCCACAGACTGATCGAGTCCATGCCACGCCGCATTACTGCAGTTATTGAGGCAAAAGGAGCCCCGACTAAGTATTGAGTGCTATACATGCACATTCTTTTCATGTTCATTCTTTTCAGTTGGCCAACATTAGAGAAACAAACATTTTTTCATTGGCCTTTAGAATATTCTAATTTTCTGAGATACCAGATTTGATGTTTTCATTGGTTGTCACCTATAAATATCAAAATTAAACGTAATAAACATCGGAAATACATTGGTCTGTGTGCATTGCATGAATATAATGTACAAGTTTCACGTTTTGAATGGAATTACTGAAATATTTTCAACCTTTTGATGATATTCTAATTTACTGGCCAGCACCTGTATATCAAGGCTCTAAAGCTGTTTTTCACCCATGTGTCACACTTCACATGATCATGAAGGGAACAATCCATGAATTAGTAGATCATTTTGGGAGGCCGCTATGCCTAAAGCGAGGTGCTAACTGGAAAAGCTTCTGCAGCTCACACTTTTGACAATGGATTGTGAAAGAACAGAAAAAGCTAGAAATACGCTGATTGTTCCTGATGTAAGAAGTGAGTCTACTCTGTCCTTTGGTAGTTTTGGTGTTTGTTTACATGGTCATAGAGCACAATATCATCTGACTTTTCAAAAGACAATAAAAATGTTCAAAAACACCGGAAGTCAGGGGCTTTCTGTTCAGAAAACAGCTGGCGGTGAATGAGTTAAGTGACAGTTTGACGTAGATCTGACAGCCTTTTCTAATCCTAGAGTTTCACCGTCTATTTTTTATCAGAAGCTAATGCAGGAGATAGGTGTAGGAGACTATTTTCATGTTCAGCCTGCATGAAAAACTTAACGTGACCCATTACAATCAGAAATAATCATTAAAAACTAGGTTTTCGGTGAACCACACCTTCAACAAAATACCTGCAGATCTTTAAGAAAAATCCAAAGTGACAATAGTCGGAAACACTCTTATACAGAAAACTGAGCAGATTTTGCTATAGTAATTTAATTTTAATTGTCAAACGATCAACTTAAGATCAGGTGTAAGAAGAGTTTGAACCACTTTTTACAATTGTATGTTCAAAATGTGCTAAATAAAGTTATATTGAAAAAAAAAAAGTTTGAACCACTTTTACTTCCCTCATCATTGAAATTAGTAGAAAAACTGAGCCAAACAGCAAACAGGTGCATCTTGTGTGTGAAGTGGCCCTGTGGTGTGTGAGAGTAAAATAACAGTGGTGAATGCTTTGGGAGTTGACTCTGGGCTGCATAGTGCACACACTAACACTGGATGTGCACTCTCCTCCTCTTCCAGTGCAGCATCACAGACACTGCGGCTAACAGTGGCTAATACAGTAGCATTGATTTTAATAACTTTAGTGTGTAGGATGCAACTGTGCTGTAAGAAAATACAAGTGCTGAATGTAAACTTGGCACTGCAGGTATTAAAAAACCTAAATGACTCAGATCAGGGTGGAATAAAAACAACCTTAAAATGACATCCTATAATAACTCACTATTATAAATAAACAGAGAACCCACTTTACTGCTACAAGCCATTATTTTTAAAAACATAATCATAGTTTCTTTGCTCAGTAGTTTGTACTTTACTCTTGTTTATTATGGCTAAATGATGCTAAATAAGAGCTGGAGTCCCTTACAGCTGACACACACTATTATCCTGGGTATTAAATAAAAATCTTAACATATTTCCTGTAGAGGAGGGATATTTTGGTTTAACAGCAACATTTGATCAATTAGGTATTAACAGAAGTGAGAGAAACTGAGGATCAACTATTAATACATGGCACGCAAATGGCAAAAATATGCTTCAGAGGGACTTCAGAAAGTGTATTAAGGTTTTAGTAATATATCACACATCAATATGGGGGAAAGCACAACTAGAGCTGGAAAAAACAAACTCCAAAGAAAACCGTCACCAACACAGCTGCTGCCATGTCCCCTGACACTGCTGAACAGCTGCTGAGTGATATGCACAGAAAACCAGGAGAACAGTTTGTCCTGTTAACCTTTGCCTGGGTGAGAAGACAGATCACATCAGTCTAAACTCACATATAAACACATCTACCATCTGAGCTCCTTCAACACCACAACATGAAACTGTGGAGTTGCCACGACGACCACAACTCACCGCATGTTCGTCACTTGATGAGCCTGCCATGTTGATGAAGCACACTCACATCAAGTTTATGACTAAAACAGATTTTCAGACATTCTCATACTGGAAGTAAGCAACAAGCTGTTTGACACCAGCGACAACATAAATATTAGTAATGTTTTTATTTTAAACCTATTTAACACAATTAGAAAGCTTCTGCAAGCTAATGAAAGTAAACATGGTGTAGATAAATCAGTAAAAACAGTTAAAAGAAAACCTACAGCCAATGTGTCAAAACAGCATACGAGGCTGCAACTGTTGTGTGAAAAACCTAGTTTTCACATATTTAAAATGCAGATATTGTTCCTGCTGCTTATTTTGAGTCAACAGCTATACAACAATTATAACTCGTTTTTCTCTCTCTCTCTGGAAAGATTCAATCAAGTGGCCCAAAGTCAGGCAACCGATTTATCTGTTCACTGGGCTGGGAGCAGGAAAATCAACACTGACACATCCGCACCGCAGGAGGTGCATCAGACAATTCCCAAGGTATAAATGTTGGTATTTTGCCAACTTAGTAATACTAAGGGTTGGTTCATCCTCAAATAAGCATTTAGAGCTAAGTTTAAACGAGTTGTCAACCATGAGACCTCCTCTGACGTTTCTTCTGAAGAAATCCAGTAATCCAAAAAATAAAATAAAATATAATAACTTTTAGTACTACCACGCACTGGATAAACGTGAAAATCAAAATTCAATTATGATTATTTTTGGACCACAAACATTCAGCATGATGATGGTGACTCCTGCACACAAATAACCATCACACAGTCAGCATAACACCCGGTGTATTTAAACAACCTGATGAGCCAAACATCAGTAAAGTGTACATGTTTACAGCATGCCATGAACGACCCAATAACACTAACAACCAGAAACTGATGGAAGGCAGTGTGGCTACAACAATCTCCGGTTAACCATATTTTCATTAGCTTCCATCAAGTGAAACTTTTGAACACATTCCTGATTAAACAAAACCAGTCCAGTTTCTACTGGAACCAACGTGTTCACCCGTGTCGCTGGTAACTGGTGCACATAAATACCACATTACACGTTTACAGACAGGTATCAGTTAGCTGTCGGACTGAGTAGCTTCTTGACCTTAGCTTGACAGCAATGCTAGAAAAATGAGTCGGCTGCATTATTTGTTGAAAAGCTTAAAAATAAAAACATCACCTCGTTTTGACATGAGCTAAATATTCCAAGTTCCCTGAGCGCCGCTCTTACTCACGAACTCGGTAGGAAAACACTGGCGATGAACAGACTCTACCAGTCGTTAAGTAGCTTTGCATGCTAACGCTAGCTGGCTAACATCACGGCTTGATTTTACGCAGTGTCTCCGGTTAAAATGCACCAAGCTGCTACAATAACAACACACCTTTAGGATAATCGAGTGGACGCTACGAGCCCTGGCGGAGGCCACAGTGGGTAGGCTTAAGAGATCAAAGAACTCATGGATGTCGGTCCCCGGTGCTCAAACTCATTAACGGCGGAGAAAAACATCCAAATTACAGTGAAGAAGCTAACGCAGACTGTTTGGATTTTACAGTTCATTAATGTGACTGCAGGGCTTTGGCGCCCCCTACAGTCAGATGCTGAGAATACCAGGTCTGGGACTGTAAACAATGAACATCTACATCAGTAGCTTTATTTCATTAAAATTCAGACTAGGTCAAAAAAATTATTTCATTACTCAAACATTATCATATTTACCCCACAGACTGGATTTCTGATCCTACACTATAGCGAGTTAGATAACACCAGATGCAGAATGAACCCCTAATGCCAAGAGGAAAAAAATGTTCCAGGTTTGATTTTATATAACAATGTTTATTATATAAATTATAAACATATGAATGGTATATAAGCTATCAGTATTGAAAACATTGTAAACTGTTATTGTTTCTATTTAAGTTCACAAAAGTAACCCAACATAAAGTATGAGCCAGCTTTTAGCCATACCAAATCAAAAGATATTCAGTTAGATTACAGTCATAAAGAGGTATATATGCATCAGCAAATCAGTCCCTAAAGCAAATTGCTGAGCATTTGGTACGTCTCAGTGTGCAGATAAGAGCATCGAATCTAAAGAAACTGGATTATAATCTATAGTGGAGAACCTAATCTATCATGATGAACAGTATCTGGAAACTGTCCTTAATTAACAAACTTTTTGGGTTTGTGCCAGTTTGTTGGTGCAAAACAAGTTGGGTTTTTTTTGTTTTGTTTTTGTTCATCAAATATATGATCTGTAGTTTTATGATAAATGTATTAAAGATAGTATTAGAAGCAAGTGCGTAGTTTATTTGTTTTTGTTTGTTTATTTAGCGGGGGGGGGGGGGGGGGTTCCCTGTGACACATACTTTAGACACTTTAGTTTATTGTTTAAAGTATTTTAACTTGCAAATCGATGATTGATCCAAATCATCGACATGTATTTTAATGATCAAGGCCTAATCTAAAAACGTATTTGTAGTTCAATGTAGGGTTGTAAAAGTATACACTTGAACAAATGAATTATAATCATTATAATTTTCGTTTATAGAATATAACAAAGTTGGTACATATGTGTTTAAGTCATAGACTGTACATACAAAAAGTAGAAAATCATGTAAAAAGTACAGTGTAAATTGGCAATAATCTTCATGTTAACGCGAATTCCGAGTGACCATAAACGTGGCATGCTGAAATTTAAACAGCCAAACAGAGACTTTGATTGGTTATTTTTTACGTCAAGCACGATTAACCAATGAGAGATACTTTTATTGTCGTGAACAACAAACGTACACCACGGTTCAGAAAATACCGTTGGTGTGCTGCTTTTAACACTAAAATTATCAATGGATTGTTTATTTATTGCACGAGTTCGTAGATTTACGTATCGGCTCGTCACTGTTTATTTTCTGTCAGCATGAACCTCGGGTGAGTCTTTATGAATAGCTAGCTAAGCTAAATACAGCATGAGGGCTATCGTGGGCCAATGAAATGAACATTATTTTTGCCATCTCTGTGTATGTTTTTATAATTATAAACACAACTTTAGCTATAGAGCTTGTAAAATTTGCCATCTGCGTTACCAATTCATTTCTCGTCAGGAGAGATACTTTTAATTGTTAATTTTGACACATCAATAGCTGGGGGTCTTGTTTAAATTATTCAAGTTTGGACTTTTATAGGAAACCTGCAGCATCTCGTGGGTTAATTGGTATTTTTTATAAACAAGTGCCATTGGCTTGGATCCTGCAGAAAATATTTAATTAGCTGTTTTGTGCTCTAATAGTTGCTACTTTTTCTTAACAGAGATGGCCTGCTGTTTGAACTTGAAAATGGAAAACCCAAGTTGATTTTACTCAATCATGGTGAGACTTCAACGTATTTGACCCACTCTGTTGCTCTCTTTAATTTATAATTACACAATTCCATTAAAGCCATACGATTCCCACAGATTTTTCTTTGTTTTGTTGATGCAAATCTAGTTTAAAGTTTTACATTTAACTTGTTACAGATCAGTAAAAACTTTATTACATTATGATATAAATTATTTACTCTTTAAAATCTGATGATCCCAATAATTGTCAGTTATTGCAGTTTACTTTCAGAAATATTATTGAATTTGGTCACATTTTCTTTTTTCTTGTCTTTGTTCACTGCAGGTTTTGAGAAAAATCCAGCAAAGGTAGGAATCATCTTTACAGGACAACCACTAGATTATACTGAGTCACAAGAAGAGCTATGCTGGTGTTTTTGTTCAAGTGTGTGTGTGATGTGCTTGTGATGTGTTTTCAGCAACTGTCCATCAAGCCTCGAACAGCACAGATCTTGAGCTTTAGACAGCCAGTTTGTGTGGAGGAGGTAGAAGGAGAAGAGCGTGCACCCCGTCAGGTTGCAAGGAGTCACAGGGAGGTTAAGTGCAAACCAGCAGGAGATGCTTCATCTTCCAATTCCAACACTGAAGGGAGGAACACTCTCCTGACTTCATCTAAGGGACCTCATAAAGACTGCAGCGTCAAAGCAAGACACAAAGTCAAAGATGGAGTAAGAACATGGTCTAACTTTATTTTGATATTTATTTTTGTAAAAATGGTTTTGGAAAAAATCAAATAATTTAAGATATGCTATTTATAAATGCAGAGAGGCTGTACTGAGGAATATCAGATTAAGATTATGTGTTAGTAAAAGAATGTCAGGTTTTTCCTGCTCATCACATTACTTTTTTGGTGTTTGTGTACTTGAGGTGAAGTCAAACAAACCCAAACTCAGTATTGGACCCCTGGGAGCCAATGGGAAAGCGGGACAGCCTCTGAACAGTGAGACTCAAGGGGACAGAAGTGCAGGCTTAAAGCATGCACTGGCCAGTGTAGATGAAGGGCTAAAGGACGGTGTGGTGTGTCTAACCAATGAAGAGCTGCAGCAGATCCTCAACGTCATCAAGATCCCCACCAGTGACCAACACGCACCAGAGGAGCAGGCGGTACAAGGTGGTGGCAGTAACGTTTGACCCTTATGAGACCTGCAGGATGCAGGCTACTAAAAATTACTAACTGTATGTTTTTGTTTCTAAGTGAGTCAAATAGACCCCAGATCTGACCCCCATGTGGCAGAAGAAGAAGGAAAAGACATAAAGGAGAGAGATAAAGGCGGGGTAACAGCATTAAAGAGTGAGGGTGGAGGAACTGATGCAGACAGAAGATCACAAGGAAAAGAAAACAAGTAAGAATTTTTTTCACCAGAGATTCTTCCTGATAGAAAAACAGATTTCTGTTGCCTGGAGTTAAAAACTAAAGGATGTTTTTAACCTAAGGGGTTTTTGTAAAAACTGACTGAACTTTACTGAGAATAAAATAATAAAATAAGTTTAACTTACAGACTACAAAAGTGATGAAAATAGTAAAAAAAAAAAGTTCAGTGTAAAAACAGCTAAAAGTCTAAAACTTCAACTTGTGGTTCACTGAAAACCATTTGACTATTTCTGATTGTAATCAGTCACTCTAAGTTTTTCATGCAGGCTGAACATGAAAATAGTCTCCTACACCTATCTCCTCAGAGGAGACATGTCCAAATATCAGGAAATAAGACTCCAAATCTTGCCGTGTTAAGCACTCTTCTAATGTGGCATTCTTCTAGTTCCTGAAACAAAGAAATTTGAGCTTTTTTTCCCTGAGTATGACTTGCAAGGCGTTCATTTCTATTAAAAACCACTGCAAACATATTCATTAAACAAGTGTTCCACACCTTTAAATGCCAGATCGTAACAGCATAAACGTCTAAATCCTGTAACAGCTGATTTTCTTTTGGTTTTCAGCTCATCTAGATTTCTGTTCAGCTGGCTGGACGAGAGACAATCAGACGACAGAGCGACCATCAATGCCAGGAAGGCTCAGTGGAGAAGAGAGCTCGGTATGGACACACACCCGTTTGCTTTGCATTTGTCCCTTTCTCTGTGTTGATGTTTATTTATTCAGGTTATTTTTTTTAAGTTAACAAGGTTTTAAAACGGGCTGCACGGCGTCTGTTCAGCAGGGTAACAACGAACCACATGCAAACGTGCTTCATGATAACAACCGTGATGCTATTATTACTTGTAAGTTGCTTTGGACAAAAGTGGCTGCTAAAAACACAAACATAATGCAGCAAAATCTAAAAAAAAAAAACAGAACATCTTCTTAAAATGTGTTTTTTCTTTTATTATTGGTTTTACTTTGATTAACTTATCTCCACATTTTGTCTGCGAGCTGAGATAACTCAAAGTTTCTCCATTTTCATAAAAGCAACAACACTTAGTTTAAATGGTTCCAGTTGAGGAGATGAACGCTGTGATTTTTATTTGTTTCATGTGTTTAAAGACGAGCAGGTGGCGCTGAAGCAGCAGCAGCAGCAACATTCGGCCCCTGGCAGACTACAGGTACACTCATACACTCTTTTGTTTGTCATGATAAATAAAGCAGAAAGATGCACAGAGCCAAGCTCATTTTCCTTCACATTTGTCACATTTAATTTAGGAAAACAATACACACTAGTTTGAGTTTTTATCAGTGTTTAGATCACCTGTTTGTAGGTGTGAGTGGTTGTGAAACCGTCTGGGGAAAAGAATACAGGCAGAACAGTCAGGGTCTTTATGAGTTTGTGTTTTTTATCCATCCTTTTGTTCTCGTCCAATGATGAATGATTGATTTTAATGTGCAAAAGTTTATAAATTAACCGCTAAACCTATTTCTCACACCGACTTAACAAAAGCAGAATGGCACAGGATCAAACTGGATTAACTTTTCACATTTCTAATGTTTCTATTTAAACTGTTTGTGTGTTTTAGGCTGAGGAGTACGCGGAGAGCGTGTCATCAGTTCAGACGTGCTTCAGCCACAGAGAGCAACCTGCAGCCATCAGGTCCAGCCTCAGACTGGGGGTAAGCCCGGCCTACCTTTCTTATTTTAAAATGGTTCTTTTTACATTTTTACTTTTTGTAACAAAGGTAGAAAATAAAAGTAGTTTTAATGTTTAACGTCAGAACCGTTTCTCCTGCTGTCAAGCATCAGTCTGGCTCCTGTGATGTTCAAAATGTAAAGCTGCCTTTATTTATTTGTTGTGTTAAATTAAGTGGGAAATGTAATATTTTTACACGGTCACTATTTTTATCATTATTATGACGTTTTTCTTTATATGGTTATTTTTTCTGTGCAGGAGGTCACTCCAATGGAGGAGGTGTTTAGTGTTGAGAGGAAACGGGAGCAGAGGAGACACTGGCTGGAAGAGCTGGATCATCAGAGAAAGGAGGTGGCTGAACGCAGAAGACGAGAAAAACTCCTGCAGAACCAGGTGTGTTAGAGACGTAACAAAAACCTTGCAGGGGGATTGTGGAGATGCTGCAGCATGGTGTTTTCTGTGCAGACAGAAGATCACGAACGCTGGGCCGCGCATTTTGACTCTCTCCAAAAGAGGCCTCACATCCAGACTCCAGTTGCATCTGCGCCACCTCCAGGGCAGCTCAACGGTTCTGTGGGAGGAGACTGGGGGCCCACGTCCAGTTTATCTCTGGCCTGGGATGCCACGAGCAGCTGTGGAGCCGACAGCGTCGTCGGAGCCAGCCTGAACTCTACAAGTGGCTATCCGACCAGAACCAAGTAACTTATAAATCCCTTTTAATTAACTTTGGATATTTTTTTCCCTTCAGTCATTTTCAAACTGGGGACCTCGTCTCATTTTCTGCTGTTTACAGATCCCACAGACAGGAGGTAAACAGTATTTGACTCTGGTTTTGTTTTTTCACCTCTACTTTGTTCAGCTACTTGAGGACCATGACCTCCCTACTGGATCCGGCTCAGATAGAGGAACGAGAGAGAAGGAGGCTCAAACAGCTGGAGCAGCAGGTAAGAGGATGCTGTAGCATTTCTTTAGCATCTCCTAACATTTACTTTATCACCTTCTTCAATGTTCTTACTTAGAGGGCAATCGAGGCCCAGATGGAGGAGCGCAGAAAGCAAAAGGAGCAAGAGGAGTTCAAGAGGAGACAAGAGGAGGAGGAGGAAGAGAGTAGGGTTGCTCTGGAGAGGGAGAAGCTGCGGAAACATTATGAGCTGGAAGTTCTGAAGAAGAAGCAGAAGGTCTGGGAGCATCGAGGGTCTAAAGAAGAACACAAACTTTATCTTTGAGATTTTATTTTTCATGATGTGTGGAAAAATCCTGTTTCTTCAGGAAGTGGTGGTCCAACATCCAGAACAGCCAGAGAAAGACCAGAGAGACAGCAGACGGAATGAGACGCTGGAGTCCAGCGGTGAGATTTCAGATTCACAGACACAAACAGCTGAACCAAATTCTTCTTGTCTGGATGAAACACCATCACTAAAGTTGCCGCAGTTTGGTTTATTTGTGATAAATAAACAAAGTACGACAGTACAGTTTGTGTTTCTTGTTTTTCAGGTTTGCAGAAGATCAGTAGCTCTTCGGTCGGCTCCTACAAAGACACGGCCGTTCAGACGGGTGAGACCCATTTGTTATTGTTGGGTTATTTAAGAAACTACACTAAGTCCTAGACCAAAAATAAGCTGTATGTACAGTTTAATGTGGATTGAATGACAGATTTTATTTGTTTATTTGATCTGTTGCAGTTTAACTCCTTATGTTTTTGTTTGTTTTGTTCAAATTTACTCTGGAATATTTGTTATTTTGGCTCATGTCTGTTTAATAAGAGGGAGATGTTTAATAATATGCTGATAATAATAGAAACATTTGGGTACGTATAGTCCTGTGATACATAATCTTTTTTACAGGAACCTAAATGTATGATGTCATGTTGTTATGGGTGATGACTTCTTTTTATAAATTAAGAAATTTCACTTTGAGTAATTTTTGGACAATTTTAAAACCTTATTTTTGTCATTTATATGAATCATGTGTGTCTCTGCGGTCCGGCTGATCGTTAATGTTCTTAATAATTTTGCATAAATAATATTTTCTCATAACAAAGTTTCTCTTCTGTAGATGAGACTCCTCCTCTCGTCCCCGAAGCGGTGAAAGCTCAGACTCCTGACACCATTGAGCACAACCACCCACCTCCTCCCTATCAGGCTGCTCCTCCTACAAACAGCAGGAGTCGTGGGGTGAAAAGCAGGAAGGAGAACATCTGTTTGCCAACAAAAGGAGACCCATATGAGGCGTTCGCCAGGACGGAGAGGAGCCGTAGAGACAAGAAGAGGCCGGAGTGGAACACACACAGGTCTGAACACAACATTTAAACCACTTATGAAAATACAAGAACTCTGCTTTCAGCAGTTAACATGGCTGTGACGATACCAGGTAACATTTTATATTCATTTATTTTTTTGTTGGTCCTGCAGGCCTAGCTGCCGCTATGTCCCAGCCTCGGAGCGTTATCCGGTTGCTTTGCAGAAGAACAGACAGGAGAACCGATTGAGGAGGCAAGCTGAGCTTCTCGCTCTGCAGGAAAGGACCTACATGGTCAGAACTGAACCACTTCCTCCTCAGCACCAGGAGCCTCGTCTCGGCCTCAACACCCAGCAAACAAACACCGGTTCCACCAGGAAGGTAAACAATAAACCTCAGTGAATTCTAAAAGCCTGTTCTGGTCCTGATGGTTTTATCTGCATCACAGTTTGGTTTGTGTTCCTGCAGCTGTGTGGATGTGCATTAATGATTCTTCATGTTTCAGATGGAAACCAGCTCCAGAGGAAAGAACAACCCAACAACCATCAGCTCTGACCAGTGAGCAGCTCTGTTGATTCAGGGTTTCAATCAGAAAATACTAGAAAATACTTTGAAACACTGTAGAAGGCTAGATGTTCCCATGTGTGACCGTCTGAGCTTTCTGCTGCTTTTCACTTTTTCACACATTAATCGTTTGTCTGAGGTTTCTGCTCCAGTCTGCCTCATGTTAAGTTTGCTGTCAGCAAGTGAGACGCACAGGTGTGTGGTTACCTTAGCAATTAACGAACCACTGGGTTGTTACCATGGTTAGCCTAATGACCTACTGGCTACAACATTAACATTTCTTTTGATCATTCATTTGAACGGTTTGAACGCCAAAACGTTGAGATTTTTGATCCAGATCATCACAAAGTTGTAATTTCTGTTGGCGTTTAGAAATGTTGTTGTTTTAGTGTTATTCTCTGGTCCTCCAGGGGGCGCTATAGTCCAGTAACTGCAGTTCAGAATCAGCAGGATTCTACTACTCCTCCGGTTCTGGAGTTCATTCCTTACATTCGGACTGATGAAGTCTTCCACCTGGACCCACTGGAGACCGCTGACACCCCCCCACCCCAAGCACACTCAGGTCAGACACAACAGAACTTTTAGTCGTACAGACACACCTCCACAAACCCACACACCCTCAAGCCAGCTGCTAACTTTCTTCAGAAGGGAACTAATTAACCTCTTTTCTCCTGGACAGGAGCTCCTCCTGAATGTTCAGCATCTCCTCCTGCTCCTTCACATGGAGACCCGCAGCTCTGCCCAGAGCTGCCATGTAACACACACACACACCGTCAGCAGGAGATCCTGCGAGGCCTGGCTCAGCTTCGGCAGGTAAAACACACACACCATCCAACTGAGGGGATTTTAATTTACTGATGCTTACAGGAGTCTCCCAGCAGCTGGATAAAGGTTCATATAGTGTTTATCACCAGAATACAGCTCAGTTGACTAACGTGCCCGTGTCAGGCTCTCATGTGTTTGTTGTTTTAGGGTTTATTACAGAAGAAGAAGGACCTGGAGACTGATCTAAATCCTCTCTGGAATCACCGTGACGAGCTGCGGGTGCCCTCAACAGCACATACCACGTGACCTTCAACGAACAGCAGCGTGCCCTGTGCACACGCGGTTCCATGATCGTGTGTTCCTGGAGAGTGAGGAGCTGATAGGAAACAACGATATTCAGTCATCCGATACTATGGAAAGAGACCCTCAGTGTGTCAAAACAGAAGGATGAGAAGTTCCAGACGGCTGAATCTGAATGTTACAAATCATTGGGTCAGTCCATGAAGATCTGACGAAGAGAGGTTTTATGAGTTTTACACATAAAAATGTTTTTTAAAGTGGTAAAAACCCAAATCACTCTTCCTCCTCCTCCTCCTCTGTGATACATCTACAGCCATAGCCACACCAACTCCACCCAACAACACTTCGTTAGAAATGATTTAACTGGACTAGTCACCTGTGATTTGATCATCTGTGCTGCTCCTCACTCTCCTGAAGTAGAATGGATTTCGTTCTCATTTATTTAACAAAGGCAGGACTTTAAAATGATTCTTCCTCAGCAGGGACTCTCCAGACTTTCAGAATGAAGAAATTCTACCTCACTTAACACAGCAGCTCCAGGCACACCACCAAATCAGGCAGAACCACTTTCATGTGAGGAATAATTTTATAAAATGTGTATAAAATGTTCAGATTTGAATTAAATGTTCTTTTTCTGTCTCCTGCTGGCAGATGTTTGTATTTCTTTCCAGCACTAATTGTTTTTTGTTTTTATTTATGGTGACTAATAAACAATCTCTAATCCACTGTGTAGATATTATTTTGAACTAACATTCTGACATATTCAGAACGTTTACAACTCTTTAGTGAAGGCGAGTTTTGCATAACTGCTAAATGAAATCAGCTGATTCTGTCAGGCTTCCTTTGCCAACGCTCACTCTGAATAATCCAAACACAACGGGCACATCATCACTCCTCCAGCTTCACCCATCAGGAAGTTCCTGCTGAATGTGAGGCTGAACCAGAATCTGGAGTGCTGGGGAATAAATGAACTCCATTCCCTAAAGGGAGGTCTCATCTTCATCTCTTTAGCTACCCAAGGGCAGGAAACATGGAAAACATTTAAATGAAACCTGCTGAACCTGTGAATGGAGAAAAGTTCTACTCCACATCAGGATTTTCAGCAAACCTTTACTTAGATCTATACCTAACATCTGTACACGGTGGTCTCAGCAAACAGGTCAGATGCATTCAAAGTTGAAAATTTGTAACAAAGAATAAACCTTTTCTAATTTTGTGTGTGTGAACAGATGTTTCTGCCTTCATACTAGGGCTAAGTAGCCTGGCCTGCCACACTCCCCCTCTGTTTAATTCTGCACAGAGAGGATGAGTCTGGCAGGCCAGGCTAAGGTGTGTTCCTGTTAGGAAACCAGACTGAAAATTCCCCATAAATACCATAATGATTTAAGACTTCAAAATAATCAAGATCAGAATCAAAATATCAGCATCTAATACACTTATCTGAACTTGATAACCCTGCTCCTCTAAAGACCTCCAGATACATTTCTGAGTTTGAACCTCTAATTAAACTAAATAAAAAATCAAAGTTTGTTATTTTTTTAAGTTTAATACAAAACATGTGATGTAAAAATACACAAAACAAAAAACATAAAAAGGTTTTAAGTTTAAAACTGTTCATCACAAAGTTTCTTTCAACATACAACCGAACAAAACAGCTCCCAGTACCACAAACGCAACAGTCGGCACCGGGGAGAACTTTTTACACTTGTCCACTGGAAGGTGTTATTTTTGAGTTTTTTTTTCCCAAGTTCCTTTAAAAAAACTCTATTTTACAGGGTTAGGGCATTTATTTACAAATGAGCAGCTGATGTTTCCATCAGTGTCTGGAACAAAAAAACAAAACAAAAAAACTTCCCCTCGTTTTCCAGGAGGATGAGCTCCAGATCTAGCTGGATCCTGATCTCATTAGTCCAGTGACCCTTCAGCCAGGAGGTTGTGTCTCAAGGTCAGGGCTAAAATGCCAATGTTCAACCAGACACCAGCACTCCCATTTCACAACAGCTGGATCAGGATCATCACGCTGTCCCAGATATCAAACACAAAAGGTTTTCCCCTCACCTGCAATCATCAATCAATTAAATGCCAAACGTTCACTGAAAGGTTAATTTTTTTCTGGGATATTTTGTGGCCTTTCTTTAGTATTTCTGATGCTAAAGTGAGAGTTTGGGGTCAACAGAACACACTGTTACAGGTTTTATTATGGAGTTTTCTGTAAGATTAAAATAAGAGATTAGTCAAAATCTAAATAAAACCCAATTAAAAAAATATTAAGTTTTTTTTCCTCTGAATGCCCTTGTTGGTTTAGTTTTGTGATTCTGAACAGAGAAGTAACAGCAGCATGTTTAGCTGTTCGGATCAGAACCAACGTGTTTAAAAAAAAAGTTTTAACCTGAAGTTCTGCAGCTGCCTGAAGCAGATTTTTCTAACGAGACATGTTCAAATCATATTCATGGTGTCAATTTGTATAACAACTTTTAATGAGCGCTTCTTTTAGATCTGAATTCCTTAATGGATTACTTTTAATACCGACTGAAACTTTGGGTTAATTGAGATTGCGGAATGTTCTAGATCAGTGACTGAACAGGTGACAGAGAAAACCAGTTTCTTACATCCTGTTAAAAACCTCCTCCTGGCCGAGCCCCTCTGTACACATGAGCGGCCGGACCACCGGGTTTGTAGTACTCTTTCAAGAAGTCCACGCCAGTCTGCTGGAAGCCCCAGACCAGAGGGGTCCCTGTAGGAGTCAAAACTTGGGGCCTGAGATGTGCGGGCACCACAAAGGACCCAATTCCTCCCAGAGGATGTAGCTGCCTCAATAAAGGACCCGAATGGAATGGCTGGCTCTGGAACGGAGCCATGGATGACTGCTGGAAAGGAACCACCATCTGAGTCTGACGTGTTGATGGGTTGGGCAGCTGCAAAGACGGCTGTGGGTGCTGCTTCTTCAGCGCCGGTTTAAACTCTCGAGCGGTCAACACAGGGATCTTTTTTTCTGTGGTGAAACAAGCTGTGCTGCTACTCCTTGGGTTCACTCCAGCTTTCAGTGGCTGGTCCTGGATCAGCTGTGTGTCCCTGCAGGAGAGAAAACATGAAGACCTTCAGCTGACACATGCAGGAAAAAAAAATCCTTTAACTGAGAGGATAGTTGTGCCAACAAGTTAACACACCCTGAGGATTTCTGGCCATTTCTCAAAGAAAATGAAAGAAAACACAAAAACATGTTTTTCACTTATAGTCAGTGATGTTGGCAAAAAGCCTCCAGTTCCTGTAAATTCAATGTCCATCCGTCATGAAAAGCATGTTTGAGTTCTTCCAGTGGTTCAATGATATTGAGGTCAGGAGACTAAGATGGTCACTCCACAAAATACACTCTGCTGGAGTCAGTGGCAGGTCCATTTGGCCTTGTGTTTTGGATCAGTCTTGTAGGAACATCCAAGTGCGACCCACGCACAGCTTTTGAGCTGATGAGCGCAAATTCTCCTCCAGTATTTTTTGATAAGCTGCCGGATTCATCTTGCCATCAATCCTGACCAGGTTTCCAGCACCTTGGAAACTCACACATCCTCAAAACATCAGCCAACCACCTCCATATTCCACAGTAGGAATGGTGTACTCCTATGTAATGGAAAATAGTGGAGTAATGTGGGCTAAATAAATTGCTTTAAAAGCTATTTATTTCTATTCTCATTACTTGTGACCAATAGCTGTAATACTCTATTACTTATGGAATATCACCTTGCTTGGTCTTAGGATGATTAATTAGAAGGTTCTAGGATTCTTTTAATTATTAAGGGATCGTTCACACTTCGTTTATGATTCAAGAACCAGTCAGTGTTTGCAAACAAATAAGAATTTATTTTACAAACAATTAAGACTTGACAAATGGTTTAAACTACTATCCTGTGAGTGGATGGAACTAAAAGATGGGTGTCTGAAAACAATATGTGAATATGAGATGATGAATCAGAATCTCCGTATCTTCAGGGAGGTGTGTTCTGGATAAAAGAATTTGGTTTGCAGATAAGCTATAAACTGTTATTTATCAAACTGCATAAAGACGCCATCTGTGTGTCTACATTACCGTAGAGGCACCCTCTTGGTGGATCCAAAAGTAAGAGTGGTCGGATGACCGCTGGCACCGGAGGGCTGTAGAGTACTGAGGTGCCGTCCTTTCAGTCCTAGAGATGTGTCTCAGGTCACAACAGATGGATGGAACCACGCGTCTTAAAATAAATCTGAAGGAGTTTTGCAAAATAATCTTTGTTCTGCAGGAAAACTATCTTGTTGTTCTTCATCTTCGCAGGTGCAAAAAGCTTTAAGGTTTTGACAGCGTGTCAAAAATCTTTCTGAGCTTGAGATCTGCTAAGAGATGGCCAGTCTCCAGCTTTCTCTCTCGACTGACGAGAAAGCAGAGCGGCTGGTTTATATACCCGCCCTCATCTATTACCAAACTTACCAAGAATCTCAGAAACTCATGCTCTGAGACGCAGTGTCTCTGAGTCTAGGGACAAGGTTAGTTATGTGTCATGCGTTCTTAATTTTAACCTTACTTCTTGTCTGGTGTAATGACCTCATCCTGTAAACATTACTGTTGTGATTATTAGCCATCAAATAATTTGTAAGCTTTGCTTACTCTTTGGATTTATCAATAAAATTCGTAAATATGGAAATATTTACCCATTTATTACGTAATTAGGATATCCGTTGATATGCCTTGGGGCACCACCCCTCTTATAGGGGAAAATGAATCCAAAACCTCTTATCAATCTGTCTGAAGTTTGTAAAATGCGTTTACCGAGCAGCAGTCATAATTCTAAACCACACAAACAAATCACCCGAGACAAAACCTAATTGGCAATAACATTTATTAACTTATTTGATCACTTCAGCTCCTCCCAAAGCATTTAGCCAATCAACATCAACCAACTTATTTTATCAAACGAATAACAAGCAATGAAACAATGAGATGATAATGTGACGTGATAATCTAATCTGATAGGTGGAGTAACATGATGTAATTCGATAGTGATAGGTTGGTTACCCTAAATGGAGGGAGTTTTGGAAAAACCAAAATGGCTGATCCTTCGCTTGGCTGAACAAAGAACCGCGTGGGTGTGTGCGTGTGGAATGTGTGTGTGGGATATAGCTTGTCTTTCTAAACCATGAAAACCTGTGTGTGTATGTGTGTGTGTGTGTGTGTGTGTGTGTGTGTGTGTGTGTGTGTGTTTTAGCTTGTCTTCTCAAATACAGACAGTCAGTGGCTTAACATTCACAGCAACTTAATAAAACACTTCACTTCACCAAGCTCAAGGAAAAACAACAAGTCAGTTATAAAGGCAAGTTGAATATCAAAACAGTCTGTCTGCCTGGCCACAGCATGAACAAACTTCGATATTAAACAATAACAAAAAGGATCTTACTTTGACGGTCCGATGGCATTTTTGGTACGGAAGAAAGAGAAACCGTCTGTTAATTTGAAGCGGTCACGCGGTCGACCGCTTCTTTTGGTTATAAGAGAATCGAGAGAAAAAGAGAGAGGAAAAAAAGAAAAATCTTGCATGAGCGAACCCCAAGGCGTCCCTTTTGTGGTCGCGCTGAACAGATCAGATGTTGTTTCCGTTGCTTCCAGCAGCTTCACGCATACGCGTCCGGAGCAGTAGCAAAACGAGTGTCTCTTCACACCAGTTGAACCCTGGACAAAAGAGGAAATTTCTCTCCGCGCTTTGGCTCTTATAGTTCGGCTATCCAGCGGGCGGAACCTGTGTAGGTTCTGGGGTTCGGCGTCGCTTTGGTGACGTCATCAAGCTGCTGCCGGCTGCAGAGGATCATGGGAGAAGTCCCTGCTGGCGCTGATTTTTATTGTCTGCTTCACGGCGCAGATTACAGTTTTTTGGAGAAAATACTGCACAGTAATTTTCTCATGAGGGCAGAACCTCAACATTCCCTCTTTTGGTTTCGGGGATCGCGCCAGAGCTTGATCGTCGGAAGCACGGATGGGTTTGTCCCTCAGGAACGTTGATCGCCTTGGTCACCTTTGGTCTTTGTCTTGGTCTTGGATCCTGGTCAGGCAAAAGAACAAAAGGGGATAGGAAACGGGATAGTCCCCACGCGCATAACGAGGAGGAGCCACCCACGCAGGTGGTACGCACATTCTACCAGGGGTGTCGTCGTCCATGCGAGGTAGCAGTATGGAAGGAGGGAGGCCGGCGGGCGGTTGACTCCATGAGGGGACAAAAGGGGCGAAGATCAGGCAGTCCACAGTCCATGGGCTTAACAGGGGCACCCGTGAGGGGATAAAGGGGCATATCACCACCGGCCATATAGTTCAGTTTCTGGGGCACGCGATCCCGGACAAGCAGTCCATGTACGAGGGTCCATAGTTTGCAAACGCGCATTGGCCTATGTGGTCCCAAGATCCCACCCTTTTTGGTCCAAAGGGTGGATCAGGACAGTCTTTGGGCTAAAACAAGGACCATGAAACAAGAGGAACTAAATTGTGCTAGGCGGCTGACAGATTCACTGACAGACTGAGCTGGGCCGGCTCATAACCACTAGCTAAATGTTACCAAGTAAGAAACAAAAATATAGGGACCCCCCCCCCCCAAAAAAACATATAACATCCAAGAAATTTCATAGCAACCTTGAGTTATCATAAAAGACATTCATAGGTAATACATTCAGAGTGTAGCTTATAAAGAATATGGCATAATGCAAAACTTAGATAAAAGTAGAGGTAGAATAAAGCTTAAACTACTTATAGGGTTACAAAATAACAAAGAAAATGTTGCTCACCCCCTTTAGACCGATGTGGTACACTCACGCTTGGTCTCTCTCCGAACGCGGTCGCGAGGCACACCGTAAGTGAGCAGGTGCATCTTATCCTGGAGTTTATTAACACGCCTGTAGGCGGAATAAGCTATCACGGCCGTGATGAGCCATCCCAGCCCCAGGGCGACCAATGTGCAGATTAAAGTGGTATAATCTGTGACTATATAGCGTTTTGGGTATTGATTCATGGGCGTTAGAGTAAGTTCATGTGGGGTTTGTGTGAACTTAACAAGTTTGGTTCCTTCAGTCAGCAGTTGTTGGTCAATTTCTAAATCAATGGTAAAGTTATAACCCTGGAATGCGTCCATGATCTCAATCTCTGAGTCATACTGTTCGAGGTTGAGATGGTGGAGTGCCAGGTTGCCCAAGTGTACAATTGCACCTGGCGGAACTGAGAGGAAAATGGTTTGGTTCGGCACTTGTAACCCAGTGGCAACGTTATGCTGGTCATAAGTTACAAGGGCCGAGTCTGCTGGGGTGCTAATAAGCCATCTGTCACCTGCACGTTCCACTCTAGTATCCATTTTCACATCTTTTAATGTAACAGTTGCTTGGCAATTCTGCAGGGGCGCGTCGCTCCTGAGGCCACACTGATAATTGGCAACGTCCCAGACAAATGGGTTACCAGGACACACCCAGGGGATATCCTTGGTCTATGTGCATAGATCTAAGTTAGGAGTTAGAGTTTGTTATCATTATCTTGGTAAGCTAGGAAGCTCGGAGTTCTAAGGAGGAAATGCTTACCGTCTTTCCAAAAACCAACGTTTAGCATAGACTTAAGCCTATAGATGTGAGGTGTCTCAATTATGGGGACATTTAATAGGAAACCAAGTTCTAATTTCTCTGCATCAACGTGAATGGGAATTGCACTGCCTAGGCTGTACGCTAGGTGGATTTGTGAAGTGTGTACAGTAGAGGGAGTAGCAGCTGTCAAAATATCTTTGAGCAGGTCCAGTGGTACCAAGTATGTGGGAATGCGACCTTCCACCAAGCTGTCCAGAGTGGAACTTACTTCCCTGAGCAGGTCCTGCATCAAATCTCTCACCACTCGTGTGTACACAATATCATGATGTATGGTTTCAGACAAAGTCTTGATTGCACGTAGAGATTCATTAATCAGAGCAGAGTATATGCTGACAGTTACAAGAGTACCCTGTAAGGTTTTAGTAAGTACATCCTGTTTACGGTCTAGGAGGAGGAGTTTCCTTTGGATCGCTGGCATCTCGTCCTGGAGTTCCGCAATG